GTCTTGAATACAGGCTCGTCTTTCATCTCACAACGGGAAGGAATGTCTGAATCCCCTGTGGAGACCTTAGCGAAAGCCCTAGGTTCCTGCCTCATTTTGACGGATTGCCTCACATCCCGTTGACACCTCGAGAGGCACCCGGAGTTCACTGCTTCAAATGTGATGATGCCTGACTCCTCCTGAACATTGATAGGAATCCCAAAATCACTGTGGCTACTGGAAAGGGTTCTTGTGTGCCCTGCCTCACCTCGAGAAGCATCCCTTTTGCCCTGCCAAGGCTCGAAAAGATTCCTGAGGTGTCCCTCATTACTAGACAGGAGTCATGACGTCACTGAATAAACACGTGTTTTCAAGGGCCAAGCCCGCCATAACTCGAGAACATACCCCACGTACCGCCGCGACTCGAGAAAAACCATGAGACTTCCCCTAGATGCGATATGAGGCATGATTCCCTGCAGTCCATGCAGAGCATTCCCGTGATCCGAATCAAGCAAGTCAGCAGCTTCGAATTGCTTAATGGATCTCGAGAGAGTCCCCAGGAACACTGTCACAAGTCTAGACAGACCCTGACATCACCCCAGCAAAGCAAAGCAGGTCCAAGTACCCCACATCACCTCGAGTTGAGGCCCGATTCCCATGCATTGACTCCAGAGCCATCCCCCGTACCCCATTAAACACCACCAGTGGCTTGACTTCCTTCAGGCAACTACAGAGATGCCCCGAGAACACTGTCCCAAGTCTAGAGGAATACGAACTTCAGCACAGCAACTCGAGGAATGCTCGGTGTACCCCAAATCGTTTCGAGGTGAGAGCTGATTCCATGGCTTAGGCTCAAGACGTATGCCAACTTTCCAGAAGCACCTCAAGCGGAGGATTCTCTCAGCAATAGGTATGTTGGAGGGACCCCCACTTTGCTGCCTCAAATGGAATATACAGCGAGAAGCCCTAACTTGAAAGGAGGCCGGATTTCCTTGCAGTGTCTTGAATACAGGCTCGTCTTTCATCTCACAACCGGAAGGGATGTCTGAATCCCCTGTGGAGAACTTAGAGAAAGCCCTAGGTCCCTGCCTCATTTTGACGGATTGCCTCACATCCCGTTGACACCTCGAGAGGCACGCGGAGTTCACTGCTTCAAAAGGTGATGATGCCTGACTCGTCTTGAATATTGATAGGAATCCCAAAATCCCTGTGGCTATTTGAAAGGTTCCTTGGGTGTCCTGCCTCACCTCGAGAAGCATCCCTTGTGCCTGCCAAGCCTCGAAGAGATTCCTGAGCTGTCCCTCGTTACTGGACAGGAGTCCTGACGTCACTGAATAAACAGGAGGTTTTAAGGGCCATCCCCGCTGTAAACCGAGTACATACCCCAGGTCCCCGCCGCAAGTCGAGAAAAACCATGAGACTTTCCCCTAGTGGCGAGATGAGGCCCGATTCTCCTGCAGTGCATGCAGAGCAATTCCGTGATCCCCATCAAACAAGTCAGGACCTTCAACTTGCTTAATGGATCTCGAGACAGTCCCCAAGAATACGGTCACATGTCTAGACGGATCCTGAGGTCACCCCATCAACGCAAAGCAGCACCATGTGCCCCACATCAACTCGAGATAATGCCCGATTCCCCTGCATTGACTCCAGAGCCATCCCCCGTTCCACATTAAACACCACCAGTGGCTTGACTTCCTTCAGACAACTCCAGAGATGCCCTGAGAACACTGTCCCAAGTCTAGAGGAACACCATCTTCAGCACAGCAACTCGAGGAATGCTCCGTGTACCCCAAATCGTCTCGAGATGAGAGCTGATTCCCTGGCTTAGGCTCAAGACGTATGCCAACTTTCCAGAAGCACCTCAAGGGGAGGCTTCTCTCAGCAATAGGTATGTTGGAGGGACCCCCAGTTTGCTGCCTCAAGTGGAATATGCAGCGAGAAGCCCTAACTTGAAAGGAGGCCGGGTTTCCTTGCAGTGTCTTGAATACAGGCTCGTCTTTCATCTCACAACGGGAAGGAATGTCTGAATCCCCTGTGGAGACCTTAGCGAAAGCCCTAGGTCCCTGCCTCATTTTGACGGATTGCCTCACATCCCGTTGACACCTCGAGAGGCACCCGGAGTTCACTGCTTCAAATGTGATGATGCCTGACTCCTCCTGAACATTGATAGGAATCCCAAAATCACTGTGGCTACTGGAAAGGGTTCTTGTGTGCCCTGCCTCACCTCGAGAAGCATCCCTTTTGCCCTGCCAAGGCTCGAAAAGATTCCTGAGGTGTCCCTCATTACTAGACAGGAGTCATGACGTCACTGAATAAACACGTGTTTTCAAGGGCCAAGCCCGCCATAACTCGAGAACATACCCCACGTACCGCCGCGACTCGAGAAAAACCATGAGACTTCCCCTAGATGCGATATGAGGCATGATTCCCTGCAGTCCATGCAGAGCATTCCCGTGATCCGAATCAAGCAAGTCAGCAGCTTCGAATTGCTTAATGGATCTCGAGAGAGTCCCCAGGAACACTGTCACAAGTCTAGACAGACCCTGACATCACCCCAGCAAAGCAAAGCAGGTCCAAGTACCCCACATCACCTCGAGTTGAGGCCCGATTCCCATGCATTGACTCCAGAGCCATCCCCCGTACCCCATTAAACACCACCAGTGGCTTGACTTCCTTCAGGCAACTACAGAGATGCCCCGAGAACACTGTCCCAAGTCTAGAGGAATACGAACTTCAGCACAGCAACTCGAGGAATGCTCGGTGTACCCCAAATCGTTTCGAGGTGAGAGCTGATTCCATGGCTTAGGCTCAAGACGTATGCCAGCTTTCCAGAAGCACCTCAAGCGGAGGATTCTCTCAGCAATAGGTATGTTGGAGGGACCCCCACTTTGCTGCCTCAAGTGGAATATACAGCGAGAAGCCCTAACTTGAAAGGAGGCCGGATTTCCTCGCAGTGTCTTGAATACAGGCTCGTCTTTCATCTCACAACCGGAAGGGATGTCTGAATCCCCTGTGTAGAACTTAGAGAAAGCCCTAGGTCCCTGCCTCATTTTGACGGATTGCCTCACATCCCGTTGACACCTCGAGAGGCACGCGGAGTTCACTGCTTCAAAAGGTGATGATGCCTGACTCGTCTTGAATATTGATAGGAATCCCAAAATCCCTGTGGCTATTTGAAAGGTTCCTTGGGTGTCCTGCCTCACCTCGAGAAGCGTCCCTTGTGCCTGCCAAGCCTCGAAGAGATTCCTGAGCTGTCCCTCGTTACTGGACAGGAGTCCTGACGTCACTGAATAAACAGGAGTTTTTAAGGGCCATCCCCGCTGTAACCCGAGTACATACCCCAGGTCCCCGCCGCAAGTCGAGAAAAACCATGAGACTTTCCCCTAGTGGCGAGATGAGGCCCGATTCTCATGCAGTGCATGCAGAGCAATTCTGAGATCCCCATCAAACAAGTCAGGACCTTCGACTTGCTTAATGGATCTCGAGACAGTCCCCAAGAATACTGTCACATGTCTAGACGGATCCTGAGGTCACCCCATCAACGCAAAGCAGCACCATGTGCCCCACATCGACTCGAGATCATGCCCGATTCCCCTGCATTGACTCCAGAGCCATCCCCCGTTCCACATTAAACACCACCAGTGGCTTGACTTCCTTCAGACAACTCCAGAGATGCCCTAGGAACACTGTCCCAAGTCTAGAGGAACACCATCTTCAGCACAGCAACTCGAGGAATGCTCCGTGTACCCCAAATCGTCTCGAGATGAGAGCTGATTCCCTGGCTTAGGCTCAAGACGTATGCCAACTTTCCAGAAGCACCTCAAGGGGAGGCTTCGCTCAGCAATGGGTATGTTGGAGGGACCCCCAGTTTGCTGCCTCAAGTGGAATATGCAGCGAGAAGCCCTAACTTGAAAGGAGGCCGGGTTTCCTTGCAGTGTCTTGAATACAGGCTCGTCTTTCATCTCACAACGGGAAGGAATGTCTGAATCCCCTGTGGAGACCTTAGCGAAAGCCCTAGGTCCCTGCCTCATTTTGACGGATTGCCTCACATCCCGTTGACACCTCGAGAGGCACCCGGAGTTCACTGCTTCAAATGTGACGATGCCTGACTCCTCCTGAACATTGATAGGAATCCCAAAATCACTGTGGCTACAGGAAAGGGTTCTTGTGTGCCCTGCATCACCTCGAGAAGCATCCCTTTTGCCCTGCCAAGGCTCGAAAAGGTTCCTGAGGTGTCCCTCATTACTAGACAGGAGTCATGACGTCACTGAATAAACACGTGTTTTCAAGGGCCAAGCCCGCCATAACTCGAGAACATACCCCACGTACCGCCGCGACTCGAGAAAAACCATGAGACTTCCCCTAGATGCGATATGAGGCCTGATTCCCTGCAGTCCATGCAGAGCATTCCCGTGATCCCAATCAAGCAAGTCAGCAGCTTCGAATTGCTTAATGGATCTCGAGAGAGTCCCCAGGAACACTGTCACAAGTCTAGACAGACCCTGACATCACCCCAGCAAAGCAAAGCAGGTCCAGGTACCCCACATCACCTCGAGTTGAGGCCCGATTCCCATGCATTGACTCCAGAGCCATCCCCCGTAACCCATTAAACACCACCAGTGGCTTGACTTCCTTCAGGCAACTCCAGAGATGCCCCGAGAACACTGTCCCAAGTCTAGAGGAATACGAACTTCAGCACAGCAACTCGAGGAATGCTCCGTGTACCCCAAATCGTTTCGAGGTGAGAGCTGATTCCATGGCTTAGGCTCAAGACGTATGCCAACTTTCCAGAAGCCCCTGAAGAGGAGGCTTCTCTCAGCAATAAGTATGTGGGAGGGACCCCGAATTTGCTGCCTCAAGTGGAATATACAGCGAGAAGCCCTAACTTGAAAGGAGGCCGGATTTCCTTGCAGTGGCTTGAATACAGGCTCGTCTTTCATCTCACAGCATGAAGGGATGTCTGAATCCCCTGTGGAGACCTTAGAGAAAGCTCTAGGTCCCTGCCTCATTTTGACGGAATGCCTCACATCCCGTTGACACTTCGAGAGGCACGCGGAATTCACTGCTTCAAAAGGTGATGATGCCTGACTCGTCTTGAATATTGATAGGAATCCCAAAATCCCTGTGGCTATTTGAAAGGTTCCTTGGGTGTCCTGCCTCACCTCGAGAAGCGTCCCTTGTGCCTGCCAAGCCTCGAAGAGATTCCTGAGCTGTCCCTCGTTACTGGACAGGAGTCCTGACGTCACTGAATAAACAGGAGTTTTTAAGGGCCATCCCCGCTGTAACCCGAGTACATACCCCAGGTCCCCGCCGCAAGTCGAGAAAAACCATGAGACTTTCCCCTAGTGGCGAGATGAGGCCCGATTCACCTGCAGTGCATGCAGAGCAATTCCGTGATCCCCATCAAACAAGTCAGGACCTTCGACTTGCTTAATGGATCTCGAGACAGTCCCCAAGAATACTGTCAAATGTCTAGACGGATCCTGAGGTCACCCCATCAACGCAAAGCAGCACCATGTGCCCCACATCAACTCGAGATAATGCCCGATTCCCCTGCATTGACTCCAGAGCCATCCCCCGTTCCACATTAAACACCACCAGTGGCTTGACTTCCTTCAGACAACTCCAGAGATGCCCTGAGAACACTGTCCCAAGTCTAGAGGAACACCATCTTCAGCACAGCAACTCGAGGAATGCTCCGTGTACCCCAAATCGTCTCGAGATGAGAGCTGATTCCCTCCCTTAGGCTCAAGACGTATGCCAACTTTCCAGAAGCACCTCAAGGGGAGGCTTCTCTCAGCAATAGGTATGTTGGAGGGACCCCAAGTTTGCTGCCTCAAGTGGAATATGCAGCGAGAAGCCCTAACTTGAAAGGAGGCCGGGTTTCCTTGCAGTGTCTTGAATACAGGCTCGTCTTTCATCTCACAACGGGAAGGAATGTCTGAATCCCCTGTGGAGACCTTAGCGAAAGCCCTAGGTCCCTGCCTCATTTTGACGGATTGCCTCACATCCCGTTGACACCTCGAGAGGCACCCGGAGTTCACTGCTTCAAATGTGACGATGCCTGACTCCTCCTGAACATTGATAGGAATCCCAAAATCACTGTGGCTACAGGAAAGGGTTCTTGTGTGCCCTGCCTCACCTCGAGAAGCATCCCTTTTGCCCTGCCAAGGCTCGAAAAGTTTCCTGAGTTGTCCCTCATTACTAGACAGGAGTCATGACGTCACTGAATAAACACGTGTTTTCAAGGGCCAAGCCCGCCATAACTCGAGAACATACCCCACGTACCGCCGCGACTCGAGAAAAACCAGGAGACTTCCCCTAGATGCGATATGAGGCCTGATTCCCTGCAGTCCATGCAGAGCATTCCCGTGATCCCAATCAAGCAAGTCAGCAGCTTCGAATTGCTTAATGGATCTCGAGAGAGTCCCCAGGAACACTGTCACAAGTCTAGACAGACCCTGACATCACCCCAGCAAAGCAAAGCAGGTCCAAGTACCCCACATCACCTCGAGTTGAGGCCCGATTCCCATGCATTGACTCCAGAGCCATCCCCCGTACCCCATTAAACACCACCAGTGGCTTGACTTCCTTCAGGAAACTCCAGAGATGCCCCGAGAACACTGTCCCAAGTCTAGAGGAATACGAACTTCAGCACAGCAACTCGAGGAATGCTCCGTGTACCCCAAATCGTTTCGAGGTGAGAGCTGATTCCATGGCTTAGGCTCAAGACGTATGCCAACTTTCCAGAAGCCCCTCAAGAGGAGGCTTCTGACAGCAATAGGTATGTGGGAGGGACCCCGAATTTGCTGCCTCAAGTGGAATATACAGCGAGAAGCCCTAACTTTAAAGGAGGCCGGATTTCCTTGCAGTGGCTTGAATACAGGCTCGTCTTTCATCTCACAGCATGAAGGGATGTCTGAATCCCCTGTGGAGACCTTAAAGAAAGCTCTAGGTCCCTGCCTCATTTTGACGGAATACCTCACATCCCGTTGACACCTCGAGAGGCACACGGAGTTCACTGCTTCAAATGTGACGATGCCTGACTCCTCCTGAACATTGATAGGAATCCCAAAATCACTGTGGCTACAGGAAAGGGTTCTTGTGTGCCCTGCCTCACCTCGAGAAGCATCCCTTTTGCCCTGCCAAGGCTCGAAAAGATTCCTGAGGTGTCCCTCATTACTAGACAGGAGTCATGACGTCACTGAATAAACACGTGTTTTCAAGGGCCAAGCCCGCCATAACTCGAGAACATACCCCACGTACCGCCGCGACTCGAGAAAAACCAGGAGACTTCCCCTAGATGCGATATGAGGCCTGATTCCCTGCAGTCCATGCAGAGCATTCCCATGATCCCAATCAAGCAAGTCAGCAGCTTCGAATTGCTTAATGGATCTCGAGAGAGTCCCCAGGAACACTGTCACAAGTCTAGACAGACCCTGACATCACCCCAGCAAAGCAAAGCAGGTCCAAGTACCCCACATTACCTCGAGTTGAGGCCCGATTCCCATGCATTGACTCCAGAGCCATCCCCCGTACCCCATTAAACACCACCAGTGGCTTGACTTCCTTCAGGCAACTCCAGAGATGCCCCGAGAACACTGTCCCAAGTCTAGAGGAATACGAACTTCAGCACAGCAACTCGAGGAATGCTCGGTGTACCCCAAATCGTTTCGAGGTGAGAGCTGATTCCATGGCTTAGGCTCAAGACGTATGCCAACTTTCCAGAAGCACCTCAAGCGGAGGATTCTCTCAGCAATAGATATGTTGGAGGGACCCCCACTTTGCTGCCTCAAGTGGAATATACAGCAAGAAGCCCTAACTCGAAAGGAGGCTGGATTTCCTTGCAGTGTCTTGAATACAGGCTCGTCTTTCATCTCACAACCGGAAGGGATGTCTGAATCCCCTGTGTAGAACTTAGAGAAAGCCCTAGGTCCCTGCCTCATTTTGACGGATTGCCTCACATCCCGTTGACACCTCGAAAGGCACGCGGAGTTCACTGCTTCAAAAGGTGATGATGCCTGACTCGTCTTGAATATTGATAGGAATCCCAAAATCCCTGTGGCTATTTGAAAGGTTCCTTGGGTGTCCTGCCTCACCTCGAGAAGCGTCCCTTGTGCCTGCCAAGCCTCGAAGAAATTCCTGAGCTGTCCCTCGTTACTGGATAGGAGTCCTGATGTCACTGAATAAACAGGAGTTTTTAAGGGCCATCCCCGCTGTAAACCGAGTACATACCCCAGGTCCCCGCCGCAAGTCGAGAAAAACCATGAGACTTTCCCCTAGTGGCGAGATGAGGCCCGATTCTCCTGCAGTGCATGCAGAGCAATTCCGTGATCCCCATCAAACAAGTCAGGACCTTCGACTTGCTTAATGGATCTCGAGACAGTCCCCAAGAATACGGTCACATGTCTAGACGGATCCTGAGGTCACCCCATCAACGCAAAGCAGCACCATGTGCCCCACATCAACTCGAGATAATGCCCGATTCCCCTGCATTGACTCCAGAGCCATCCCCCGTTCCACATTAAACACCACCAGTGGCTTGACTTCCTTCAGACAACTCCAGAGATGCCCTGAGAACACTGTCCCAAGTCTAGAGGAACACCATCTTCAGCACAGCAACTCGAGGAATGCTCCGTGTACCCCAAATCGTCTCGAGATGAGAGCTGATTCCCTGGCTTAGGCTCAAGACGTATGCCAACTTTCCAGAAGCACCTCAAGGGGAGGCTTCTCTCAGCAATAGGTATGTTGGAGGGACCCCCAGTTTGCTGCCTCAAGTGGAATATGCAGCGAGAAGCCCTAACTTGAAAGGAGTCCGGGTTTCCTTGCAGTGTCTTGAATACAGGCTCGTCTTTCATCTCACAACGGGAAGGAATGTCTGAATCCCCTGTGGAGACCTTAGCGAAAGCCCTAGGTCCCTGCCTCATTTTGACGGATTGCCTCACATCCCGTTGACACCTCGAGAGGCACCCGGAGTTCACTGCTTCAAATGTGATGATGCCTGACTCCTCCTGAACATTGATAGGAATCCCACAATCACTGTGGCTACTGGAAAGGGTTCTTGTGTGCCCTGCCTCACCTCGAGAAGCATCCCTTTTGCCCTGCCAAGGCTCGAAAAGATTCCTGAGTTGTCCCTCATTACTAGACAGGAGTCATGACGTCACTGAATAAACACGTGTTTTCAAGGGCCAAGCCCGCCATAACTCGAGAACATACCCCACGTACCGCCGCGACTCGAGAAAAACCATGAGACTTCCCCTAGATGCGATATGAGGCATGATTCCCTGCAGTCCATGCAGAGCATTCCCGTGATCCCAATCAAGCAAGTCAGCAGCTTCGAATTGCTTAATGGATCTCGAGAGAGTCCCCAGGAACACTGTCACAAGTCTAGACAGACCCTGACATCACCCCAGCAAAGCAAAGCAGGTCCAAGTACCCCACATCACCTCGAGTTGAGGCCCGATTCCCATGCATTGACTCCAGAGCCATCCCCCGTACCCCATTAAACACCACCAGTGGCTTGACTTCCTTCAGGCAACTACAGAGATGCCCCGAGAACACTGTCCCAAGTCTAGAGGAATACGAACTTCAGCACAGCAACTCGAGGAATGCTCGGTGTACCCCAAATCGTTTCGAGGTGAGAGCTGATTCCATGGCTTAGGCTCAAGACGTATGCCAACTTTCCAGAAGCACCTCAAGCAGAGGATTCTCTCAGCAATAGATATGTTGGAGGGACCCCCACTTTGCTGCCTCAAGTGGAATATACAGCGAGAAGCCCTAACTTGAAAGGAGGCCGGATTTCCTTGCAGTGTCTTGAATACAGGCTCGTCTTTCATCTCACAACCGGAAGGGATGTCTGAATCCCCTGTGTAGAACTTACAGAAAGCCCTAGGTCCCTGCCTCATTTTGACGGATTGCCTCACATCCCGTTGACACCTCGAGAGGCACGCGGAGTTCACTGCTTCAAAAGGTGATGATGCCTGACTCGTCTTGAATATTGATAGGAATCCCAAAATCCCTGTGGCTATTTGAATGGTTCCTTGGGTGTCCTGCCTCACCTCGAGAAGCGTCCCTTGTGCCTGCCAAGCCTGGAAGAGATTCCTGAGCTGTCCCTCGTTACTGGACAGGAGTCCTGACGTCACTGAATAAACAGGAGTTTTTAAGGGCCATCCCCGCTGTAACCCGAGTACATACCCCAGGTCCCCGCCGCAAGTCGAGAAAAACCATGAGACTTTCCCCTAGTGGCGAGATGAGGCCCGATTCTCATGCAGTGCATGCAGAGCAATTCTGAGATCCCCATCAAACAAGTCAGGACCTTCGACTTGCTTAATGGATCTCGAGACAGTCCCCAAGAATACTGTCACATGTCTAGACGGATCCTGAGGTCACCCCATCAACGCAAAGCAGCACCATGTGCCCCACATCGACTCGAGATCATGCCCGATTCCCCTGCATTGACTCCAGAGCCATCCCCCGTTCCACATTAAACACCACCAGTGGCTTGACTTCCTTCAGACAACTCCAGAGATGCCCTAGGAACACTGTCCCAAGTCTAGAGGAACACCATCTTCAGCACAGCAACTCGAGGAATGCTCCGTGTACCCCAAATCGTCTCGAGATGAGAGCTGATTCCCTGGCTTAGGCTCAAGACGTATGCCAACTTTCCAGAAGCACCTCAAGGGGAGGCTTCTCTCAGCAATAATTATGTTGGAGGGACCCCCAGTTTGCTGCCTCAAGTGGAATATGCAGCGAGAAGCCCTAACTTGAAAGGAGGCCGGGTTTCCTTGCAGTGTCTTGAATACAGGCTCGTCTTTCATCTCACAACGGGAAGGAATGTCTGAATCCCCTGTGGAGACCTTAGCGAAAGCCCTAGGTCCCTGCCTCATTTTGACGGATTGCCTCACATCCCGTTGACACCTCGAGAGGCACCCGGAGTTCACTGCTTCAAATGTGACGATGCCTGACTCCTCCTGAACATTGATAGGAATCCCAAAATCACTGTGGCTACAGGAAAGGGTTCTTGTGTGCCCTGCATCACCTCGAGAAGCATCCCTTTTGCCCTGCCAAGGCTCGAAAAGGTTCCTGAGGTGTCCCTCATTACTAGACAGGAGTCATGACGTCACTGAATAAACACGTGTTTTCAAGGGCCAAGCCCGCCATAACTCGAGAACATACCCCACGTACCGCCGCGACTCGAGAAAAACCAGGAGACTTCCCCTAGATGCGATATGAGGCCTGATTCCCTGCAGTCCATGCAGAGCATTCCCGTGATCCCAATCAAGCAAGTCAGCAGCTTCGAATTGCTTAATGGATCTCGAGAGAGTCCCCAGGAACACTGTCACAAGTCTAGACAGACCCTGACATCACCCCAGCAAAGCAAAGCAGGTCCAAGTACCCCACATCACCTCGAGTTGAGGCCCGATTCCCATGCATTGACTCCAGAGCCATCCCCCGTACCCCATTAAACACCACCAGTGGCTTGGCTTCCTTCAGGCAACTCCAGAGATGCCCCGAGAACACTGTCCCAAGTCTAGAGGAATACGAACTTCAGCACAGCAACTCGAGGAATGCTCGGTGTACCCCAAATCGTTTCGAGGTGAGAGCTGATTCCATGGATTAGGCTCAAGACGTATGCCAACTTTCCAGAAGCACCTCAAGCGGAGGATTCTCTCAGCAATAGATATGTTGGAGGGACCCCCACTTTGCTGCCTCAAGTGGAATATACAGCAAGAAGCACTAACTTGAAAGGAGGCCGGATTTCCTTGCAGTGTCTTGAATACAGGCTCGTCTTTCATCTCACAACCGGAAGGGATGTCTGAATCCCCTGTGTAGAACTTAGAGAAAGCCCTAGGTCCCTGCCTCATTTTGACGGATTGCCTCACATCCCGTTGACACCTCGAGAGGCACGCGGAGTTCACTGCTTCAAAAGGTGATGATGCCTGATTCGTCTTGAATATTGATAGGAATCCCAAAATCCCTGTGGCTATTTGAATGGTTCCTTGGGTGTCCTGCCTCACCTCGAGAAGCGTCCCTTGTGCCTGCCAAGCCTGGAAGAGATTCCTGAGCTGTCCCTCGTTACTGGACAGGAGTCCTGACGTCACTGAATAAACAGGAGTTTTTAAGGGCCATCCCCGCTGTAACCCGAGTACATACCCCAGGTCCCCGCCGCAAGTCGAGAAAAACCATGAGACTTTCCCCTAGTGGCGAGATGAGGCCCGATTCTCATGCAGTGCATGCAGAGCAATTCTGAGATCCCCATCAAACAAGTCAGGACCTTCGACTTGCTTAATGGATCTCGAGACAGTCCCCAAGAATACTGTCACATGTCTAGACGGATCCTGAGGTCACCTCATCAACGCAAAGCAGCACCATGTGCCCCACATCGACTCGAGATCATGCCCGATTCCCCTGCATTGACTCCAGAGCCATCCCCCGTTCCACATTAAACACCACCAGTGGCTTGACTTCCTTCAGACAACTCCAGAGATGCCCTAGGAACACTGTCCCAAGTCTAGAGGAACACCATCTTCAGCACAGCAACTCGAGGAATGCTCCGTGTACCCCAAATCGTCTCGAGATGAGAGCTGATTCCCTGGCTTAGGCTCAAGACGTATGCCAACTTTCCAGAAGCACCTCAAGGGGAGGCTTCTCTCAGCAATAGGTATGTTGGAGGGACCCCCAGTTTGCTGCCTCAAGTGGAATATGCAGCGAGAAGACCTAACTTGAAAGGAGGCCGGGTTTCCTTGCAGTGTCTTGAATACAGGCTCGTCTTTCATCTCACAACGGGAAGGAATGTCTGAATCCCCTGTGGAGACCTTAGCGAAAGCCCTAGGTCCCTGCCTCATTTTGACGGATTGCCTCACATCCCGTTGACACCTCGAGAGGCACCCGGAGTTCACTGCTTCAAATGTGACGATGCCTGACTCCTCCTGAACATTGATAGGAATCCCAAAATCACTGTGGCTACAGGAAAGGGTTCTTGTGTGCCCTGCATCACCTCGAGAAGCATCCCTTTTGCCCTGCCAAGGCTCGAAAAGGTTCCTGAGGTGTCCCTCATTACTAGACAGGAGTCATGACGTCACTGAATAAACACGTGTTTTCAAGGGCCAAGCCCGCCATAACTCGAGAACATACCCCACGTACCGCCGCGACTCGAGAAAAACCAGGAGACTTCCCCTAGATGCGATATGAGGCCTGATTCCCTGCAGTCCATGCAGAGCATTCCCGTGATCCCAATCAAGCAAGTCAGCAGCTTCGAATTGCTTAATGGATCTCGAGAGAGTCCCCAGGAACACTGTCACAAGTCTAGACAGACCCTGACATCACCCCAGCAAAGCAAAGCAGGTCCAAGTACCCCACATCACCTCGAGTTGAGGCCCGATTCCCATGCATTGACTCCAGAGCCATCCCCCGTACCCCATTAAACACCACCAGTGGCTTGGCTTCCTTCAGGCAACTCCAGAGATGCCCCGAGAACACTGTCCCAAGTCTAGAGGAATACGAACTTCAGCACAGCAACTCGAGGAATGCTCGGTGTACCCCAAATCGTTTCGAGGTGAGAGCTGATTCCATGGATTAGGCTCAAGACGTATGCCAACTTTCCAGAAGCACCTCAAGCGGAGGATTCTCTCAGCAATAGATATGTTGGAGGGACCCCCACTTTGCTGCCTCAAGTGGAATATACAGCAAGAAGCACTAACTTGAAAGGAGGCCGGATTTCCTTGCAGTGTCTTGAATACAGGCTCGTCTTTCATCTCACAACCGGAAGGGATGTCTGAATCCCCTGTGTAGAACTTAGAGAAAGCCCTAGGTCCCTGCCTCATTTTGACGGATTGCCTCACATCCCGTTGACACCTCGAAAGGCACGCGGAGTTCACTGCTTCAAAAGGTGATGATGCCTGACTCGTCTTGAATATTGATAGGAATCCCAAAATCCCTGTGGCTATTTGAAAGGTTCCTTGGGTGTCCTGCCTCACCTCGAGAAGCATCCCTTGTGCCTGCCAAGCCTCGAAGAGATTCCTGAGCTGTCCCTCGTTACTGGACAGGAGTCCTGACGTCACTGAATAAACAGGAGTTTTTAAGGGCCATCCCCGCTGTAAACCGAGTACATACCCCAGGTCCCCGCCGCAAGTCGAGAAAAACCATGAGACTTTCCCCTAGTGGCGAGATGAGGCCCGATTCTCCTGCAGTGCATGCAGAGCAATTCCGTGATCCCCATCAAACAAGTCAGGACCTTCAACTTGCTTAATGGATCTCGAGACAGTCCCCAAGAATACGGTCACATGTCTAGACGGATCCTGAGGTCACCCCATCAACGCAAAGCAGCACCATGTGCCCCACATCAACTCGAGATAATGCCCGATTCCCCTGCATTGACTCCAGAGCCATCCCCCGTTCCACATTAAACACCACCAGTGGCTTGACTTCCTTCAGACAACTCCAGAGATGCCCTGAGAACACTGTCCCAAGTCTAGAGGAACACCATCTTCAGCACAGCAACTCGAGGAATGCTCCGTGTACCCCAAATCGTCTCGAGATGAGAGCTGATTCCCTGGCTTAGGCTCAAGACGTATGCCAACTTTCCAGAAGCACCTCAAGGGGAGGCTTCTCTCAGCAATAGGTATGTTGGAGGGACCCGCAGTTTGCTGCCTCAAGTGGAATATGCAGCGAGAAGCCCTAACTTGAAAGGAGGCCGGGTTTCCTTGTAGTGTCTTGAATACAGGCTCGTCTTTCATCTCACAACGGGAAGGAATGTCTGAATCCCCTGTGGAGACCTTAGCGAAAGCCCTAGGTCCCTGCCTCATTTTGACGGATTGCCTCACATCCCGTTGACACCTCGAGAGGCACCCGGAGTTCACTGCTTCAAATGTGATGATGCCTGACTCCTCCTGAACATTGATAGGAATCCCAAAATCACTGTGGCTACTGGAAAGGGTTCTTGTGTGCCCTGCCTCACCTCGAGAAGCATCCCTTTTGCCCTGCCAAGGCTCGAAAAGATTCCTGAGGTGTCCCTCATTACTAGACAGGAGTCATGACGTCACTGAATAAACACGTGTTTTCAAGGGCCAAGCCCGCCATAACTCGAGAACATACCCCACGTACCGCCGCGACTCGAGAAAAACCATGAGACTTCCCCTAGATGCGATATGAGGCATGATTCCCTGCAGTCCATGCAGAGCATTCCCGTGATCCGAATCAAGCAAGTCAGCAGCTTCGAATTGCTTAATGGATCTCGAGAGAGTCCCCAGGAACACTGTCACAAGTCTAGACAGACCCTGACATCACCCCAGCAAAGCAAAGCAGGTCCAAGTACCCCACATCACCTCGAGTTGAGGCCCGATTCCCATGCATTGACTCCAGAGCCATCCCCCGTACCCCATTAAACACCACCAGTGGCTTGACTTCCTTCAGGCAACTACAGAGATGCCCCGAGAACACTGTCCCAAGTCTAGAGGAATACGAACTTCAGCACAGCAACTCGAGGAATGCTCGGTGTACCCCAAATCGTTTCGAGGTGAGAGCTGATTCCATGGCTTAGGCTCAAGACGTATGCCAACTTTCCAGAAGCACCTCAAGCGGAGGATTCTCTCAGCAATAGGTATGTTGGAGGGACCCCCACTTTGCTGCCTCAAGTGGAATATACAGCGAGAAGCCCTAACTTGAAAGGAGGCCGGATTTCCTTGCAGTGTCTTGAATACAGGCTCGTCTTTCATCTCACAACCGGAAGGGATGTCTGAATCCCCTGTGTAGAACTTAGAGAAAGCCCTAGGTCCCTGCCTCATTTTGACGGATTGCCTCACATCCCGTTGACACCTCGAGAGGCACGCGGAGTTCACTGCTTCAAAAGGTGATGATGCCTGACTCGTCTTGAATATTGATAGGAATCCCAAAATCCCTGTGGCTATTTGAAAGGTTCCTTGGGTGTCCTGCCTCACCTCGAGAAGCATCCCTTGTGCCTGCCAAGCCTCGAAGAGATTCCTGAGCTGTCCCTCGTTACTGGACAGGAGTCCTGACGTCACTGAATAAACAGGAGTTTTTAAGGGCCATCCCCGCTGTAAACCGAGTACATACCCCAGGTCCCCGCCGCAAGTCGAGAAAAACCATGAGACTTTCCCCTAGTGGCGAGATGAGGCCCGATTCTCCTGCAGTGCATGCAGAGCAATTCCGTGATCCCCATCAAACAAGTCAGGACCTTCAACTTGCTTAATGGATCTCGAGACAGTCCCCAAGAATACGGTCACATGTCTAGACGGATCCTGAGGTCACCCCATCAACGCAAAGCAGCACCATGTGCCCCACATCAACTCGAGATAATGCCCGATTCCCCTGCATTGACTCCAGAGCCATCCCCCGTTCCACATTAAACACCACCAGTGGCTTGACTTCCTTCAGACAACTCCAGAGATGCCCTGAGAACACTGTCCCAAGTCTAGAGGAACACCATCTTCAGCACAGCAACTCGAGGAATGCTCCGTGTACCCCAAATCGTCTCGAGATGAGAGCTGATTCCCTGGCTTAGGCTCAAGACGTATGCCAACTTTCCAGAAGCACCTCAAGGGGAGGCTTCTCTCAGCAATAGGTATGTTGGAGGGACCCCCAGTTTGCTGCCTCAAGTGGAATATGCAGCGAGAAGCCCTAACTTGAAAGGAGGCCGGGTTTCCTTGCAGTGTCTTGAATACAGGCTCGTCTTTCATCTCACAACGGGAAGGAATGTCTGAATCCCCTGTGGAGACCTTAGCGAAAGCCCTAGGTCCCTGCCTCATTTTGACGGATTGCCTCACATCCCGTTGACACCTCGAGAGGCACCCGGAGTTCACTGCTTCAAATGTGATGATGCCTGACTCCTCCTGAACATTGATAGGAATCCCAAAATCACTGTGGCTACTGGAAAGGGTTCTTGTGTGCCCTGCCTCACCTCGAGAAGCATCCCTTTTGCCCTGCCAAGGCTCGAAAAGATTCCTGAGGTGTCCCTCATTACTAGACAGGAGTCATGACGTCACTGAATAAACACGTGTTTTCAAGGGCCAAGCCCGCCATAACTCGAGAACATACCCCACGTACCGCCGCGACTCGAGAAAAACCATGAGACTTCCCCTAGATGCGATATGAGGCATGATTCCCTGCAGTCCATGCAGAGCATTCCCGTGATCCGAATCAAGCAAGTCAGCAGCTTCGAATTGCTTAATGGATCTCGAGAGAGTCCCCAGGAACACTGTCACAAGTCTAGACAGACCCTGACATCACCCCAGCAAAGCAAAGCAGGTCCAAGTACCCCACATCACCTCGAGTTGAGGCCCGATTCCCATGCATTGACTCCAGAGCCATCCCCCGTACCCCATTAAACACCACCAGTGGCTTGACTTCCTTCAGGCAACTACAGAGATGCCCCGAGAACACTGTCCCAAGTCTAGAGGAATACGAACTTCAGCACAGCAACTCGAGGAATGTTCGGTGTACCCCAAATCGTTTCGAGGTGAGAGCTGATTCCATGGCTTAGGCTCAAGACGTATGCCAGCTTTCCAGAAGCACCTCAAGCGGAGGATTCTCTCAGCAATAGGTATGTTGGAGGGACCCCCACTTTGCTGCCTCAAGTGGAATATACAGCGAGAAGTCCTAACTTGAAAGGAGGCCGGATTTCCTCGCAGTGTCTTGAATACAGGCTCGTCTTTCATCTCACAACCGGAAGGGATGTCTGAATCCCCTGTGTAGAACTTAGAGAAAGCCCTAGGTCCCTGCCTCATTTTGACGGATTGCCTCACATCCCGTTGACACCTCGAGAGGCACGCGGAGTTCACTGCTTCAAAAGGTGATGATGCCTGACTCGTCTTGAATATTGATAGGAATCCCAAAATCCCTGTGGCTATTTGAAAGGTTCCTTGGGTGTCCTGCCTCACCTCGAGAAGCGTCCCTTGTGCCTGCCAAGCCTCGAAGAGATTCCTGAGCTGTCCCTCGTTACTGGACAGGAGTCCTGACGTCACTGAATAAACAGGAGTTTTTAAGGGCCATCCCCGCTGTAACCCGAGTACATACCCCAGGTCCCCGCCGCAAGTCGAGAAAAACCATGAGACTTTCCCCTAGTGGCGAGATGAGGCCCGATTCTCATGCAGTGCATGCAGAGCAATTCTGAGATCCCCATCAAACAAGTCAGGACCTTCGACTTGCTTAATGGATCTCGAGACAGTCCCCAAGAATACTGTCACATGTCTAGACGGATCCTGAGGTCACCCCATCAACGCAAAGCAGCACCATGTGCCCCACATCGACTCGAGATCATGCCCGATTCCCCTGCATTGACTCCAGAGCCATCCCCCGTTCCACATTAAACACCACCAGTGGCTTGACTTCCTTCAGACAACTCCAGAGATGCCCTAGGAACACTGTCCCAAGTCTAGAGGAACACCATCTTCAGCACAGCAACTCGAGGAATGCTCCGTGTACCCCAAATCGTCTCGAGATGAGAGCTGATTCCCTGGCTTAGGCTCAAGACGTATGCCAACTTTCCAGAAGCACCTCAAGGGGAGGCTTCTCTCAGCAATGGGTATGTTGGAGGGACCCCCAGTTTGCTGCCTCAAGTGGAATATGCAGCGAGAAGCCCTAACTTGAAAGGAGGCCGGGTTTCCTTGCAGTGTCTTGAATACAGGCTCGTCTTTCATCTCACAACGGGAAGGAATGTCTGAATCCCCTGTGGAGACCTTAGCGAAAGCCCTAGGTCCCTGCCTCATTTTGACGGATTGCCTCACATCCCGTTGACACCTCGAGAGGCACCCGGAGTTCACTGCTTCAAATGTGACGATGCCTGACTCCTCCTGAACATTGATAGGAATCCCAAAATCACTGTGGCTACAGGAAAGGGTTCTTGTGTGCCCTGCATCACCTCGAGAAGCATCCCTTTTGCCCTGCCAAGGCTCGAAAAGGTTCCTGAGGTGTCCCTCATTACTAGACAGGAGTCATGACGTCACTGAATAAACACGTGTTTTCAAGGGCCAAGCCCGCCATAACTCGAGAACATACCCCACGTACCGCCGCGACTCGAGAAAAACCATGAGACTTCCCCTAGATGCGATATGAGGCCTGATTCCCTGCAGTCCATGCAGAGCATTCCCGTGATCCCAATCAAGCAAGTCAGCAGCTTCGAATTGCTTAATGGATCTCGAGATTGTCCCCAGGAACACTGTCACAAGTCTAGACAGACCCTGACATCACCCCAGCAAAGCAAAGCAGGTCCAGGTACCCCACATCACCTCGAGTTGAGGCCCGATTCCCATGCATTGACTCCAGAGCCATCCCCCGTACCCCATTAAACACCACCAGTGGCTTGACTTCCTTCAGGCAACTCCAGAGATGCCCCGAGAACACTGTCCCAAGTCTAGAGGAATACGAACTTCAGCACAGCAACTCGAGGAATGCTCCGTGTACCCCAAATCGTTTCGAGGTGAGAGCTGATTCCATGGCTTAGGCTCAAGACGTATGCCAACTTTCCAGAAGCCCCTGAAGAGGAGGCTTCTCTCAGCAATAAGTATGTGGGAGGGACCCCGAATTTGCTGCCTCAAGTGGAATATACAGCGAGAAGCCCTAACTTGAAAGGAGGCCGGATTTCCTTGCAGTGGCTTGAATACAGGCTCGTCTTTCATCTCACAGCATGAAGGGATGTCTGAATCCCCTGTGGAGACCTTAGAGAAAGCTCTAGGTCCCTGCCTCATTTTGACGGAATGCCTCACATCCCGTTGACACTTCGAGAGGCACGCGGAATTCACTGCTTCAAAAGGTGATGATGCCTGACTCGTCTTGAATATTGATAGGAATCCCAAAATCCCTGTGGCTATTTGAAAGGTTCCTTGGGTGTCCTGCCTCTCCTCGAGAAGTGTCCCTTTTGCCTGCCAAGCCTCGAAGAGATTCCTGAGCTGTCCCTCGTTACTGGACAGGAGTCCTGACGTCACTGAATAAACAGGAGTTTTTAAGGGCCATCCCCGCTGTAACCCGAGTACATACCCCAGGTCCCCGCCGCAAGTCGAGAAAAACCATGAGACTTTCCCCTAGTGGCGAGATGTGGCCCGATTCTCATGCAGTGCATGCAGAGCAATTCCGTGATCCCCATCAAACAAGTCAGGACCTTCGACTTGCTTAATGGATCTCGAGACAGTCCCCAAGAATACTGTCACATGTCTAGACGGATCCTGAGGTCACCCCATCAACGCAAAGCAGCACCATGTGCCCCACATCAACTCGAGATAATGCCCGATTCCCCTGCATTGACTCCAGAGCCATCCCCCGTTCCACATTAAACACCACCAGTGGCTTGACTTCCTTCAGACAACTCCAGAGATGCCCTGAGAACACTGTCCCAAGTCTAGAGGAACACCATCTTCAGCACAGCAACTCGAGGAATGCTCCGTGTACCCCAAATCGTCTGGAGATGAGAGCTGATTCCCTGGCTTAGGCTCAAGACGTATGCCAACTTTCCAGAAGCACCTCAAGGGGAGGCTTCGCTCAGCAATAGTTATGTTGGAGGGACCCCCAGTTTGCTGCCTCAAGTGGAATATGCAACGAGAAGCCCTACCTTGAAAGGAGGCCGGGTTTCCTTGCAGTGTCTTGAATACAGGCTCGTCTTTCATCTCACAACCGGAAGGATTGTCTGAATCCCCTGTGGAGACCTTAGCGAAAGCCCTAGGTCCCTGCCTCATTTTGACGAATTGCCTCACATCCCGTTGACACCTCGGGAGGCACACGGAGTTCACTGCTTCAAATGTGACGATGCCTTACCCCTCCTGATCATTGATAGGAATCCCAAAATCACTGTGGCTACAGGAAAGGGTTCTTGTGTGCCCTGCCTCACCTCGAGAAGCATCCCTTTGCCCTGCCAAGGCTCGAAGAGATTCCTGAGGTGTCCCTCATTACTAGACAGGAGTCATGACGTCACTGAATAAACACGTGTTTTCAAGGGCCATGCCCGCCATAACTCGAGAACATACCCCAGGTCCCGCCGCAACTCGAGAAAAACCATGAGACTTCCCCTAGATGCGAGATGAGGCCTGATTCCCTGCAGTCCATGCAGAGCATTCCCGTGATCCCAATCAAGCAAGTCAGCAGCTTCGAATTTCTTAATGGATCTCGAGATTGTCCCCAGGAACACTGTCACAAGTCTAGACAGACCCTGACATCACCCCAGCAACGCAAAGCAGCACCAAGTACCCCATATCAACTCGCGTTGAGGCCCGATTCCCATGCATTGACTCCAGAGCCATCCCCCGTACCCCATTAAACACCACCAGTGGCTTGACTTCCTTCAGGCAAATCCAGAGATGCCCCGAGAACACTGTCCCAAGTCTAGAGGAATACGAACTTCAGCACAGCAACTCGAGGAATGCTCCGTGTACCACAAATCGTTTCGAGGTGAGAGCTGATTCCATGGCTTAGGCTCAAGACGTATGCCAACTTTCCAGAAGCCCCTCAAGAGGAGGATTCTCTCAGCAATAGGTATGTTGGAGGGACCCCCACTTTGCTGCCTCAAGTGGAATATACAGCGAGAAGCCCTAACTTGAAAGGAGGCCGGATTTCCTTGCAGTGTCTTGAATACAGGCTCGTCTTTCATCTCACAACCGGAAGGGAGGTCTGAATCCCCTGTGGAGAACTTAGAGAAAGCCCTAGGTCCCTGCCTCATTTTGACGGATTGCCTCACATCCCGTTGACAACTCGAGAGGCACGCGGAGTTCACTGCTTCAAAAGGTGATGATGCCTGACTCGTCTTGAATATTGATAGGAATCCCAAAATCCCTGTGGCTATTTGAAAGGTTCCTTGGGTGTCCTGCCTCACCTCGAGAAGCGTCCCTTGTGCCTGCCAAGCCTCGAAGAGATTCCTGAGCTGTCCCTCGTTACTGGACAGGAGTCCTGACGTCACTGAATAAACAGGAGTTTTTAAGGGCCATCTCCGCTGTAACCCGAGTACATACCCCAGGTCCCCGCCGCAAGTCGAGAAAAACCATGAGAATTTCCCCTAGTGGCGAGATGTGGCCCGATTCTCATGCAGTGCATGCAGAGCAATTCCGTGATCCCCATCAAACAAGTCAGGACCTTCGACTTGCTTAATGGATCTCGAGACAGTCCCCAAGAATACTGTCACATGTCTAGACGGATCCTGAGGTCACCCCATCAACGCAAAGCATCACCATGTGCCCCACATCAACTCGAGATAATGCCCGATTCCCCTGCATTGACTCCAGAGCCATCCCCCGTTCCACATTAAACACCACCAGTGGCTTGACTTCCTTCAGACAACTCCAGAGATGCCCTGAGAACACTGTCCCAAGTCTAGAGGAACACCATCTTCAGCACAGCAACTCGAGGAATGCTCCGTGTACCCCAAATCGTCTCGAGATGAGAGCTGATTCCCTGGCTTAGGCTCAAGACGTATGCCAACTTTCCAGAAGCACCTCAAGGGGAGGCTTCTCTCAGCAATAGGTATGTTGGAGGGACCCCCAGTTTGCTGCCTCAAGTGGAATATGCAGCGAGAAGCCCTAACTTGAAAGGAGGCCGGGTTTCCTTGCAGTGTCTTGAATACAGGCTCGTCTTTCATCTCACAACGGGAAGGAATGTCTGAATCCCCTGTGGAGACCTTAGCGAAAGCCCTAGGTCCCTGCCTCATTTTGACGGATTGCCTCACATCCCGTTGACACCTCGAGAGGCACCCGGAGTTCACTGCTTCAAATGTGATGATGCCTGACTCCTCCTGAACATTGATAGGAATCCCAAAATCACTGTGGCTACAGGAAAGGGTTCTTGTGTGCCCTGCATCACCTCGAGAAGCATCCCTTTTGCCCTGCCAAGGCTCGAAAAGATTCCTGAGGTGTCCCTCATTACTAGACAGGAGTCAAGACGTCACTGAATAAACACGTGTTTTCAAGGGCCAAGCCCGCCATAACTCGAGAACATACCCCACGTACCGCCGCGACTCGAGAAAAACCATGAGACTTCCCCTAGATGCGATATGAGGCCTGATTCCCTGCAGTCCATGCAGAGCATTCCCGTGATCCCAATCAAGCAAGTCAGCAGCTTCGAATTGCTTAATGGATCTCGAGAGAGTCCCCAGGAACACTGTCACAAGTCTAGACAGACCCTGACATCACCCCAGCAAAGCAATGCAGGTCCAGGTACCCCACATCACCTCGAGTTGAGGCCCGATTCCCATGCATTGACTCCAGAGCCATCCCCCGTACCCCATTAAACACCACCAGTGGCTTGACTTCCTTCAGGCAACTCTAGAGATGCCCCGAGAACACTGTCCCAAGTCTAGAGGAATACGAACTTCAGCACAGCAACTCGAGGAATGCTCCGTGTACCCCAAATCGTTTCGAGGTGAGAGCTGATTCCATGGCTTAGGCTCAAGACGTATGCCAACTTTCCAGAAGCCCCTCAAGAGGAGGCTTCTCTCAGCAATAAGTATGTGGGAGGGACCCCGAATTTGCTGCCTCAAGTGGAATATACAGCGAGAAGCCCTAACTTGAAAGGAGGCCGGATTTCCTTGCAGTGGCTTGAATACAGGCTCGTCTTTCATCTCACAGCATGAAGGGATGTCTGAATCCCCTGTGGAGACCTTAGAGAAAGCTCTAGGTCCCTGCCTCATTTTGACGGAATGCCTCACATCCCGTTGACACTTCGAGAGGCACGCGGAATTCACTGCTTCAAAAGGTGATGATGCCTGACTCGTCTTGAATATTGATAGGAATCCCAAAATCCCTGTGGCTATTTGAAAGTTTCCTTGGGTGTCCTGCCTCACTTCGAGAAGCGTCCCTTGTGCCTGCCAAGCCTCGAAGAGATTCCTGAGCTGTCCCTCGTTACTGGACAGGAGTCCTGACGTCACTGAATAAACAGGAGCTTTTAAGGGCCATCCCCGCTGTAACCCGAGTACATACCCCAGGTCCCCGCCGCAAGTCGAGAAAAACCATGAGACTTTCCCCTAGTGGCGAGATGAGGCCCGATTCTCCTGCAGTGCATGCAGAGCAATTCCGTGATCCCCATCAAACAAGTCAGGACCTTCGACTTGCTTAATGGATCTCGAGACAGTCCCCAAAAATACTGTCAAATGTCTAGACGGATCCTGAGGTCACCCCATCAACGCAAAGCAGCACCATGTGCCCCACATCAACTCGATATAATGCCCGATTCCCCTGCATTGACTCCAGAGCCATCCCCCGTTCCACATTAAACACCACCAGTGGCTTGACTTCCTTCAGACAACTCCAGAGATGCCCTGAGAACACTGTCCCAAGTCTAGAGGAACACCATCTTCAGCACAGCAACTCGAGGAATGCTCCGTGTACCCCAAATCGTCTCGAGATGAGAGCTGATTCCCTGGCTTAGGCTCAAGACGTATGCCAACTTTCCAGAAGCACCTCAAGGGGAGGCTTCTCTCATCAATAGGTATGTTGGAGGGTCCCCCAGTTTGCTGCCTCAAGTGGAATATGCAGCGAGAAGCCCTAACTTGAAAGGAGGCCGGGTTTCCTTGCAGTGTCTTGAATACAGGCTCGTCTTTCATCTCACAACGGGAAGGAATGTCTGAATCCCCTGTGGAGACCTTAGCGAAAGCCCTAGGTCCCTGCCTCATTTTGACGGATTGCCTCACATCCCGTTGACACCTCGAGAGGCACACGGAGTTCACTGCTTCAAATGTGACGATGCCTGACTCCTCCTGAACATTGATAGGAATCCCAAAATCACTGTGGCTACAGGAAAGGGTTCTTGTGTGCCCTGCCTCACCTCGAGAAGCATCCCTTTTGCCCTGCCGAGGCTCGAAAAGATTCCTGAGGTGTCCCTCATTACTAGACAGGTGTCATGACGTCACTGAATAAACACGTGTTTTCAAGGGCCAAGCCCGCCATAACTCGAGAACATACCCCACGTACCGCCGCGACTCGAGAAAAACCATGAGACTTCCCCTAGATGCGATATGAGGCCTGATTCCCTGCAGTCCATGCAGAGCATTCCCGTGATCCCAATCAAGCAAGTCAGCAGCTTCGAATTGCTTAATGGATCTCGAGAGAGTCCCCAGGAACACTGTCACAAGTCTAGACAGACCCTGACATCACCCCAGCAAAGCAAAGCAGGTCCAAGTACCCCACATCACCTCGAGTTGAGGCCCGATTCCCATGCATTGATTCCAGAGCCATCCCCCGTACCCCATTAAACACCACCAGTGGCTTGACTTCCTTCAGGCAACTCCAGAGATGCCCCGAGAACACTGTCCCAAGTCTAGAGGAATACGAACTTCAGCACAGCAACTCGAGGAATGCTCCGCGTACCCCAAATCGTTTCGAGGTGAGAGCTGATTCCCTGGCTTAGGCTCAAGACGTATGCCAACTTTCCAGAAGCCCCTCAAGAGGAGGCTTCTCTCAGCAATAGGTATGTGGGAGGGACCCCGAATTTGCTGCGTCAAGTGGAATATACAGCGAGAAGCCCTAACTTGAAAGGAGGCCGGATTTCCTTGCAGTGTCTTGAATACAGGCTCGTCTTTCATCTCACAACCGGAAGGGATGTCTGAATCCCCTGTGTAGAATTTAGAGAAAGCCTTAGGTCCCTGCCTCATTTTGACGGATTGCCTCACATCCCGTTGACACCTCGAGAGGCACGCGGAGTTCACTGCTTCAAAAGGTGATGATGCCTGACTCGTCTTGAATATTGATAGGAATCCCAAAATCCCTGTGGCTATTTGAAAGGTTCCTTGGGTGTCCTGCCTCTCCTCGAGAAGTGTCCCTTTTGCCTGCCAAGCCTCGAAGAGATTCCTGAGCTGTCCCTCGTTACTGGACAGGAGTCCTGACGTCACTGAATAAACAGGAGTTTTTAAGGGCCATCCCCGCTGTAACCCGAGTACATACCCCAGGTCCCCGCCGCAAGTCGAGAAAAACCATGAGACTTTCCCCTAGTGGCGAGATGAGGCCCGATTCTCCTGCAGTGCATGCAGAGCAATTCTGTGATCCCCATCAAACAAGTCAGGACCTTCGACTTGCTTAATGGATCTCGAGACAGTCCCCAAGAATACTGTCACATGTCTAGACGGATCCTGAGGTCACCCCATCAACGCAAAGCAGCACCATGTGCCCCACATCAACTCGAGATAATGCCCGATTCCCATGCATTGACTCCAGAGCCATCACCCGTACCCTATTAAACACCACCAGTGGCTTGACTTCCTTCAGGCAACTCCAGAGATGCCCCGAGAACACAGTCCCAATTCTAGAGGAATACGAAGTTCAGCACAGCAACTCGAGGAATGCTCCGTGTACCCCAAATCGTTTCGAGGTGAGAGCTGATTCCATGGCTTAGGCTCAAGACGTATGCCAACTTTCCAGAAGCCCCTCAAGCGGAGGATTCTCTCAGCAATAGGTATGTGGGAGGGACCCCCACTTTGCTGCCTCAAGTGGAATATACAGAGAGAAGCCCTAACTTGAAAGGAGGCCGGATTTCCTTGCAGTGGCTTGAATACAGGCTCGTCTTTCATCTCACAGCATGAAGGGATGTCGGAATCCCCTGTGGAGACCTTAAAGAAAGCTCTAGGTCCCTGCCTCATTTTGACGGAATGCCTCACATCCCGTTGACACTTCGAGAGGCACGCGGAATTCACTGCTTCAAAAGGTGATGATGCCTGACTCGTCTTGAATATTGATAGGAATCCCAAAATCCCTGTGGCTATTTGAAAGGTTCCTTGGTTGTCCTGCCTCACCTCGAGAAGCGTCCCTTGTGCCTGCCAAGCCTCGAAGAGATTCCTGAGCTGTCCCTCATTACTGGACAGGAGTCCTGACGTCACTGAATAAAAAGGAGTTTTTAAGGGCCATCCCCGCTGTAACCCGAGTACATACCCCTGGTCCCCGCCGCAAGTCGAGAAAAACCATGAGACTTTCCCCTAGTGGCGAGATGAGGCCCGATTCTCCTGCAGTGCATGCAGAGCAATTCCGTGATACCCATCAAACAAGTCAGGAGCTTCGACTTGCTTAATGGATCTCGAGACAGTCCCCAAGAATACTGTCACATGTCTAGACGGATCCTGAGGTCACCCCATCTATGCAAAGCAGCACCATGTGCCCCACATCAACTCAAGATAATGCCCGATTCCCCTGCATTGATTCCAGAGCCATCCCCCGTTCCACATTAAACACCACCAGTGGCTTGACTTCCTTCAGACAACTCCAGAGATGCCCTGAGAACACTTTCCCAAGTCTAGAGGAACACCATATTCAGCACAGCAACTCGAGGAATGCTCCGTGTACCCCAAATCGTCTCGAGATGAGAGCTGATTCCCTGGCTTAGGCTCAAGACGTATGCCAACTTTCCAGAAGCACCTCAAGGGGAGGCTTCTCTCAGCAATAGGTATGTTGGAGGACCCCAGTTTGCTGCCTCAAGTGGAATATGCAGCGAGAAGCCCTAACTTGAAAGGAGGCCGGGTTTCCTTGCAGTGTCTTGAATACAGGCTCGTCTTTCATCTCACAACGGGAAGGAATGTCTGAATCCCCTGTGGAGACCTTAGCGAAAGCCCTAGGTCCCTGCCTCATTTTGACGGATTGCCTCACATCCCGTTGACACCTCGAGAGGCACGCGGAGTTCACTGCTTCAAATGTGACGATGCCTGACTCCTCCTGAACATTGATAGGAATCCCAAAATCACTGTGGCTACAGGAAAGGGTTCTTGTGTGCCCTGCCTCACCTCGAGAAGCATCCCTTTTGCCCTGCCAAGGCTCGAAGAGATTCCTGAGGTGTCCCTCAATAATAGACAGGAGTCATGACGTCACTGAATAAACACGTGTTTTCAGGGGCCAAGCCCGCCATAACTCAAGAACATACCCCACGTACCGCCGCGACTCGAGAAAAACCAGGAGACTTCCCCTAGATGCGATATGAGGCCTGATTCCCTGCAGTCCATGCAGAGCATTCCCGTGATCCCAATCAAGCAAGTCAGCAGCTTCGAATTGCTTAATGGATCTCGAGAGAGTCCCCAGGAACACTGTCACAAGTCTAGACAGACCCTGACATCACCCCAGCAAAGCAAAGCAGGTCCAAGTACCCCACATCACCTCGAGTTGAGGCCCGATTCCCATGCATTGACTCCAGAGCCATCCCCCGTACCCCATTAAACACCACCAGTGGCTTGACTTCCTTCAGGCAACTACAGAGATGCCCCGAGAACACTGTCCCAAGTCTAGAGGAATACGAACTTCAGCACAGCAACTCGAGGAATGCTCGGTGTACCCCAAATCGTTTCGAGGTGAGAGCTGATTCCATGGCTTAGGCTCAAGACGTATGCCAACTTTCCAGAAGCACCTCAAGCGGAGGATTCTCTCAGCAATAGATATGTTGGAGGGACCCCCACTTTGCTGCCTCAAGTGGAATATACAGCAAGAAGCCCTAACTTGAAAGGAGGCCGGATTTCCTTGCAGTGTCTTGAATACAGGCTCGTCTTTCATCTCACAACCGGAAGGGATGTCTGAATCCCCTGTGTAGAACTTAGAGAAAGCCCTAGGTCCCTGCCTCATTTTGTCGGATTGCCTCACATCCCGTTGACACCTCGAAAGGCACGCGGAGTTCACTGCTCCAAAAGGTGATGATGCCTGACTCGTCTTGAATATTGATAGGAATCCCAAAATCCCTGTGGCTATTTGAAAGGTTCCTTGGGTGTCCTGCCTCACCTCGAGAAGCGTCCCTTGTGCCTGCCAAGCCTCGAAGAGATTCCTGAGCTGTCCCTCGTTACTGGACAGGAGTCCTGACGTCACTGAATAAACAGGAGTTTTTAAGGGCCATCCCCGCTGTAACTCGAGTACATACCCCAGGTCCCCGCCGCAAGTCGAGAAAAACCATGAGACTTTCCCCTAGTGGCGAGATGAGGCCCGATTCTCCTGCTGTGCATGCAGAGCAATTCCGTGATCCCCATCAAACAAGTCAGGACCTTCGACTTGCTTAATGGATCTCGAGACAGTCCCCAGGAATACGGTCACATGTCTAGATGGATCCTGAGGTCACCCCATCAACGCAAAGCAGCACCATGTGCCCCACATCAACTCGAGATAATGCCCGATTCCCCTGCATTGACTCCAGAGCCATCCCCCGTTCCACATTAAACACCACCAGTGGCTTGACTTCCTTCAGACAACTCCAGAGATGCCCTGAGAACACTGTCCCAAGTCTAGAGGAACACCATCTTCAGCACAGCAACTCGAGGAATGCTCCGTGTACCCCAAATCGTCTCGATATGAGAGCTGATTCCCTGGCTTAGGCTCAAGACGTATGCCAACTTTCCAGAAGCACCTCAAGTGGAGGCTTCTCTCAGCAATAGGTATGTGGGAGGGACCCCCAGTTTGCTGCCTCAAGTGGAATATGCAGCGAGAAGCCCTAACTTGAAAGGAGGCCGGGTTTCCTTGCAGTGTCTTGAATACAGGCTCGTCTTTCATCTCACAACGGGAAGGAATGTCTGAATCCCCTGTGGAGACCTTAGCGAAAGCCCTAGGTCCCTGCCTCATTTTGACGGATTGCCTCACATCCCGTTGACACCTCGAGAGGCACCCGGAGTTCACTGCTTCAAATGTGACGATGCCTGACTCCTCCTGAACATTGATAGGAATCCCAAAATCACTGTGGCTACAGGAAAGGGTTCTTGTGTGCCCTGCCTCACCTCGAGAAGCATCCCTTTTGCCCTGCCAAGGCTCGAAAAGATTCCTGAGGTGTCCCTCATTACTAGACAGGAGTCATGACGTCACTGAATAAACACGTGTTTTCAAGGGCCATGCCCGCCATAACTCGAGAACATACCCCACGTACCGCCGAGACTCGAGAAAAACCATGAGACTTCCCCTAGATGCGATATGAGGCCTGATTCCCTGCAGTCCATGCAGAGCATTCCCGTGATCCCAATCAAGCAAGTCAGCAGCTTCGAATTGCTTAATGGATCTCGAGAGAGTCCCCAGGAACACTGTCACAAGTCTAGACAGACCCTGACATCACCCCAGCAAAGCAAAGCAGGTCCAAGTACCCCACATCACCTCGAGTTGAGGCCCGATTCCCATGCATTGACTACAGAGCCATCCCCCGTTCCACATTAAACACGACCAGTAGCTTGACTTCCTTCAGGCAACTACAGAGACGCCCTGAGAACACTGTCCCAAGTCTAGAGAAACACCATCTTCAGCACAGCAACTCGAGGAATGCTCCGTGTACCCCAAATCGTCTCGAGATGAGAGCTGATTCCCTGGCTTAGGCTCAAGACGTATGCCCACTTTCCAGAAGCACCTCAAGGGGAGACATCTCTCAGCAATAGGTATGTTGGAGGGACCCCCAGTTTGCTGCCTCAAGAGGAATATACAGCGAAAAGCCCTAACTTGAAAGGAGGCCGGGTTTCCTTGCAGTGTCTTGAATACAGGCTCGTCTTTCATCTCACAACCGGAAGGAATGTCTGAATCCTCTGTGGAGACCTTAGAGAAAGCCCTAGGTCCCTGCCTCATTTTGAAGGAATGTCTCACATCCCGTTGACACCTCGAGAGGCACACGGAGTTCACTGCTTCAAAATGTGATGATGCCTGACTCCTCTTGAACATTGATAGGAATCCCTAAATCACTGTAGCTAGAGGACAGGGTTCTTGGGTGCCCTGCCTCACCTCGAGAAGCATCCCTTTTGCCTGCCAAGCCTCGAAGAGATTCCTGAGGTGTCTCTCGTTACTAGACAGGAGTCCTGACGTCACTGAATAAACACATGTTTTGAAGGGCCATCCCCGCCATAACTCAAGAACATACCCCAGGTCCCGCCGCAACTCGAGAAAAACCATGAGACTTCCCCTAGATGCGATATGAGGCCTGATTCCCTGCAGTCCATGCAGAGCATTCCCATGATCCCCATCAAGCAAGTCAGGAGCTTCGACTTCCTTAATCGAACTCGAGAAAGTCCCCAGGAACACTGTCACAAGACTAGACAGACCCTGAGGTCACCCCAGCAATGTAAAGCAGCTCCAAGTACCCCACATCAACTCGCGATGAGGCCCGATTCCCCTGCATTGACTCCAGAGCCATCCCCCGTACCACATTAAACACCACCAGTGGCTTGACTTCCTTCAGGCAACTCCAGAGATGCCCTGAGAACACTGTCCCAAGTCTAGAGGAATACGAACTTCAGCACAGCAACTCGAGGAATGCTCTGTGTACCCCAAATCGTTTCGAGGTGAGAGCTGATTCCATGGCTTAGGCTCAAGACGTATGCCAACTTTCCAGAAGCACCTCAAGAGGAGGCTTCTCTCAGCAGTAGGTATGTGGGAGGGACCCCGAGTTTGCTGCCTCAAGTGGAATATACAGTGAGAAGCCCTAACTTGAAAGGAGGACGGATTTCCTTGCAGTGGCTTGAGTACAGGCTCGTCTTTCATCTCACAGCATGAAGGGATGTCTGAAACCCCTGTGGAGACCTTAGAGAAAGCTCTAGGTCCCTGCCTCATTTTGAGGGAATGCCTCACATCCCGTTGTCACCTCGAGAGGCACGCGGAGTTCACTGCTTCAAAAGGTGACGATGCCTGACTCGTCTTGAATATTGATAGGAATCAAAAAATCACTGTGGCTACTGGAAAGGGTCCTTGGGTGCCCTGCCTCACCTCGAGAAACATACCTTTTGACCTGCCAAGCCTCGAAGAGATTCCTGAGGTTTCCCTTGTTACTAGACAGGAGTCCTGACAGCACTGAATAAACACGTGTTTTGAAGGGCCATCCCCGCCGTAACTCGAGAAGATACCCCAGGTCCCCAGCGCAACTTGAGAGAAACCATGAGACTTCCCCCAAGATGCGAGATGAGTCCTGATTCCCTGCAGTGCATGCAGGGTATTCCCGTGATCCCCATCAAACAAGTCAGGAGCTTCGACTTGCTTAATGGATCTCGAGACAGTCCCCAAGAACACTGTCACAAGTCTAGACGGACCCTGAGGTCACCCCAGCAACGTAAAGCAGCTCCATGTTCCCCAAATCAACCCGAAATGTGGCCCGATTCCCCTGCATTGACCCCAGAGCCATCCCCAGTTCCCCATTAAACAAGACCACTGGCTTGACTTCCTTCAGGCAACTCCAGAGATGCCCTGAGAACACTGTCCCAAGACTAGAGGAACACCAACTTCAGCACAGCAACTCGAGGAATGCTCCGTGTACCACAAATCGTTTCGAGGTGAGAGCTGATTCCCAGGCTTAGGCTCAAAACGTATACCAACTTTCCAGAAGCACCTCAAGAGGAGGCTTCTCTCAGCAATCGGTATGTGGGAGGGAACCCGAGTTTGCTGCCTCAAGTGGAATATACAGTGAGAAGCCCTAACTTGAAAGGAGGCCGGATTTCCTGGCAGTGTGTTGAATACAGGCTCGTCTTTCATCTCACAACAGGGAGGGATGTCTGAATCCCCTGTGGAGACCTTAGAGAAAGCCCTAGGACCCTGCCTCATTTTGACGGAATGTCTCACATCCCGTTGACACCTTGAGAGGCACACGGAGTTCACTGCTTCAAAATGTGACGATGCCTGACTCCTCCTGAACATTGATAGGAATCCCAAAATCACTGTAGCTACAGGACAGAGTTCTTGGGTGCCCTGCCTCACCTCGAGAAGCATCCCTTTTGCCCTGCCAAGCCTCGAAGAGATTCCTGAGGTGTCTCTCGTTACTAGACAGGAGTCCTGACGTCACTGAATAAACACGTGTTTTGAAGGGCCATCCCCGCCGTAACTCGAGAACATACCCCAGTTCGCGCCGCAACTCGAGTAAAACCATGAGACTTCCCCTAGAGGCGAGATGAGGCCTGATTCCCTGCAGTCCATGAAGAGCATTCCCGTGATCCCTATCAAGCAAGTCAGGAGCTTCGACTTGCTTAATTGATCTCGAGAAAGTCCCTAGGAACACTGTCACAAGTCTAGACAGACCCTGAGGTCACCCCAGCAATGCAAAGCAGCTGCAAGTACCCCACATCAACTCGAGATGAGGCCCGATTCCCATGCATTGACTCCAGAGCCATCCCCAGTTCCCCATTAAACAAGACCACTGGCTTGTCTTCCTTCAGACAACTCCAGAGATGCCCCGAGAACAGTGTCCCAAGACTAGAGGAACACCAACTTCAGCACAGCAACTCAAGGAATGCCCCGTGTACCACAAATCGTCTCGAGATGAGAGCTGATTCCCTGGCTTAGGCTCAAGACGTATGCCAACTTTCCAGAAGCACCTCAAGAGGAGGCTTCTCTCAGCAATAGGTATGTTCGTGGGACCCCGAGTTTGCTGCCTAAAGTGTAATATACAGCGAGAAGCCCTAACTTGAATGGAGGCCAGATTTCCTTGCAGTGTCTTGTATACAGGCTCGTCTTTCATCTCACAACAGGAAGGGATGTCTGAATCCCCTGTGAAGACCTTTAAGAAAGCCCTAGGTCCCTGCCTCATTGTGACGGAATGCCTCACATCCCGTTGACACCACGAGAGGCACGCGGAGTTCACTGCTTCAAAAGGTGACGATGCCTGACTCCTCTTGAATATTGATAGGAATCCCAAAATCCCTGTGGCTATTGGAAAGGTTCCTTGGGTGCCCTGCCTCATCTCGAGAAGCGTCCCTTGTGCCCCGGCAAGCCTCGAAGAGATTCCTGAGCTGTCCCTCGTTACCGGACAGGAGTCCTGACGTCACTGAATAAACACGTGTTTTGAAGGGCCATCGCCGCCGTAACTCGAGTATATACCCCAGGTCCCCGCCGCAACTCGAGAAAAACCATGAGACTTCCGCCTAGAGGCGAGATGAGGCCCGATTCTCCTGCAGTGCATGCAGAGCAATTCCGTGATCCCCATCAAACAAGTCAGGAGCTTCGACTTGCTTAATGGATCTCGAGACATTCCCCAAGAACACTGTCACATGTCTAGGCTGATCCTGAGGTATCCCCAGCAACGCAAAGCAGCTCCATGTGCCCCAAATCAACTTGAGATGAGGTCCGATTCTCCTGAATTGACTCCAGAGCCATCTGCCGTTCCGCATTAAACAACACCAGTGGCTTGACCTCCTTCAGACAACTCCAGAGATGCCCTGAGAACACTGTCCCAAGTCTAGAGGAACACCTACTTTAGCACAGCAACTCGAGGAATGCTTCCTGTATGCCAAATCTTCTCGAGTTGAGAGCTGATTCCCTGGCTTAGGCTCAAGACGTATGCCAACTTTCCAGAAGCACCTCAAGAGGAGGCTTCTCTCAGCAATAGGTATGTGGGAGGGAACCCGAGTTTGCTGCCTCAAATGGAATATACAGCGAGAAGCACTAACTAGAATGGAGCCCGGTTTCCTAGCAGTGTCTTGAATACAGGCTCGTCTTTCATCTCACAGCAGGAAGAGATGTCTGAATCCCCTGTGGAGACCTTAGAGAAAGCCCTAGGTCCCTGCCTCATTTTGACGGAATGCATCACATCCCGTTGACACCTCGAGAGTCACGCGGAGTTCACTGCTTCAAAAGCTGACGATGCCTGACTCCTCCTGAACATTGATAGGAATCCCAAAATCACTGTAGCTACAGGACAGGGTTCTTGGATGCCCTGCCTCACCTCGAGAAGCATCCCTTTTGCCCTGCCAAGCCTCGAAGAGATTCCTGAGCTGTCCCTCGTTACTGGACAGGAGTCCTGACGTCACTGAATAAACACGAGTTTTTAAGGGCCATCCCCGCCTTAACCCGAGTACATACCCCAGGTCCCCGCCGCAAGTCAAGAAAAACCATGAGACTTTCCCCTAGTGGCGAGATGAGGCCCGATTATCCTGCAGTGCATGCAGAGCAATTCCATGATCCCCATCAAACAAGTCAGGACCTTCGACTTGCTTAATGGATCTCGAGACAGTCCCCAAGAATACTATCACATGTCTAGTTAGATCCTGAGGTCACCCCATCAACACAAAGCAGCACCATGTGCCCCACATCAACTCGAGATAATGCCCGATTCCCCTGCATTGACTCCAGAGCCATCCCCCGTTCCAGATTAAACAACACCAGTGGCTTGACTTCCTTCAGACAACTCCAGAGATGCCCTGAGAACACTGTCCCAATTCTAGAGGAACACCATCTTCAGCACAGCAACTCGAGGAATGCTCCGTGTACCCCAAATCGTCTCGAGATGAGAGCTGATTCCCTGGCTTATGCTCAAGACGTATGCCAACTTTCCAGAAGCACCTCAAGGGGATTCTTCGCTCAGCAATAGTTATGTTGGAGGGACCCCCAGTTTGCTGCCTCAAGTGGAATATGCAACGAGAAGCCCTAACTTGAAAGGAGGCCGGATTTCCTTGCAGTGTCTTGAATACAGGCTCGTCTTTCATCTCACAACCGGAAGGATTGTCTGAATCCCCTGTGGAGACCTTAGCAAAAGCCCTAGGTTCCTGCCTCATTTTGACAGATTGCCTCACATCCCGTTGACACCTCGGGAGGCACACGGAGTTCACTGCTTCAAATGTGACGATGCCTTACCCCTGCTGATCATTGATAGGAATCCCAAAATCACTGTGGCTACAGGAAAGGGTTCTTGTGTGCCCTGCCTCACCTCGACAAGCATCCCTTTTGCCCTGCCAAGGCTCGAAGAGATTCCTGAGGTGTCCCTCATTACTAGACAGGAGTCATGACGTCACTGAATAAACACGTGTTTTCAAGGGCCATGCCCGCCATAACTCGAGAACATACCCCAGGTCCCGCCGCAACTCGAGAAAAACCATGAGACTTCCCCTAGATGCGAGATGAGGCCTGATTCCCTGCAGTCCATGCAGAGCATTCCCGTGATCCGAATCAAGCAAGTCAGCAGCTTACAATTGCTTAATGGATCTCGAGATTGTCCCCAGGAACACTGTCACAAGTCTAGACAGACCCTGACATCACCCCAGCAACGCAAAGCAGCACCAAGTACCCCATATCAACTCGCGTTGAGGCCCGATTCCCATGCATTGACTCCAGAGCCATCCCCCGTACCCCATTAAACACCACCAGTGGCTTGACTTCCTTCAGGCAAATCCAGAGATGCCCCGAGAACACTGTCCCAAGTCTAGAGGAATACGAACTTCAGCACAGCAACTCGAGGAATGCTCTGTGTACCCCAAATCGTTTCGAGGTGAGAGCTGATTCCATGGCTTAGGCTCAAGACGTATGCCAACATTCCAGAAGCCCCTCAAGAGGAGGATTCTCTCAGCAATAGGTATGTTGGAGGGACCCCCACTTTGCTGCCTCAAGTGGAATATACAGCGAGAAGCCCTAACTTGAAAGGAGGCCGGATTTCCTTGCAGTGTCTTGAATACAGGCTCGTCTTTCATCTCACAACCGGAAGGGATGTCTGAATCCCCTGTGGAGAACTTAGAGAAAGCCCTAGGTCCCTGCCTCATTTTGACGGATTGCCTCACATCCCGTTGACAACTCGAGAGGCACGCGGAGTTCACTGCTTCAAAAGGTGATGATGCCTGACTCGTCTTGAATATTGATAGGAATCCCAAAATCCCTGTGGCTATTTGAAAGGTTCCTTGGGTGTCCTGCCTCACCTCGAGAAGCGTCCCTTGTGCCTGCCAAGCCTCGAAGAGATTCCTGAGCTGTCCCTCGTTACTGGACAGGAGTCCTTACGTCACTGAATAAACAGGAGTTTTTAAGGGCCATCTCCGCTGTAACCCGAGTACATACCCCAGGTCCCCGCCGCAAGTAGAGAAAAACCAGGAGACTTTCCCCTAGTGGCGAGATGAGGCCCGATTCTCATGCAGTGCATGCAGAGCAATTCTGTGATCCCCATCAAACAAGTCAGGACCTTCGACTTGCTTAATGGATCTCGAGACAGTCCCCAAGAATACTGTCACATGTCTAGACGGATCCTGAGGTCACCCCATCAACGCAAAGCAGCACCATGTGCCCCACATCAACTCGAGATAATGCCCGATTCCCCTGCATTGACTCCAGAGCCATCCCCCGTTCCACATTAAACACCACCAGTGGCTTGACTTCCTTCAGACAACTCCAGAGATGCCCTGAGAACACTGTCCCAAGTCTGGAGGAACACCATCTTCAGCACAGCAACTCGAGGAATGCTCCGTGTACCCCAAATCGTCTGGAGATGAGAGCTGATTCCCAGGCTTAGGCTCAAGACGTATGCCAACTTTCCAGAAGCACCCCAAGGGGAGGCTTCGCTCAGCAATAGTTATGTTGGAGGGACCCCCAGTTTGCTGCCTCAAGTGGAATATGCAACGAGAAGCCCTAACTTGAAAGGAGGCCGGGTTTCCTTGCAGTGTCTTGAATACAGGCTCGTCTTTCATCTCACAACCGGAAGGATTGTCTGAATCCCCTGTGGAGACCTTAGCGAAAGCCCTAGGTCCCTGCCTCATTTTGACGGATTGCCTCACATCCCGTTGACACCTCGGGAGGCACACGGAGTTCACTGCTTCAAATGTGACGATGCCTGACCCCTCCTGATCATTGATAGGAATCCCAAAATCACTGTGGCTACAGGAAAGGGTTCTTGTGTGCCCTGCCTCACCTCGAGAAGCATCCCTTTTGCCCTGCCAAGGCTCGAAGAGATTCCTGAGGTGTCCCTCATTACTAGACAGGAGTCATGACGTCACTGAATAAACACGTTTTTTCAAGGGCCATGCCCGCCATAACTCGAGAACATACCCCAGGTCCCGCCGCAACTCGAGAAAAACCATGAGACTTCCCCTAGATGCGAGATGAGGCCTGATTCCCTGCAGTCCATGCAGAGCATTCCCGTGATCCCAATCAAGCAAGTCAGCAGCTTCGAATTTCTTAATGGATCTCGAGATTGTCCCCAGGAACACTGTCACAAGTCTAGACAGACCCTGACATCACCCCAGCAACGCAAAGCAGCACCAAGTACCCCATATCAACTCGCGTTGAGGCCCGATTCCCATGCATTGACTCCAGAGCCATCCCCCGTACCCCATTAAACACCACCAGTGGCTTGACTTCCTTCAGGCAAATCCAGAGATGCCCCGAGAACACTGTCCCAAGTCTAGAGGAATACGAACTTCAGCACAGCAACTCGAGGAATGCTCCGTGTACCACAAATCGTTTCGAGGTGAGAGCTGATTCCATGGCTTAGGCTCAAGACGTATGCCAACTTTCCAGAAGCCCCTCAAGAGGAGGATTCTCTCAGCAATAGGTATGTTGGAGGGACCCCCACTTTGCTGCCTCAAGTGGAATATACAGCGAGAAGCCCTAACTTGAAAGGAGGCCGGATTTCCTTGCAGTGTCTTGAATACAGGCTCGTCTTTCATCTCACAACCGGAAGGGAGGTCTGAATCCCCTGTGGAGAACTTAGAGAAAGCCCTAGGTCCCTGCCTCATTTTGACGGATTGCCTCACATCCCGTTGACAACTCGAGAGGCACGCGGAGTTCACTGCTTCAAAAGGTGATGATGCCTGACTCGTCTTGAATATTGATAGGAATCCCAAAATCCCTGTTTCTATTTGAAAGGTTCCTATGGTGTCCTGCCTCACCTCGAGAAGCGTCCCTTGTGCCTGCCAAGCCTCGAAAAGATTCCTGAGCTGTCCCTCGTTACTGGACAGGAGTCCTGACGTCACTGAATAAACACGTGTTTTGAAGGGCCATCCCCGCCGTAACTCGAGAAGATACCCCAGGTCCCCAGCGCAACTTGAGAGAAACCATGAGACTTCCCCCAAGATGCGAGATGAGTCCTGATTCCCTGCAGTGCATGCAGGGTATTCCCGTGATCCCCATCAAACAAGTCAGGAGCTTCGACTTGCTTAATGGATCTCGAGACAGTCCCCAAGAACACTGTCACAAGTCTAGACGGACCCTGAGGTCACCCCAGCAACGTAAAGCAGCTCCATGTGCCCCAAATCAACCCGAAATGTGGCCCGATTCCCCTGCATTGACTCCAGAGCCATCCCCAGTTCCCCATTAAACAAGACCACTGGCTTGACTTCCTTCAGGCAACTCCAGAGATGCCCCGAGAACACTGTCCCAAGACTAGAGGAACACCAACTTCAGCACAGCAACTCGAGGAATGCTCCGTGTACCACAAATCGTTTCGAGGTGAGAGCTGATTCCCAGGCTTAGGCTCAAGACGTATACCAACTTTCCAGAAGCACCTCAAGAGGAGGCTTCTCTCAGCAATCGGTATGTGGGAGGCAACCCGAGTTTGCTGCCTCAAGTGGAATATACAGTGAGAAGCCCTAACTTGAAAGGAGGCCGGATTTCCTGGCAGTGTGTTGAATACAGGCTCGTCTTTCATCTCACAACAGGAAGGGATGTCTGAATCCCCTGTGGAGACCTTAGAGAAAGCCCTAGGACCCTGCCTCATTTTGACGGAATGTCTCACATCCCGTTGACACCTTGAGAGGCACACGGAGTTCACTGCTTCAAAATGTGACGATGCCTGACTCCTCCTGAACATTGATAGGAATCCCAAAATCACTGTAGCTACAGGACAGGGTTCTTGGGTGCCCTGCCTCACCTCGAGAAGCATCCCTTTTGACCTGCCAAGGCTCGAAGAGATTCCTGAGGTGTCTCTCGTTACTAGACAGGAGTCCTGACGTCACTGAATAAACTCGTGTTTTGAAGGGCCATCCCCGCCGTAACTCGAGAACATACCCCAGTTCGCGCCGCAACTCGAGTAAAACCATGAGACTTCCCCTAGAGGCGAGATGAGGCCTGATTCCCTGCAGTCCATGAAGAGCATTCCCGTGATCCCTATCAAGCAAGTCAGGAGCTTCGACTTGCTTAATTGAACTCGAGAAAGTCCCCAGGAACACTGTCACAAGTCTAGACAGACCCTGAGGTCACCCCAGCAATGCAAAGCAGCTGCAAGTACCCCACATCAACTCGAGATGAGGCCCGATTCCTATGCATTGACTCCAGAGCCATCCCCAGTTCCCCATTAAACAAGACCACTGGCTTGTCTTCCTTCAGACAACTCCAGAGATGCCCGAGAACACTGTCCCAAGACTAGAGGAACACCAACTTCAGCACAGCAACTCAAGGAATGCCCCGTGTACCACAAATCGTCTCGAGATGAGAGCTGATTCCCTGGCTTAGGCTCAAGACGTATGCCAACTTTCCAGAAGCACCTCAAGAGGAGGCTTCTCTCAGCAATAGGTATGTTCGTGGGACCCCGAGTTTGCTGCCTAAAGTGGAATATACAGCGAGAAGCCCTAACTTGAATGGAGGCCGGATTTCCTTGCAGTGACTTGTATACAGGCTCGTCTTTCATCTCACAACAGGAAGGGATGTCTGAATCCCCTGTGAAGACCTTTAAGAAAGCCCTAGGTCCCTGCCTCATTGTGACTGAATGCCTCACATCCCGTTGACACCACGAGAGGCACGCGGAGTTCACTGCGTCAAAAGGTGACGATGCCTGACTCCTCTTGAATATTGATAGGAATCCCAAAATCCCTGTGGCTATTGGAAAGGTTCCTTGGGTGCCCTGCCTCATCTCGAGAAGCGTCCCTTGTGCCCCGGCAAGCCTCGAAGAGATTCCTGAGCTGTCCCTCGTTACTGGACAGGAGTCCTGACGTCACTGAATAAACACGTGTTTTGAAGGGCCATCGCCGCCGTAACTCGAGTATATACCCCAGGTCCCCGCCGCAAGTCGAGAAAAACCATGAGACTTCCGCCTAGAGGCGAGATGAGGCCCGATTCTCCTGCAGTGCATGCAGAGCAATTCCGTGATCCCCATCAAACAAGTCAAGAGCTTCGATTTGCTTAATGGATCTCGAGATATTCCCCAAGAACACTGTCACATGTCTAGACGGACCCTGAGGTATCCCCAGCAACGCAAAGCAGCTCCATGTGCCCCAAATCAACTTGAGATGAGGTCCGATTCCCCTGAATTGACTCCAGAGCCATCTGCCGTTCCGCATTAAACACCACCAGTGGCTTGACCTCCTTCAGACAACTCCAGAGATGCCCCGAGAACACTGTCCCAAGTCTAGAGGAACACCTACTTTAGCACAGCAACTCGAGGAATGCTTCCTGTATGCCAAATCTTCTCGAGTTGAGAGCTGATTCCCTGGCTTATGCTCAAGACGTATGCCAACTTTCCAGAAGCACCTCAAGAGGAGGCTTCTCTCAGCAATAGGTATGTGGGAGGGAACCCGAGTTTGCTGCCTCAAATGGAATATACAGCTAGAAGCACTAACTAGAATGGAGGCCGGTTTCCTAGCAGTGTCTTGAATACAGGCTCGTCTTTCATCTCACAGCAGGAAGAGATGTCTGAATCCCCTGTGGAGACCTTAGAGAAAGCCCTAGGTCCCTGCCTCATTTTGACGGAATGCCTCACATCCCGTTGACACCTCGAGAGTCACGCGGAGTTCACTGCTTCAAAAGCTGACGATGCCTGACTCCTCCTGAACATTGATAGGAATCCCAAAATCACTGTAGCTACAGGACAGGGTTCTTGGGTGCCCTGCCTCACCTCGAGAAGCATCCCTTTTGCCCTGCCAAGCCTCGAAGAGATTCCTGAGCTGCCCCTCGTTACTGGACAGGAGTCCTGACGTCACTGAATAAACACGAGTTTTTAAGGGCCATCCCCGCCGTAACCCGAGTACATACCCCAGGTCCCCGCTGCAAGTCAAGAAAAACCATGAGACTTTCCCCTAGTGGCGAGATGAGGCCCGATTCTCCTGCAGTGCATGCAGAGCAATTCCATGATCCCCATCAAACAAGTCAGGACCTTCGACTTGCTTAATGGATCTCGAGACAGTCCCCAAGAATACTATCACATGTCTAGTTGGATCCTGAGGTCACCCCATCAACGCAAAGCAGCACCATGTGACCCACATCAACTCGAGATAATGCCCGATTCCCCTGCATTGACTCCAGAGCCATCCCCCGTTCCAGATTAAACAACACCAGTGGCTTGACTTCCTACAGACAACTCCAGAGATGCCCTGAGAACACTGTCCCAAGTCTAGAGGAACACCATCTTCAGCACAGCAACTCGAGGAATGCTCCGTGTACCCCAAATCGTCTCGAGATGAGAGCTGATTCCCTGGCTTATGCTCAAGACGTATGCCAACTTTCCAGAAGCACCTCAACGGGAGGCTTCGCTCAGCGATAGTTATGTTGGAGGGACCCCCAGTTTGCTGCCTCAAGTGGAATATGCAACGAGAAGCCCTAACTTGAAAGGAGGCCGGGTTTCCTTGCAGTGTCTTGAATACAGGCTCGTCTTTCATCTCACAACCGGAAGGATTGTCTGAATCCCCTGTGGAGACCTTAGCGAAAGCCCTAGGTCCCTGCCTCATTTTGACGGATTGCCTCACATCCCGTTGACACCTCGGGAGGCACACGGAGTTCACTGCTTCAAATGTGACGATGCCTGACCCCTCCTGATCATTGATAGGAATCCCAAAATCACTGTGGCTACAGGAAAGGGTTCTTATGTGCCCTGCCTCACCTCGAGAAGCATCCCTTTTTCCCTGCCAAGGCTCGAAGAGATTCCTGAGGTGTCCCTCATTACTAGACAGGAGTCATGACGTCACTGAATAAACACGTGTTTTCAAGGGCCAAGCCCGCCATAACTCGAGAACATACCCCACGTACCGCCGCGACTCGAGAAAAACCATGAGACTTCCCCTAGATGCGATATGAGGCATGATTCCCTGCAGTCCATGCAGAGCATTCCCGTGATCCGAATCAAGCAAGTCAGCAGCTTCGAATTGCTTAATGGATCTCGAGAGAGTCCCCAGGAACACTGTCACAAGTCTAGACAGACCCTGACATCACCCCAGCAAAGCAAAGCAGGTCCAAGTACCCCACATCACCTCGAGTTGAGGCCCGATTCCCATGCATTGACTCCAGAGCCATCCCCCGTACCCCATTAAACACCACCAGTGGCTTGACTTCCTTCAGGCAACTACAGAGATGCCCCGAGAACACTGTCCCAAGTCTAGAGGAATACGAACTTCAGCACAGCAACTCGAGGAATGCTCGGTGTACCCCAAATCGTTTCGAGGTGAGAGCTGATTCCATGGCTTAGGCTCAAGACGTATGCCAACTTTCCAGAAGCACCTCAAGCGGAGGATTCTCTCAGCAATAGGTATGTTGGAGGGACCCCCACTTTGCTGCCTCAAATGGAATATACAGCGAGAAGCCCTAACTTGAAAGGAGGCCGGATTTCCTTGCAGTGTCTTGAATACAGGCTCGTCTTTCATCTCACAACCGGAAGGGATGTCTGAATCCCCTGTGGAGAACTTAGAGAAAGCCCTAGGTCCCTGCCTCATTTTGACGGATTGCCTCACATCCCGTTGACACCTCGAGAGGCACGCGGAGTTCACTGCTTCAAAAGGTGATGATGCCTGACTCGTCTTGAATATTGATAGGAATCCCAAAATCCCTGTGGCTATTTGAAAGGTTCCTTGGGTGTCCTGCCTCACCTCGAGAAGCATCCCTTGTGCCTGCCAAGCCTCGAAGAGATTCCTGAGCTGTCCCTCGTTACTGGACAGGAGTCCTGACGTCACTGAATAAACAGGAGGTTTTAAGGGCCATCCCCGCTGTAAACCGAGTACATACCCCAGGTCCCCGCCGCAAGTCGAGAAAAACCATGAGACTTTCCCCTAGTGGCGAGATGAGGCCCGATTCTCCTGCAGTGCATGCAGAGCAATTCCGTGATCCCCATCAAACAAGTCAGGACCTTCAACTTGCTTAATGGATCTCGAGACAGTCCCCAAGAATACGGTCACATGTCTAGACGGATCCTGAGGTCACCCCATCAACGCAAAGCAGCACCATGTGCCAAACATCAACTCGAGATAATGCCCGATTCCCCTGCATTGACTCCAGAGCCATCCCCCGTTCCACATTAAACACCACCAGTGGCTTGACTTCCTTCAGACAACTCCAGAGATGCCCTGAGAACACTGTCCCAAGTCTAGAGGAACACCATCTTCAGCACAGCAACTCGAGGAATGCTCCGTGTACCCCAAATCGTCTCGAGATGAGAGCTGATTCCCTGGCTTAGGCTCAAGACGTATGCCAACTTTCCAGAAGCACCTCAAGGGGAGGCTTCTCTCAGCAATAGGTATGTTGGAGGGACCCCCAGTTTGCTGCCTCAAGTGGAATATGCAGCGAGAAGCCCTAACTTGAAAGGAGGCCGGGTTTCCTTGCAGTGTCTTGAATACAGGCTCGTCTTTCATCTCACAACGGGAAGGAATGTCTGAATCCCCTGTGGAGACCTTAGCGAAAGCCCTAGGTCCCTGCCTCATTTTGACGGATTGCCTCACATCCCGTTGACACCTCGAGAGGCACGCGGAGTTCACTGCTTCAAATGTGATGATGCCTGACTCCTCCTGAACATTGATAGGAATCCCAAAATCACTGTGGCTACTGGAAAGGGTTCTTGTGTGCCCTGCCTCACCTCGAGAAGCATCCCTTTTGCCCTGCCAAGGCTCGAAAAGATTCCTGAGGTGTCCCTCATTACTAGACAGGAGTCATGACGTCACTGAATAAACACGTGTTATCAAGGGCCAAGCCCGCCATAACTCGAGAACATACCCCACGTACCGCCGCGACTCGAGAAAAACCATGAGACTTCCCCTAGATGCGATATGAGGCATGATTCCCTGCAGTCCATGCAGAGCATTCCCGTGATCCGAATCAAGCAAGTCAGCAGCTTCGAATTGCTTAATGGATCTCGAGAGAGTCCCCAGGAACACTGTCACAAGTCTAGACAGACCCTGACATCACCCCAGCAAAGCAAAGCAGGTCCAAGTACCCCACATCACCTCGAGTTGAGGCCCGATTCCCATGCATTGACTCCAGAGCCATCCCCCGTACCCCATTAAACACCACCAGTGGCTTGACTTCCTTCAGGCAACTACAGAGATGCCCCGAGAACACTGTCCCAAGTCTAGAGGAATACGAACTTCAGCACAGCAACTCGAGGAATGCTCGGTGTACCCCAAATCGTTTCGAGGTGAGAGCTGATTCCATGGCTTAGGCTCAAGACGTATGCCAACTTTCCAGAAGCACCTCAAGCGGAGGATTCTCTCAGCAATAGGTATGTTGGAGGGACCCCCACTTTGCTGCCTCAAGTGGAATATACAGCGAGAAGCCCTAACTTGAAAGGAGGCCGGATTTCCTCGCAGTGTCTTGAATACAGGCTCGTCTTTCATCTCACAACCGGAAGGGATGTCTGAATCCCCTGTGTAGAACTTAGAGAAAGCCCTAGGTCCCTGCCTCATTTTGACGGATTGCCTCACATCCCGTTGACACCTCGAGAGGCACGCGGAGTTCACTGCTTCAAAAGGTGATGATGCCTGACTCGTCTTGAATATTGATAGGAATCCCAAAATCCCTGTGGCTATTTGAAAGGTTCCTTGGGTGTCCTGCCTCACCTCGAGAAGCGTCCCTTGTGCCTGCCAAGCCTCGAAGAGATTCCTGAGCTGTCCCTCGTTACTGGACAGGAGTCCTGACGTCACTGAATAAACAGGAGTTTTTAAGGGCCATCCCCGCTGTAACCCGAGTACATACCCCAGGTCCCCGCCGCAAGTCGAGAAAAACCATGAGACTTTCCCCTAGTGGCGAGATGAGGCCCGATTCTCATGCAGTGCATGCAGAGCAATTCTGAGATCCCCATCAAACAAGTCAGGACCTTCGACTTGCTTAATGGATCTCGAGACAGTCCCCAAGAATACTGTCACATGTCTAGACGGATCCTGAGGTCACCCCATCAACGCAAAGCAGCACCATGTGCCCCACATCGACTCGAGATCATGCCCGATTCCCCTGCATTGACTCCAGAGCCATCCCCCGTTCCACATTAAACACCACCAGTGGCTTGACTTCCTTCAGACAACTCCAGAGATGCCCTAGGAACACTGTCCCAAGTCTAGAGGAACACCATCTTCAGCACAGCAACTCGAGGAATGCTCCGTGTACCCCAAATCGTCTCGAGATGAGAGCTGATTCCCTGGCTTAGGCTCAAGACGTATGCCAACTTTCCAGAAGCACCTCAAGGGGAGGCTTCGCTCAGCAATGGGTATGTTGGAGGGACCCCCAGTTTGCTGCCTCAAGTGGAATATGCAGCGAGAAGCCCTAACTTGAAAGGAGGCCGGGTTTCCTTGCAGTGTCTTGAATACAGGCTCGTCTTTCATCTCACAACGGGAAGGAATGTCTGAATCCCCTGTGGAGACCTTAGCGAAAGCCCTAGGTCCCTGCCTCATTTTGACGGATTGCCTCACATCCCGTTGACACCTCGAGAGGCACCCGGAGTTCACTGCTTCAAATGTGACGATGCCTGACTCCTCCTGAACATTGATAGGAATCCCAAAATCACTGTGGCTACAGGAAAGGGTTCTTGTGTGCCCTGCATCACCTCGAGAAGCATCCCTTTTGCCCTGCCAAGGCTCGAAAAGGTTCCTGAGGTGTCCCTCATTACTAGACAGGAGTCATGACGTCACTGAATAAACACGTGTTTTCAAGGGCCAAGCCCGCCATAACTCGAGAACATACCCCACGTACCGCCGCGACTCGAGAAAAACCATGAGACTTCCCCTAGATGCGATATGAGGCCTGATTCCCTGCAGTCCATGCAGAGCATTCCCGTGATCCCAATCAAGCAAGTCAGCAGCTTCGAATTGCTTAATGGATCTCGAGAGAGTCCCCAGGAACACTGTCACAAGTCTAGACAGACCCTGACATCACCCCAGCAAAGCAAAGCAGGTCCAGGTACCCCACATCACCTCGAGTTGAGGCCCGATTCCCATGCATTGACTCCAGAGCCATCCCCCGTACCCCATTAAACACCACCAGTGGCTTGACTTCCTTCAGGCAACTCCAGAGATGCCCCGAGAACACTGTCCCAAGTCTAGAGGAATACGAACTTCAGCACAGCAACTCGAGGAATGCTCCGTGTACCCCAACTCGTTTCGAGGTGAGAGCTGATTCCATGGCTTAGGCTCAAGACGTATGCCAACTTTCCAGAAGCCCCTGAAGAGGAGGCTTCTCTCAGCAATAAGTATGTGGGAGGGACCCCGAATTTGCTGCCTCAAGTGGAATATACAGCGAGAAGCCCTAACTTGAAAGGAGGCCGGATTTCCTTGCAGTGGCTTGAATACAGGCTCGTCTTTCATCTCACAGCATGAAGGGATGTCTGAATCCCCTGTGGAGACCTTAGAGAAAGCTCTAGGTCCCTGCCTCATTTTGACGGAATGCCTCACATCCCGTTGACACTTCGAGAGGCACGCGGAATTCACTGCTTCAAAAGGTGATGATGCCTGACTCGTCTTGAATATTGATAGGAATCCCAAAATCCCTGTGGCTATTTGAAAGGTTCCTTGGGTGTCCTGCCTCACCTCGAGAAGCGTCCCTTGTGCCTGCCAAGCCTCGAAGAGATTCCTGAGCTGTCCCTCGTTACTGGACAGGAGTCCTGACGTCACTGAATAAACAGGAGTTTTTAAGGGCCATCCCCGCTGTAACCCGAGTACATACCCCAGGTCCCCGCCGCAAGTCGAGAAAAACCATGAGACTTTCCCCTAGTGGCGAGATGAGGCCCGATTCACCTGCAGTGCATGCAGAGCAATTCCGTGATCCCCATCAAACAAGTCAGGACCTTCGACTTGCTTAATGGATCTCGAGACAGTCCCCAAGAATACTGTCAAATGTCTAGACGGATCCTGAGGTCACCCCATCAACGCAAAGCAGCACCATGTGCCCCACATCAACTCGAGATAATGCCCGATTCCCCTGCATTGACTCCAGAGCCATCCCCCGTTCCACATTAAACACCACCAGTGGCTTGACTTCCTTCAGACAACTCCAGAGATGCCCTGAGAACACTGTCCCAAGTCTAGAGGAACACCATCTTCAGCACAGCAACTCGAGGAATGCTCCGTGTACCCCAAATCGTCTCGAGATGAGAGCTGATTCCCTCCCTTAGGCTCAAGACGTATGCCAACTTTCCAGAAGCACCTCAAGGGGAGGCTTCTCTCAGCAATAGGTATGTTGGAGGGACCCCAAGTTTGCTGCCTCAAGTGGAATATGCAGCGAGAAGCCCTAACTTGAAAGGAGGCCGGGTTTCCTTGCAGTGTCTTGAATACAGGCTCGTCTTTCATCTCACAACGGGAAGGAATGTCTGAATCCCCTGTGGAGACCTTAGCGAAAGCCCTAGGTCCCTGCCTCATTTTGACGGATTGCCTCACATCCCGTTGACACCTCGAGAGGCACCCGGAGTTCACTGCTTCAAATGTGACGATGCCTGACTCCTCCTGAACATTGATAGGAATCCCAAAATCACTGTGGCTACAGGAAAGGGTTCTTGTGTGCCCTGCCTCACCTCGAGAAGCATCCCTTTTGCCCTGCCAAGGCTCGAAAAGTTTCCTGAGTTGTCCCTCATTACTAGACAGGAGTCATGACGTCACTGAATAAACACGTGTTTTCAAGGGCCAAGCCCGCCATAACTCGAGAACATACCCCACGTACCGCCGCGACTCGAGAAAAACCAGGAGACTTCCCCTAGATGCGATATGAGGCCTGATTCCCTGCAGTCCATGCAGAGCATTCCCGTGATCCCAATCAAGCAAGTCAGCAGCTTCGAATTGCTTAATGGATCTCGAGAGAGTCCCCAGGAACACTGTCACAAGTCTAGACAGACCCTGACATCACCCCAGCAAAGCAAAGCAGGTCCAAGTACCCCACATCACCTCGAGTTGAGGCCCGATTCCCATGCATTGACTCCAGAGCCATCCCCCGTACCCCATTAAACACCACCAGTGGCTTGACTTCCTTCAGGCAACTCCAGAGATGCCCCGAGAACACTGTCCCAAGTCTAGAGGAATACGAACTTCAGCACAGCAACTCGAGGAATGCTCCGTGTACCCCAAATCGTTTCGAGGTGAGAGCTGATTCCATGGCTTAGGCTCAAGACGTATGCCAACTTTCCAGAAGCCCCTCAAGAGGAGGCTTCTGACAGCAATAGGTATGTGGGAGGGACCCCGAATTTGCTGCCTCAAGTGGAATATACAGCGAGAAGCCCTAACTTTAAAGGAGGCCGGATTTCCTTGCAGTGGCTTGAATACAGGCTCGTCTTTCATCTCACAGCATGAAGGGATGTCTGAATCCCCTGTGGAGACCTTAAAGAAAGCTCTAGGTCCCTGCCTCATTTTGACGGAATACCTCACATCCCGTTGACACCTCGAGAGGCACACGGAGTTCACTGCTTCAAATGTGACGATGCCTGACTCCTCCTGAACATTGATAGGAATCCCAAAATCACTGTGGCTACAGGAAAGGGTTCTTGTGTGCCCTGCCTCACCTCGAGAAGCATCCCTTTTGCCCTGCCAAGGCTCGAAAAGTTTCCTGAGTTGTCCCTCATTACTAGACAGGAGTCATGACGTCACTGAATAAACACGTGTTTTCAAGGGCCAAGCCCGCCATAACTCGAGAACATACCCCACGTACCGCCGCGACTCGAGAAAAACCAGGAGACTTCCCCTAGATGCGATATGAGGCCTGATTCCCTGCAGTCCATGCAGAGCATTCCCGTGATCCCAATCAAGCAAGTCAGCAGCTTCGAATTGCTTAATGGATCTCGAGAGAGTCCCCAGGAACACTGTCACAAGTCTAGACAGACCCTGACATCACCCCAGCAAAGCAAAGCAGGTCCAAGTACCCCACATCACCTCGAGTTGAGGCCCGATTCCCATGCATTGACTCCAGAGCCATCCCCCGTACCCCATTAAACACCACCAGTGGCTTGACTTCCTTCAGGCAACTCCAGAGATGCCCCGAGAACACTGTCCCAAGTCTAGAGGAATACGAACTTCAGCACAGCAACTCGAGGAATGCTCGGTGTACCCCAAATCGTTTCGAGGTGAGAGCTGATTCCATGGCTTAGGCTCAAGACGTATGCCAACTTTCCAGAAGCACCTCAAGCGGAGGATTCTCTCAGCAATAAATATGTTGGAGGGACCCCCACTTTGCTGCCTCAAGTGGAATATACAGCAAGAAGCCCTAACTCGAAAGGAGGCTGGATTTCCTTGCAGTGTCTTGAATACAGGCTCGTCTTTCATCTCACAACCGGAAGGGATGTCTGAATCCCCTGTGTAGAACTTAGAGAAAGCCCTAGGTCCCTGCCTCATTTTGACGGATTGCCTCACATCCCGTTGACACCTCGAAAGGCACGCGGAGTTCACTGCTTCAAAAGGTGATGATGCCTGACTCGTCTTGAATATTGATAGGAATCCCAAAATCCCTGTGGCTATTTGAAAGGTTCCTTGGGTGTCCTGCCTCACCTCGAGAAGCGTCCCTTGTGCCTGCCAAGCCTCGAAGAAATTCCTGAGCTGTCCCTCGTTACTGGATAGGAGTCCTGATGTCACTGAATAAACAGGAGTTTTTAAGGGCCATCCCCGCTGTAAACCGAGTACATACCCCAGGTCCCCGCCGCAAGTCGAGAAAAACCATGAGACTTTCCCCTAGTGGCGAGATGAGGCCCGATTCTCCTGCAGTGCATGCAGAGCAATTCCGTGATCCCCATCAAACAAGTCAGGACCTTCGACTTGCTTAATGGATCTCGAGACAGTCCCCAAGAATACGGTCACATGTCTAGACGGATCCTGAGGTCACCCCATCAACGCAAAGCAGCACCATGTGCCCCACATCAACTCGAGATAATGCCCGATTCCCCTGCATTGACTCCAGAGCCATCCCCCGTTCCACATTAAACACCACCAGTGGCTTGACTTCCTTCAGACAACTCCAGAGATGCCCTGAGAACACTGTCCCAAGTCTAGAGGAACACCATCTTCAGCACAGCAACTCGAGGAATGCTCCGTGTACCCCAAATCGTCTCGAGATGAGAGCTGATTCCCTGGCTTAGGCTCAAGACGTATGCCAACTTTCCAGAAGCACCTCAAGGGGAGGCTTCTCTCAGCAATAGGTATGTTGGAGGGACCCCCAGTTTGCTGCCTCAAGTGGAATATGCAGCGAGAAGCCCTAACTTGAAAGGAGTCCGGGTTTCCTTGCAGTGTCTTGAATACAGGCTCGTCTTTCATCTCACAACGGGAAGGAATGTCTGAATCCCCTGTGGAGACCTTAGCGAAAGCCCTAGGTCCCTGCCTCATTTTGACGGATTGCCTCACATCCCGTTGACACCTCGAGAGGCACCCGGAGTTCACTGCTTCAAATGTGATGATGCCTGACTCCTCCTGAACATTGATAGGAATCCCACAATCACTGTGGCTACTGGAAAGGGTTCTTGTGTGCCCTGCCTCACCTCGAGAAGCATCCCTTTTGCCCTGCCAAGGCTCGAAAAGATTCCTGAGTTGTCCCTCATTACTAGACAGGAGTCATGACGTCACTGAATAAACACGTGTTTTCAAGGGCCAAGCCCGCCATAACTCGAGAACATACCCCACGTACCGCCGCGACTCGAGAAAAACCATGAGACTTCCCCTAGATGCGATATGAGGCATGATTCCCTGCAGTCCATGCAGAGCATTCCCGTGATCCCAATCAAGCAAGTCAGCAGCTTCGAATTGCTTAATGGATCTCGAGAGAGTCCCCAGGAACACTGTCACAAGTCTAGACAGACCCTGACATCACCCCAGCAAAGCAAAGCAGGTCCAAGTACCCCACATCACCTCGAGTTGAGGCCCGATTCCCATGCATTGACTCCAGAGCCATCCCCCGTACCCCATTAAACACCACCAGTGGCTTGACTTCCTTCAGGCAACTACAGAGATGCCCCGAGAACACTGTCCCAAGTCTAGAGGAATACGAACTTCAGCACAGCAACTCGAGGAATGCTCGGTGTACCCCAAATCGTTTCGAGGTGAGAGCTGATTCCATGGCTTAGGCTCAAGACGTATGCCAACTTTCCAGAAGCACCTCAAGCAGAGGATTCTCTCAGCAATAGATATGTTGGAGGGACCCCCACTTTGCTGCCTCAAGTGGAATATACAGCGAGAAGCCCTAACTTGAAAGGAGGCCGGATTTCCTTGCAGTGTCTTGAATACAGGCTCGTCTTTCATCTCACAACCGGAAGGGATGTCTGAATCCCCTGTGTAGAACTTACAGAAAGCCCTAGGTCCCTGCCTCATTTTGACGGATTGCCTCACATCCCGTTGACACCTCGAGAGGCACGCGGAGTTCACTGCTTCAAAAGGTGATGATGCCTGACTCGTCTTGAATATTGATAGGAATCCCAAAATCCCTGTGGCTATTTGAATGGTTCCTTGGGTGTCCTGCCTCACCTCGAGAAGCGTCCCTTGTGCCTGCCAAGCCTGGAAGAGATTCCTGAGCTGTCCCTCGTTACTGGACAGGAGTCCTGACGTCACTGAATAAACAGGAGTTTTTAAGGGCCATCCCCGCTGTAACCCGAGTACATACCCCAGGTCCCCGCCGCAAGTCGAGAAAAACCATGAGACTTTCCCCTAGTGGCGAGATGAGGCCCGATTCTCATGCAGTGCATGCAGAGCAATTCTGAGATCCCCATCAAACAAGTCAGGACCTTCGACTTGCTTAATGGATCTCGAGACAGTCCCCAAGAATACTGTCACATGTCTAGACGGATCCTGAGGTCACCCCATCAACGCAAAGCAGCACCATGTGCCCCACATCGACTCGAGATCATGCCCGATTCCCCTGCATTGACTCCAGAGCCATCCCCCGTTCCACATTAAACACCACCAGTGGCTTGACTTCCTTCAGACAACTCCAGAGATGCCCTAGGAACACTGTCCCAAGTCTAGAGGAACACCATCTTCAGCACAGCAACTCGAGGAATGCTCCGTGTACCCCAAATCGTCTCGAGATGAGAGCTGATTCCCTGGCTTAGGCTCAAGACGTATGCCAACTTTCCAGAAGCACCTCAAGGGGAGGCTTCTCTCAGCAATAGGTATGTTGGAGGGACCCCCAGTTTGCTGCCTCAAGTGGAATATGCAGCGAGAAGCCCTAACTTGAAAGGAGGCCGGGTTTCCTTGCAGTGTCTTGAATACAGGCTCGTCTTTCATCTCACAACGGGAAGGAATGTCTGAATCCCCTGTGGAGACCTTAGCGAAAGCCCTAGGTCCCTGCCTCATTTTGACGGATTGCCTCACATCCCGTTGACACCTCGAGAGGCACCCGGAGTTCACTGCTTCAAATGTGACGATGCCTGACTCCTCCTGAACATTGATAGGAATCCCAAAATCACTGTGGCTACAGGAAAGGGTTCTTGTGTGCCCTGCATCACCTCGAGAAGCATCCCTTTTGCCCTGCCAAGGCTCGAAAAGGTTCCTGAGGTGTCCCTCATTACTAGACAGGAGTCATGACGTCACTGAATAAACACGTGTTTTCAAGGGCCAAGCCCGCCATAACTCGAGAACATACCCCACGTACCGCCGCGACTCGAGAAAAACCAGGAGACTTCCCCTAGATGCGATATGAGGCCTGATTCCCTGCAGTCCATGCAGAGCATTCCCGTGATCCCAATCAAGCAAGTCAGCAGCTTCGAATTGCTTAATGGATCTCGAGAGAGTCCCCAGGAACACTGTCACAAGTCTAGACAGACCCTGACATCACCCCAGCAAAGCAAAGCAGGTCCAAGTACCCCACATCACCTCGAGTTGAGGCCCGATTCCCATGCATTGACTCCAGAGCCATCCCCCGTACCCCATTAAACACCACCAGTGGCTTGGCTTCCTTCAGGCAACTCCAGAGATGCCCCGAGAACACTGTCCCAAGTCTAGAGGAATACGAACTTCAGCACAGCAACTCGAGGAATGCTCGGTGTACCCCAAATCGTTTCGAGGTGAGAGCTGATTCCATGGATTAGGCTCAAGACGTATGCCAACTTTCCAGAAGCACCTCAAGCGGAGGATTCTCTCAGCAATAGATATGTTGGAGGGACCCCCACTTTGCTGCCTCAAGTGGAATATACAGCAAGAAGCACTAACTTGAAAGGAGGCCGGATTTCCTTGCAGTGTCTTGAATACAGGCTCGTCTTTCATCTCACAACCGGAAGGGATGTCTGAATCCCCTGTGTAGAACTTAGAGAAAGCCCTAGGTCCCTGCCTCATTTTGACGGATTGCCTCACATCCCGTTGACACCTCGAGAGGCACGCGGAGTTCACTGCTTCAAAAGGTGATGATGCCTGACTCGTCTTGAATATTGATAGGAATCCCAAAATCCCTGTGGCTATTTGAATGGTTCCTTGGGTGTCCTGCCTCACCTCGAGAAGCGTCCCTTGTGCCTGCCAAGCCTGGAAGAGATTCCTGAGCTGTCCCTCGTTACTGGACAGGAGTCCTGACGTCACTGAATAAACAGGAGTTTTTAAGGGCCATCCCCGCTGTAACCCGAGTACATACCCCAGGTCCCCGCCGCAAGTCGAGAAAAACCATGAGACTTTCCCCTAGTGGCGAGATGAGGCCCGATTCTCATGCAGTGCATGCAGAGCAATTCTGAGATCCCCATCAAACAAGTCAGGACCTTCGACTTGCTTAATGGATCTCGAGACAGTCCCCAAGAATACTGTCACATGTCTAGACGGATCCTGAGGTCACCCCATCAACGCAAAGCAGCACCATGTGCCCCACATCGACTCGAGATCATGCCCGATTCCCCTGCATTGACTCCAGAGCCATCCCCCGTTCCACATTAAACACCACCAGTGGCTTGACTTCCTTCAGACAACTCCAGAGATGCCCTAGGAACACTGTCCCAAGTCTAGAGGAACACCATCTTCAGCACAGCAACTCGAGGAATGCTCCGTGTACCCCAAATCGTCTCGAGATGAGAGCTGATTCCCTGGCTTAGGCTCAAGACGTATGCCAACTTTCCAGAAGCACCTCAAGGGGAGGCTTCTCTCAGCAATAGGTATGTTGGAGGGACCCCCAGTTTGCTGCCTCAAGTGGAATATGCAGCGAGAAGACCTAACTTGAAAGGAGGCCGGGTTTCCTTGCAGTGTCTTGAATACAGGCTCGTCTTTCATCTCACAACGGGAAGGAATGTCTGAATCCCCTGTGGAGACCTTAGCGAAAGCCCTAGGTCCCTGCCTCATTTTGACGGATTGCCTCACATCCCGTTGACACCTCGAGAGGCACCCGGAGTTCACTGCTTCAAATGTGACGATGCCTGACTCCTCCTGAACATTGATAGGAATCCCAAAATCACTGTGGCTACAGGAAAGGGTTCTTGTGTGCCCTGCATCACCTCGAGAAGCATCCCTTTTGCCCTGCCAAGGCTCGAAAAGGTTCCTGAGGTGTCCCTCATTACTAGACAGGAGTCATGACGTCACTGAATAAACACGTGTTTTCAAGGGCCAAGCCCGCCATAACTCGAGAACATACCCCACGTACCGCCGCGACTCGAGAAAAACCAGGAGACTTCCCCTAGATGCGATATGAGGCCTGATTCCCTGCAGTCCATGCAGAGCATTCCCGTGATCCCAATCAAGCAAGTCAGCAGCTTCGAATTGCTTAATGGATCTCGAGAGAGTCCCCAGGAACACTGTCACAAGTCTAGACAGACCCTGACATCACCCCAGCAAAGCAAAGCAGGTCCAAGTACCCCACATCACCTCGAGTTGAGGCCCGATTCCCATGCATTGACTCCAGAGCCATCCCCCGTACCCCATTAAACACCACCAGTGGCTTGGCTTCCTTCAGGCAACTCCAGAGATGCCCCGAGAACACTGTCCCAAGTCTAGAGGAATACGAACTTCAGCACAGCAACTCGAGGAATGCTCGGTGTACCCCAAATCGTTTCGAGGTGAGAGCTGATTCCATGGATTAGGCTCAAGACGTATGCCAACTTTCCAGAAGCACCTCAAGCGGAGGATTCTCTCAGCAATAGATATGTTGGAGGGACCCCCACTTTGCTGCCTCAAGTGGAATATACAGCAAGAAGCACTAACTTGAAAGGAGGCCGGATTTCCTTGCAGTGTCTTGAATACAGGCTCGTCTTTCATCTCACAACCGGAAGGGATGTCTGAATCCCCTGTGTAGAACTTAGAGAAAGCCCTAGGTCCCTGCCTCATTTTGACGGATTGCCTCACATCCCGTTGACACCTTGAAAGGCACGCGGAGTTCACTGCTTCAAAAGGTGATGATGCCTGACTCGTCTTGAATATTGATAGGAATCCCAAAATCCCTGTGGCTATTTGAAAGGTTCCTTGGGTGTCCTGCCTCACCTCGAGAAGCATCCCTTGTGCCTGCCAAGCCTCGAAGAGATTCCTGAGCTGTCCCTCGTTACTGGACAGGAGTCCTGACGTCACTGAATAAACAGGAGTTTTTAAGGGCCATCCCCGCTGTAAACCGAGTACATACCCCAGGTCCCCGCCGCAAGTCGAGAAAAACCATGAGACTTTCCCCTAGTGGCGAGATGAGGCCCGATTCTCCTGCAGTGCATGCAGAGCAATTCCGTGATCCCCATCAAACAAGTCAGGACCTTCAACTTGCTTAATGGATCTCGAGACAGTCCCCAAGAATACGGTCACATGTCTAGACGGATCCTGAGGTCACCCCATCAACGCAAAGCAGCACCATGTGCCCCACATCAACTCGAGATAATGCCCGATTCCCCTGCATTGACTCCAGAGCCATCCCCCGTTCCACATTAAACACCACCAGTGGCTTGACTTCCTTCAGACAACTCCAGAGATGCCCTGAGAACACTGTCCCAAGTCTAGAGGAACACCATCTTCAGCACAGCAACTCGAGGAATGCTCCGTGTACCCCAAATCGTCTCGAGATGAGAGCTGATTCCCTGGCTTAGGCTCAAGACGTATGCCAACTTTCCAGAAGCACCTCAAGGGGAGGCTTCTCTCAGCAATAGGTATGTTGGAGGGACCCCCAGTTTGCTGCCTCAAGTGGAATATGCAGCGAGAAGCCCTAACTTGAAAGGAGGCCGGGTTTCCTTGTAGTGTCTTGAATACAGGCTCGTCTTTCATCTCACAACGGGAAGGAATGTCTGAATCCCCTGTGGAGACCTTAGCGAAAGCCCTAGGTCCCTGCCTCATTTTGACGGATTGCCTCACATCCCGTTGACACCTCGAGAGGCACCCGGAGTTCACTGCTTCAAATGTGATGATGCCTGACTCCTCCTGAACATTGATAGGAATCCCAAAATCACTGTGGCTACTGGAAAGGGTTCTTGTGTGCCCTGCCTCACCTCGAGAAGCATCCCTTTTGCCCTGCCAAGGCTCGAAAAGATTCCTGAGGTGTCCCTCATTACTAGACAGGAGTCATGACGTCACTGAATAAACACGTGTTTTCAAGGGCCAAGCCCGCCATAACTCGAGAACATACCCCACGTACCGCCGCGACTCGAGAAAAACCATGAGACTTCCCCTAGATGCGATATGAGGCATGATTCCCTGCAGTCCATGCAGAGCATTCCCGTGATCCGAATCAAGCAAGTCAGCAGCTTCGAATTGCTTAATGGATCTCGAGAGAGTCCCCAGGAACACTGTCACAAGTCTAGACAGACCCTGACATCACCCCAGCAAAGCAAAGCAGGTCCAAGTACCCCACATCACCTCGAGTTGAGGCCCGATTCCCATGCATTGACTCCAGAGCCATCCCCCGTACCCCATTAAACACCACCAGTGGCTTGACTTCCTTCAGGCAACTACAGAGATGCCCCGAGAACACTGTCCCAAGTCTAGAGGAATACGAACTTCAGCACAGCAACTCGAGGAATGCTCGGTGTACCCCAAATCGTTTCGAGGTGAGAGCTGATTCCATGGCTTAGGCTCAAGACGTATGCCAACTTTCCAGAAGCACCTCAAGCGGAGGATTCTCTCAGCAATAGGTATGTTGGAGGGACCCCCACTTTGCTGCCTCAAGTGGAATATACAGCGAGAAGCCCTAACTTGAAAGGAGGCCGGATTTCCTTGCAGTGTCTTGAATACAGGCTCGTCTTTCATCTCACAACCGGAAGGGATGTCTGAATCCCCTGTGTAGAACTTAGAGAAAGCCCTAGGTCCCTGCCTCATTTTGACGGATTGCCTCACATCCCGTTGACACCTCGAGAGGCACGCGGAGTTCACTGCTTCAAAAGGTGATGATGCCTGACTCGTCTTGAATATTGATAGGAATCCCAAAATCCCTGTGGCTATTTGAAAGGTTCCTTGGGTGTCCTGCCTCACCTCGAGAAGCATCCCTTGTGCCTGCCAAGCCTCGAAGAGATTCCTGAGCTGTCCCTCGTTACTGGACAGGAGTCCTGACGTCACTGAATAAACAGGAGTTTTTAAGGGCCATCCCCGCTGTAAACCGAGTACATACCCCAGGTCCCCGCCGCAAGTCGAGAAAAACCATGAGACTTTCCCCTAGTGGCGAGATGAGGCCCGATTCTCCTGCAGTGCATGCAGAGCAATTCCGTGATCCCCATCAAACAAGTCAGGACCTTCAACTTGCTTAATGGATCTCGAGACAGTCCCCAAGAATACGGTCACATGTCTAGACGGATCCTGAGGTCACCCCATCAACGCAAAGCAGCACCATGTGCCCCACATCAACTCGAGATAATGCCCGATTCCCCTGCATTGACTCCAGAGCCATCCCCCGTTCCACATTAAACACCACCAGTGGCTTGACTTCCTTCAGACAACTCCAGAGATGCCCTGAGAACACTGTCCCAAGTCTAGAGGAACACCATCTTCAGCACAGCAACTCGAGGAATGCTCCGTGTACCCCAAATCGTCTCGAGATGAGAGCTGATTCCCTGGCTTAGGCTCAAGACGTATGCCAACTTTCCAGAAGCACCTCAAGGGGAGGCTTCTCTCAGCAATAGGTATGTTGGAGGGACCCCCAGTTTGCTGCCTCAAGTGGAATATGCAGCGAGAAGCCCTAACTTGAAAGGAGGCCGGGTTTCCTTGCAGTGTCTTGAATACAGGCTCGTCTTTCATCTCACAACGGGAAGGAATGTCTGAATCCCCTGTGGAGACCTTAGCGAAAGCCCTAGGTCCCTGCCTCATTTTGACGGATTGCCTCACATCCCGTTGACACCTCGAGAGGCACCCGGAGTTCACTGCTTCAAATGTGATGATGCCTGACTCCTCCTGAACATTGATAGGAATCCCAAAATCACTGTGGCTACTGGAAAGGGTTCTTGTGTGCCCTGCCTCACCTCGAGAAGCATCCCTTTTGCCCTGCCAAGGCTCGAAAAGATTCCTGAGGTGTCCCTCATTACTAGACAGGAGTCATGACGTCACTGAATAAACACGTGTTTTCAAGGGCCAAGCCCGCCATAACTCGAGAACATACCCCACGTACCGCCGCGACTCGAGAAAAACCATGAGACTTCCCCTAGATGCGATATGAGGCATGATTCCCTGCAGTCCATGCAGAGCATTCCCGTGATCCGAATCAAGCAAGTCAGCAGCTTCGAATTGCTTAATGGATCTCGAGAGAGTCCCCAGGAACACTGTCACAAGTCTAGACAGACCCTGACATCACCCCAGCAAAGCAAAGCAGGTCCAAGTACCCCACATCACCTCGAGTTGAGGCCCGATTCCCATGCATTGACTCCAGAGCCATCCCCCGTACCCCATTAAACACCACCAGTGGCTTGACTTCCTTCAGGCAACTACAGAGATGCCCCGAGAACACTGTCCCAAGTCTAGAGGAATACGAACTTCAGCACAGCAACTCGAGGAATGCTCGGTGTACCCCAAATCGTTTCGAGGTGAGAGCTGATTCCATGGCTTAGGCTCAAGACGTATGCCAACTTTCCAGAAGCACCTCAAGCGGAGGATTCTCTCAGCAATAGGTATGTTGGAGGGACCCCCACTTTGCTGCCTCAAGTGGAATATACAGCGAGAAGTCCTAACTTGAAAGGAGGCCGGATTTCCTCGCAGTGTCTTGAATACAGGCTCGTCTTTCATCTCACAACCGGAAGGGATGTCTGAATCCCCTGTGTAGAACTTAGAGAAAGCCCTAGGTCCCTGCCTCATTTTGACGGATTGCCTCACATCCCGTTGACACCTCGAGAGGCACGCGGAGTTCACTGCTTCAAAAGGTGATGATGCCTGACTCGTCTTGAATATTGATAGGAATCCCAAAATCCCTGTGGCTATTTGAAAGGTTCCTTGGGTGTCCTGCCTCACCTCGAGAAGCGTCCCTTGTGCCTGCCAAGCCTCGAAGAGATTCCTGAGCTGTCCCTCGTTACTGGACAGGAGTCCTGACGTCACTGAATAAACAGGAGTTTTTAAGGGCCATCCCCGCTGTAACCCGAGTACATACCCCAGGTCCCCGCCGCAAGTCGAGAAAAACCATGAGACTTTCCCCTAGTGGCGAGATGAGGCCCGATTCTCATGCAGTGCATGCAGAGCAATTCTGAGATCCCCATCAAACAAGTCAGGACCTTCGACTTGCTTAATGGATCTCGAGACAGTCCCCAAGAATACTGTCACATGTCTAGACGGATCCTGAGGTCACCCCATCAACGCAAAGCAGCACCATGTGCCCCACATCGACTCGAGATCATGCCCGATTCCCCTGCATTGACTCCAGAGCCATCCCCCGTTCCACATTAAACACCACCAGTGGCTTGACTTCCTTCAGACAACTCCAGAGATGCCCTAGGAACACTGTCCCAAGTCTAGAGGAACACCATCTTCAGCACAGCAACTCGAGGAATGCTCCGTGTACCCCAAATCGTCTCGAGATGAGAGCTGATTCCCTGGCTTAGGCTCAAGACGTATGCCAACTTTCCAGAAGCACCTCAAGGGGAGGCTTCTCTCAGCAATGGGTATGTTGGAGGGACCCCCAGTTTGCTGCCTCAAGTGGAATATGCAGCGAGAAGCCCTAACTTGAAAGGAGGCCGGGTTTCCTTGCAGTGTCTTGAATACAGGCTCGTCTTTCATCTCACAACGGGAAGGAATGTCTGAATCCCCTGTGGAGACCTTAGCGAAAGCCCTAGGTCCCTGCCTCATTTTGACGGATTGCCTCACATCCCGTTGACACCTCGAGAGGCACCCGGAGTTCACTGCTTCAAATGTGACGATGCCTGACTCCTCCTGAACATTGATAGGAATCCCAAAATCACTGTGGCTACAGGAAAGGGTTCTTGTGTGCCCTGCATCACCTCGAGAAGCATCCCTTTTGCCCTGCCAAGGCTCGAAAAGGTTCCTGAGGTGTCCCTCATTACTAGACAGGAGTCATGACGTCACTGAATAAACACGTGTTTTCAAGGGCCAAGCCCGCCATAACTCGAGAACATACCCCACGTACCGCCGCGACTCGAGAAAAACCATGAGACATCCCCTAGATGCGATATGAGGCCTGATTCCCTGCAGTCCATGCAGAGCATTCCCGTGATCCCAATCAAGCAAGTCAGCAGCTTCGAATTGCTTAATGGATCTCGAGAGAGTCCCCAGGAACACTGTCACAAGTCTAGACAGACCCTGACATCACCCCAGCAAAGCAAAGCAGGTCCAGGTACCCCACATCACCTCGAGTTGAGGCCCGATTCCCATGCATTGACTCCAGAGCCATCCCCCGTACCCCATTAAACACCACCAGTGGCTTGACTTCCTTCAGGCAACTCCAGAGATGCCCCGAGAACACTGTCCCAAGTCTAGAGGAATACGAACTTCAGCACAGCAACTCGAGGAATGCTCCGTGTACCCCAAATCGTTTCGAGGTGAGAGCTGATTCCATGGCTTAGGCTCAAGACGTATGCCAACTTTCCAGAAGCCCCTGAAGAGGAGGCTTCTCTCAGCAATAAGTATGTGGGAGGGACCCCGAATTTGCTGCCTCAAGTGGAATATACAGCGAGAAGCCCTAACTTGAAAGGAGGCCGGATTTCCTTGCAGTGGCTTGAATACAGGCTCGTCTTTCATCTCACAGCATGAAGGGATGTCTGAATCCCCTGTGGAGACCTTAGAGAAAGCTCTAGGTCCCTGCCTCATTTTGACGGAATGCCTCACATCCCGTTGACACTTCGAGAGGCACGCGGAATTCACTGCTTCAAAAGGTGATGATGCCTGACTCGTCTTGAATATTGATAGGAATCCCAAAATCCCTGTGGCTATTTGAAAGGTTCCTTGGGTGTCCTGCCTCACCTCGAGAAGCGTCCCTTGTGCCTGCCAAGCCTCGAAGAGATTCCTGAGCTGTCCCTCGTTACTGGACAGGAGTCCTGACGTCACTGAATAAACAGGAGTTTTTAAGGGCCATCCCCGCTGTAACCCGAGTACATACCCCAGGTCCCCGCCGCAAGTCGAGAAAAACCATGAGACTTTCCCCTAGTGGCGAGATGAGGCCCGATTCACCTGCAGTGCATGCAGAGCAATTCCGTGATCCCCATCAAACAAGTCAGGACCTTCGACTTGCTTAATGGATCTCGAGACAGTCCCCAAGAATACTGTCAAATGTCTAGACGGATCCTGAGGTCACCCCATCAACGCAAAGCAGCACCATGTGCCCCACATCAACTCGAGATAATGCCCGATTCCCCTGCATTGACTCCAGAGCCATCCCCCGTTCCACATTAAACACCACCAGTGGCTTGACTTCCTTCAGACAACTCCAGAGATGCCCTGAGAACACTGTCCCAAGTCTAGAGGAACACCATCTTCAGCACAGCAACTCGAGGAATGCTCCGTGTACCCCAAATCGTCTCGAGATGAGAGCTGATTCCCTCGCTTAGGCTCAAGACGTATGCCAACTTTCCAGAAGCACCTCAAGGGGAGGCTTCTCTCAGCAATAGGTATGTTGGAGGGACCCCAAGTTTGCTGCCTCAAGTGGAATATGCAGCGAGAAGCCCTAACTTGAAAGGAGGCCGGGTTTCCTTGCAGTGTCTTGAATACAGGCTCGTCTTTCATCTCACAACGGGAAGGAATGTCTGAATCCCCTGTGGAGACCTTAGCGAAAGCCCTAGGTCCCTGCCTCATTTTGACGGATTGCCTCACATCCCGTTGACACCTCGAGAGGCACCCGGAGTTCACTGCTTCAAATGTGACGATGCCTGACTCCTCCTGAACATTGATAGGAATCCCAAAATCACTGTGGCTACAGGAAAGGGTTCTTGTGTGCCCTGCCTCACCTCGAGAAGCATCCCTTTTGCCCTGCCAAGGCTCGAAAAGATTCCTGAATTGTCCCTCATTACTAGACAGGAGTCATGACGTCACTGAATAAACACGTGTTTTCAAGGGCCAAGCCCGCCATAACTCGAGAACATACCCCACGTACCGCCGCGACTCGAGAAAAACCAGGAGACTTCCCCTAGATGCGATATGAGGCCTGATTCCCTGCAGTCCATGCAGAGCATTCCCGTGATCCCAATCAAGCAAGTCAGCAGCTTCGAATTGCTTAATGGATCTCGAGAGAGTCCCCAGGAACACTGTCACAAGTCTAGACAGACCCTGACATCACCCCAGCAAAGCAAAGCAGGTCCAAGTACCCCACATCACCTCGAGTTGAGGCCCGATTCCCATGCATTGACTCCAGAGCCATCCCCCGTACCCCATTAAACACCACCAGTGGCTTGACTTCCTTCAGGCAACTCCAGAGATGCCCCGAGAACACTGTCCCAAGTCTAGAGGAATACGAACTTCAGCACAGCAACTCGAGGAATGCTCCGTGTACCCCAAATCGTTTCGAGGTGAGAGCTGATTCCATGGCTTAGGCTCAAGACGTATGCCAACTTTCCAGAAGCCCCTCAAGAGGAGGCTTCTGACAGCAATAGGTATGTGGGAGGGACCCCGAATTTGCTGCCTCAAGTGGAATATACAGCGAGAAGCCCTAACTTTAAAGGAGGCCGGATTTCCTTGCAGTGGCTTGAATACAGGCTCGTCTTTCATCTCACAGCATGAAGGGATGTCTGAATCCCCTGTGGAGACCTTAAAGAAAGCTCTAGGTCCCTGCCTCATTTTGACGGAATACCTCACATCCCGTTGACACCTCGAGAGGCACACGGAGTTCAATGCTTCAAATGTGACGATGCCTGACTCCTCCTGAACATTGATAGGAATCCCAAAATCACTGTGGCTACAGGAAAGGGTTCTTGTGTGCCCTGCCTCACCTCGAGAAGCATCCCTTTTGCCCTGCCAAGGCTCGAAAAGATTCCTGAGGTGTCCCTCATTACTAGACAGGAGTCATGACGTCACTGAATAAACACGTGTTTTCAAGGGCCAAGCCCGCCATAACTCGAGAACATACCCCACGTACCGCCGCGACTCGAGAAAAACCAGGAGACTTCCCCTAGATGCGATATGAGGCCTGATTCCCTGCAGTCCATGCAGAGCATTCCCATGATCCCAATCAAGCAAGTCAGCAGCTTCGAATTGCTTAATGGATCTCGAGAGAGTCCCCAGGAACACTGTCACAAGTCTAGACAGACCCTGACATCACCCCAGCAAAGCAAAGCAGGTCCAAGTACCCCACATTACCTCGAGTTGAGGCCCGATTCCCATGCATTGACTCCAGAGCCATCCCCCGTACCCCATTAAACACCACCAGTGGCTTGACTTCCTTCAGGCAACTCCAGAGATGCCCCGAGAACACTGTCCCAAGTCTAGAGGAATACGAACTTCAGCACAGCAACTCGAGGAATGCTCGGTGTACCCCAAATCGTTTCGAGGTGAGAGCTGATTCCATGGCTTAGGCTCAAGACGTATGCCAACTTTCCAGAAGCACCTCAAGCGGAGGATTCTCTCAGCAATAGATATGTTGGAGGGACCCCCACTTTGCTGCCTCAAGTGGAATATACAGCAAGAAGCCCTAACTCGAAAGGAGGCTGGATTTCCTTGCAGTGTCTTGAATACAGGCTCGTCTTTCATCTCACAACCGGAAGGGATGTCTGAATCCCCTGTGTAGAACTTAGAGAAAGCCCTAGGTCCCTGCCTCATTTTGACGGATTGCCTCACATCCCGTTGACACCTCGAAAGGCACGCGGAGTTCACTGCTTCAAAAGGTGATGATGCCTGACTCGTCTTGAATATTGATAGGAATCCCAAAATCCCTGTGGCTATTTGAAAGGTTCCTTGGGTGTCCTGCCTCACCTCGAGAAGCGTCCCTTGTGCCTGCCAAGCCTCGAAGAAATTCCTGAGCTGTCCCTCGTTACTGGATAGGAGTCCTGATGTCACTGAATAAACAGGAGTTTTTAAGGGCCATCCCCGCTGTAAACCGAGTACATACCCCAGGTCCCCGCCGCAAGTCGAGAAAAACCATGAGACTTTCCCCTAGTGGCGAGATGAGGCCCGATTCTCCTGCAGTGCATGCAGAGCAATTCCGTGATCCCCATCAAACAAGTCAGGACCTTCGACTTGCTTAATGGATCTCGAGACAGTCCCCAAGAATACGGTCACATGTCTAGACGGATCCTGAGGTCACCCCATCAACGCAAAGCAGCACCATGTGCCCCACATCAACTCGAGATAATGCCCGATTCCCCTGCATTGACTCCAGAGCCATCCCCCGTTCCACATTAAACACCACCAGTGGCTTGACTTCCTTCAGACAACTCCAGAGATGCCCTGAGAACACTGTCCCAAGTCTAGAGGAACACCATCTTCAGCACAGCAACTCGAGGAATGCTCCGTGTACCCCAAATCGTCTCGAGATGAGAGCTGATTCCCTGGCTTAGGCTCAAGACGTATGCCAACTTTCCAGAAGCACCTCAAGGGGAGGCTTCTCTCAGCAATAGGTATGTTGGAGGGACCCCCAGTTTGCTGCCTCAAGTGGAATATGCAGCGAGAAGCCCTAACTTGAAAGGAGTCCGGGTTTCCTTGCAGTGTCTTGAATACAGGCTCGTCTTTCATCTCACAACGGGAAGGAATGTCTGAATCCCCTGTGGAGACCTTAGCGAAAGCCCTAGGTCCCTGCCTCATTTTGACGGATTGCCTCACATCCCGTTGACACCTCGAGAGGCACCCGGAGTTCACTGCTTCAAATGTGATGATGCCTGACTCCTCCTGAACATTGATAGGAATCCCACAATCACTGTGGCTACTGGAAAGGGTTCTTGTGTGCCCTGCCTCACCTCGAGAAGCATCCCTTTTGCCCTGCCAAGGCTCGAAAAGATTCCTGAGGTGTCCCTCATTACTAGACAGGAGTCATGACGTCACTGAATAAACACGTGTTTTCAAGGGCCAAGCCCGCCATAACTCGAGAACATACCCCACGTACCGCCGCGACTCGAGAAAAACCATGAGACTTCCCCTAGATGCGATATGAGGCATGATTCCCTGCAGTCCATGCAGAGCATTCCCTTGATCCCAATCAAGCAAGTCAGCAGCTTCGAATTGCTTAATGGATCTCGAGAGAGTCCCCAGGAACACTGTCACAAGTCTAGACAGACCCTGACATCACCCCAGCAAAGCAAAGCAGGTCCAAGTACCCCACATCACCTCGAGTTGAGGCCCGATTCCCATGCATTGACTCCAGAGCCATCCCCCGTACCCCATTAAACACCACCAGTGGCTTGACTTCCTTCAGGCAACTACAGAGATGCCCCGAGAACACTGTCCCAAGTCTAGAGGAATACGAACTTCAGCACAGCAACTCGAGGAATGCTCGGTGTACCCCAAATCGTTTCGAGGTGAGAGCTGATTCCATGGCTTAGGCTCAAGACGTATGCCAACTTTCCAGAAGCACCTCAAGCAGAGGATTCTCTCAGCAATAGATATGTTGGAGGGACCCCCACTTTGCTGCCTCAAGTGGAATATACAGCGAGAAGCCCTAACTTGAAAGGAGGCCGGATTTCCTTGCAGTGTCTTGAATACAGGCTCGTCTTTCATCTCACAACCGGAAGGGATGTCTGAATCCCCTGTGTAGAACTTAGAGAAAGCCCTAGGTCCCTGCCTCATTTTGACGGATTGCCTCACATCCCGTTGACACCTCGAGAGGCACGCGGAGTTCACTGCTTCAAAAGGTGATGATGCCTGACTCGTCTTGAATATTGATAGGAATCCCAAAATCCCTGTGGCTATTTGAATGGTTCCTTGGGTGTCCTGCCTCACCTCGAGAAGCGTCCCTTGTGCCTGCCAAGCCTGGAAGAGATTCCTGAGATGTCCCTCGTTACTGGACAGGAGTCCTGACGTCACTGAATAAACAGGAGTTTTTAAGGGCCATCCCCGCTGTAACCCGAGTACATACCCCAGGTCCCCGCCGCAAGTCGAGAAAAACCATGAGACTTTCCCCTAGTGGCGAGATGAGGCCCGATTCTCATGCAGTGCATGCAGAGCAATTCTGAGATCCCCATCAAACAAGTCAGGACCTTCGACTTGCTTAATGGATCTCGAGACAGTCCCCAAGAATACTGTCACATGTCTAGACGGATCCTGAGGTCACCCCATCAATGCAAAGCAGCACCATGTGCCCCACATCGACTCGAGATCATGCCCGATTCCCCTGCATTGACTCCAGAGCCATCCCCCGTTCCACATTAAACACCACCAGTGGCTTGACTTCCTTCAGACAACTCCAGAGATGCCCTAGGAACACTGTCCCAAGTCTAGAGGAACACCATCTTCAGCACAGCAACTCGAGGAATGCTCCGTGTACCCCAAATCGTCTCGAGATGAGAGCTGATTCCCTGGCTTAGGCTCAAGACGTATGCCAACTTTCCAGAAGCACCTCAAGGGGAGGCTTCTCTCAGCAATAGGTATGTTGGAGGGACCCCCAGTTTGCTGCCTCAAGTGGAATATGCAGCGAGAAGCCCTAACTTGAAAGGAGGCCGGGTTTCCTTGCAGTGTCTTGAATACAGGCTCGTCTTTCATCTCACAACGGGAAGGAATGTCTGAATCCCCTGTGGAGACCTTAGCGAAAGCCCTAGGTCCCTGCCTCATTTTGACGGATTGCCTCACATCCCGTTGACACCTCGAGAGGCACCCGGAGTTCACTGCTTCAAATGTGACGATGCCTGACTCCTCCTGAACATTGATAGGAATCCCAAAATCACTGTGGCTACAGGAAAGGGTTCTTGTGTGCCCTGCATCACCTCGAGAAGCATCCCTTTTGCCCTGCCAAGGCTCGAAAAGGTTCCTGAGGTGTCCCTCATTACTAGACAGGAGTCATGACGTCACTGAATAAACACGTGTTTTCAAGGGCCAAGCCCGCCATAACTCGAGAACATACCCCACGTACCGCCGCGACTCGAGAAAAACCAGGAGACTTCCCCTAGATGCGATATGAGGCCTGATTCCCTGCAGTCCATGCAGAGCATTCCCGTGATCCCAATCAAGCAAGTCAGCAGCTTCGAATTGCTTAATGGATCTCGAGAGAGTCCCCAGGAACACTGTCACAAGTCTAGACAGACCCTGACATCACCCCAGCAAAGCAAAGCAGGTCCAAGTACCCCACATCACCTCGAGTTGAGGCCCGATTCCCATGCATTGACTCCAGAGCCATCCCCCGTACCCCATTAAACACCACCAGTGGCTTGACTTCCTTCAGGCAACTCCAGAGATGCCCCGAGAACACTGTCCCAAGTCTAGAGGAATACGAACTTCAGCACAGCAACTCGAGGAATGCTCGGTGTACCCCAAATCGTTTCGAGGTGAGAGCTGATTCCATGGCTTAGACTCAAGACGTATGCCAACTTTCCAGAAGCACCTCAAGCGGAGGATTCTCTCAGCAATAGGTATGTTGGAGGGACCCCCACTTTGCTGCCTCAAGTGGAATATACAGCGAGAAGCCCTAACTTGAAAGGAGGCCGGATTTCCTTGCAGTGTCTTGAATACAGGCTCGTCTTTCATCTCACAACCGGAAGGGATGTCTGAATCCCCTGTGTAGAACTTAGAGAAAGCCCTAGGTCCCTGCCTCATTTTGACGGATTGCCTCACATCCCGTTGACACCTCGAGAGGCACGCGGAGTTCACTGCTTCAAAAGGTGATGATGCCTGACTCGTCTTGAATATTGATAGGAATCCCAAAATCCCTGTGGCTATTTGAAAGGTTCCTTGGGTGTCCTGCCTCACCTCGAGAAGCATCCCTTGTGCCTGCCAAGCCTCGAAGAGATTCCTGAGCTGTCCCTCGTTACTGGACAGGAGTCCTGACGTCACTGAATAAACAGGAGTTTTTAAGGGCCATCCCCGCTCTAAACCGAGTACATACCCCAGGTCCCCGCCGCAAGTCGAGAAAAACCATGAGACTTTCCCCTAGTGGCGAGATGAGGCCCGATTCTCCTGCAGTGCATGCAGAGCAATTCCGTGATCCCCATCAAACAAGTCAGGACCTTCAACTTGCTTAATGGATCTCGAGACAGTCCCCAAGAATACGGTCACATGTCTAGACGGATCCTGAGGTCACCCCATCAACGCAAAGCAGCACCATGTGCCCCACATCAACTCGAGATAATGCCCGATTCCCCTGCATTGACTCCAGAGCCATCCCCCGTTCCACATTAAACACCACCAGTGGCTTGACTTCCTTCAGACAACTCCAGAGATGCCCTGAGAACACTGTCCCAAGTCTAGAGGAACACCATCTTCAGCACAGCAACTCGAGGAATGCTCCGTGTACCCCAAATCGTCTCGAGATGAGAGCTGATTCCCTGGCTTAGGCTCAAGACGTATGCCAACTTTCCAGAAGCACCTCAAGGGGAGGCTTCTCTCAGCAATAGGTATGTTGGAGGGACCCCCAGTTTGCTGCCTCAAGTGGAATATGCAGCGAGAAGCCCTAACTTGAAAGGAGGCCGGGTTTCCTTGCAGTGTCTTGAATACAGGCTCGTCTTTCATCTCACAACGGGAAGGAATGTCTGAATCCCCTGTGGAGACCTTAGCGAAAGCCCTAGGTCCCTGCCTCATTTTGACGGATTGCCTCACATCCCGTTGACACCTCGAGAGGCACCCGGAGTTCACTGCTTCAAATGTGATGATGCCTGACTCCTCCTGAACATTGATAGGAATCCCAAAATCACTGTGGCTACTGGAAAGGGTTCTTGTGTGCCCTGCCTCACCTCGAGAAGCATCCCTTTTGCCCTGCCAAGGCTCGAAAAGATTCCTGAGGTGTCCCTCATTACTAGACAGGAGTCATGACGTCACTGAATAAACACGTGTTTTCAAGGGCCAAGCCCGCCATAACTCGAGAACATACCCCACGTACCGCCGCGACTCGAGAAAAACCATGAGACTTCCCCTAGATGCGATATGAGGCATGATTCCCTGCAGTCCATGCAGAGCATTCCCGTGATCCGAATCAAGCAAGTCAGCAGCTTCGAATTGCTTAATGGATCTCGAGAGAGTCCCCAGGAACACTGTCACAAGTCTAGACAGACCCTGACATCACCCCAGCAAAGCAAAGCAGGTCCAAGTACCCCACATCACCTCGAGTTGAGGCCCGATTCCCATGCATTGACTCCAGAGCCATCCCCCGTACCCCATTAAACACCACCAGTGGCTTGACTTCCTTCAGGCAACTACAGAGATGCCCCGAGAACACTGTCCCAAGTCTAGAGGAATACGAACTTCAGCACAGCAACTCGAGGAATGCTCGGTGTACCCCAAATCGTTTCGAGGTGAGAGCTGATTCCATGGCTTAGGCTCAAGACGTATGCCAACTTTCCAGAAGCACCTCAAGCGGAGGATTCTCTCAGCAATAGGTATGTTGGAGGGACCCCCACTTTGCTGCCTCAAGTGGAATATACAGCGAGAAGCCCTAACTTGAAAGGAGGCCGGAATTCCTCGCAGTGTCTTGAATACAGGCTCGTCTTTCATCTCACAACCGGAAGGGATGTCTGAATCCCCTGTGTAGAACTTAGAGAAAGCCCTAGGTCCCTGCCTCATTTTGACGGATTGCCTCACATCCCGTTGACACCTCGAGAGGCACGCGGAGTTCACTGCTTCAAAAGGTGATGATGCCTGACTCGTCTTGAATATTGATAGGAATCCCAAAATCCCTGTGGCTATTTGAAAGTTTCCTTGGGTGTCCTGCCTCACCTCGAGAAGCGTCCCTTGTGCCTGCCAAGCCTCGAAGAGATTCCTGAGCTGTCCCTCGTTACTGGACAGGAGTCCTGACGTCACTGAATAAACAGGAGTTTTTAAGGGCCATCCCCGCTGTAACCCGAGTACATACCCCAGGTCCCCGCCGCAAGTCGAGAAAAACCATGAGACTTTCCCCTAGTGGCGAGATGAGGCCCGATTCTCATGCAGTGCATGCAGAGCAATTCTGAGATCCCCATCAAACAACTCAGGACCTTCGACTTGCTTAATGGATCTCGAGACAGTCCCCAAGAATACTGTCACATGTCTAGACGGATCCTGAGGTCACCCCATCAACGCAAAGCAGCACCATGTGCCCCACATCGACTCGAGATCATGCCCGATTCCCCTGCATTGACTCCAGAGCCATCCCCCGTTCCACATTAAACACCACCAGTGGCTTGACTTCCTTCAGACAACTCCAGAGATGCCCTAGGAACACTGTCCCAAGTCTAGAGGAACACCATCTTCAGCACAGCAACTCGAGGAATGCTCCGTGTACCCCAAATCGTCTCGAGATGAGAGCTGATTCCCTGGCTTAGGCTCAAGACGTATGCCAACTTTCCAGAAGCACCTCAAGGGGAGGCTTCTCTCAGCAATGGGTATGTTGGAGGGACCCCCAGTTTGCTGCCTCAAGTGGAATATGCAGCGAGAAGCCCTAACTTGAAAGGAGGCCGGGTTTCCTTGCAGTGTCTTGAATACAGGCTCGTCTTTCATCTCACAACGGGAAGGAATGTCTGAATCCCCTGTGGAGACCTTAGCGAAAGCCCTAGGTCCCTGCCTCATTTTGACGGATTGCCTCACATCCCGTTGACACCTCGAGAGGCACCCGGAGTTCACTGCTTCAAATGTGACGATGCCTGACTCCTCCTGAACATTGATAGGAATCCCAAAATCACTGTGGCTACAGGAAAGGGTTCTTGTGTGCCCTGCATCACCTCGAGAAGCATCCCTTTTGCCCTGCCAAGGCTCGAAAAGGTTCCTGAGGTGTCCCTCATTACTAGACAGGAGTCATGACGTCACTGAATAAACACGTGTTTTCAAGGGCCAAGCCCGCCATAACTCGAGAACATACCCCACGTACCGCCGCGACTCGAGAAAAACCATGAGACTTCCCCTAGATGCGATATGAGGCCTGATTCCCTGCAGTCCATGCAGAGCATTCCCGTGATCCCAATCAAGCAAGTCAGCAGCTTCGAATTGCTTAATGGATCTCGAGAGAGTCCCCAGGAACACTGTCACAAGTCTAGACAGACCCTGACATCACCCCAGCAAAGCAAAGCAGGTCCAGGTACCCCACATCACCTCGAGTTGAGGCCCGATTCCCATGCATTGACTCCAGAGCCATCCCCCGTACCCCATTAAACACCACCAGTGGCTTGACTTCCTTCAGGCAACTCCAGAGATGCCCCGAGAACACTGTCCCAAGTCTAGAGGAATACGAACTTCAGCACAGCAACTCGAGGAATGCTCCGTGTACCCCAAATCGTTTCGAGGTGAGAGCTGATTCCATGGCTTAGGCTCAAGACGTATGCCAACTTTCCAGAAGCCCCTGAAGAGGAGGCTTCTCTCAGCAATAAGTATGTGGGAGGGACCCCGAATTTGCTGCCTCAAGTGGAATATACAGCGAGAAGCCCTAACTTGAAAGGAGGCCGGATTTCCTTGCAGTGGCTTGAATACAGGCTCGTCTTTCATCTCACAGCATGAAGGGATGTCTGAATCCCCTGTGGAGACCTTAGAGAAAGCTCTAGGTCCCTGCCTCATTTTGACGGAATGCCTCACATCCCGTTGACACTTCGAGAGGCACGCGGAATTCACTGCTTCAAAAGGTGATGATGCCTGACTCGTCTTGAATATTGATAGGAATCCCAAAATCCCTGTGGCTATTTGAAAGGTTCCTTGGGTGTCCTGCCTCACCTCGAGAAGCGTCCCTTGTGCCTGCCAAGCCTCGAAGAGATTCCTGAGCTGTCCCTCGTTACTGGACAGGAGTCCTGACGTCACTGAATAAACAGGAGTTTTTAAGGGCCATCCCCGCTGTAACCCGAGTACATACCCCAGGTCCCCGCCGCAAGTCGAGAAAAACCATGAGACTTTCCCCTAGTGGCGAGATGAGGCCCGATTCACCTGCAGTGCATGCAGAGCAATTCCGTGATCCCCATCAAACAAGTCAGGACATTCGACTTGCTTAATGGATCTCGAGACAGTCCCCAAGAATACTGTCAAATGTCTAGACGGATCCTGAGGTCACCCCATCAACGCAAAGCAGCACCATGTGCCCCACATCAACTCGAGATAATGCCCGATTCCCCTGCATTGACTCCAGAGCCATCCCCCGTTCCACATTAAACACCACCAGTGGCTTGACTTCCTTCAGACAACTCCAGAGATGCCCTGAGAACACTGTCCCAAGTCTAGAGGAACACCATCTTCAGCACAGCAACTCGAGGAATGCTCCGTGTACCCCAAATCGTCTCGAGATGAGAGCTGATTCCCTCGCTTAGGCTCAAGACGTATGCCAACTTTCCAGAAGCACCTCAAGGGGAGGCTTCTCTCAGCAATAGGTATGTTGGAGGGACCCCAAGTTTGCTGCCTCAAGTGGAATATGCAGCGAGAAGCCCTAACTTGAAAGGAGGCCGGGTTTCCTTGCAGTGTCTTGAATACAGGCTCGTCTTTCATCTCACAACGGGAAGGAATGTCTGAATCCCCTGTGGAGACCTTAGCGAAAGCCCTAGGTCCCTGCCTCATTTTGACGGATTGCCTCACATCCCGTTGACACCTCGAGAGGCACCCGGAGTTCACTGCTTCAAATGTGACGATGCCTGACTCCTCCTGAACATTGATAGGAATCCCAAAATCACTGTGGCTACAGGAAAGGGTTCTTGTGTTCCCTGCCTCACCTCGAGAAGCATCCCTTTTGCCCTGCCAAGGCTCGAAAAGATTCCTGAGTTGTCCCTCATTACTAGACAGGAGTCATGACGTCACTGAATAAACACGTGTTTTCAAGGGCCAAGCCCGCCATAACTCGAGAACATACCCCACGTACCGCCGCGACTCGAGAAAAACCAGGAGACTTCCCCTAGATGCGATATGAGGCCTGATTCCCTGCAGTCCATGCAGAGCATTCCCGTGATCCCAATCAAGCAAGTCAGCAGCTTCGAATTGCTTAATGGATCTCGAGAGAGTCCCCAGGAACACTGTCACAAGTCTAGACAGACCCTGACATCACCCCAGCAAAGCAAAGCAGGTCCAAGTACCCCACATCACCTCGAGTTGAGGCCCGATTCCCATGCATTGACTCCAGAGCCATCCCCCGTACCCCATTAAACACCACCAGTGGCTTGACTTCCTTCAGGCAACTCCAGAGATGCCCCGAGAACACTGTCCCAAGTCTAGAGGAATACGAACTTCAGCACAGCAACTCGAGGAATGCTCCGTGTACCCCAAATCGTTTCGAGGTGAGAGCTGATTCCATGGCTTAGGCTCAAGACGTATGCCAACTTTCCAGAAGCCCCTCAAGAGGAGGCTTCTCACAGCAATAGGTATGTGGGAGGGACCCCGAATTTGCTGCCTCAAGTGGAATATACAGCGAGAAGCCCTAACTTGAAAGGAGGCCGGATTTCCTTGCAGTGTCTTGAATACAGGCTCGTCTTTCATCTCACAGCATGAAGGGATGTCTGAATCCCCTGTGGAGACCTTAAAGAAAGCTCTAGGTCCCTGCCTCATTTTGACGGAATACCTCACATCCCGTTGACACCTCGAGAGGCACACGGAGTTCACTGCTTCAAATGTGACGATGCCTGACTCCTCCTGAACATTGATAGGAATCCCAAAATCACTGTGGCTACAGGAAAGGGTTCTTGTGTGCCCTGCCTCACCTCGAGAAGCATCCCTTTTGCCCTGCCAAGGCTCGAAAAGATTCCTGAGGTGTCCCTCATTACTAGACAGGAGTCATGACGTCACTGAATAAACACGTGTTTTCAAGGGCCAAGCCCGCCATAACTCGAGAACATACCCCACGTACCGCCGCGACTCGAGAAAAACCAGGAGACTTCCCCTAGATGCGATATGAGGCCTGATTCCCTCCAGTCCATGCAGAGCATTCCCATGATCCCAATCAAGCAAGTCAGCAGCTTCGAATTGCTTAATGGATCTCGAGAGAGTCCCCAGGAACACTGTCACAAGTCTAGACAGACCCTGACATCACCCCAGCAAAGCAAAGCAGGTCCAAGTACCCCACATCACCTCGAGTTGAGGCCCGATTCCCATGCATTGACTCCAGAGCCATCCCCCGTACCCCATTAAACACCACCAGTGGCTTGACTTCCTTCAGGCAACTCCAGAGATGCCCCGAGAACACTGTCCCAAGTCTAGAGGAATACGAACTTCAGCACAGCAACTCGAGGAATGCTCGGTGTACCCCAAATCGTTTCGAGGTGAGAGCTGATTCCATGGCTTAGGCTCAAGACGTATGCCAACTTTCCAGAAGCACCTCAAGCGGAGGATTCTCTCAGCAATAGATATGTTGGAGGGACCCCCACTTTGCTGCCTCAAGTGGAATATACAGCAAGAAGCCCTAACTCGAAAGGAGGCTGGATTTCCTTGCAGTGTCTTGAATACAGGCTCGTCTTTCATCTCACAACCGGAAGGGATGTCTGAATCCCCTGTGTAGAACTTAGAGAAAGCCCTAGGTCCCTGCCTCATTTTGACGGATTGCCTCACATCCCGTTGACACCTCGAAAGGCGCGCGGAGTTCACTGCTTCAAAAGGTGATGATGCCTGACTCGTCTTGAATATTGATAGGAATCCCAAAATCCCTGTGGCTATTTGAAAGGTTCCTTGGGTGTCCTGCCTCACCTCGAGAAGCGTCCCTTGTGCCTGCCAAGCCTCGAAGAAATTCCTGAGCTGTCCCTCGTTACTGGATAGGAGTCCTGATGTCACTGAATAAACAGGAGTTTTTAAGGGCCATCCCCGCTGTAAACCGAGTACATACCCCAGGTCCCCGCCGCAAGTCGAGAAAAACCATGAGACTTTCCCCTAGTGGCGAGATGAGGCCCGATTCTCCTGCAGTGCATGCAGAGCAATTCCGTGATCCCCATCAAACAAGTCAGGACCTTCGACTTGCTTAATGGATCTCGAGACAGTCCCCAAGAATACTGTCACATGTCTAGACGGATCCTGAGGTCACCCCATCAACGCAAAGCAGCACCATGTGCCCCACATCAACTCGAGATAATGCCCGATTCCCCTGCATTGACTCCAGAGCCATCCCCCGATCCACATTAAACACCACCAGTGGCTTGACTTCCTTCAGACAACTCCAGAGATGCCCTGAGAACACTGTCCCAAGTCTAGAGGAACACCATCTTCAGCACAGCAACTCGAGGAATGCTCCGTGTACCCCAAATCGTCTCGAGATGAGAGCTGATTCCCTGGCTTAGGCTCAAGACGTATGCCAACTTTCCAGAAGCACCTCAAGGTGAGGCTTCTCTCATCAATAGGTATGTTGGAGGGACCCCCAGTTTGCTGCCTCAAGTGGAATATGCAGCGAGAAGCCCTAACTTGAAAGGAGGCCGGGTTTCCTTGCAGTGTCTTGAATACAGGCTCGTCTTTCATCTCACAACGGGAAGGAATGTCTGAATCCCCTGTGGAGACCTTAGCGAAAGCCCTAGGTCCCTGCCTCATTTTGACGGATTGCCTCACATCCCGTTGACACCTCGAGAGGCACCCGGAGTTCACTGCTTCAAATGTGATGATGCCTGACTCCTCCTGAACATTGATAGGAATCCCACAATCACTGTGGCTACTGGAAAGGGTTCTTGTGTGCCCTGCCTCACCTCGAGAAGCATCCCTTTTGCCCTGCCAAGGCTCGAAAAGATTCCTGAGGTGTCCCTCATTACTAGACAGGAGTCATGACGTCACTGAATAAACACGTGTTTTCAAGGGCCAAGCCCGCCATAACTCGAGAACATACCCCACGTACCGCCGCGACTCGAGAAAAACCATGAGACTTCCCCTAGATGCGATATGAGGCCTGATTCCCTGCAGTCCATGCAGAGCATTCCCGTGATCCCAATCAAGCAAGTCAGCAGCTTCGAATTGCTTAATGGATCTCGAGAGAGTCCCCAGGAACACTGTCACAAGTCTAGACAGACCCTGACATCACCCCAGCAAAGCAAAGCAGGTCCAAGTACCCCACATCACCTCGAGTTGAGGCCCGATTCCCATGCATTGACTCCAGAGCCATCCCCCGTACCCCATTAAACACCACCAGTGGCTTGACTTCCTTCAGGCAACTACAGAGATGCCCCGAGAACACTGTCCCAAGTCTAGAGGAATACGAACTTCAGCACAGCAACTCGAGGAATGCTCGGTGTACCCCAAATCGTTTCGAGGTGAGAGCTGATTCCATGGCTTAGGCTCAAGACGTATGCCAACTTTCCAGAAGCACCTCAAGCAGAGGATTCTCTCAGCAATAGATATGTTGGAGGGACCCCCACTTTGCTGCCTCAAGTGGAATATACAGCGAGAAGCCCTAACTTGAAAGGAGGCCGGATTTCCTTGCAGTGTCTTGAATACAGGCTCGTCTTTCATCTCACAACCGGAAGGGATGTCTGAATCCCCTGTGTAGAACTTAGAGAAAGCCCTAGGTCCCTGCCTCATTTTGACGGATTGCCTCACATCCCGTTGACACCTCGAGAGGCACGCGGAGTTCACTGCTTCAAAAGGTGATGATGCCTGACTCGTCTTGAATATTGATAGGAATCCCCAAATCCCTGTGGCTATTTGAATGGTTCCTTGGGTGTCCTGCCTCACCTCGAGAAGCGTCCCTTGTGCCTGCCAAGCCTGGAAGAGATTCCTGAGCTGTCCCTCGTTACTGGACAGGAGTCCTGACGTCACTGAATAAACAGGAGTTTTTAAGGGCCATCCCCGCTGTAACCCGAGTACATACCCCAGGTCCCCGCCGCAAGTCGAGAAAAACCATGAGACTTTCCCCTAGTGGCGAGATGAGGCCCGATTCTCATGCAGTGCATGCAGAGCAATTCTGAGATCCCCATCAAACAAGTCAGGACCTTCGACTTGCTTAATGGATCTCGAGACAGTCCCCAAGAATACTGTCACATGTCTAGACGGATCCTGAGGTCACCCCATCAACGCAAAGCAGCACCATGTGCCCCACATCGACTCGAGATCATGCCCGATTCCCCTGCATTGACTCCAGAGCCATCCCCCGTTCCACATTAAACACCACCAGTGGCTTGACTTCCTTCAGACAACTCCAGAGATGCCCTAGGAACACTGTCCCAAGTCTAGAGGAACACCATCTTCAGCACAGCAACTCGAGGAATGCTCCGTGTACCCCAAATCGTTTCGAGGTGAGAGCTGATTCCATGGCTTAGGCTCAAGACGTATGCCAACTTTCCAGAAGCCCCTCAAGAGGAGGCTTCTCACAGCAATAGGTATGTGGGAGGGACCCCGAATTTGCTGCCTCAAGTGGAATATACAGCGAGAAGCCCTAACTTGAAAGGAGGCCGGATTTCCTTGCAGTGTCTTGAATACAGGCTCGTCTTTCATCTCACAGCATGAAGGGATGTCTGAATCCCCTGTGGAGACCTTAAAGAAAGCTCTAGGTCCCTGCCTCATTTTGACGGAATACCTCACATCCCGTTGACACCTCGAGAGGCACACGGAGTTCACTGCTTCAAATGTGACGATGCCTGACTCCTCCTGAACATTGATAGGAATCCCAAAATCACTGTGGCTACAGGAAAGGGTTCTTGTGTGCCCTGCCTCACCTCGAGAAGCATCCCTTTTGCCCTGCCAAGGCTCGAAAAGATTCCTGAGGTGTCCCTCATTACTAGACAGGAGTCATGACGTCACTGAATAAACACGTGTTTTCAAGGGCCAAGCCCGCCATAACTCGAGAACATACCCCACGTACCGCCGCGACTCGAGAAAAACCAGGAGACTTCCCCTAGATGCGATATGAGGCCTGATTCCCTGCAGTCCATGCAGAGCATTCCCGTGATCCCAATCAAGCAAGTCAGCAGCTTCGAATTGCTTAATGGATCTCGAGAGAGTCCCCAGGAACACTGTCACAAGTCTAGACAGACCCTGACATCACCCCAGCAAAGCAAAGCAGGTCCAAGTACCCCACATCACCTCGAGTTGAGGCCCGATTCCCATGCATTGACTCCAGAGCCATCCCCCGTACCCCATTAAACACCACCAGTGGCTTGACTTCCTTCAGGCAACTCCAGAGATGCCCCGAGAACACTGTCCCAAGTCTAGAGGAATACGAACTTCAGCACAGCAACTCGAGGAATGCTCGGTGTACCCCAAATCGTTTCGAGGTGAGAGCTGATTCCATGGCTTAGGCTCAAGACGTATGCCAACTTTCCAGAAGCACCTCAAGCGGAGGATTCTCTCAGCAATAGATATGTTGGAGGGACCCCCACTTTGCTGCCTCAAGTGGAATATACAGCAAGAAGCCCTAACTCGAAAGGAGGCTGGATTTCCTTGCAGTGTCTTGAATACAGGCTCGTCTTTCATCTCACAACCGGAAGGGATGTCTGAATCCCCTGTGTAGAACTTAGAGAAAGCCCTAGGTCCCTGCCTCATTTTGACGGATTGCCTCACATCCCGTTGACACCTCGAAAGGCACGCGGAGTTCACTGCTTCAAAAGGTGATGATGCCTGACTCGTCTTGAATATTGATAGGAATCCCAAAATCCCTGTGGCTATTTGAAAGGTTCCTTGGGTGTCCTGCCTCACCTCGAGAAGCGTCCCTTGTGCCTGCCAAGCCTCGAAGAAATTCCTGAGCTGTCCCTCGTTACTGGATAGGAGTCCTGATGTCACTGAATAAACAGGAGTTTTTAAGGGCCATCCCCGCTGTAAACCGAGTACATACCCCAGGTCCCCGCCGCAAGTCGAGAAAAACCATGAGACTTTCCCCTAGTGGCGAGATGAGGCCCGATTCTCCTGCAGTGCACGCAGAGCAATTCCGTGATCCCCATCAAACAAGTCAGGACCTTCGACTTGCTTAATGGATCTCGAGACAGTCCCCAAGAATACTGTCACATGTCTAGACGGATCCTGAGGTCACCCCATCAACGCAAAGCAGCACCATGTGCCCCACATCAACTCGAGATAATGCCCGATTCCCCTGCATTGACTCCAGAGCCATCCCCCGATCCACATTAAACACCACCAGTGGCTTGACTTCCTTCAGACAACTCCAGAGATGCCCTGAGAACACTGTCCCAAGTCTAGAGGAACACCATCTTCAGCACAGCAACTCGAGGAATGCTCCGTGTACCCCAAATCGTCTCGAGATGAGAGCTGATTCCCTGGCTTAGGCTCAAGACGTATGCCAACTTTCCAGAAGCACCTCAAGGTGAGGCTTCTCTCATCAATAGGTATGTTGGAGGGACCCCCAGTTTGCTGCCTCAAGTGGAATATGCAGCGAGAAGCCCTAACTTGAAAGGAGGCCGGGTTTCCTTGCAGTGTCTTGAATACAGGCTCGTCTTTCATCTCACAACGGGAAGGAATGTCTGAATCCCCTGTGGAGACCTTAGCGAAAGCCCTAGGTCCCTGCCTCATTTTGACGGATTGCCTCACATCCCGTTGACACCTCGAGAGGCACCCGGAGTTCACTGCTTCAAATGTGATGATGCCTGACTCCTCCTGAACATTGATAGGAATCCCACAATCACTGTGGCTACTGGAAAGGGTTCTTGTGTGCCCTGCCTCACCTCGAGAAGCATCCCTTTTGCCCTGCCAAGGCTCGAAAAGATTCCTGAGGTGTCCCTCATTACTAGACAGGAGTCATGACGTCACTGAATAAACACGTGTTTTCAAGGGCCAAGCCCGCCATAACTCGAGAACATACCCCACGTACCGCCGCGACTCGAGAAAAACCATGAGACTTCCCCTAGATGCGATATGAGGCCTGATTCCCTGCAGTCCATGCAGAGCATTCCCGTGATCCCAATCAAGCAAGTCAGCAGCTTCGAATTGCTTAATGGATCTCGAGAGAGTCCCCAGGAACACTGTCACAAGTCTAGACAGACCCTGACATCACCCCAGCAAAGCAAAGCAGGTCCAAGTACCCCACATCACCTCGAGTTGAGGCCCGATTCCCATGCATTGACTCCAGAGCCATCCCCCGTACCCCATTAAACACCACCAGTGGCTTGACTTCCTTCAGGCAACTACAGAGATGCCCCGAGAACACTGTCCCAAGTCTAGAGGAATACGAACTTCAGCACAGCAACTCGAGGAATGCTCGGTGTACCCCAAATCGTTTCGAGGTGAGAGCTGATTCCATGGCTTAGGCTCAAGACGTATGCCAACTTTCCAGAAGCACCTCAAGCAGAGGATTCTCTCATCAATAGATATGTTGGAGGGACCCCCACTTTGCTGCCTCAAGTGGAATATACAGCGAGAAGCCCTAACTTGAAAGGAGGCCGGATTTCCTTGCAGTGTCTTGAATACAGGCTCGTCTTTCATCTCACAACCGGAAGGGATGTCTGAATCCCCTGTGTAGAACTTAGAGAAAGCCCTAGGTCCCTGCCTCATTTTGACGGATTGCCTCACATCCCGTTGACACCTCGAGAGGCACGCGGAGTTCACTGCTTCAAAAGGTGATGATGCCTGACTCGTCTTGAATATTGATAGGAATCCCCAAATCCCTGTGGCTATTTGAATGGTTCCTTGGGTGTCCTGCCTCACCTCGAGAAGCGTCCCTTGTGCCTGCCAAGCCTGGAAGAGATTCCTGAGCTGTCCCTCGTTACTGGACAGGAGTCCTGACGTCACTGAATAAACAGGAGTTTTTAAGGGCCATCCCCGCTGTAACCCGAGTACATACCCCAGGTCCCCGCCGCAAGTCGAGAAAAACCATGAGACTTTCCCCTAGTGGCGAGATGAGGCCCGATTCTCATGCAGTGCATGCAGAGCAATTCTGAGATCCCCATCAAACAAGTCAGGACCTTCGACTTGCTTAATGGATCTCGAGACAGTCCCCAAGAATACTGTCACATGTCTAGACGGATCCTGAGGTCACCCCATCAACGCAAAGCAGCACCATGTGCCCCACATCGACTCGAGATCATGCCCGATTCCCCTGCATTGACTCCAGAGCCATCCCCCGTTCCACATTAAACACCACCAGTGGCTTGACTTCCTTCAGACAACTCCAGAGATGCCCTAGGAACACTGTCCCAAGTCTAGAGGAACACCATCTTCAGCACAGCAACTCGAGGAATGCTCCGTGTACCCCAAATCGTCTCGAGATGAGAGCTGATTCCCTGGCTTAGGCTCAAGACGTATGCCAACTTTCCAGAAGCACCTCAAGGGGAGGCTTCTCTCAGCAATAGGTATGTTGGAGGGACCCCCAGTTTGCTGCCTCAAGTGGAATATGCAGCGAGAAGCCCTAACTTGAAAGGAGGCCGGGTTTCCTTGCAGTGTCTTGAATACAGGCTCGTCTTTCATCTCACAACGGGAAGGAATGTCTGAATCCCCTGTGGAGACCTTAGCGAAAGCCCTAGGTCCCTGCCTCATTTTGACGGATTGCCTCACATCCCGTTGACACCTCGAGAGGCACCCGGAGTTCACTGCTTCAAATGTGACGATGCCTGACTCCTCCTGAACATTGATAGGAATCCCAAAATCACTGTGGCTACAGGAAAGGGTTCTTGTGTGCCCTGCATCACCTCGAGAAGCATCCCTTTTGCCCTGCCAAGGCTCGAAAAGGTTCCTGAGGTGTCCCTCATTACTAGACAGGAGTCATGACGTCACTGAATAAACACGTGTTTTCAAGGGCCAAGCCCGCCATAACTCGAGAACATACCCCACGTACCGCCGCGACTCGAGAAAAACCAGGAGACTTCCCCTAGATGCGATATGAGGCCTGATTCCCTGCAGTCCATGCAGAGCATTCCCGTGATCCCAATCAAGCAAGTCAGCAGCTTCGAATTGCTTAATGGATCTCGAGAGAGTCCCCAGGAACACTGTCACAAGTCTAGACAGACCCTGACATCACCCCAGCAAAGCAAAGCAGGTCCAAGTACCCCACATCACCTCGAGTTGAGGCCCGATTCCCATGCATTGACTCCAGAGCCATCCCCCGTACCCCATTAAACACCACCAGTGGCTTGACTTCCTTCAGGCAACTCCAGAGATGCCCCGAGAACACTGTCCCAAGTCTAGAGGAATACGAACTTCAGCACAGCAACTCGAGGAATGCTCGGTGTACCCCAAATCGTTTCGAGGTGAGAGCTGATTCCATGGCTTAGGCTCAAGACGTATGCCAACTTTCCAGAAGCACCTCAAGCGGAGGATTCTCTCAGCAATAGATATGTTGGAGGGACCCCCACTTTGCTGCCTCAAGTGGAATATACAGCAAGAAGCACTAACTTGAAAGGAGGCCGGATTTCCTTGCAGTGTCTTGAATACAGGCTCGTCTTTCATCTCACAACCGGAAGGGATGTCTGAATCCCCTGTGTAGAACTTAGAGAAAGCCCTAGGTCCCTGCCTCATTTTGACGGATTGCCTCACATCCCGTTGACACCTCGAAAGGCACGCGGAGTTCACTGCTTCAAAAGGTGATGATGCCTGACTCGTCTTGAATATTGATAGGAATCCCAAAATCCCTGTGGCTATTTGAAAGGTTCCTTGGGTGTCCTGCCTCACCTCGAGAAGCATCCCTTGTGCCTGCCAAGCCTCGAAGAGATTCCTGAGCTGTCCCTCGTTACTGGACAGGAGTCCTGACGTCACTGAATAAACAGGAGTTTTTAAGGGCCATCCCCGCTGTAAACCGAGTACATACCCCAGGTCCCCGCCGCAAGTCGAGAAAAACCATGAGACTTTCCCCTAGTGGCGAGATGAGGCCCGATTCTCCTGCAGTGTATGCAGAGCAATTCCGTGATCCCCATCAAACAAGTCAGGACCTTCAACTTGCTTAATGGATCTCGAGACAGTCCCCAAGAATACGGTCACATGTCTAGACGGATCCTGAGGTCACCCCATCAACGCAAAGCAGCACCATGTGCCCCACATCAACTCGAGATAATGCCCGATTCCCCTGCATTGACTCCAGAGCCATCCCCCGTTCCACATTAAACACCACCAGTGGCTTGACTTCCTTCAGACAACTCCAGAGATGCCCTGAGAACACTGTCCCAAGTCTAGAGGAACACCATCTTCAGCACAGCAACTCGAGGAATGCTCCGTGTACCCCAAATCGTCTCGAGATGAGAGCTGATTCCCTGGCTTAGGCTCAAGACGTATGCCAACTTTCCAGAAGCACCTCAAGGGGAGGCTTCTCTCAGCAATAGGTATGTTGGAGGGACCCCCAGTTTGCTGCCTCAAGTGGAATATGCAGCGAGAAGCCCTAACTTGAAAGGAGGCCGGGTTTCCTTGTAGTGTCTTGAATACAGGCTCGTCTTTCATCTCACAACGGGAAGGAATGTCTGAATCCCCTGTGGAGACCTTAGCGAAAGCCCTAGGTCCCTGCCTCATTTTGACGGATTGCCTCACATCCCGTTGACACCTCGAGAGGCACCCGGAGTTCACTGCTTCAAATGTGATGATGCCTGACTCCTCCTGAACATTGATAGGAATCCCAAAATCACTGTGGCTACTGGAAAGGGTTCTTGTGTGCCCTGCCTCACCTCGAGAAGCATCCCTTTTGCCCTGCCAAGGCTCGAAAAGATTCCTGAGGTGTCCCTCATTACCAGACAGGAGTCATGACGTCACTGAATAAACACGTGTTTTCAAGGGCCAAGCCCGCCATAACTCGAGAACATACCCCACGTACCGCCGCGACTCGAGAAAAACCATGAGACTTCCCCTAGATGCGATATGAGGCATGATTCCCTGCAGTCCATGCAGAGCATTCCCGTGATCCGAATCAAGCAAGTCAGCAGCTTCGAATTGCTTAATGGATCTCGAGAGAGTCCCCAGGAACACTGTCACAAGTCTAGACAGACCCTGACATCACCCCAGCAAAGCAAAGCAGGTCCAAGTACCCCACATCACCTCGAGTTGAGGCCCGATTCCCATGCATTGACTCCAGAGCCATCCCCCGTACCCCATTAAACACCACCAGTGGCTTGACTTCCTTCAGGCAACTACAGAGATGCCCCGAGAACACTGTCCCAAGTCTAGAGGAATACGAACTTCAGCACAGCAACTCGAGGAATGCTCGGTGTACCCCAAATCGTTTCGAGGTGAGAGCTGATTCCATGGCTTAGGCTCAAGACGTATGCCAACTTTCCAGAAGCACCTCAAGCGGAGGATTCTCTCAGCAATAGGTATGTTGGAGGGACCCCCACTTTGCTGCCTCAAGTGGAATATACAGCGAGAAGCCCTAACTTGAAAGGAGGCCGGATTTCCTTGCAGTGTCTTGAATACAGGCTCGTCTTTCATCTCACAACCGGAAGGGATGTCTGAATCCCCTGTGTAGAACTTAGAGAAAGCCCTAGGTCCCTGCCTCATTTTGACGGATTGCCTCACATCCCGTTGACACCTCGAGAGGCACGCGGAGTTCACTGCTTCAAAAGGTGATGATGCCTGACTCGTCTTGAATATTGATAGGAATCCCAAAATCCCTGTGGCTATTTGAAAGGTTCCTTGGGTGTCCTGCCTCACCTCGAGAAGCATCCCTTGTGCCTGCCAAGCCTCGAAGAGATTCCTGAGCTGTCCCTCGTTACTGGACAGGAGTCCTGACGTCACTGAATAAACAGGAGTTTTTAAGGGCCATCCCCGCTGTAAACCGAGTACATACCCCAGGTCCCCGCCGCAAGTCGAGAAAAACCATGAGACTTTCCCCTAGTGGCGAGATGAAGCCCGATTCTCCTGCAGTGCATGCAGAGCAATTCCGTGATCCCCATCAAACAAGTCAGGACCTTCAACTTGCTTAATGGATCTCGAGACAGTCCCCAAGAATACGGTCACATGTCTAGACGGATCCTGAGGTCACCCCATCAACGCAAAGCAGCACCATGTGCCCCACATCAACTCGAGATAATGCCCGATTCCCCTGCATTGACTCCAGAGCCATCCCCCGTTCCACATTAAACACCACCAGTGGCTTGACTTCCTTCAGACAACTCCAGAGATGCCCTGAGAACACTGTCCCAAGTCTAGAGGAACACCATCTTCAGCACAGCAACTCGAGGAATGCTCCGTGTACCCCAAATCGTCTCGAGATGAGAGCTGATTCCCTGGCTTAGGCTCAAGACGTATGCCAACTTTCCAGAAGCACCTCAAGGGGAGGCTTCTCTCAGCAATAGGTATGTTGGAGGGACCCCCAGTTTGCTGCCTCAAGTGGAATATGCAGCGAGAAGCCCTAACTTGAAAGGAGGCCGGGTTTCCTTGCAGTGTCTTGAATACAGGCTCGTCTTTCATCTCACAACGGGAAGGAATGTCTGAATCCCCTGTGGAGACCTTAGCGAAAGCCCTAGGTCCCTGCCTCATTTTGACGGATTGCCTCACATCCCGTTGACACCTCGAGAGGCACCCGGAGTTCACTGCTTCAAATGTGATGATGCCTGACTCCTCCTGAACATTGATAGGAATCCCAAAATCACTGTGGCTACTGGAAAGGGTTCTTGTGTGCCCTGCCTCACCTCGAGAAGCATCCCTTTTGCCCTGCCAAGGCTCGAAAAGTTTCCTGAGGTGTCCCTCATTACTAGACAGGAGTCATGACGTCACTGAATAAACACGTGTTTTCAAGGGCCAAGCCCGCCATAACTCGAGAACATACCCCACGTACCGCCGCGACTCGAGAAAAACCATGAGACTTCCCCTAGATGCGATATGAGGCATGATTCCCTGCAGTCCATGCAGAGCATTCCCGTGATCCGAATCAAGCAAGTCAGCAGCTTCGAATTGCTTAATGGATCTCGAGAGAGTCCCCAGGAACACTGTCACAAGTCTAGACAGACCCTGACATCACCCCAGCAAAGCAAAGCAGGTCCAAGTACCCCACATCACCTCGAGTTGAGGCCCGATTCCCATGCATTGACTCCAGAGCCATCCCCCGTACCCCATTAAACACCACCAGTGGCTTGACTTCCTTCAGGCAACTACAGAGATGCCCCGAGAACACTGTCCCAAGTCTAGAGGAATACGAACTTCAGCACAGCAACTCGAGGAATGCTCGGTGTACCCCAAATCGTTTCGAGGTGAGAGCTGATTCCATGGCTTAGGCTCAAGACGTATGCCAACTTTCCAGAAGCACCTCAAGCGGAGGATTCTCTCAGCAATAGGTATGTTGGAGGGACCCCCACTTTGCTGCCTCAAGTGGAATATACAGCGAGAAGCCCTAACTTGAAAGGAGGCCGGATTTCCTCGCAGTGTCTTGAATACAGGCTCGTCTTTCATCTCACAACCGGAAGGGATGTCTGAATCCCCTGTGTAGAACTTAGAGAAAGCCCTAGGTCCCTGCCTCATTTTGACGGATTGCCTCACATCCCGTTGACACCTCGAGAGGCACGCGGAGTTCACTGCTTCAAAAGGTGATGATGCCTGACTCGTCTTGAATATTGATAGGAATCCCAAAATCCCTGTGGCTATTTGAAAGTTTCCTTGGGTGTCCTGCCTCACCTCGAGAAGCGTCCCTTGTGCCTGCCAAGCCTCGAAGAGATTCCTGAGCTGTCCCTCGTTACTGGACAGGAGTCCTGACGTCACTGAATAAACAGGAGTTTTTAAGGGCCATCCCCGCTGTAACCCGAGTACATACCCCAGGTCCCCGCCGCAAGTCGAGAAAAACCATGAGACTTTCCCCTAGTGGCGAGATGAGGCCCGATTCTCATGCAGTGCATGCAGAGCAATTCTGAGATCCCCATCAAACAAGTCAGGACCTTCGACTTGCTTAATGGATCTCGAGACAGTCCCCAAGAATACTGTCACATGTCTAGACGGATCCTGAGGTCACCCCATCAACGCAAAGCAGCACCATGTGCCCCACATCGACTCGAGATCATGCCCGATTCCCCTGCATTGACTCCAGAGCCATCCCCCGTTCCACATTAAACACCACCAGTGGCTTGACTTCCTTCAGACAACTCCAGAGATGCCCTAGGAACACTGTCCCAAGTCTAGAGGAACACCATCTTCAGCACAGCAACTCGAGGAATGCTCCGTGTACCCCAAATCGTTTCGAGGTGAGAGCTGATTCCCTGGCTTAGGCTCAAGACGTATGCCAACTTTCCAGAAGCACCTCAAGGGGAGGCTTCTCTCAGCAATGGGTATGTTGGAGGGACCCCCAGTTTGCTGCCTCAAGTGGAATATGCAGCGAGAAGCCCTAACTTGAAAGGAGGCCGGGTTTCCTTGCAGTGTCTTGAATACAGGCTCGTCTTTCATCTCACAACGGGAAGGAATGTCTGAATCCCCTGTGGAGACCTTAGCGAAAGCCCTAGGTCCCTGCCTCATTTTGACGGATTGCCTCACATCCCGTTGACACCTCGAGAGGCACCCGGAGTTCACTGCTTCAAATGTGACGATGCCTGACTCCTCCTGAACATTGATAGGAATCCCAAAATCACTGTGGCTACAGGAAAGGGTTCTTGTGTGCCCTGCATCACCTCGAGAAGCATCCCTTTTGCCCTGCCAAGGCTCGAAAAGGTTCCTGAGGTGTCCCTCATTACTAGACAGGAGTCATGACGTCACTGAATAAACACGTGTTTTCAAGGGCCAAGCCCGCCATAACTCGAGAACATACCCCACGTACCGCCGCGACTCGAGAAAAACCATGAGACTTCCCCTAGATGCGATATGAGGCCTGATTCCCTGCAGTCCATGCAGAGCATTCCCGTGATCCCAATCAAGCAAGTCAGCAGCTTCGAATTGCTTAATGGATCTCGAGAGAGTCCCCAGGAACACTGTCACAAGTCTAGACAGACCCTGACATCACCCCAGCAAAGCAAAGCAGGTCCAGGTACCCCACATCACCTCGAGTTGAGGCCCGATTCCCATGCATTGACTCCAGAGCCATCCCCCGTACCCCATTAAACACCACCAGTGGCTTGACTTCCTTCAGGCAACTCCAGAGATGCCCCGAGAACACTGTCCCAAGTCTAGAGGAATACGAACTTCAGCACAGCAACTCGAGGAATGCTCCGTGTACCCCAAATCGTTTCGAGGTGAGAGCTGATTCCATGGCTTAGGCTCAAGACGTATGCCAACTTTCCAGAAGCCCCTGAAGAGGAGCCTTCTCTCAGCAATAAGTATGTGGGAGGGACCCCGAATTTGCTGCCTCAAGTGGAATATACAGCGAGAAGCCCTAACTTGAAAGGAGGCCGGATTTCCTTGCAGTGGCTTGAATACAGGCTCGTCTTTCATCTCACAGCATGAAGGGATGTCTGAATCCCCTGTGGAGACCTTAGAGAAAGCTCTAGGTCCCTGCCTCATTTTGACGGAATGCCTCACATCCCGTTGACACTTCGAGAGGCACGCGGAATTCACTGCTTCAAAAGGTGATGATGCCTGACTCGTCTTGAATATTGATAGGAATCCCAAAATCCCTGTGGCTATCGGAAAGGTTCCTTGGGTGTCCTGCCTCACCTCGAGAAGCGTCCCTTGTGCCTGCCAAGCCTCGAAGAGATTCCTGAGCTGTCCCTCGTTACTGGACAGGAGTCCTGACGTCACTGAATAAACAGGAGTTTTTAAGGGCCATCCCCGCTGTAACCCGAGTACATACCCCAGGTCCCCGCCGCAAGTCGAGAAAAACCATGAGACTTTCCCCTAGTGGCGAGATGAGGCCCGATTCACCTGCAGTGCATGCAGAGCAATTCCGTGATCCCCATCAAACAAGTCAGGACCTTCGACTTGCTTAATGGATCTCGAGACAGTCCCCAAGAATACTGTCAAATGTCTAGACGGATCCTGAGGTCACCCCATCAACGCAAAGCAGCACCATGTGCCCCACATCAACTCGAGATAATGCCCGATTCCCCTGCATTGACTCCAGAGCCATCCCCCGTTCCACATTAAACACCACCAGTGGCTTGACTTCCTTCAGACAACTCCAGAGATGCCCTGAGAACACTGTCCCAAGTCTAGAGGAACACCATCTTCAGCACAGCAACTCGAGGAATGCTCCGTGTACCCCAAATCGTCTCGAGATGAGAGCTGATTCCCTCGCTTAGGCTCAAGACGTATGCCAACTTTCCAGAAGCACCTCAAGGGGAGGCTTCTCTCAGCAATAGGTATGTTGGAGGGACCCCCAGTTTGCTGCCTCAAGTGGAATATGCAGCGAGAAGCTCTAACTTGAAAGGAGGCCGGGTTTCCTTGCAGTGTCTTGAATACAGGCTCGTCTTTCATCTCACAACGGGAAGGAATGTCTGAATCCCCTGTGGAGACCTTAGCGAAAGCCCTAGGTCCCTGCCTCATTTTGACGGATTGCCTCACATCCCGTTGACACCTCGAGAGGCACCCGGAGTTCACTGCTTCAAATGTGACGATGCCTGACTCCTCCTGAACATTGATAGGAATCCCAAAATCACTGTGGCTACAGGAAAGGGTTCTTGTGTGCCCTGCCTCACCTCGAGAAGCATCCCTTTTGCCCTGCCAAGGCTCGAAAAGATTCCTGAGGTGTCCCTCATTACTAGACAGGAGTCATGACGTCACTGAATAAACACGTGTTTTCAAGGGCCAAGCCCGCCATAACTCGAGAACATACCCCACGTACCGCCGCGACTCGAGAAAAACCAGGAGACTTCCCCTAGATGCGATATGAGGCCTGATTCCCTGCAGTCCATGCAGAGCATTCCCGTGATCCCAATCAAGCAAGTCAGCAGCTTCGAATTGCTTAATGGATCTCGAGAGAGTCCCCAGGAACACTGTCACAAGTCTAGACAGACCCTGACATCACCCCAGCAAAGCAAAGCAGGTCCAAGTACCCCACATCACCTCGAGTTGAGGCCCGATTCCCATGCATTGACTCCAGAGCCATCCCCCGTACCCCATTAAACACCACCAGTGGCTTGACTTCCTTCAGGCAACTCCAGAGATGCCCCGAGAACACTGTCCCAAGTCTAGAGGAATACGAACTTCAGCACAGCAACTCGAGGAATGCTCCGTGTACCCCAAATCGTTTCGAGGTGAGAGCTGATTCCATGGCTTAGGCTCAAGACGTATGCCAACTTTCCAGAAGCCCCTCAAGAGGAGGCTTCTCACAGCAACAGGTATGTGGGAGGGACCCCGAATTTGCTGCCTCAAGTGGAATATACAGCGAGAAGCCCTAACTTTAAAGGAGGCCGGATTTCCTTGCAGTGGCTTGAATACAGGCTCGTCTTTCATCTCACAGCATGAAGGGATGTCTGAATCCCCTGTGGAGACCTTAAAGAAAGCTCTAGGTCCCTGCCTCATTTTGACGGAATACCTCACATCCCGTTGACACCTCGAGAGGCACACGGAGTTCACTGCTTCAAATGTGACGATGCCTGACTCCTCCTGAACATTGATAGGAATCCCAAAATCACTGTGGCTACAGGAAAGGGTTCTTGTGTGCCCTGCCTCACCTCGAGAAGCATCCCTTTTGCCCTGCCAAGGCTCGAAAAGATTCCTGAGGTGTCCCTCATTACTAGACAGGAGTCATGACGTCACTGAATAAACACGTGTTTTCAAGGGCCAAGCCCGCCATAACTCGAGAACATACCCCACGTACCGCCGCGACTCGAGAAAAACCAGGAGACTTCCCCTAGATGCGATATGAGGCCTGATACCCTGCAGTCCATGCAGAGCATTCCCATGATCCCAATCAAGCAAGTCAGCAGCTTCGAATTGCTTAATGGATCTCGAGAGAGTCCCCAGGAACACTGTCACAAGTCTAGACAGACCCTGACATCACCCCAGCAAAGCAAAGCAGGTCCAAGTACCCCACATCACCTCGAGTTGAGGCCCGATTCCCATGCATTGACTCCAGAGCCATCCCCCGTACCCCATTAAACACCACCAGTGGCTTGACTTCCTTCAGGCAACTCCAGGGATGCCCCGAGAACACTGTCCCAAGTCTAGAGGAATACGAACTTCAGCACAGCAACTCGAGGAATGCTCGGTGTACCCCAAATCGTTTCGAGGTGAGAGCTGATTCCATGGCTTAGGCTCAAGACGTATGCCAACTTTCCAGAAGCACCTCAAGAGGAGGCTTCTCTCAGCAATAAGTATGTGGGAGGGACCCCGAATTTGCTGCCTCAAGTGGAATATACAGCGAGAAGCCCTAACTTGAAAGGAGGCCGGATTTCCTTGCAGTGGCTTGAATACAGGCTCGTCTTTCATCTCACAGCATGAAGGGATGTCTGAATCCCCTGTGGAGACCTTAGAGAAAGCTCTAGGTCCCTGCCTCATTTTGACGGAATGCCTCACATCCCGTGGACACTTCGAGAGGCACGCGGAATTCACTGCTTCAAAAGGTGATGATGCCTGACTCGTCTTGAATATTGATAGGAATCCCAAAATCCCTGTGGCTATTTGAAAGGTTCCTTGGGTGTCCTGCCTCACCTCGAGAAGCGTCCCTTTTGCCTGCCAAGCCTCGAAGAGATTCCTGAGCTGTCCCTCGTTACTGGACAGGAGTCCTGACGTCACTGAATAAACAGGAGTTTTTAAGGGCCATCCCCGCTGTAACCCGAGTACATACCCCAGGTCCCCGCCGCAAGTCGAGAAAAACCATGAGACTTTCCCCTAGTGGCGAGATGAGGCCCGATTCTCCTGCAGTGCATGCAGAGCAATTCCGTGATCCCCATCAAACAAGTCAGGACCTTCGACTTGCTTAATGGATCTCGAGACAGTCCCCAAGAATACTGTCAAATGTCTAGACGGATCCTGAGGTCACCCCATCAACGCAAAGCAGCACCATGTGCCCCACATCAACTCGAGATAATGCCCGATTCCCCTGCATTGACTCCAGAGCCATCCCCCGTTCCACATTAAACACCACCAGTGGCTTGACTTCCTTCAGACAACTCCAGAGATGCCCTGAGAACACTGTCCCAAGTCTAGAGGAACACCATCTTCAGCACAGCAACTCGAGGAATGCTCCGTGTACCCCAAATCGTCTCGAGATGAGAGCTGATTCCCTCGCTTAGACTCAAGACGTATGCCAACTTTCCAGAAGCACCTCAAGTGGAGGCTTCTCTCAGCAATAGGTATGTTGGAGGGACCCCCAGTTTGCGGCCTCAAGTGGAATATGCAGCGAGAAGCCCTAACTTGAAAGGAGGCCGGGTTTCCTTGCAGTGTCTTGAATACAGGCTCGTCTTTCATCTCACAACGGGAAGGAATTTCTGAATCCCCTGTGGAGACCTTAGCGAAAGCCCTAGGTCCCTGCCTCATTTTGACGGATTGCCTCACATCCCGTTGACACCTCGAGAGGCACACGGAGTTCACTGCTTCAAATGTGACGATGCCTGACTCCTCCTGAACATTGATAGGAATCCCAAAATCACTGTGGCCACAGGAAAGGGTTCTTGTGTGCCCTGCCTCACCTCGAGAAGCATCCCTTTTGCCCTGCCAAGCCTCGAAAAGATTCCTGAGGTGTCCCTCATTACTAGACAGGAGTCATGACGTCACTGAATAAACACGTGTTTTCAAGGGCCAAGCCCGCCATAACTCGAGAACATACCCCACGTACCGCCGCGACTCGAGAAAAACCAGGAGACTTCCCCTAGATGCGATATGAGGCCTGATTCCCTGCAGTCCATGCAGAGCATTCCCGTGATCCCAATCAAGCAAGTCAGCAGCTTCGAATTGCTTAATGGATCTCGAGAGAGTCCCCAGGAACACTGTCACAAGTCTAGACAGACCCTGACATCACCCCAGCAAAGCAAAGCAGTTCCAAGTACCCCACATCACCTCGAGTTGAGGCCCGATTCCCATGCATTGACTCCAGAGCCATCCCCCGTACCCCATTAAACACCACCAGTGGCTTGACTTCCTTCAGGCAACTCCAGAGATGCCCCGAGAACACTGTCCCAAGTCTAGAGGAATACGAACTTCAGCACAGCAACTCGAGGAATGCTCGGTGTACCCCAAATCGTTTCGAGGTGAGAGCTGATTCCATGGCTTAGGCTCAAGACGTATGCCAACTTTCCAGAAGCACCTCAAGCGGAGGATTCTCTCAGCAATAGGTATGTTGGAGGGACCCCCACTTTGCGGCCTCAAGTGGAATATACAGCGAGAAGCCCTAACTTGAAAGGAGGCCGGATTTCCTTGCAGTGTCTTGAATACAGGCTCGTCTTTCATCTCACAACCGGAAGGGATGTCTGAATCCCCTGTGTAGAACTTAGAGAAAGCCCTAGGTCCCTGCCTCATTTTGACGGATTGCCTCACATCCCGTTGACACCTCGAGAGGCACGCGGAGTTCACTGCTTCAAAAGGTGATGATGCCTGACTCGTCTTGAATATTGATAGGAATCCCAAAATCCCTGTGGTTATTTGAAAGGTTCCTTGGGTGTCCTGCCTCACCTCGAGAAGCGTCCCTTGTGCCTGCCAAGCCTCGAAGAGATTCCTGAGCTGTCCCTCGTTACTGGACAGGAGTCCTGACGTCACTGAATAAACAGGAGTTTTTAAGGGCCATCCCCGCTGTAACCCGAGTACATACCCCAGGTCCCCGCCGCAAGTCAAGAAAAACCATGAGACTTTCCCCTAGTGGCGAGATGAGGCCCGATTCTCCTGCAGTGCATGCAGAGCAATTCCGTGATCCCCATCAAACAAGTCAGGACCTTCGACTTGCTTAATGGATCTCGAGACAGTCCCCAAGAATACTGTCACATGTCTAGACGGATCCTGAGGTCACCCCATCAATGCAAAGCAGCACCATGTGCCCCACATCAACTCGAGATAATGCCCGATTCCCCTGCATTGACTCCAGAGCCATCCCCCGTTCCACATTAAACACCACCAGTGGCTTGACTTCCTTCAGACAACTCCAGAGATGCCCTGAGAACACTGTCCCAAGTCTAGAGGAACACCATCTTCAGCACAGCAACTCGAGGAATGCTCCGTGTACCCCAAATCGTCTCGAGATGAGAGCTGATTCCCTGGCTTAGGCTCAAGACGTATGCCAACTTTCCAGAAGCAACTCAAGGGGAGGCTTCTCTCAGCAATAGGTATGTTGGAGGGACCCCCAGTTTGCTGCCTCAAGTGGAATATGCAGCGAGAAGCCCTAACTTGAAAGGAGGCCGGGTTTCCTTGCAGTGTCTTGAATACAGGCTCGTCTTTCATCTCACAACGGGAAGGAATGTCTGAATCCCCTATGGAGACCTTATCGAAAGCCCTAGGTCCCTGCCTCATTTTGACGGATTGCCTCACATCCCGTTGACACCTCGAGAGGCACCCGGAGTTCACTGCTTCAAATGTGATGATGCCTGACTCCTCCTGAACATTGATAGGAATCCCAAAATCACTGTGGCTACTGGAAAGGTTTCTTGTGTGCCCTGCCTCACCTCGAGAAGCATCCCTTTTGCCCTGCCAAGGCTCGAAAAGATTCCTGAGGTGTCCCTAATTACTAGACAGGAGTCATGACGTCACTGAATAAACACGTGTTTTCAAGGGCCAAGCCCGCCATAACTCGAGAACATACCCCACGTACCGCCGCGACTCGAGAAAAACCATGAGACTTCCCCTAGATGCGATATGAGGCATGATTCCCTGCAGTCCATGCAGAGCATTCCCGTGATCCGAATCAAGCAAGTCAGCAGCTTCGAATTGCTTAATGGATCTCGAGAGAGTCCCCAGGAACACTGTCACAAGTCTAGACAGACCCTGACATCTCCCCAGCAAAGCAAAGCAGGTCCAAGTACCCCACATCACCTCGAGTTGAGGCCCGATTCCCATGCATTGACTCCAGAGCCATCCCCCGTACCCCATTAAACACCACCAGTGGCTTGACTTCCTTCAGGCAACTACAGAGATGCCCCGAGAACACTGTCCCAAGTCTAGAGGAATACGAACTTCAGCACAGCAACTCGAGGAATGCTCGGTGTACCCCAAATCGTTTCGAGGTGAGAGCTGATTCCATGGCTTAGGCTCAAGACGTATGCCAACTTTCCAGAAGCACCTCAAGCGGAGGATTCTCTCAGCAATAGGTATGTTGGAGGGACCCCCACTTTGCTGCCTCAAGTGGAATATACAGCGAGAAGCCCTAACTTGAAAGGAGGCCGGATTTCCTTGCAGTGTCTTGAATACAGGCTCGTCTTTCATCTCACAACCGGAAGGGATGTCTGAATCCCCTGTGTAGAACTTAGAGAAAGCCCTAGGTCCCTGCCTCATTTTGACGGATTGCCTCACATCCCGTTGACACCTCGAGAGGCACGCGGAGTTCACTGCTTCAAAAGGTGATGATGCCTGACTCGTCTTGAATATTGATAGGAATCCCAAAATCCCTGTGGATATTTGAAAGGTTCCTTGGGTGTCCTGCCTCACCTCGAGAAGCGTCCCTTGTGCCTGCCAAGCCTCGAAGAGATTCCTGAGCTGTCCCTCGTTACTGGACAGGAGTCCTGACGTCACTGAATAAACAGGAGTTTTTAAGGGCCATCCCCGCTGTAACCCGAGTACATACCCCAGGTCCCCGCCGCAAGTCGAGAAAAACCATGAGACTTTCCCCTAGTGGCGAGATGAGGCCCGATTCTCATGCAGTGCATGCAGAGCAATTCTGAGATCCCCATCAAACAAGTCAGGACCTTCGACTTGCTTAATGGATCTCGAGACAGTCCCCAAGAATACTGTCACATGTCTAGACGGATCCTGAGGTCACCCCATCAACGCAAAGCAGCACCATGTGCCCCACATCAACTCGAGATCATGCCCGATTCCCCTGCATTGACTCCAGAGCCATCCCCCGTTCCACATTAAACACCACCAGTGGCTTGACTTCCTTCAGACAAGTCCAGAGATGCCCTGAGAACACTGTCCCAAGTCTAGAGGAACACCATCTTCAGCACAGCAACTCGAGGAATGCTCCGTGTACCCCAAATCGTCTCGAGATGAGAGCTGATTCCCTGGCTTAGGCTCAAGACGTATGCCAACTTTCCAGAAGCACCTCAAGGGGAGGCTTCTCTCAGCAATAGGTATGTTGGAGGGACCCCCAGTTTGCTGCCTCAAGTGGAATATGCAGCGAGAAGCCCTAACTTGAAAGGAGGCCGGGTTTCCTTGCAGTGTCTTGAATACAGGCTCGTCTTTCATCTCACAACGGGAAGGAATGTCTGAATCCCCTGTGGAGACCTTAGCGAAAGCCCTAGGTCCCTGCCTCATTTTGACGGATTGCCTCGCATCCCGTTGACACCTCGAGAGGCACCCGGAGTTCACTGCTTCAAATGTGATGATGCCTGACTCCTCCTGAACATTGATAGGAATCCCAAAATCACTGTGGCTACTGGAAAGGTTTCTTGTGTGCCCTGCCTCACCTCGAGAAGCATCCCTTTTGCCCTGCCAAGGCTCGAAAAGATTCCTGAGGTGTCCCTCATTACTAGACAGGAGTCATGACGTCACTGAATAAACACGTGTTTTCAAGGGCCAAGCCCGCCATAACTCGAGAACATACCCCACGTACCGCCGCGACTCGAGAAAAACCATGAGACTTCCCCTAGATGCGATATGAGGCCTGATTCCCTGCAGTCCATGCAGAGCATTCCCGTGATCCGAATCAAGCAAGTCAGCAGCTTCGAGTTGCTTAATGGATCTCGAGAGAGTCCCCAGGAACACTGTCACAAGTCTAGACAGACCCTGACATCACCCCAGCAAAGCAAAGCAGGTCCAAGTACCCCACATCACCTCGAGTTGAGGCCCGATTCCCATGCGTTGACTCCAGAGCCATCCCCCGTACCCAATTAAACACCACCAGTGGCTTGACTTCCTTCAGGCAACTCGAGAGATGCCCCGAGAACACTGTCCCAAGTCTAGAGGAATACGAACTTCAGCACAGCAACTCGAGGAATGCTCGGTGTACCCCAAATCGTTTCGAGGTGAGAGCTGATTCCATGGCTTAGGCTCAAGACGTATGCCAACTTTCCAGAAGCACCTCAAGCGGAGGATTCTCTCAGCAATAGGTATGTTGGAGGGACCCCCACTTTGCTGCCTCAAGTGGAATATACAGCGAGAAGCCCTAACTTGAAAGGAGGCCGGATTTCCTTGCAGTGTCTTGAATACAGGCTCGTCTTTCATCTCACAACCGGAAGGGATGTCTGAATCCCCTGTGTAGAACTTAGAGAAAGCCCTAGGTCCCTGCCTCATTTTGACGGATTGCCTCACATCCCATTGACACCTCGAGAGGCACGCGGAGTTCACTGCTTCAAAAGGTGATGATGCCTGACTCGTCTTGAATATTGATAGGAATCCCAAAATCCCTGTGGCTATTTGAAAGGTTCCTTGGGTGTCCTGCCTCACCTCGAGAAGCGTCCCTTGTGCCTGCCAAGCCTCGAAGAGATTCCTGAGCTGCCCCTCGTTACTGGACAGGAGTCCGGACGTCACTGAATAAACAGGAGTTTTTAAGGGCCATCCCCGCTGTAACCCGAGTACATACCCCAGGTCCCCGCCGCAAGTCGAGAAAAACCATGAGACTTTCCCCTAGTGGCGAGATGAGGCCCGATTCTCATGCAGTGCATGCAGAGCAATTCTGAGATCCCCATCAAACAAGTCAGGACCTTCGACTTGCTTAATGGATCTCGAGACAGTCCCCAAGAATACTGTCACATGTCTAGACGGATCCTGAGGTCACCCCATCAACGCAAAGCAGCACCATGTGCCCCACATCGACTCGAGATCATGCCCGATTCCCCTGCATTGACTCCAGAGCCATCCCCCGTTCCACATTAAACACCACCAGTGGCTTGACTTCCTTCAGACAACTCCAGAGATGCCCTAGGAACACTGTCCCAAGTCTAGAGGAACACCATCTTCACCACAGCAACTCGAGGAATGCTCCGTGTACCCCAAATCGTCTCGAGATGAGAGCTGATTCCCTGGCTTAGGCTCAAGACGTATGCCAACTTTCCAGAAGCACCTCAAGGGGAGGCTTCTCTCAGCAATGGGTATGTTGGAGGGACCCCCAGTTTGCTGCCTCAAGTGGAATATGCAGCGAGAAGCCCTAACTTGAAAGGAGGCCGGGTTTCCTTGCAGTGTCTTGAATACAGGCTCGTCTTTCATCTCACAACGGGAAGGAATGTCTGAATCCCCTGTGGAGACCTTAGCGAAAGCCCTAGGTCCCTGCCTCATTTTGACGGATTGCCTCACATCCCGTTGACACCTCGAGAGGCACCCGGAGTTCACTGCTTCAAATGTGACGATGCCTGACTCCTCCTGAACATTGATAGGAATCCCAAAATCACTGTGGCTACAGGAAAGGGTTCTTGTGTGCCCTGCATCACCTCGAGAAGCATCCCTTTTGCCCTGCCAAGGCTCGAAAAGGTTCCTGAGGTGTCCCTCATTACTAGACAGGAGTCATGACGTCACTGAATAAACACGTGTTTTCAAGGGCCAAGCCCGCCATAACTCGAGAACATACCCCACGTACCGGCGCGACTCGAGAAAAACCATGAGACTTCCCCTAGATGCGATATGAGGCCTGATTCCCTGCAGTCCATGCAGAGCATTCCCGTGATCCCAATCAAGCAAGTCAGCAGCTTCGAATTGCTTAATGGATCTCGAGAGAGTCCGCAGGAACACTGTCACAAGTCTAGACAGACCCTGACATCACCCCAGCAAAGCAAAGCAGGTCCAGGTACCCCACATCACCTCGAGTTGAGGCCCGATTCCCATGCATTGACACCAGAGCCATCCCCCGTACCCCATTAAACACCACCAGTGGCTTGACTTCCTTCAGGCAACTCCAGAGATGCCCCGAGAACACTGTCCCAAGTCTAGAGGAATACGAACTTCAGCACAGCAACTCGAGGAATGCTCCGTGTACCCCAAATCGTTTCGAGGTTAGAGCTGATTCCATGGCTTAGGCTCAAGACGTATGCCAACTTTCCAGAAGCACCTCAAGCGGAGGATTCTCTCAGCAATAGATATGTTGGAGGGACCCCCACTTTGCTGCCTCAAGTGGAATATACAGCGAGAAGCCCTAACTTGAAAGGAGGCCGGGTTTCCTTGCAGTGGTTTGAATACAGGCTCGTCTTTCATCTCACAGCATGAAGGGATGTCTGAATCCCCTGTGGAGACCTTAGAGAAAGCTCTAGGTCCCTGCCTCATTTTGACGGAATGCCTCACATCCCGTTGACACTTCGAGAGGCACGCGGAATTCACTGCTTCAAAAGGTGATGATGCCTGACTCGTCTTGAATATTGATAGGAATCCCAAAATCCCTGTGGCTATTTGAAAGGTTCCTTGGGTGTCCTGCCTCACCTCGAGAAGCGTCCCTTGTGCCTGCCAAGCCTCGAAGAGATTCCTGAGCTGTCCCTCGTTACTGGACAGGAGTCCTGACGTCACTGAATAAACAGGAGTTTTTAAGGGCCATCCCCGCTGTAACCCGAGTACATACCCCAGGTCCCCGCCGCAAGTCGAGAAAAACCATGAGACTTTCCCCTAGTGGCGAGATGAGGCCCGATTCTCCTGCAGTGCCTGCAGAGCAATTCCGTGATCCCCATCAAACAAGTCAGGACCTTCGACTTGCTTAATGGATCTCGAGACAGTCCCCAAGAATACTGTCACATGTCTAGACGGATCCTGAGGTCACCCCATCAACGCAAAGCAGCACCATGTGCCCCACATCAACTCGAGATAATGCCCGATTCCCCTGCATTGACTCCAGAGCCATCCCCCGTTCCACATTAAACACCACCAGTGGCTTGACTTCCTTCAGACAACTCCAGAGATGCCCTGAGAACACTGTCCCAAGTCTAGAGGAACACCTTCTTCAGCACAGCAACTCGAGGAATGCTCCGTGTACCCCAAATCGTCTCGAGATGAGAGCTGATTCCCGGGCTTAGGCTCAAGACGTATGCCAACTTTCCAGAAGCACCTCAAGGGGAGGCTTCTCTCAGCAATAGGTATGTTGGAGGGACCCCCAGTTTGCTGCCTCAAGTGGAATATGCAGCGAGAAGCCCTAACTTGAAAGGAGGCCGGGTTTCCTTGCAGTGTCTTGAATACAGGCTCGTCTTTCATCTCACAACGGGAAGGAATGTCTGAATCCCCTGTGGAGACCTTAGCGAAAGCCCTAGGTCCCTGCCTCATTTTGACGGATTGCCTCACATCCCGTTGACACCTCGAGAGGCACACGGAGTACACTGCTTCAAATGTGACGATGCCTGACTCCTCCTGAACATTGATAGGAATCCCAAAATCACTGTGGCTACAGGAAAGGGTTCTTGTGTGCCCTGCCTCACCTCGAGAAGCATCCCTTTTGCCCTGCCAAGGCTCGAAAAGATTCCTGAGGTGTCCCTCATTACTAGACAGGAGTCATGACGTCACTGAATAAACACGTGTTTTCAAGGGCCAAGCCCGCCATAACTCGAGAACATACCCCACGTACAGCCGCGACTCGAGAAAAACCATGAGACTTCCCCTAGATGCGATATGAGGCCTGATTCCCTGCAGTCCATGCAGAGCATTCCCGTGATCCCAATCAAGCAAGTCAGCAGCTTCGAATTGCTTAATGGATCTCGAGAGAGTAACCAGGAACACTGTCACAAGTCTAGACAGACCGTGACATCACCCCAGCAAAGCAAAGCAGGTCCAAGTACCACACATCACCTCGAGTTGGGGCCCGATTCCCATGCATTGACTCCAGAGCCATCACCCGTACCCTATTAAACACCACCAGTGGCTTGACTTCCTTCAGGCAACTCCAGAGATGCTCCGAGAACACAGTCCCAATTCCAGAGGAATACGAAGTTCAGCACAGCATCTCGAGGAATGCTCCGTGTACCCCAAATCGTTTCGAGGTTAGAGCTGATTCCATGGCTTAGGCTCAAGACGTATGCCAACTTTCCAGAAGCCCCTCAAGCGGAGGATTCTCTCAGCAATAGGTATGTTGGAGGGACCCCCACTTTGCTGCCTCAAGTGGAATATACAGCGAGAAGCCCTAACTTGAAAGGAGGCCGGATTTCCTTGCAGTGGCTTGAATACAGGCTCGTCTTTCATCTCACAGCATGAAGGGATGTCTGAATCCCCTGTGGAGACCTTAAAGAAAGCTCTAGGTCCCTGCCTCATTTTGACGGAATACCTCACATCCCGTTGACACTTCGAGAGGCACGCAGAATTCACTGCTTCAAAAGGTGATGATGCCTGACTGGTCTTGAATATTGATAGGAATCCCAAAATCCCTGTGGCTATTTGAAAGGTTCCTTGGGTGTCCTGCGTCACCTCGAGAAGCGTCCCTTGTGCCTGCCAAGCCTCGAAGAGATTCCTGAGCTGTCCCTCGTTACTGGACAGGAGTCCTGACGTCACTGAATAAACAGGAGTTTTTAAGGGCCATCCCCGCTGTAACCCGAGTACATACCCCAGGTCCCCGCCGCAAGTCGAGAAAAACCATGAGACTTTCCCCTAGTGGCGAGATGAGGCCCGATTCTCCTGCAGTGCATGCAGAGCAATTCCGTGATCCCCATCAAACAAGTCAGGACCTTCGACTTGCTTAATGGATCTCGAGACAGTCCCCAAGAATACGGTCACATGTCTAGATGGATCCTGAGGTCACCCCATCAACGCAAAGCAGCACCATGTGCCCCACATCAACTCGAGATAATGCCCGATTCCCCTGCATTGACTCCAGAGCCATCCCCCGTTCCACATTAAACACGACCAGTGGCTTGACTTCCTTCAGACAACTCCAGAGATGCCCTAGGAACACTGTCCCAAGTCTAGAGGAACACCATCTTCACCACAGCAACTCGAGGAATGCTCCGTGTACCCCAAATCGTCTCGAGATGAGAGCTGATTCCCTGGCTTAGGCTCAAGACGTATGCCAACTTTCCAGAAGCACCTCAAGGGGAGGCTTCTCTCAGCAATGGGTATGTTGGAGGGACCCCCAGTTTGCTGCCTCAAGTGGAATATGCAGCGAGAAGCCCTAACTTGAAAGGAGGCCGGGTTTCCTTGCAGTGTCTTGAATACAGGCTCGTCTTTCATCTCACAACGGGAAGGAATGTCTGAATCCCCTGTGGAGACCTTAGCGAAAGCCCTAGGTCCCTGCCTCATTTTGACGGATTGCCTCACATCCCGTTGACACCTCGAGAGGCACCCGGAGTTCACTGCTTCAAATGTGACGATGCCTGACTCCTCCTGAACATTGATAGGAATCCCAAAATCACTGTGGCTACAGGAAAGGGTTCTTGTGTGCCCTGCATCACCTCGAGAAGCATCCCTTTTGCCCTGCCAAGGCTCGAAAAGGTTCCTGAGGTGTCCCTCATTACTAGACAGGAGTCATGACGTCACTGAATAAACACGTGTTTTCAAGGGCCAAGCCCGCCATAACTCGAGAACATACCCCACGTACCGCCGCGACTCGAGAAAAACCATGAGACTTCCCCTAGATGCGATATGAGGCCTGATTCCCTGCAGTCCATGCAGAGCATTCCCGTGATCCCAATCAAGCAAGTCAGCAGCTTCGAATTGCTTAATGGATCTCGAGAGAGTAACCAGGAACACTGTCACAAGTCTAGACAGACCCTGACATCACCCCAGCAAAGCAAAGCAGGTCCAGGTACCCCACATCACCTCGAGTTGAGGCCCGATTCCCATGCATTGACACCAGAGCCATCCCCCGTACCCCATTAAACACCACCAGTGGCTTGACTTCCTTCAGGCAACTCCAGAGATGCCCCGAGAACACTGTCCCAAGTCTAGAGGAATACGAACTTCAGCACAGCAACTCGAGGAATGCTCCGTGTACCCCAAATCGTTTCGAGGTTAGAGCTGATTCCATGGCTTAGGCTCAAGACGTATGCCAACTTTCCAGAAGCACCTCAAGCGGAGGATTCTCTCAGCAATAGATATGTTGGAGGGACCCCCACTTTGCTGCCTCAAGTGGAATATACAGCGAGAAGCCCTAACTTGAAAGGAGGCCGGGTTTCCTTGCAGTGGTTTGAATACAGGCTCGTCTTTCATCTCACAGCATGAAGGGATGTCTGAATCCCCTGTGGAGACCTTAGAGAAAGCTCTAGGTCCCTGCCTCATTTTGACGGAATGCCTCACATCCCGTTGACACTTCGAGAGGCACGCGGAATTCACTGCTTCAAAAGGTGATGATGCCTGACTCGTCTTGAATATTGATAGGAATCCCAAAATCCCTGTGGCTATTTGAAAGGTTCCTTGGGTGTCCTGCCTCACCTCGAGAAGCGTCCCTTGTGCCTGCCAAGCCTCGAAGAGATTCCTGAGCTGTCCCTCGTTACTGGACAGGAGTCCTGACGTCACTGAATAAACAGGAGTTTTTAAGGGCCATCCCCGCTGTAACCCGAGTACATACCCCAGGTCCCCGCCGCAAGTCGAGAAAAACCATGAGACTTTCCCCTAGTGGCGAGATGAGGCCCGATTCTCCTGCAGTGCCTGCAGAGCAATTCCGTGATCCCCATCAAACAAGTCAGGACCTTCGACTTGCTTAATGGATCTCGAGACAGTCCCCAAGAATACTGTCACATGTCTAGACGGATCCTGAGGTCACCCCATCAACGCAAAGCAGCACCATGTGCCCCACATCAACTCGAGATAATGCCCGATTCCCCTGCATTGACTCCAGAGCCATCCCCCGTTCCACATTAAACACCACCAGTGGCTTGACTTCCTTCAGACAACTCCAGAGATGCCCTGAGAACACTGTCCCAAGTCTAGAGGAACACCTTCTTCAGCACAGCAACTCGAGGAATGCTCCGTGTACCCCAAATCGTCTCGAGATGAGAGCTGATTCCCTCGCTTAGGCTCAAGACGTATGCCAACTTTCCAGAAGCACCTCAAGGGGAGGCTTCTCTCAGCAATAGGTATGTTGGAGGGACCCCCAGTTTGCTGCCTCAAGTGGAATATGCAGCGAGAAGCCCTAACTTGAAAGGAGGCCGGGTTTCCTTGCAGTGTCTTGAATACAGGCTCGTCTTTCATCTCACAACGGGAAGGAATGTCTGAATCCCCTGTGGAGACCTTAGCGAAAGCCCTAGGTCCCTGCCTCATTTTGACGGATTGCCTCACATCCCGTTGACACCTCGAGAGGCACACGGAGTACACTGCTTCAAATGTGACGATGCCTGACTCCTCCTGAACATTGATAGGAATCCCAAAATCACTGTGGCTACAGGAAAGGGTTCTTGTGTGCCCTGCCTCACCTCGAGAAGCATCCCTTTTGCCCTGCCAAGGCTCGAAAAGATTCCTGAGGTGTCCCTCATTACTAGACAGGAGTCATGACGTCACTGAATAAACACGTGTTTTCAAGGGCCAAGCCCGCCATAACTCGAGAACATACCCCACGTACAGCCGCGACTCGAGAAAAACCATGAGACTTCCCCTAGATGCGATATGAGGCCTGATTCCCTGCAGTCCATGCAGAGCATTCCCGTGATCCCAATCAAGCAAGTCAGCAGCTTCGAATTGCTTAATGGATCTCGAGAGAGTAACCAGGAACACTGTCACAAGTCTAGACAGACCGTGACATCACCCCAGCAAAGCAAAGCAGGTCCAAGTACCACACATCACCTCGAGTTGGGGCCCGATTCCCATGCATTGACTCCAGAGCCATCACCCGTACCCTATTAAACACCACCAGTGGCTTGACTTCCTTCAGGCAACTCCAGAGATGCTCCGAGAACACAGTCCCAATTCCAGAGGAATACGAAGTTCAGCACAGCAACTCGAGGAATGCTCCGTGTACCCCAAATCGTTTCGAGGTGAGAGCTGATTCCATGGCTTAGGCTCAAGACGTATGCCAACTTTCCAGAAGCCCCTCAAGCGGAGGATTCTCTCAGCAATAGGTATGTTGGAGGGACCCCCACTTTGCTGCCTCAAGTGGAATATACAGCGAGAAGCCCTAACTTGAAAGGAGGCCGGATTTCCTTGCAGTGGCTTGAATACAGGCTCGTCTTTCATCTCACAGCATGAAGGGATGTCTGAATCCCCTGTGGAGACCTTAAAGAAAGCTCTAGGTCCCTGCCTCATTTTGACGGAATACCTCACATCCCGTTGACACTTCGAGAGGCACGCAGAATTCACTGCTTCAAAAGGTGATGATGCCTGACTCGTCTTGAATATTGATAGGAATCCCAAAATCCCTGTGGCTATTTGAAAGGTTCCTTGGGTGTCCTGCCTCACCTCGAGAAGCGTCCCTTGTGCCTGCCAAGCCTCGAAGAGATTCCTGAGCTGTCCCTCGTTACTGGACAGGAGTCCTGACGTCACTGAATAAACAGGAGTTTTTAAGGGCCATCCCCGCTGTAACCCGAGTACATACCCCAGGTCCCCGCCGCAAGTCGAGAAAAACCATGAGACTTTCCCCTAGTGGCGAGATGAGGCCCGATTCTCCTGCAGTGCATGCAGAGCAATTCCGTGATCCCCATCAAACAAGTCAGGACCTTCGACTTGCTTAATGGATCTCGAGACAGTCCCCAAGAATACGGTCACATGTCTAGATGGATCCTGAGGTCACCCCATCAACGCAAAGCAGCACCATGTGCCCCACATCAACTCGAGATAATGCCCGATTCCCCTGCATTGACTCCAGAGCCATCCCCCGTTCCACATTAAACACGACCAGTGGCTTGACTTCCTTCAGGCAACTGCAGAGACGCCCTGAGAACACTGTCCCAAGTCTAGAGGAACACCATCTTCAGCACAGCAACTCGAGGAATGCTCCGTGTACCCCAAATCGTCTGGAGATGAGAGCTGATTCCCTGGCTTAGGCTCAAGACGTATGCCAACTTTCCAGAAGCACCTCAAGTGGAGGCTTCTCTCAGCAATAGGTATGTTGGAGGGACCCCCAGTTTGCTACCTCAAGTGGAATATGCAGCGAGAAACCCTAACTTGAAAGGAGGCCGGGTTTCCTTGCAGTGTCTTGAATACAGGCTCGTCTTTCATCTCACAACGGGAAGGAATGTCTGAATCCCCTGTGGAGACCTTAGCGAAAGCCCTAGGTCCCTGCCTCATTTTGACGGATTGCCTCACATCCCGTTGACACCTCGAGAGGCACCCGGAGTTCACTGCTTCAAATGTGACGATGCCTGACTATTCCTGAACATTGATAGGAATCCCAAAATCACTGTGGCTACAGGAAAGGGTTCTTGTGTGCCCTGCCTCACCTCGAGAAGCATCCCTTTTGCCCTGCCAAGGCTCGAAAAGATTCCTGAGGTGTCCCTCATTACTAGACAGGAGTCATGACGTCACTGAATAAACACGTGTTTTCAAGGGCCATGCCCGCCATAACTCGAGAACATACCCCACGTACCGCCGCGACTCGAGAAAAACCATGAGACTTCCCCTAGATGCGATATGAGGCCTGATTCCCTGCAGTCCATGCAGAGCATTCCCGTGATCCCAATCAAGCAAGTCAGCAGCTTCGAATTGCTTAATGGATCTCGAGAGAGTCCCCAGGAACACTGTCACAAGTCTAGACAGACCCTGACATCACCCCAGCAAAGCAAAGCAGGTCCAAGTACCCCACATCACCTCGAGTTGAGGCCCGATTCCCATGCATTGACTCCAGAGCCATCCCCCGTTCCACATTAAACACGACCAGTAGCTTGACTTCCTTCAGGCAACTCCAGAGACGCCCTGAGAACACTGTCCCAAGTCTAGAGGAACACCATCTTCAGCACAGCAACTCGAGGAATGCTCCGTGTACCCCAAATCATCTCGAGATGAGAGCTGATTCCCTGGGTTAGGCTCAAGACGTATGCCCACTTTCCAGAAGCACCTCAAGGGGAGACTTCTCTCAGCAATAGGTATGTTGGAGGGACCCCCAGTTTGCTGCCTCAAGAGGAATATACAGCGAAAAGCCCTAACTTGAAAGGAGGCCGGATTTCCTTGCAGTGTCTTGAATACAGGCTCGTCTTTCATCTCACAACCGGAAGGAATGTCTGAATCCTCTGTGGAGACCTTAGAGAAAGCCCTAGGTCCCTGCCTCATTTTGAAGGAATGTCTCACATCCCGTTGACACCTCGAGAGGCACACGGAGTTCACTGCTTCAAAATGTGATGATGCCTGACTCCTCTTGAACATTGATAGGAATCCCTAAATCACTGTAGCTACAGGACAGGGTTCTTGGGTGCCCTGCCTCACCTCGAGAAGCATCCCTTTTGCCTGCCAAGCCTCGAAGAGATTCCTGAGGTGTCTCTCGTTACTAGACAGGAGTCCTGACGTCACTGAATAAACACATGTTTTGAAGGGCCATCCCCGCCATAACTCAAGAACATACCCCAGGTCCCGCCGCAACTCGAGAAAAACCATGAGACTTCCCCTAGATGCGATATGAGGCCTGAGTCCCTGCAGTCCAGGCAGAGCATTCCCATGATCCCCATCAAGCAAGTCAGGAGCTTCGACTTCCTTAATCGAACTCGAGAAAGTCCCCAGGAACACTGTCACAAGACTAGACAGACCCTGAGGTCACCCCAGCAATGTAAAGCAGCTCCAAGTACCCCACATCAACTCGCGATGAGGCCCGATTCCCCTGCATTGACTCCAGAGCCATCCCCCGTACCACATTAAACACCACCAGTGGCTTGACTTCCTTCAGGCAACTCCAGAGATGCCCTGAGAACACTGTCCCAAGTCTAGAGGAATACGAACTTCAGCACAGCAACTCGAGGAATGCTCCGTGTACCCCAAATCGTTTCGAGGTGAGAGCTGATTCCATGGCTTAGGCTCAAGACGTATGCCAACTTTCCAGAAGCACCTCAAGAGGAGGCTTCTCTCAGCAGTAGGTATGTGGGAGGGACCCCGAGTTTGCTGCCTCAAGTGGAATATACAGCGAGAAGCCCTAACTTGAAAGGAGGACGGATTTCCTTGCAGTGGCTTGAATACAGGCTCGTCTTTCATCTCACAGCATGAAGGGATGTCTGAAACCCCTGTGGAGACCTTAGAGAAAGCTCTAGGTCCCTGCCTCTTTTGAGGGAATGCCTCACATCCCGTTGTCACCTCGAGAGGCACGCGGAGTTCACTGCTTCAAAAAGTGACGATGCCTGACTCGTCTTGAATATTGATAGGAATCAAAAAATCACTGTGGCTACTGGAAAGGGTCCTTGGGTGCCCTGCCTCACCTCGAGAAGCATACCTTTTGACCTGCCAAGCCTCGAAGAGATTCCTGAGGTTTCCCTTGTTACTAGACAGGAGTCCTGACGGCACTGAATAAACACGTGTTTTGACGGGCCATCCCCGCCGTAACTCGAGAAGATACCCCAGGTCCCCAGCGCAACTTGAGAGAAACCATGAGACTTCCCCCAAGATGCGAGATGAGTCCTGATTCCCTGCAGTGCATGCAGGGTATTCCCGTGATCCCCATCAAACAAGTCAGGAGCTTCGACTTGCTTAATGGATCTCGAGACAGTCCCCAAGAACACTGTCACAAGTCTAGACGGACCCTGAGGTCACCCCAGCAACGTAAAGGAGCTCCATATGCCCCAAATCAACCCGAAATGTGGCCCGATTCCCCTGCATTGACTCCAGAGCCATCCCCAGTTCCCCATTAAACAAGACCACTGGCTTGACTTCCTTCAGGCAACTGCAGAGATGCCCCGAGAACACTGTCCCAAGACTAGAGGAACACCAACTTCAGCACAGCAACTCGAGGAATGCTCCGTGTACCACAAATCGTCTCGAGATGAGAGCTGAATCGCTGGCTTAGGCTCAAGACGTATGCCAACTTTCCAGAAGCACCTCAAGAGGAGGCTTCTCTCAGCAATAGGTATGTTCGAGGGACCCCGAGTCTGCTGCCTCAAGTGGAATATATAGCGAGAAGCCGTAAATTGAAAGGAGGCCGGATTTCCTTGCAGTGGCTTGAATACAGGATCGTCTTTCATCTCACAGCATGAAGGGATGTCTGAATCCCCTGTGGAGACGTTAGAGAAAGCTCTAGGTCCCTGCCTCATTTTGACGGAATGCCTCACATCCCGTTGTCACCTCGAGAGGCAAGCGGAGTTCAGTGCTTCAAAATGTGACGATGCCTGACTCCTCTTGAATATTGATAGGAATCCCAAAATCCATGTGGCTATCGGAAAGGTTACTTGGGTACCCTGCCTCACCTTGAGAAGCGTCCCTTGTGCACTGCCAAGCCTCGAAGAGATTCCTGAGCTGCCCCTCGTTACTGGACAGGAGTCCTGACGTCACTGAATAAACACGAGTTTTGAAGAGCCATCCCCGTCGTAACCCGAGTACATACCCCAGGTCCCCGCCGCAAGTCGAGAAAAACCATGAGACTTTCCCCTATAGGCGAGATGAGGCCCGATTCTCCTGCAGTGCATGCAGAGCAATTCCGTGATCCCCATCAAACAAGTCAGGACCTTCGACTTGCTTAATGGATCTCGAGACAGTCCCCAAGAATACTGTCACATGTCTAGACGGATCCTGAGGTCACCCCATCAACGCAAAGCAGCACAATGTGCCCCAAATCAACTCGGGATGATGGCAGATTCCCCTGCATTGACCCTAGAGCCATCCCCCGTTCCCCATTAAACACGACTAGTGGCTTGACTTCCTTCAGGCAACTCCAGAGATGCCCCGAGAACACTGTCCCAAGTCTAGAGGAACACCAACTTCAGCACAGCAACTCGAGGAATGCGCCGTGTACCCCAAATCGTCTCGAGATGAGAGCTGATTCCCTGGCCTAGGTTCAAGACGTATGCCAACTTTCCAGAAGCACCTCAAGCAGAGGATTCTCTCAGCAATAGGTATGTTGGAGGAACCTCCACTTTGCTGCCTCAAGTGGAATATACAGCGAGAAGCCCTAACTTGAAAGGAGGCCCGGTTTCCTTGCAGTGTCTTGAATACAGGCTCGTCTTTCATCTCACAACAGGAAGGGATGTCTGAATCCCCTGTGGAGACCTTAGAGAAAGCCGTAGGTCCCTGCTTCATTTTGACGGAATGTCTCACATCACGTTGACACCTCGAGAGGCACACGGAGTTCACTGCTTCAAAATGTGACGATGCCTGACTCCTCCTGAACATTGATAGGAATCCCAAAATCACTGTAGCTACAGGACAGGGTTCTTGGGTGCCCTGCCTCACCTCGAGAAGCATCCCTTTTGCCCTGCCAAGCCTCGAAGAGATTCCTGAGGTGTCTCTCATTACTAGACAGGAGTCCTGACGTCACTGAATAAACACGTGTTTTGAAGGGCCATCCCCGCCATAACTCGAGAACATACCCCACGTACAGCCGCGACTCGAGAAAAACCATGAGACTTCCCCTAGAGGCGAGATGAGGCCTGATTCCCTGCAGTCCATGAAGAGCATTCCCGTGATCCCCATCAAACAAGTCAGGAGCTTCGACTTGCTTAATGGATCTCCAGAGAGTCCCCAGGAACACTGTCACAAGTCTAGACAGACCCTGAGGTCACCCCAGCAATGCAAAGCAGCTGCAAGTACCCCACATCAACTCGAGATGAGGCCCGATTCCCATGCATTGACTCCAGAGCCATCCCCCGTACCCCATTAAACACAACCATTGGCTTGACTTCCTTCCGGCAACACCAGAGATGCCCCAAGAACACTGTCCCAAGTCTAGAGGAATACAAACTTCAGCACAGCAACTCGAGGAATGCTACGTGTACCCCAAATCGTTTCGAGGTGAGAGCTGATTCCATGGCTTAGGCTCAAGACGTATGCCAACTTTCCAGAAGCCCCTCAAGAGGAGGCTTCTCTCAGCAATAGGTATGTGGGAGGGACCCCGAGTTTGCTGCCTCAAGTGGAATATACACCCAGAAGCCCTAACTTGAAAGGAGGCCGGATTTCCTTGCAGTGGCTTGAATACAGGCTCGTCTTTCATCTCACAGCATGAAGGGGTGTCTGAAGCCCCTGTGTAGACCTTAGAGAAAGCTCTAGGTCCCTGCCTCATTTTGACGGAATGCCTCACATCCCATTGACACCTCGAGAGGCACGCGGAGTTCACTGCTTCAAAAGGTGATGATGCCTGACTCGTCTTGAATATTGATAGGAATCCCAAAATCACTGTGGCTACTGGAAAGGGTCCTTGGGTGCCCTGCCTCTCCTCGAGAAGCATACCTTTTGACCTGCCAAGCCTCGAAGAGATTCCTGAGGTGTCCTTCGTTACTAGACAGGAGTCCTGACGGCACTGAATAAACACGGGTTTTGAGGGGCCATCCCCTCCGTAACTCGAGAAGATTCCCCAGGTCCCCCGCGCAACTTGAAAGAAACCGTGAGACTTCCCCCTAGATGCGAGATGAGTCCTGATTCCCTGCAGTGCATGCAGAGTATTCCCGTGATCCCCAGCAAACAAGTCAGGAGCTTCGACTTGCTTAATTGAACTCGAGAAAGTCCCCAGGAACACTGTCACAAGTCTAGACAGACCCTGAGGTCACCTCAGCAATGCAAAGCAGCTGCAAGTACCCCACATCAACTCGAGATGAGGCCCGATTCCCATGCATTGACTCCAGAGCCATCCCCAGTTCCCCATTAAACAAGACCACTGGCTTGTCTTCCTTCAGACAACTCCAGAGATGCCCCGAGAACACTGTACCAAGACTAGAGGAACACCAACTTCAGTACAGCAACTAGAGGAATGCCCCGTGTACCACAAATCGTCTCGAGATGAGAGCTGATTCCCTGGCTTAGGCTCAAGACGTATGCCAACTTTCCAGAAGCACCTCAAGAGGAGGCTTCTCTCAGCAATAGGTATGTTCGTGGGACCCCGAGTTTGCTGCCTAAAGTGGAATATACAGCGAGAAGCCCTAACTTGAATGGAGGCCGGATTTCCTTGCAGTGTCTTGAATACAGGCTCGTATTTCATCTCACAACAGGAAGGGATGTCTGAATCCCCTGTGGAGACCATAGAGAAAGCCCTAGGTCCCTGCCTCATTTTGACGGAATGCCTCACTTCCCGTTGACACCACGAGAGGCACGCGGAGTTCACTGCTTCAAAATGTGACGATGCCTGACTCCTCTTGAATATTGATACGAATCCCAAAATCCCTGTGGCTATTGGAAAGTTTCCTTGGGTGCCCTGCCTCATCTCGAGAAGCGTCCCTTGTGCCCCGGCAAGCCTCGAAGAGATTCCTGCGCTGTCCCTTGTTACTGGAGAGGAGTCCTGACGTCACTGAATAAACACGTGTTTTGAAGGGCCATCGCCGCCGTAACTCGAGTATATACCCCAGGTCCCCGCCGCAACTCGAGAAAAACCATGAAACTTTCCCCTAGAGGCGAGATGAGGCCCGGTTCTCCTGCACTGCATGCAGAGCAATTCCGTGATCCCCATCCAACAAGTCAGGAGCTTCGATTTGTTTAATGGATCTCGAGACATTCCCCAAGAACACTGTCACATGTCTAGACGGACCCTGAGGTATCCCCAGCAATGCAAAGCAGCTCCATGTGCCCCAAATCAACATGAGATGAGGTCCCATTCCCCTGTATTGACTCCAGAGCCATCTGCTGTTCCGCATTAAACACCACCAGTGGCTTGACCTCCTTCAGACAACTCCAGAGATGCCCCGAGAACACTGTCCCTAGTCTAGAGGAACACCTACTTTAGCACAGCAACTCGAGGAATGCTTCCTGTATGCCAAATCCTCTCAAGATGAGAGCTGATTCCCTGGCTTAGGCTCAAGACGTATGCCAACTTTCCAGAAGCACTTCAAGAGGAGGATTCTCTCAGCAATATGTCTGTGGGAGGGAACCCGAGTTTGCTGCCTCAAATGGAATATACAGCGAGAAGCACTAACTAGAAAGGAGGCTGGTTTCCTAGCAGTGTCTTGAATACAGGCTCGTCTTTCATCTCACAGCAGGAAGAGATGTCTGAATCCCCTGTGGAGACTTTAGAGAAAGCCCTAGGTCCCTGCCACATTTTGACGGAATGCCTCACATCCGGTTGACACCTCGAGAGTCACGCGGAGTTCACTGCTTCAAAAGCTGACGATGCCTGACTCCTCTAAAATATTGATAGGAATCACAAAATCCCTGTGGCTATTTGAAAGGTTCCTTGGGTGCCCTGCCTCACCTCGAGAAGCGTCCCTTGTGCCTGCCAAGCCTCGAAGAGATTCCTGAGCTGTCCCTCGTTACTGGACAGGAGTCCTGACGTCACTGAATAAACACGAGTTTTTAAGGGCCATCCCCGCCGTAACCCGAGTACATACCCCAGGTCCCCGTCGCAAGTCGAAAAAAACCATGAGACTTTCCCCTCGTGGCGAGATGAGGCCCGATTCTCCTGCAGTGCATGCAGAGCAATTCCGTGATCCCCAGCAAACAAGTCAGGACCTTCGACTTGCTTAATGGATCTCGAGACAGTCCCCAAAAAAACTGTCACATGTCTAGACGGATCCTGAGGTCACCCCATCAACGCAAAGCAGCACCATGTGCCCCACATCAACTCGAGATAATGCCCGAATCCCCTGCATTGACTCCAGAGCCATCCCACGTTCCACATTAAGCACCACCAGTGGCTTGACTTCCTTCAGACAACTCCAGAGATGCCCTGAGAACACTGTCCCAAGTCTAGAGGAACACCATCTTCAGCACAGCAACTCGAGGAATGCTCCGTGTACCCCAAATCGTCTCGAGATGAGAGCTGATTCCCTGGCTTAGGCTCAAGACGTATGCCAACTTTCCAGAAGCACCTCAAGGGGAGGCTTCTCTCAGCAAAAGGTATGTTGGAGGGACCCCCAGTTTGCTGCCTCAAGTGGAATATGCAGCAAGAAGCCCTAACTTGAAAGGAGGCCGGGTTTCCTTGCAGTGTCTTGAATACAGGCTCGTCTTTCATCTCACAACCGGAAGGAATGTCTGAATCCCCTGTGGAGACCTTAGCAAAAGCCCTAGGTCCCTGCCTCATTTTGACGGATTGCCTCACATCCCGTTGACACCTCGGGAGGCACACGGAGTTCACTGCTTCAAATGTGACGATGCCTGACTCCTCCTGAACATTGATAGGAATCCCAAAATCACTGTGGCTACAGGAAAGGGTTCTTGTGTGCCCTGCCTCACCTCGAGAAGCATCCCTTTTGCCCTGCCAAGGCTCGAAGAGATTCCTGAGGTGTCCCTCATTACTAGACAGGAGTCATGACGTCACTGAATAAACACGTGTTTTCAAGAGCCATGCCCGCCATAACTCGAGAACATACCCCAGGTCCCGACGCAACTCGAGAAAAACGATTAGGCTTCCCCTAGATGCGATATGAGGCTTGATTCCCTGCAGTACATGCAGAGCATTCCCGTGATCCCAATCAAGCAAGTCAGCAGCTTCAAATTGCTTAATGGATCTCGAGAGAGTCCCCAGGAACACTGTCACAAGTCTAGACAGACAGTGACATCACCCTAGCAACGCAAAGCAGCTCCAAGTACCCCACATCAACTCGAGTTGAGGCCCGATTCCCATGCATTGACTCCTGAGCTATCCCCGGTACCCCATTAAAGCACAACCAGTGGATTGATTTCCTTCAGGCAACTCCAGAGATGCCCCGAGAACACTGTCCCAAGTCTAGAGGAATACGAACTTCAGCAAAGCAACTCGAGGAATGCTCCGTGTACCCCAAATCGTTTCGAGGTGAGAGCTGATTCCATGGCTAGGCTCAAGACGTATGCCAACTTTCCAGAAGCACCTCAAGAGGAGGCTTCTCTCAGCAATCGGTATGTGGGAGGGAACACGAGTTTGCTGCCTCAAGTGGAATATACAGTGAGAAGCCCTAACTTGAAAGGAGGCCGGATTTCCTGGCAGTGTGTTGAATACAGGCTCGTCTTTCATCTCACAACAGGAAGGGATGTCTGAATCCCCTGTGGAGACCTTAGAGAAAGCCCTAGGTCCCTGCCTCATTTTGACGGAATGTCTCACATCCCGTTGACACCTCGAGAGGCACACGGAGTTCACTGCTTCAAAATGTGACGATGCCTGACTCCTCCTGAACATTGATAGGAATCCCAAAATCACTGTAGCTACAGGACAGGGTTCTTTGGTGCCCTGCCTCACCTCGAGAAGCATCCCTTTTGCCCTGCCAAGCCTCGAAGAGATTCCTGAGGTGTCTCTCGTTACTAGACAGGAGTCCTGACGTCACTGAATAAACACGTGTTTTGAAGGGCCATCCCCGCCGTAACTCGAGAACATACCCCAGTTCGCGCCGCAACTCGAGTAAAACCATGAGATTTCCCCTAGAGGCGAGATGAGGCCTGATTCCCTGCAGTCCATGAAGAGCATTCGCGTGATCCCCATCAAGCAAGTCAGGAGCTTCGACTTACTTAATTGAACTCGAGAAAGTCCCCAGGAACACTGTCACAAGTCTAGACAGACCCTGAGGTCACCCCAGCAATGCAAAGCAGCTGCAAGTACCCCACATCAACTCGAGATGAGGCCCGATTCCCATGCATTGACTCCAGAGCCATCCCCAGTTCCCCATTAAACAAGACCACTGGCTTGTCTTCCTTCAGACAACTCCAGAGATGCCCCGAGAACACTGTGCCAAGACTAGAGGAACACCAACTTCAGCACAGCAACTCGAGGAATGCCCCGTGTACCACAAATCGTCTCGAGATGAGAGCTGATTCCCTGGCTTAGGCTCAAGACGTATGCCAACTTTCCAGAAGCACCTCAAGAGGAGGCTTCTCTCAGCAATAGGTATGTTCGTGGGACCCCGAGTTTGCTGCCTAAAGTGGAATATACAGCGAGAAGCCCTAACTTGAATGGAGGCCGGATTTCCTTGCAGTGTCTTGTATACAGGCTCGTCTTTCCTCTCACAACAGGAAGGGATGTCTGAATCCCCTGTGAAGACCTTTGAGAAAGCCCTAGGTCCCTGCCTCATTGTGACGGAATGCCTCACATCCCGTTGACACCACGAGAGGCACGCGGAGTTCACTGCTTCAAAAGGTGACGATGCCTGACTCCTCTTGAATATTGATAGGAATCCCAAAATCCCTGTGGCTATTGGAAAGGTTCCTTGGGTGCCCTGCCTCATCTCGAGAAGCGTCCCTTGTGCCCCGGCAAGCCTCGAAGAGATTCCTGAGCTGTCCCTCGTTACTGGACAGGAGTCCTGACGTCACTGAATAAACACGTGTTTTGAAGGGCCATCGCCGCCGTAACTCGAGTATATACCCCAGGTCCCCGCCGCAACTCGAGAAAAACCATGAGACTTCCGCCTAGAGGCGAGATGAGGCCCGATTCTCCTGCAGTGCATGCAGAGCAATTCCGTGATCCCCATCAAACAAGTCAGGAGCTTCGACTTGCTTAATGGATCTCGAGACATTCCCCAAGAACACTGTCACATGTCTAGACGGACCCTGAGGTATCCCCAGCAAAGCAAAGCAGCTCCATGTGCCCCAAATCAACTTGAGATGAGGTCAGATTCCCCTGCATTGACTCCAGAGCCATCTGCCGTTCCACATTAAACACCACCAGTGGCTTGACCTCCTTCAGACAACTCCAGAGATGCCCCGAGAACACTGTCCCAAGTCTAGAGGAACACCTACTTTAGCACAGCAACTCGAGGAATGCTTCCTGAATGCCAAATCTTCTCGAGTTGAGAGTTGATTTCCTGGCTTAGGCTCAAGACGTATGCCAACTTTCCAGAAGCACCTCAAGAGGAGGCTTCTCTCAGCAATAGGTATGTGGGAGGGAACCCGAGTTTGCTGCCTCAAATGGAATATACAGTGAGAAGCACTAACTAGAATGGAGGCCGGTTTCCTAGCAGTGTCTTGAATACAGGCTCGTCTTTCATCTCACAGCAGGAAGAGATGTCTGAATCCCCTGTGGAGACCTTACAGAAAGCCCTGGGTCCCTGCCTCATTTTGACGGAATGCCTCACATCCCGTTGACACCTCGAGAGTCACGCGGAGTTCACTGCTTCAAAAGCTGACGATGCCTGACTCCTCCTGAACATTGATAGGAATCCCAAAATCACTGTAGCTACAGGAGAGGGTTCTTGGGTGCCCTGCCTCACCTCGAGAAGCATCCCTTTTGCCCTGCCAAGCCTCGAAGAGATTCCTGAGCTGTCCCTCGTTACTGGACAGGAGTCCTGACGTCACTGAATAAACACGAGTTTTTAAGGGCCATCCCCGCCGTAACCCGAGTACATACCCCAGGTCCCTGCCGCAAGTCAAGAAAAACCATGAGACTTTCCCCTAGTGGCGAGATGAGGCCCGATTCTCCTGCAGTGCATGCAGAGCAATTCCATGATCCCCATCAAACAAGTCAGGACCTTCGACTTGCTTAATGGATCTCGAGACAGTCCCCAGGAATACTATCACATGTCTAGTTGGATCCTGAGGTCACCCCATCAACGCAAAGCAGCACCATGTGCCCCACATCAACTCGAGATAATGCCCGATTCCCCTGCATTGACTCCAGAGCCATCCCCCGTTCCAGATTAAACAAAACCAGTGGCTTGACTTCCTTCAGACAACTCCAGAGATGCCCTGAGAACACTGTCCCAAGTCTAGAGGAACACCATCTTCAGCACAGCAACTCGAGGAATGCTCTGTGTACCCCAAATCGTCTCGAGATGAGAGCTGATTACCTGGCTTATGCTCAAGACGTATGCCAACTTTCCAGAAGCACCTCAAGGGGAGGCTTCTCTCAGCAATAGTTATGTTGGAGGGACCCCCAGTTTGCTGCCTCAAGTGGAATATGCAACGAGAAGCCCTAACTTGAAAGGAGGCCGGGTTTTCTTGCAGTGTCTTGAATACAGGCTCGTCTTTCATCTCACAACCGGAAGGATTGTCTGAATCCCCTGTGGAGAACTTAGCGAAAGCCCTAGGTCCCTGCCTCATTTTGACGGATTGCCTCACAGCCCGTTGACACCTCGGGAGGCACACGGAGTTCACTGCTTCAAATGTGACGATGCCTGACCCCTCCTGATCATTGATAGGAATCCCAAAATCACTGTGGCTACAGGAAAGGGTTCTTGTGTGCCCTGCCTCACCTCGAGAAGCATCCCTTTTGCCCTGCCAAGGCTCGAAGAGATTCCTGAGGTGTCCCTCATTACTAGACAGGAGTCATGACGTCACTGAATAAACACGTGTTTTCAAGGGCCATGCCCGCCATAACTCGAGAACATACCCCAGGTCCCGCCGCAACTCGAGAAAAACCATGAGACTTCCCCTAGATGCGAGATGAGGGCTGATTCCCTGCAGTCCATGCAGAGCATTCCCGTAATCCCAATCAAGCAAGTCAGCAGCTTCGAATTTCTTAATGGATCTCGAGATTGTCCCCAGGAACACTGTCACAAGTCTAGACAGATCCTGACATCACCCCAGCAGCGCAAAGCAGCACCAAGTACCCCATATCAACTCGCGTTGAGGCCCGATTCCCATGCATTGACTCCAGAGCCATCCCCCGTACCCCATTAAACACCACCAGTGGCTTGACTTCCTTCAGGCAACTCCAGAGATGCCCCGAGAACACTGTCCCAAGTCTAGAGGAATACGAACTTCAGCACAGCAACTCGAGGAATGCTCCGTGTATCCCAAATCGTTTCGAGGTGAGAGCTGATTCCATGGCTTAGGCTCAAGACGTATGCCAACTTTCCAGAAGCCCCTCAAGAGGAGGATTCTCTCAGCAATAGGTATGCTGGAGGGACGCCCACTTTGCTGCCTCAAGTGGAATATACAGCGAGAAGCCCTAACTTGAAAGGAGGCCGGATTTCCTTGCAGTGTCTTGAATACAGGCTCGTCTTTCATCTCACAACCAGAAGGGATGTCTGAATCCCCTGTGGAGAACTTAGAGAAAGCCCTAGGTCCCTGCCTCATTTTGACAGATTGCCTCACATCCCGTTGACACCTCGAGAGGCACGCGGAGTTCACTGCTTCAAAAGGTGATGCTGCCTGACTAGTCTTGAATATTGATAGGAATCCCAAAATCCCTGTGGCTAATTGAAAGGTTCCTTGGGTGTCCTGCCTCAACTCGAGAAGCGTCCCTTGTGCCTGCCAAGCCTAGAAGAGATTCCTGAGCTGTCCCTCGTTACTGGACAGGAGTCCTGACGTCACTGAATAAACAGGAGTTTTTAAGGGCCATCCCCGCTGTAACCCGAGTACATATCCCAGGTCCCCGCCGCAAGTCGAGAAAAACCATGAGACTTTCCCCTAGTGGCGAGATGAGGCCCGATTCTCCTGCAGTGCATGCAGAGCAATTCCGTGATCCCCATCAAACAAGTCAGGACCTTCGACTTGCTTAATGGATATCCAGACAGTCCCCAAGAATACTGTCACATGTCTAGACGGATCCTGAGGTCACCCCATCAACGCAAAGCAGCACTATGTGCCCCACATCAACTCGAGATAATGCCCGATTCCCCTGCATTGACTCCAGAGCCATCCCCCGTTCCACATTAAACACCACCAGTGGCTTAACTTCCTTCAGACAACTCAAGATATGCCCTGAGAACACTGTCCCAAGTCTAGAGGAACACCATCTTCAGCACAGCAACTCGAGGAATGCTCCGTGTACCCCAAATCGTCTGGAGATGAGAGCTGATTCCCTGGCTTAGGCTCAAGACGTATGCCAACTTTCCAGAAGCACCTCAAGGGGAGGCTTCTCTCAGCAATAGGTATGTTGGAGGGACCCCCAGTTTGCTGCCTCAAGTGGAATATGCAGCGAGAAGCCCTAACTTGAAAGGAGGCCGGGTTTCCTTGCAGTGTCTTGAATACAGGCTCGTCTTTCATCTCACAATGGGAAGGAATGTCTGAATCCCCTGTGGAGACCTTAGCGAAAGCCCTAGGTCCCTGCCTCATTTTGACGGATTGCCTCACATCCCGTTGACACCTGGAGAGGCACCCGGAGTTCACTGCTTCAAATGTGACGATGCCTGACTCCTCCTGAACCTTGATAGGAATCCCAAAATCACTGTGGCTACAGGAAAGGGTTCTTGTGTGCCCTGCCTCACCTCGAGAAGCATCCCTTTTGCCCTGCCAAGGCTCGAAAAGATTCCGGAGGTGTCCCTCATTACTAGACAGGAGTCATGACGTCACTGAATAAACACGTGTTTTCAAGGGCCAAGCCCGCCATAACTCGAGAACATACCCCACGTACCGCCGCGACTCGAGAAAAACCATGAGACTTCCCCTAGATGCGATATGAGGCATGATTCCCTGCAGTCCATGCAGAGCATTCCTGTGATCCCAATCAAGCAAGTCAGCAGCTTCGAATTGCTTAATGGATCTCGAGAGAGTCCCCAGGAACACTGTCACAAGTCTAGACAGACCCTGACATCACCCCAGCAAAGCAAAGCAGGTCCAAGTACCCCACATCACCTCGAGTTGAGGCCGGATTCCCATGCATTGACTCCAGAGCCATCCCCCGTTCCACATTAAACACGGCCAGTAGCTTGACTTCCTTCAGGCAACTCCAGAGACGCCCTGAGAACACTGTCCCAAGTCTAGAGAAACACCATCTTCAGCACAGCAACTCGAGGAATGCTCCGTGTACCCCAAATCGTCTCGAGATGAGAGCTGATTCCCTGGCTTAGGCTCAAGACGTATGCCAACTTTCCAGAAGCACCTCAAGCAGAGGATTCTCTCAGCAATAGGTATGTTGGAGGGACCCCCAGTTTGCTGCCTCAAGAGGAATATACAGCGAAAAGCCCTAACTTGAAAGGAGGCCGGATTTCCTTGCAGTGTCTTGAATACAGGCTCGTCTTTCATCTCACAACAGGAAGGAATGTCTGAATCCTCTGTGGAGACCTTAGAGAAAGCCCTAGGTCCCTGCCTCATTTTGAAGGAATGTCTCACATCCAGTTGACACCTCGAGAGGCACACGGAGTTCACTGCTTCAAAATATGATGATGCCTGACTCCTCTTGAACATTGATAGGAATCCCTAAATCACTGTAGCTACAGGACAGGGTTCTTGGGTGCCCTGCCTCACCTCGAGAAGCATCCCTTTTGCCTGCCAAGCCTCGAAGAGATTCCTGAGGTGTCTCTCGTTACTAGACAGGAGTCCTGACGTCACTGAATAAACACATGTTTTGAAGGGCCATCCCCGCCATAACTCAAGAACATACCCCAGGTCCCGCCGCAACTCGAGAAAAACCATGAGACTTCCCCTAGATGCGATATGAGGCCTGATTCCCTGCAGTCCAGGCAGAGCATTCCCATGATCCCCATCAAGCAAGTCAGGAGCTTCGACTTCCTTAATCGAACTCGAGAAAGTCCCCAGGAACACTGTCACAAGACTAGACAGACCGTGAGGTCACCCCAGCAATGTAAAGCATCTCCAAGTACCCCACATCAACTCGCGATGAGGCCCGATTCCCCTGCATTGACTCCAGAGCCATCCCCCGTACCACATTAAACACCACCAGTGGCTTGACTTCCTTCAGGCAACTCCAGAGATGCCCTGAGAACACTGTCCCAAGTCTAGAGGAATACGAACTTCAGCACAGCAACTCGAGGAATGCTCCGTGTACCCCAAATCGTTTCGAGGTGAGAGCTGATTCCATGGCTTAGGCTCAAGACGTATGCCAACTTTCCAGAAGCCCCTCAAGAGGAGGCTTCTCTCAGCAGTAGGTATGTGGGAGGGACCCCGAGTTTGCTGCCTCAAGTGGAATATACAGCAAGAAGCCCTAACTTGAAAGGAGGACGGATTTCCTTGCAGTGGCTTGAATACAGGCTCGTCTTTCATCTCACAGCATGAAGGGATGTCTGAAACCCCTGTGGAGACCTTAGAGAAAGCTCTAGGTCCCTGCCTCATTTTGAGGGAATGCCTCACATCCCGTTGTCACCTCGAGAGGCACGCGGAGTTCACTGCTTCAAAAGGTGACGATGCCTGACTCGTCTTGAATATTGATAGGAATCAAAAAATCACTGTGGCTACTGGAAAGGGTCCTTGGGTGCCCTGCCTCACCTCGAGAAGCATACCTTTTGACCTGCCAAGCCTCGAAGAGATTCCTGAGGTTTCCCTTATTACTAGACAGGAGTCCTCACGGCACTGAATAAACACGTGTTTTGAAGGGCCATCCCCGCCATAACTCGAGAAGATACCCCAGGTCCCCAGCGCAACTTGAGAGAAACCATGAGACTTCCCCCAAGATGCGAGATGAGTCCTGATTCCCTGCAGTGCATGCAGGGTATTCCCGTGATCCCCATCAAACAAGTCAGGAGCTTCGACTTGCTTAATGGATCTCGAGACAGTCCCCAAGAACACTGTCACAAGTCTAGACGGACCCTGAGGTCACCCCAGCAACGTAAAGCAGCTCCATGTGCCCCAAATCAACCCGAAATGTGGCCCGATTCCCCTGCATTGACTCCAGAGCCATCCCCAGTTCCCCATTAAACAAGACCACTGGCTTGACTTCCTTCAGGCAACTCCAGAGATGCCCCGAGAACACTGTCCCAAGACTAGAAGAACACCAACTTCAGCACAGCAACTCGAGGAATGCTCCGTGTACCACAAATCGTCTCGAGATGAGAGCTGAATCGCTGGCTTAGGCTCAAGACGTATGCCAACTTTCCAGAAGCACCTCAAGAGGAGGCTTCTCTCAGCAATAGGTATGTTCGAGGGACCCCGAGTCTGCTGCCTCAAGTGGAATATATAGCCAGAAGCCCTAAATTGAAAGGAGGCCGGATTTCCTTGCAGTGGCTTGAATACAGGATCGTCTTTCATCTCACAGCATGAAGGGATGTCTGAATCCCCTGTGGAGACGTTAGAGAAAGCTCTAGGTCCCTGCCTCATTTTGACGGAATGCCTCACATCCCGTTGTCACCTCGAGAGGCAAGCGGAGTTCAGTGCTTCAAAATGTGATGATGCCTGACTCCTCTTGAATATTGATAGGAATCCCAAAATCCATGTGGCTATCGGAAAGGTTACTTGGGTACCCTGCCTCACCTTGAGAAGCGTCCCTTGTGCACTGCCAAGCCTCGAAGAGATTCCAGAGCTGCCCCTCGTTACTGGACAGGAGTCCTGACGTCACTGAATAAACACGAGTTTTGAAGAGCCATCCCCGTCGTAACCCGAGTACATACCCCAGGTCCCCGCCGCAAGTCGAGAAAAACCATGAGACTTTCCCCTAGTGGCGAGATGAGGCCCGATTCTCCTGCAGTGCATGCAGAGCAATTCCGTGATCCCCATCAAACAAGTCAGGACCTTCGACTTGCTTAATGGATCTCGAGACAGTCCCCAAGAATACTGTCACATGTCTAGACGGATCCTGAGGTCACCCCATCAACGCAAAGCAGCACAATGTGCCCCAAATCAACTCGGGATGATGGCAGATTCCCCTGCATTGACCCTAGAGCCATCCCCCTTTCCCCATTAAACACGACTAGTGGCTTGACTTCCTTCAGGGAACTCCAGAGATGCCCCGAGAACACTGTCCCAAGTCTAGAGGAACACCAACTTCAGCACAGCAACTCGAGGAATGCTCCGTGTACCACAAATCGTCTCGAGATGAGAGCTGAATCCCTGGCTTAGGCTCAAGACGTATGCCAACTTTCCAGAAGCACCTCAAGAGGAGGATTCTCTCAGCAATAGGTATGTTGGAGGGACCCCGAATTTGCTGCCTCAAGTGGAATATACAGCGAGAAGCCCTAACTTGAAAGGAGGCCGGATTTCCTTGCAGTGGCTTGAATACAGGCTCGTCTTTCATCTCACAGAATGAAGTGTTGTCTGAATCCCCTGTGGAGGCCTTAGAGAAAGCTATAGGTCCCTACCTCATTTTGACGGAATGCCTCACATCCCGTTGTCACCTCCAGAGGCACGCGGAGTTCACTGCTTCAAAAGGTGACGATGCCTGACTCCTCTAAAATATTTATAGGAATCCCAAAATCCCTGTGGCTATTGGGAACGTTCCTTGGGTGCCCTGCCTCAAGTGGAGAAGCATCCCTTGTGCCCTGCCAAGCCTCGATGAGATTCCTGAGCTGTCTCTCGTTACTGGACAGGAGTTCTGACGTCACTGAATAAACACGAGTTTTGAAGGCCATCCCCGCCGTAACCCGAGTACATACCCCAGGTCCCCGCCGCAAGTCGAGAAAAACCATGAGACTTTCCCCTAGAGGCGAGATGAGGCCCGATTCTCCTGCAGTGCATGCAGAGCAATTCCGTGATCCCCATCAAACAAGTCAGAAGCTTCGATTTGCTTAATGGATCTCGAGACAGTCCCCAAGAACACTGTCACATGTCTAGACGGATCCTGAGGTCACCCCATCAAGGCAAAGCAGCACCATGTGCCCCAAATCAACTCGAGATAATGCCCGATTCCCCTGCATTGACTCCAGAGCCATCCCCCGTTCCACATTAAACACGACCAGTGGCTTGACTTCCTTCAGGCAACTGCAGAGACGCCCTGAGAACACTGTCCCAAGTCTAGAGGAACACCATCTTCAGCACAGCAACTCGAGGAATGCTCCGTGTACCCCAAATCGTCTCGAGATGAGAGCTGATTCCCTGGCTTAGGCTCAAGACGTATGCCAACTTTCCAGAAGCACCTCAAGGGGAGCTATCTCTCAGCAATAGGTATGTTGGAGGGACCCCCAGTTTGCTGCCTCAAAAGGAATATACAGCGAGAAGCCCTAACTTGAAAGGAGGCCGGATTTCCTTGCAGTGTCTTGAATACAGGCTCGTCTTTCATCTCACAATCAGAAGGAATGTCTGAATCCTCTGTGGAGACCTTAGAGAAAGCGCTAGGTCCCTGCCTCATTTTGAAGGAATGTCTCACATCCCGTTGACACCTCGAGAGGCACACAGAGTTCACTGCTTCAAAATGTGATGATGCCTGACCCCTCTTGAACATTGAGAGGAATCCCAAAATCACTTTAGCTACAGGACAGGGTTCTTGGGTGCCATGCCTCACCTCGAGAAGCATCCCTTTGCCTGCCAAGCCTCGAAGAGATTCCTGAGGTGTCTCTCGTTACTAGACAGGAGTCCTGACGTCACTGAATAAAAACGTGTTTTGAAGGGCCATCCCCGCCGTAACTCGAGAACATACCCCAGGTCCCGCCGCAACTCGAGAAAAACCATGAGACTTCCCCTAGATGCGATATGAGGCCTGATTCCCTGCAGTCCAGGCAGAGCATTCCCATGATCCCCATCAAGCAAGTCAGGAGCTTCGACTTCCTTAATCGAACTCGAGAAAGTCCCCAGGAACACTGTCACAAGACTAGACAGACCCTGAGGTCACCCCAGCAATGTAAAGCAGCTCCAAGTACCCCACATCAACTCGCGATGAGGCCCGATTCCCCTGCATTGACTCCAGAGCCATCCCCCGTACCACATTAAACACCACCAGTGGCTTGACTTCCTTCAGGCAACTCCAGAGATGCCCTGAGAACACTGTCCCAAGTCTAGAGGAATACGAACTTCAGCACAGCAACTCGAGGAATGCTCCGTGTACCCCAAATCGTTTCGAGGTGAGAGCTGATTCCATGGCTTAGGCTCAAGACGTATGCCAACTTTCCAGAAGCCCCTCAAGAGGAGGCTTCTCTCAGCAGTAGGTATGTGGGAGGGACCCCGAGTTTGCTGCCTCAAGTGGAATATACAGCAAGAAGCCCTAACTTGAAAGGAGGCCGGATTTCCTTGCAGTGGCTTGAATACAGGCTCGTCTTTCATCTCACAGCATGAAGGGATGTCTGAAACCCCTGTGGAGACCTTAGAGAAAGCTCTAGGTCCCTGCCTCATTTTGAGGGAATGCCTCACATCCCGTTGTCACCTCGAGAGGCACGCGGAGTTCACTGCTTCAAAAGGTGACGATGCCTGACTCGTCTTGAATATTGATAGGAATCAAAAAATCACTGTGGCTACTGGAAAGGGTCCTTGGGTGCCCTGCCTCACCTCGAGAAGCATACCTTTTGCCCTGCCAAGCCTCGAAGAGATTCCTGAGGTTTCCCTTATTACTAGACAGGAGTCCTGACGGCACTGAATAAACACGTGTTTTGAAGGGCCATCCCCGCCGTAACTCGAGAAGATACCCCAGGTCCCCAGCGCAACTTGAGAGAAACCATGAGACTTCCCCCAAGATGCGAGATGAGTCCTGATTCCCTGCAGTGCATGCAGGGTATTCCCGTGATCCCCATCAAACAAGTCAGGAGCTTCGACTTGCTTAATGGATCTCGAGACAGTCCCCAAGAACACTATCACAAGTCTAGACGGACCCTGAGGTCACCCCAGCAACGTAAAGCAGCTCCATGTGCCCCAAATCAACCCGAAATGTGGCCCGATTCCCCTGCATTGACTCCAGAGCCATCCCCAGTTCCCCATTAAACAAGACCACTGGCTTGACTTCCTTCAGGCAACTCCAGAGATGCCCCGAGAACACTGTCCCAAGACTAGAAGAACACCAACTTCAGCACAGCAACTCGAGGAATGCTCCGTGTACCACAAATCGTCTCGAGATGAGAGCTGAATCGCTGGCTTAGGCTCAAGACGTATGCCAACTTTCCAGAAGCACCTCAAGAGGAGGCTTCTCTCAGCAATAGGTATGTTCGAGGGACCCCGAGTTTGCTGCCTCAAGTGGAATATATAGCGAGAAGCCCTAAATTGAAAGGAGGCCGGATTTCCTTGCAGTGGCTTGAATACAGGATCGTCTTTCATCTCACAGCATGAAGGGATGTCTGAATCCCCTGTGGAGACCTTAGAGAAAGCTCTAGGTCCCTGCCTCATTTTGACGGAATGCCTCACATCCCGTTGTCACCTCGAGAGGCAAGCGGAGTTCAGTGCTTCAAAATGTGACGATGCCTGACTCCTCTTGAATATTGATAGGAATCCCAAAATCCATGTGGCTATCGGAAAGGTTACTTGGGTACCCTGCCTCACCTTGAGAAGCGTCCCTTGTGCACTGCCAAGCCTCGAAGAGATTCCAGAGCTGCCCCTCGTTACTGGACAGGAGTCCTGACGTCACTGAATAAACACGAGTTTTGAAGAGCCATCCCCGTCGTAACCCGAGTATATACCCCAGGTCCCCGCCGCAAGTCGAGAAAAACCATGAGACTTTCCCCTATAGGCGAGATGAGGCCCGATTCTCCTGCAGTGCATGCAGAGCAATTCCGTGATCCCCATCAAACAAGTCAGGACCTTCGACTTGCTTAATGGATCTCGAGACAGTCCCCAAGAATACTGTCACATGTCTAGACGGATCCTGAGGTCACCCCATCAACGCAAAGCAGCACAATGTGCCCCAAATCAACTCGGGATGATGGCAGATTACCCTGCATTGACCCTAGAGCCATCCCCCTTTCCACATTAAACACGACTAGTGGCTTGACTTCCTTCAGGCAACTCCAGAGAGGCCCCGAGAACACTGTCCCAAGTCTAGAGGAACACCAACTTCAGCACAGCAACTCGAGGAATGCGCCGTGTACCCCAAATCGTCTCGAGATGAGAGCTGATTCCCTGGCTTAGGTTCAAGACGTATGCCAACTTTCCAGAAGCACCTCAAGCAGAGGATTCTCTCAGCAATAGGTATGTTGGAGGGACCTCCACTTTGCTGCCTCAAGTGGAATATACAGCGAGAAGCCCTAACTTGAAAGGAGGCCCGGTTTCCTTGCAGTGACTTGAATACAGGCTCGTCTTTCATCTCACAGCATGAAGGAATGTCTGAATCCCCTGTGGAGACCTTAGAGAAAGCCCTAGGTCCCTGCCTCATTTTGACGGAATGTCTCACATCCCGTTGACACCTCGAGAGGCACACGGAGTTCACTGCTTCAAAATGTGACGATGCCTGACTCCTCCTGAACATTGATAGGAATCCCAAAATCACTGTAGCTACAGGACAGGGTTCTTGGGTGCCCTGCCTCACCTCGAGAAGCATCCCTTTTGCCCTGCCAAGCCTCGAAGAGATTCCGGAGGTGTCTCTCATTACTAGACAGGAGTCCTGACGTCACTGAATAAACACGTGTTTTGAAGGGCCATCCCCGCCGTAACTCGAGAACATACCCCAGTTCGCGCCGCAACTCGAGTAAAACCATGAGACTTCCCCTAGAGGCGAGATGAGGCCTGATTCCCTGCAGTCCATGAAGAGCATTCCCGTGATCCCCATCAAACAAGTCAGGAGCTTCGACTTGCTTAATGGATCTCCAGAGAGTCCCCAGGAACACTGTCACAAGTCTAGACAGACCCTGAGGTCACCCCAGCAATGCAAAGCAGCTGCAAGTACCCCACATCAACTCGAGATGAGGCCCGATTCCCATGCATTGACTCCAGAGCCATCCCCCGTACCCCATTAAACACAACCATTGGCTTGACTTCCTTCCGGCAACACCAGAGATGCCCCAAGAACACTGTCCCAAGTCTAGAGGAATACGAACTTCAGCACAGCAACTCGAGGAATGCTCCGTGTACCCCAAATCGTTTCGAGGTGAGAGCTGATTCCATGGCTTAGGCTCAAGACGTATGCCAACTTTCCAGAAGCCCCTCAAGAGGAGGCTTCTCTCAGCAATAGGTATGTGGGAGGGACCCCGAGTTTGCTGCCTCAAGTGGAATATACACCCAGAAGCCCTAACTTGAAAGGAGGCCGGATTTCCTTGCAGTGGCTTGAATACAGGCTCGTCTTTCATCTCACAGCATGAAGGGGTGTCTGAAGCCCCTGTGTAGACCTTAGAAAAAGCTCTAGGTCCCTGCCTCATTTTGACGGAATGCCTCACATCCCATTGACACCTCGAGAGGCACGCGGAGTTCACTGCTTCAAAAGGTGATGATGCCTGACTCGTCTTGAATATTGATAGGAATCCCAAAATCACTGTGGCTACTGGAAAGGGTCCTTGGGTGCCCTGCCTCTCCTCGAGAAGCATACCTTTTGACCTGCCAAGCCTCGAAGAGATTCCTGAGGTGTCCCTCGTTACTAGACAGGAGTCCTGACGGCACTGAATAAACACGGGTTTTGAGGGGCCATCCCCGCCGTAACTCGAGAAGATTCCCCAGGTCCCCCGCGCAACTTGAGAGAAACCGTGAGACTTCCCCCTAGATGTGAGATGAGTCCTGATTCCCTGCAGTGCATGCAGAGTATTCCCGTGATCCCCAGCAAACAAGTCAGGAGCTTCGACTTGCTTAATTGAACTCGAGAAAGTCCCCAGGAACACTGTCACAAGTCTAGACAGACCCTGAGGTCACCTCAGCAATGCAAAGCAGCTGCAAGTACCCCACATCAACTCGAGATGAGGCCCGATTCCCATGCATTGACTCCAGAGCCATCCCCAGTTCCCCATTAAACAAGACCACTGGCTTGTCTTCCTTCAGACAACTCCAGAGATGCCCCGAGAACACTGTGCCAAGACTAGAGGAACACCAACTTCAGTACAGCAACTAGAGGAATGCCCCGTGTACCACAAATCGTCTCGAGATGAGAGCTGATTCCCTGGCTTAGGCTCAAGACGTATGCCAACTTTCCAGAAGCACCTCAAGAGGAGGCTTCTCTCAGCAATAGGTATGTTCGTGGGACCCCGAGTTTGCTGCCTAAAGTGGAATATACAGCGAGAAGCCCTAACTTGAATGGAGGCCGGATTTCCTTGCAGTGTCTTGAATACAGGCTCGTATTTCATCTCACAACAGGAAGGGATGTCTGAATCCCCTGTGGAGACCATAGAGAAAGCCCTAGGTCCCTGCCTCATTTTGACGGAATGCCTCACATCCCGTTGACACCACGAGAGGCACGCGGAGTTCACTGCTTCAAAAGGTGACGATGCCTGACTCCTCTTGAATATTGATACGAATCCCAAAATCCCTGTGGCTATTGGAAAGGTTCCTTGGGTGCCCTGCCTCATCTCGAGAAGCGTCCCTTGTGCCCCGGCAAGCCTCGAAGAGATTCCTGAGCTGTCCCTCGTTACTGGAAAGGAGTCCTGACATCACTGAATAAACACGTGTTTTGAAGGGCCATCGCCGCCGTAACTCGAGTATATACCCCAGGTCCCCGCCGCAACTCGAGAAAAACCATGAAACTTTCCCCTAGAGGCGAGATGAGGCCCGGTTCTCCTGCATTGCATGCAGAGCAATTCCGTGATCCCCATCCAACAAGTCAGGAGCTTCGACTTGCTTAATGGATCTCGAGACATTTCCCAAGAACACTGTCACATGTCTAGACGGACCCTGAGGTATCCCCAGCAACGCAAAGCAGCTCCATGTGCCCCAAATCAACATGAGATGAGGTCCGATTCCCCTGTATTGACTCCAGAGCCATCTGCTGTTCCGCATTAAACACCACCAGTGGCTTGACCTCCTTCAGACAACTCCAGAGATGCCCCGAGAACACTGTCCCTAGTCTAGAGGAACACCTACTTTAGCACAGCAACTCGAGGAATGCTTCCTGTATGCCAAATCTTCTCGAGATGAGAGCTGATTCCCTGGCTTAGGCTCTAGACGTATGCCAACTTTCCAGAAGCACTTCAAGAGGAGGCTTCTCTCAGCAATAGGTATGTGGGAGGGAACCCGAGTTTGCTGCCTCAAATGTGACGATGCCTGACTCCTCCTGAACATTGATAGGAATCCCAAAATCACTGTGGCTACAGGAAAGGGTTCTTGTGTGCCCTGCCTCACCTCGAGAAGCATCCCTTTTGCCCTGCCAAGGCTCGAAGAGATTCCTGAGGTGTCCCTCATTACTAGAGAGGAGTCATGACGTCACTGAATAAACACGTGTTTTCAAGGGCCATGCCCGCCATAACTCGAGAACATACCCCAGGTCCCGACGCAACTCGAGAAAAACGATGAGGCTTCCCCTAGATGCGATATGAGGCTTGATTCCCTGCAGTACATGCAGAGCATTCCCGTGATCCCAATCAAGCAAGTCAGCAGCTTCAAATTGCTTAATGGATCTCGAGAGAGTCCATAGGAACACTGTCACAAGTCTAGACAGACCGTGACATCACCCCAGCAACGCAAAGCAGCCCCAAGTACCCGACATCAACTCGAGTTGAGGCCCGATTCCCATGCATTGACTCCAGAGCTATCCCCCGTACACCATTAAAGCACAACCAGTGGATTGATTTCCTTCAGGCAACTCCAGAGATGCCTCGAGAACACTGTCCCAAGTCTAGAGGAATACGAACTTCAGCAAAGCAACTCGAGGAATGCTCCGTGTACCCCAAATCGTTTCGAGGTGAGAGCTGATTCCATGGCTAGGCTCAAGACGTATGCCAACTTTCCAGAAGCACCTCAAGAGGAGGCTTCTCTCAGCAATAGGTATGTGGGAGGGACCCCGAGTTTGCTGCCTCAAGTGGAATATACAGCGAGAAGCCCTAACTTGAAAGGAGGCCGGATTTCCTTGCAGTGGCTTGAATACAGGCTCGTCTTTCATCTCACAGCATGAAGGGATGTCTGAATCCCCTGTGGAGACCTTAGAGAAAGCTCTAGGTACCTGCCTCATTTTGACGGAATGCCTCACATCCCGTTGACACTTCGAGAGGCACGCGGAGTTCACTGCTTCAAAAGGTGATGATGCCTCACTCGTCTTGAATATTGATAGGAATCCCAAAATCACTGTGGCTACTGGAAAGGGTCCTTGGGTGCCCTGCGTCACCTCGAGAAGCATACCTTTTACCTGCCAAGAATCGAAGAGATTCCTGAGGTGTGCCTCGTTACTAGACAGGAGTCCTGACGGCACTGAATAAACACGTGTTTTGAAGGGCCATCCCCGCCGTAACTCGAGAAGATACCCCATGTCCCCCGCAACTTGAGAGAAACCATGAGACTTCCCCCTAGATGCGAGATGAGTCCTGATTCCCTGCAATGCATGCATAGTATTCCCGTGATCCCCATTAAACAAGTCAGGTGCTTCGAATTGCTTAATGGATCTCGAGACAGTCCCCAAGAACACTGTCACAAGTCTAGACGGACCCTGAGGTCACGCCAGCAACGCAAAGCAGCTCCATGTGCCCCAAATCAACCCGAGATGTGGCCCGATTCCCCTGCATTGACTCCAGAGCCATCCCCAGTTCCCCATTAAACAAGACAACTGGCAAGACTTCCTTCATGCAACTCCAGAGATGCCCTGAGAACACTGTCCCAAGTCTAGAGGAACACCAACTTCAGCACAGCAACTCGAGGAATGCTCCGTGTACCACAAATCGTCTCGAGATGAGAGCTGAATCCCTGGCTTAGGCTCAAGACGTATGCCAACTTTCCAGAAGCACCTCAAGAGGAGGATTCTCTCAGCAATAGGTATGTTGGAGGGACCCCGAGTTTGCTGCCTCAAGTTGAATATACGGCGAGAAGCCCTAACTTGAAAGGAGGCCGGATTTCCTTGCAGTGGCTTGAATACAGGCTCGTCTTTCATCTCACAGAATGAAGGGGTGTCTGAATCCCCTGTGGAGGCCTTAGAGAAAGCTATAGGTCCCTACCTCATTTTGACGGAATGCCTCACATCCCGTTGTCACCTCCAGAGGCACGCGGAGTTCACTGCTTCAAAAGGTGACGATGCCTGACTCCTCTAAAATATTTATAGGAATCCCAAAATCCCTGTGGCTATTGGGAACGTTCCTTGGGTGCCCTGCCTCAAGTGGAGAAGCGTCCCTTGTGCCATGCCAAGCCTCGATGAGATTCCTGAGCTGTCTCTCGTTACTGGACAGGAGTTCTGACGTCACTGAATAAACACGAGTTTTGAAGCCCATCCCCGCCGTAACCCGAGTACATACCCCAGGTCCCCGCCGCAAGTCGAGAAAAACCATGAGACTTTCCCCTAGAGGCGAGATGAGGCCCGATTCTCCTGCAGTGCATGCAGAGCAATTCCGTGATCCCCATCAAACAAGTCAGAAGCTTCGACTTGCTTAATGGATCTCGAGAGAGTCCCCAAGAACACTGTCACATGTCTAGACGGATCCTGAGGTCACCCCATCAAGGCAAAGCAGCACCATGTGCCCCAAATCAACTCGAGATAATGCCCGATTCCCCTGCATTGACTCCAGAGCCATCCCCCGTTCCACATTAAACACGACCAGTGGCTTGACTTCCTTCAGGCAACTGCAGAGACGCCCTGAGAACACTGTCCCAAGTCTAGAGGAACACCATCTTCAGCACAGCAACTCGAGGAATGCTCCGTGTACCCCAAATCGTCTCGAGATGAGAGCTGATTCCCTGGCTTAGGCTCAAGACGTATGCCAACTTTCCAGAAGCACCTCAAGAGGAGGCTTCTCTCAGCAATAGTTATGTTGGAGGGACCCCCAGTTTGCTGCCTCAAAAGGAATATACAGCGAGAAGCCCTAACTTGAAAGGAGGCCGGATTTCCTTGCAGTGTCTTGAATACAGGCTCGTCTTTCATCTCACAACCGGAAGGAATGTCTGAATCCTCTGTGGAGACCTTAGAGAAAGCGCTAGGTCGCTGCCTCATTTTGAAGGAATGTCTCACATCCCGTTGACACCTCGAGAGGCACACAGAGTTCACTGCTTCAAAATGTGATGATGCCTGACCCCTCTTGAACATTGATAGGAATCCCAAAATCACTTTAGCTACAGGACAGGGTTCTTGGGTGCCATGCCTCACCTCGAGAAGCATCCCTTTGCCTGCCAAGCCTCGAAGAGATTCCTGAGGTGTCTCTCGTTACTAGACAGGAGTCCTGACGTCACTGAATAAACACGTGTTTTGAAGGGCCATCCCCGCCGTAACTCGAGAACATACCCCAGGTCCCGCCGCAACTCGAGAAAAACCATGAGACTTCCCCTAGATGCGAGATGACGTCTGATTCCCTGCAGTCCATGCAGAGCAGTCCCGTGATCCCCATCAAGCAAGTCAGGAGCTTCGACTTGCTTAATGGATCTCTAGAGAGTCCCCAGGAACACTGTCACAAGTCTAGACAGACCCTGAGGTCACCCCAGCAATGCAAAGCAGCTCCAAGTGCCCCACATCAACTCGAGATGAGGCCCCATTCTCCGGTATTTACTCAAGAGCTATCCCCCGTACCCCATTAAACACCAACACTGGCTTGACTTCATTCAGGCAACTCCAGAGATGCCCCAAGAACACTGTTCCAAGTCTAGAGGAACACCAACTTCAGCACAGCAACTCGAGGAATGCTCCGTGTACCCCAAATCGTTCCGAGGTGAGAGCTGATTCCCTGGCTTAGGCTCAAGACGTATAACAACTTTCCAGAAGCACCTCAAGAGGAGGCTTCTCTCAGCAATCGGTATGTGGGAGGGAACCCAAGTTTGCTGCCTCAAGTGGAATATACAGTGAGAAGCCCTAACTTGAAAGGAGGCCGGATTTCCTGGCAGTGTGTTGAATACAGGCTCGTCTTTCATCTCACAACAGGAAGGGATGTCTGAATCCCCTGTGGAGACCTTAGAGAAAGCCCTAGGTCCCTGCCTCATTTTGACGGAATGTCTCACATCCCGTTGACACCTCGAGAGGCACACGGAGTTCACTGCTTCAAAATGTGACGATGCCTGACTCCTCCTGAACATTGATAGAAATTCCAAAATCACTGTAGCTACAGGACAGGGTTCTTTGGTGCCCTGCCTCACCTCGAGAAGCATCCCTTTTGCGCTGCCAAGCCTCGAAGAGATTCCTGAGGTGTCTCTCGTTACTAGACAGGAGTCCTGACGTCACTGAATAAACACGTGTTTTGAAGGGCCATCCCCGCCGTAACTCGAGAACATACCCCAGTTCGCGCCACAACTCGAGTAAAACCATGAGATTTCCCCTAGAGGCGAGATGAGGCCTGATTCCCTGCAGTCCATGAAGAGCATTCCCGTGATCCCCATCAAACAAGTCAGGAGCTTCGACTTGCTTAATGGATCTCCAGAGAGTCCCCAGGAACACTGTCACAAGTCTAGACAGACCCTGAGGTCACCCCAGCAATGCAAAGCAGCTGCAAGTACCCCACATCAACTCGAGATGAGGCCCGATTCCCATGCATTGACTCCAGAGCCATCCCCCGTACCCCATTAAACACAACCATTGGCTTTACTTCCTTCCGGCAACACCAGAGATGCCCCAAGAACACTGTCCCAAGTCTAGAGGAATACGAACTTCAGCACAGCAACTCGAGGAATGCTCCGTGTACCCCAAATCGTTTCGAGGTGAGAGCTGATTCCATGGCTTAGGCTCAAGACGTATGCCAACTTTCCAGAAGCCCCTCAAGAGGAGGCTTCTCTCAGCAATAGGTATGTGGGAGGGACCCCGAGTTTGCTGCCTCAAGTGGAATATACACCCAGAAGCCCTAACTTGAAAGGAGGCCGGATTTCCTTGCAGTGGCTTGAATACAGGCTCGTCTTTCATCTCACAGCATGAAGGGGTGTCTGAAGCCCCTGTGTAGACCTTAGAGAAAGCTCTAGGTCCCTGCCTCATTTTGACGGAATGCCTCACATCCCATTGACACCTCGAGAGGCACGCGGAGTTCACTGCTTCAAAAGGTGATGATGCCTGACTCGTCTTGAATATTGATAGGAATCCCAAAATCACTGTGGCTACTGGAAAGGGTCCTTGGGTGCCCTGCCTCTCCTCGAGAAGCATACCTTTTGACCTGCCAAGCCTCGAAGAGATTCCTGAGGTGTCCCTCGTTACTAGACAGGAGTCCTGACGGCACTGAATAAACACGGGTTTTGAGGGGCCATCCCCGCCGTAACTCGAGAAGATTCCCCAGGTCCCCCGCACAACTTGACAAAAACCGTGAGACTTCCCCCTAGATGCGAGATGAGTCCTGATTCCCTGAAGTGCATGCAGAGTATTCCCGTGATCCCCAGCAAACAAGTCAGGAGCTTCGACTTGCTTAATTGAACTCGAGAAAGTCCCCAGGAACACTGTCACAAGTCTAGACAGACCCTGAGGTCACCTCAGCAATGCAAAGCAGCTGCAAGTACCCCACATCAACTCGAGATGAGGCCCGATTCCCATGCATTGACTCCAGAGCCATCCCCAGTTCCGCATTAAACAAGACCACTGGCTTGTCTTCCTTCAGACAACTCCAGAGATGCCCCGAGAACACTGTGCCAAGACTAGAGGAACACCAACTTCAGTACAGCAACTAGAGGAATGCCCCGTGTACCACAAATCGTCTCGAGATGAGAGCTGATTCCCTGGCTTAGGCTCAAGACGTATGCCAACTTTCCAGAAGCACCTCAAGAGGAGGCTTCTCTCAGCAATAGGTATGTTCGTGGGACCCCGAGTTTGCTGCCTAAAGTGGAATATACAGCGAGAAGCCCTAACTTGAATGGAGGCCGGATTTCCTTGCAGTGTCTTGAATACAGGCTCGTATTTCATCTCACAACAGGAAGGGATGTCTGAATCCCCTGTGGAGACCATAGAGAAAGCCCTAGGTCCCTGCCTCATTTTGACGGAATGCCTCACATCCCGTTGACACCACGAGAGGCACGCGGAGTTCACTGCTTCAAAAGGTGACGATGCCTGACTCCTCTTGAATATTGATACGAATCCCAAAATCCCTGTGGCTATTGGAAAGTTACCTTGGGTGCCCTGCCTCATCTCGAGAAGCGTCCCTTGTGCCCCGGCAAGCCTCGAAGAGATTCTTGCGCTGTCCCTCGTTACTGGAGAGGAGTCCTGACGTCACTGAATAAACACGTGTTTTGAAGGGCCATCGCCGCCGTAACTCGAGTATATACCCCAGGTCCCCGCCGCAACTCGAGAAAAACCATGAAACTTTCCCCTAGAGGCGAGATGAGGCCCGGTTCTCCTGCACTGCATGCAGAGCAATTCCGTGATTCCCATCCAACAAGTCAGGAGCTTCGACTTGCTTAATGGCTCTCGAGACATTCCCCAAGAACACTGTCACATGTCTAGACGGACCCTGAGGTATCCCCAGCAATGCAAAGCAGCTCCATGTGCCCCAAATCAACTTGAGATGAGGTCCGATTCCCCTGTATTGACTCCAGAGCCATCTGCTGTTTCGCATTAAACACCACCAGTGGCTTGACCTCCTTCAGACAACTCCAGAGATGCCCCGAGAACACTGTCCCTAGTCTAGAGGAACACCTACTTTAGCACAGCAACTCGAGGAATGCTTCCTGTATGCCAAATCCTCTCAAGATGAGAGCTGATTCCCTGGCTTAGACTCAAGACATATGCCAACTTTCCAGAAGCACTTCAAGAGGAGGCTTCTCTCAGCAATATGTATGTGGGAGGGAACCCGAGTTTGCTGCCTCAAATGGAATATACAGCGCGAAGCACTAACTAGAAAGGAGGCTGGTTTCCTAGCAGTGTCTTGAATACAGGCTCGTCTTTCATCTCACAGCAGGAAGAGATGTCTGAATCCCCTGTGGAGACTTTAGAGAAAGCCCTAGGTCCCTGCCACATTTTGACGGAATGCCTCACATCCGGTTGACACCTCGAGAGTCACGCGGAGTTCACTGCTTCAAAAGCTGACGATGCCTGACTCCTCTAAAATATTGATAGGAATCACAAAATCCCTGTGGCTATTTGAAAGGTTCCTTGGGTGCCCTGCCTCACCTCGAGAAGCGTCCCTTGTGCCTGCCAAGCCTCGAAGAGATTCCTGAGCTGTCCCTCGTTACTGGACAGGAGTCCTGACGTCACTGAATAAACACGAGTTTTTAAGGGCCATCCCCGCCGTAACCCGAGTACATACCCCAGGTCCCCGTCGCAAGTCGAAAAAAACCATGAGACTTTCCCCTAGTGGCGAGATGAGGCCCGATTCTCCTGCAGTGCATGCAGAGCAATTCCGTGATCCCCATCAAACAAGTCAGGACCTTCGACTTGCTTAATGGATCTCGAGACAGTCCCCAAAAAAACTGTCACATGTCTAGACGGATCCTGCGGTCACCCCATCAACGCAAAGCAGCACCATGTGCCCCACATCAACTCGAGATAATGCCCGAATCCCCTGCATTGACTCCAGAGCCATCTCACGTTCCACATTAAACACCACCAGTGGCTTGACTTCCTTCAGACAACTCCAGAGATGCCCTGAGAACACTGTCCCAAGTCTAGAGGAACACCATCTTCAGCACAGCAACTCGAGGAATGCTCCGTGTACCCCAAATCGTCTCGAGATGAGAGCTGATTCCCTGGCTTAGGCTCAAGACGTATGCCAACTTTCCAGAAGCACCTCAAGGGGAGGCTTCTCTCAGCAAAAGGTATGTTGGAGGGACCCCCAGTTTGCTGCCTCAAGTGGAATATGCAGCAAGAAGCCCTAACTTGAAAGGAGGCCGGGTTTCCTTGCAGTGTCTTGAATACAGGCTCGTCTTTCATCTCACAACCGGAAGGAATGTCTGCATCCCCTGTGGAGACCTTAGCGAAAGCCCTAGGTCCCTGCCTCATTTTGACGGATTGCCTCACATCCCGTTGACACCTCGGGAGGCACACGGAGTTCACTGCTTCAAATGTGACGATGCCTGACTCCTCCTGAACATTGATAGGAATCCCAAAATCACTGTGGCTACAGGAAAGGGTTCTTGTGTGCCCTGCCTCACCTCGAGAAGCATCCCTTTTGCCCTGCCAAGGCTCGAAGAGATTCCTGAGGTGTCCCTCATTACTAGACAGGAGTCATGACGTCACTGAATAAACACGTGTTTTCAAGAGCCATGCCCGCCATAACTCGAGAACATACCCCAGGTCCCGACGCAACTCGAGAAAAACGATTAGGCTTCCCCTAGATGCGATATGAGGCTTGATTCCCTGCAGTACATGCAGAGCATTCCCGTGATCCCAATCAAGCAAGTCAGCAGCTTCAAATTGCTTAATGGATCTCGAGAGAGTCCCCAGGAACACTGTCACAAGTCTAGACAGACCGTGACATCACCCCAGCAACGCAAAGCAGCTCCAAGTACCCCACATCAACTCGAGTTGAGGCCCGATTCCCATGCATTGACTCCAGAGCTATCCCCCGTACCCCATTAAAGCACAACCAGTGGATTGATTTCCTTCAGGCAACTCCAGAGATTCCCCGAGAACACTGTCCCAAGTCTAGAGGAATACGAACTTCAGCAAAGCAACTCGAGGAATGCTCCGTGTACCCCAAATCGTTTCGAGGTGAGAGCTGATTCCATGGCTAGGCTCAAGACGTATGCCAACTTTCCAGAAGCACCTCAAGAGGAGGCTTCTCTCAGCAATCGGTATGTGGGAGGGAACCCGAGTTTGCTGCCTCAAGTGGAATATACAGTGAGAAGCCCTAACTTGAAAGGAGGCCGGATTTCCTGGCAGTGTGTTGAATACAGGCTCGTCTTTCATCTCACAACAGGAAGGGATGTCTGAATCCCCTGTGGAGACCTTAGAGAAAGCCCTAGGTCCCTGCCTCATTTTGACGGAATGTCTCACATCCCGTTGACACCTCGAGAGGCACACGGAGTTCACTGCTTCAAAATGTGACGATGCCTGACTCCTCCTGAACATTGATAGGAATCCCAAAATCACTGTAGCTACAGGACAGGGTTCTTTGGTGCCCTGCCTCACCTCGAGAAGCATCCCTTTTGCCCTGCCAAGCCTCGAAGAGATTCCTGAGGTGTCTCTCGTTACTAGACAGGAGTCCTGACGTCACTGAATAAACACGTGTTTTGAAGGGCCATCCCCGCCGTAACTCGAGAACATACCCCAGTTCGCGCCGCAACTCGAGTAAAACCATGAGATTTCCCCTAGAGGCGAGATGAGGCCTGATTCCCTGCAGTCCATGAAGAGCATTCGCGTGATCCCCATCAAGCAAGTCAGGAGCTTCGACTTGCTTAATTGAACTCGAGAAAGTCCCCAGGAACACTGTCACAAGTCTAGACAGACCCTGAGGTCACCCCAGCAATGCAAAGCAGCTGCAAGTATCCCACATCAACTCGAGATGAGGCCCGATTCCCATGCATTGACTCCAGAGCCATCCCCAGTTCCCCATTAAACAAGACCACTGGCTTGTCTTCCTTCAGACAACTCCAGAGATGCCCCGAGAACACTGTCCCAAGTCTAGAGGAACACCAACTTCAGCACAGCAACTCGAGGAATGCCCCGTGTACCACAAATCGTCTCCAGATGAGAGCTGATTCCCTGGCTTAGGCTCAAGACGTATGCCAACTTTCCAGAAGCACCTCAAGAGGAGGCTTCTCTCAGCAATAGGTATGTTCGTGGGACCCCGAGTTTGCTGCCTAAAGTGGAATATACAGCGAGAAGCCCTAACTTGAATGGAAGCCGGATTTCCTTGCAGTGTCTTGTATACAGGCTCGTCTTTCATCTCACAACAGGAAGGGATGTCTGAATCCCCTGTGAAGACCTTTGAGAAAGCCCTAGGTCCCTGCCTAATTGTGACGGAATGCCTCACATCCCGTTGACACCACGAGAGGCACGCGGAGTTCACTGCTTCAAAAGGTGACGATGCCTGACTCCTCTTGAATATTGATAGGAATCCCAAAATCCCTGTGGCTATTGGAAAGGTTCCTTGGGTGCCCTGCCTCATCTCGAGAAGCGTCCCTTGTGCCCCGGCAAGAATCGAAGAGATTCCTGAGCTGTCCCTCGTTACTGGACAGGAGTCCTGACGTCACTGAATAAACACGTGTTTTGAAGGGCCATCGCCGCCGTAACTCGAGTATATACCCCAGGTCCCCGCCGCAACTCGAGAAAAACCATGAGACTTCCGCCTAGAGGCGAGATGAGGCCCGATTCTCCTGCAGTGCATGCAGAGCAATTCCGTGATCCCCATCAAACAAGTCAGGAGCTTCGACTTGCTTAATGGATCTCGAGACATTCCCCAAGAACACTGTCACATGTCTAGACGGACCCTGAGGTATCCCCAGCAAAGCAAAGCAGCTCCATGTGCCCCAAATCAACTTGAGATGAGGTCCGATTCCCCTGCATTGACTCCAGAGCCATCTGCCGTTCCACATTAAACACCACCAGTGGCTTGACCTCCTTCAGACAACTCCAGAGATGCCCCGAGAACACTGTCCCAAGTCTAGAGGAACACCTACTTTAGCACAGCAACTCGAGGAATGCTTCCTGAATGCCAAATCTTCTCGAGTTGAGAGCTGATTTCCTGGCTTAGGCTCAAGATGTATGCCAACTTTCCAGAAGCACCTCAAGAGGAGGCTTCTCTCAGCAATAGGTATGTGGGAGGGAACCCGAGTTTGCTGCCTCAAATGGAATATACAGCGAGAAGCACTAACTAGAATGGAGGCCGGTTTCTTAGCAGTGTCTTGAATACAGCCTCGTCTTTCATCTCACAGCAGGAAGAGATGTCTGAATCCCCTGTGGAGACCTTACAGAAAGCCCTAGGTCCCTGCCTCATTTTGACGGAATGCCTCACATCCCGTTGACACCTCGAGAGTCACGCGGAGTTCACTGCTTCAAAAGCTGACGATGCCTGACTCCTCCTGAACATTGATAGGAATCCCAAAATCACTGTAGCTACAGGACAGGGTTCTTGGGTGCCCTGCCTCACCTCGAGAAGCATCCCTTTTGCCCTGCCAAGCCTCGAAGAGATTCCTGAGGTGTCCCTCATTACTAGACAGGAGTCATGACGTCACTGAATAAACACGTGTTTTCAAGGGCCATGCCCGCCATAACTCGAGAACATACCCCAGGTCCCGCCGCAACTCGAGAAAAACCATGAGACTTCCCCTAGATGCGAGATGAGGGCTGATTCCCTGCAGTCCATGCAGAGCATTCCCGTAATCCCAATCAAGCAAGTCAGCAGCTTCGAATTTCTTAATGGATCTCGAGATTGTCCCCAGGAACACTGTCACAAGTCTAGACAGATCCTGACATCACCCCAGCAGCGCAAAGCAGCACCAAGTACCCCATATCAACTCGCGTTGAGGCCCGATTCCCATGCATTGACTCCAGAGCCATCCCCCGTACCCCATTAAACACCACCAGTGGCTTGACTTCCTTCAGGCAACTCCAGAGATGCCCCGAGAACACTGTCCCAAGTCTAGAGGAATACGAACTTCAGCACAGCAACTCGAGGAATGCTCCGTGTATCCCAAATCGTTTCGAGGTGAGAGCTGATTCCATGGCTTAGGCTCAAGACGTATGCCAACTTTCCAGAAGCCCCTCAAGAGGAGGATTCTCTCAGCAATAGGTATGTTGGAGGGACGCCCACTTTGCTGCCTCAAGTGGAATATACAGCGAGAAGCCCTAACTTGAAAGGAGGCCGGATTTCCTTGCAGTGTCTTGAATACAGGCTCGTCTTTCATCTCACAACCGGAAGGGATGTCTGAATCCCCTGTGGAGAACTTAGAGAAAGCCCTAGGTCCCTGCCTCATTTTGACGGATTGCCTCACATCCCGTTGACACCTCGAGAGGCACGCGGAGTTCACTGCTTCAAAAGTTGATGCTGCCTGACTCGTCTTGAATATTGATAGGAATCCCAAAATCCCTGTGGCTATTTGAAAGGTTCCTTGGGTGTCCTGCCTCACCTCGAGAAGCGTCCCTTGTGCCTGCCAAGCCTCGAAGAGATTCCTGAGCTGTCCCTCGTTACTGGACAGGAGTCCTGACGTCACTGAATAAACAGGAGTTTTTAAGGGCCATCCCCGCTGTAACCCGAGTACATACCCCAGGTCCCCGCCGCAAGTCGAGAAAAACCATGAGACTTTCCCCTAGTGGCGAGATGAGGCCCGATTCTCCTGCAGTGCATGCAGAGCAATTCCGTGATCCCCATCAAAAAAGTCAGGACCTTCGACTTGCTTAATGGATCTCGAGACAGTCCCCAAGAATACTGTCACATGTCTAGACGGATCCTGAGGTCACCCCATCAACGCAAAGCAGCACTATGTGCCCCACATCAACTCGAGATAATGCCCGATTCCCCTGCATTGACTCCAGAGCCATCCCCCGTTCCACATTAAACACCACCAGTGGCTTGACTTCCTTCAGACAACTCAAGAGATGCCCTGAGAACACTGTCCCAAGTCTAGAGGAACACCATCTTCAGCACAGCAACTCGAGGAATGCTCCGTGTACCTCAAATCGTCTGGAGATGAGAGCTGATTCCCTGGCTTAGGCTCAAGACGTATGCCAACTTTCCAGAAGCACCTCAAGGGGAGGCTTCTCTCAGCAATAGGTATGTTGGAGGGACCCCCAGTTTGCTGCCTCAAGTGGAATATGCAGCGAGAAGCCCTACCTTGAAAGGAGGCCGGGTTTCCTTGCAGTGTCTTGAATACAGGCTCGTCTTTCATCTCACAATGGGAAGGAATGTCTGAATCCCCTGTGGAGACCTTAGCGAAAGCCCTAGGTCCCTGCCTCATTTTGACGGATTGCCTCACATCCCGTTGACACCTGGAGAGGCACCCGGAGTTCACTGCTTCAAATGTGACGATGCCTGACTCCTCCTGAACATTGATAGGAATCCCAAAATCACTGTGGCTACAGGAAACGGTTCTTGTGTGCCCTGCCTCACCTCGAGAAGCATCCCTTTTGCCCTGCCAAGGCTCGAAAAGATTCCTGAGGTGTCCCTCATTACTAGACAGGAGTCATGACGTCACTTAAAAAACACGTGTTTTCAAGGGCCAAGCCCGCCATAACTCGAGAACATACCCCACGTACCGCCGCGACTCGAGAAAAACCATGAGACTTCCCCTAGATGCGATATGAGGCCTGATTCCCTGCAGTCCATGCAGAGCATTCCCGTGATCCCAATCAAGCAAGTCAGCAGCTTCGAATTGCTTAATGGATCTCGAGAGAGTCCCCAGGAACACTGTCACAAGTCTAGACAGACCCTGACATCACCCCAGCAAAGCAAAGCAGGTCCAAGTACCCCACATCACCTCGAGTTGAGGCCGGATTCCCATGCATTGACTCCAGAGCCATCCCCCGTTCCACATTAAACACGACCAGTAGCTTGACTTCCTTCAGGCAACTCCAGAGACGCCCTGAGAACACTGTCCCAAGTCTAGAGAAACACCATCTTCAGCACAGCAACTCGAGGAATGCTCCGTGTACCCCAAATCGTCTCGAGATGAGAGCTGATTCCCTGGCTTAGGCTCAAGACGTATGCCAACTTTCCAGAAGCACCTCAAGTGGAGACTTCTCTCAGCAATAGGTATGTTGGAGGGACCCCCAGTTTGCTGCCTCAAGAGGAATATACAGCGAAAAGCCCTAACTTGAAAGGAGGACGGATTTCCTTGCAGTGGCTTGAATACAGGCTCGTCTTTCATCTCACAGCATGAAGGGATGTCTGAAACCCCTGTGGAGACCTTAGAGAAAGCTCTAGGTCCCTGCCTCATTTTGAGGGAATGCCTCACATCCCGTTGTCACCTCGAGAGGCACGCGGAGTTCACTGCTTCAAAAGGTGATGATGCCTCACTCGTCTTGAATATTGATAGGAATCAAAAAATCACTGTGGCTACTGGAAAGGGTCCTTGGGTGCCCTGCCTCACCTCGAGAAGCATACCTTTTGACCTGCCAAGCCTCGAAGAGATTCCTGAGGTTTCCCTTATTACTAGACAGGAGTCCTGACGGCACTGAATAAACAGGTGTTTTGAAGGGCCATCCCCGCCGTAACTCGAGAAGATACCCCAGGTCCCCAGCGCAACTTGAGAGAAACCATGAGACTTCCCCCAAGATGCGAGATGAGTCCTGATTCCCTGCAGTGCATGCAGGGTATTCCCGTGATCCCCATCAAACAAGTCAGGAGCTTCGACTTGCTTAATGGATCTCGAGACAGTCCCCAAGAACACTGTCACAAGTCTAGACGGACCCTGAGGTCACCCCAGCAACGTAAAACAGCTCCATGTGCCCCAAATCAACCCGAAATGTGGCCCGATTCCCCTGCATTGACTCCAGAGCCATCCCCAGTTCCCCATTAAACAAGACCACTGGCTTGACTTCCTTCAGGCAACTCCAGAGATGCCCCGAGAACACTGTCCCAAGACTAGAAGAACACCAACTTCAGCACAGCAACTCGAGGAATGCTCCGTGTACCACAAATCGTCTCGAGATGAGAGCTGAATCGCTGGCTTAGGCTCAAGACGTATGCCAACTTTCCAGAAGCACCTCAAGAGGAGGCTTCTCTCAGCAATAGGTATGTTCGAGGGACCCCGAGTTTGCTGCCTCAAGTGGAATATATAGCGAGAAGCCCTAAATTGAAAGGAGGCCGGATTTCCTTGCAGTGGCTTGAATACAGGATCGTCTTTCATCTCACAGCATGAAGGGATGTCTGAATCCCCTGTGGAGACCTTAGAGAAAGCTCTAGGTCCCTGCCTCATTTTGACGGAATGCCTCACATCCCGTTGTCACCTCGAGAGGCAAGCGGAGTTCAGTGCTTCAAAATGTGACGATGCCTGACTCCTCTTGAATATTGATAGGAATCCCAAAATCCATGTGGCTATCGGAAAGGTTACTTGGGTACCCTGCCTCACCTTGAGAAGCGTCCCTTGTGCACTGCCAAGCCTCGAAGAGATTCCAGAGCTGCCCCTCGTTACTGGACAGGAGTCCTGACGTCACTGAATAAACACGAGTTTTGAAGAGCCATCCCCGTCGTAACCCGAGTACATACCCCAGGTCCCCGCCGCAAGTCGAGAAAAACCATGAGACTTTCCCCTATAGGCGAGATGAGGCCCGATTCTCCTGCAGTGCATGCAGAGCAATTCCGTGATCCCCATCAAACAAGTCAGGACCTTCGACTTGCTTAATGGATCTCGAGACAGTCCCCAAGAATACTGTCACATGTCTAGACGGATCCTGAGGTCACCCCATCAACGCAAAGCAGCACAATGTGCCCCAAATCAACTCGGGATGATGGCAGATTACCCTGCATTGACCCTAGAGCCATCCCCCTTTCCACATTAAACACGACTAGTGGCTTGACTTCCTTCAGGCAACTCCAGAGAGGCCCCGAGAACACTGTCCCAAGTCTAGAGGAACACCAACTTCAGCACAGCAACTCGAGGAATGCGCCGTGTACCCCAAATCGTCTCGAGATGAGAGCTGATTCCCTGGCTTAGGTTCAAGACGTATGCCAACTTTCCAGAAGCACCTCAAGCAGAGGATTCTCTCAGCAATAGGTATGTTGGAGGGACCTCCACTTTGCTGCCTCAAGTGGAATATACAGCGAGAAGCCCTAACTTGAAAGGAGGCCCGGTTTCCTTGCAGTGTCTTGAATACAGGCTCGTCTTTCATCTCACAGCATGAAGGAATGTCTGAATCCCCTGTGGAGACCTTAGAGAAAGCCCTAGGTCCCTGCCTCATTTTGACGGAATGTCTCACATCCCGTTGACACCTCGAGAGGCACACGGAGTTCACTGCTTCAAAATGTGACGATGCCTGACTCCTCCTGAACATTGATAGGAATCCCAAAATCACTGTAGCTACAGGACAGGGTTCTTGGGTGCCCTGCCTCACCTCGAGAAGCATCCCTTTTGCCCTGCCAAGCCTCGAAGAGATTCCGGAGGTGTCTCTCATTACTAGACAGGAGTCCTGACGTCACTGAATAAACACGTGTTTTGAAGGGCCATCCCCGCCGTAACTCGAGAACATACCCCAGTTCGCGCCGCAACTCGAGTAAAACCATGAGACTTCCCCTAGAGGCGAGATGAGGCCTGATTCCCTGCAGTCCATGAAGAGCATTCCCGTGATCCCCATCAAACAAGTCAGGAGCTTCGACTTGCTTAATGGATCTCCAGAGAGTCCCCAGGAACACTGTCACAAGTCTAGACAGACCCTGAGGTCACCCCAGCAATGCAAAGCAGCTGCAAGTACCCCACATCAACTCGAGATGAGGCCCGATTCCCATGCATTGACTCCAGAGCCATCCCCCGTACCCCATTAAACACAACCATTGGCTTGACTTCCTTCCGGCAACACCAGAGATGCCCCAAGAACACTGTCCCAAGTCTAGAGGAATACGAACTTCAGCACAGCAACTCGAGGAATGCTCCGTGTACCCCAAATCGTTTCGAGGTGAGAGCTGATTCCATGGCTTAGGCTCAAGACGTATGCCAACTTTCCAGAAGCCCCTCAAGAGGAGGCTTCTCTCAGCAATAGGTATGTGGGAGGGACCCCGAGTTTGCTGCCTCAAGTGGAATATACACCCAGAAGCCCTAACTTGAAAGGAGGCCGGATTTCCTTGCAGTGGCTTGAATACAGGCTCGTCTTTCATCTCACAGCATGAAGGGGTGTCTGAAGCCCCTGTGTAGACCTTAGAGAAAGCTCTAGGTCCCTGCCTCATTTTGACGGAATGCCTCACATCCCATTGACACCTCGAGAGGCACGCGGAGTTCACTGCTTCAAAAGGTGATGATGCCTGACTCGTCTTGAATATTGATAGGAATCCCAAAATCACTGTGGCTACTGGAAAGGGTCCTTGGGTGCCCTGCCTCTCCTCGAGAAGCATACCTTTTGACCTGCCAAGCCTCGAAGAGATTCCTGAGGTGTCCCTCGTTACTAGACAGGAGTCCTGACGGCACTGAATAAACACGGGTTTTGAGGGGCCATCCCCGCCGTAACTCGAGAAGATTCCCCAGGTCCCCCGCGCAACTTGAGAGAAACCGTGAGACTTCCCCCTAGATGTGAGATGAGTCCTGATTCCCTGCAGTGCATGCAGAGTATTCCCGTGATCCCCAGCAAACAAGTCAGGAGCTTCGACTTGCTTAATTGAACTCGAGAAAGTCCCCAGGAACACTGTCACAAGTCTAGACAGACCCTGAGGTCACCTCAGCAATGCAAAGCAGCTGCAAGTACCCCACATCAACTCGAGATGAGGCCCGATTCCCATGCATTGACTCCAGAGCCATCCCCAGTTCCCCATTAAACAAGACCACTGGCTTGTCTTCCTTCAGACAACTCCAGAGATGCCCCGAGAACACTGTGCCAAGACTAGAGGAACACCAACTTCAGTACAGCAACTAGAGGAATGCCCCGTGTACCACAAATCGTCTCGAGATGAGAGCTGATTCCCTGGCTTAGGCTCAAGACGTATGCCAACTTTCCAGAAGCACCTCAAGAGGAGGCTTCTCTCAGCAATAGGTATGTTCGTGGGACCCCGAGTTTGCTGCCTAAAGTGGAATATACAGCGAGAAGCCCTAACTTGAATGGAGGCCGGATTTCCTTGCAGTGTCTTGAATACAGGCTCGTATTTCATCTCACAACAGGAAGGGATGTCTGAATCCCCTGTGGAGACCATAGAGAAAGCCCTAGGTCCCTGCCTCATTTTGACGGAATGCCTCACATCCCGTTGACACCACGAGAGGCACGCGGAGTTCACTGCTTCAAAAGGTGACGATGCCTGACTCCTCTTGAATATTGATACGAATCCCAAAATCCCTGTGGCTATTGGAAAGGTTCCTTGGGTGCCCTGCCTCATCTCGAGAAGCGTCCCTTGTGCCCCGGCAAGCCTCGAAGAGATTCCTGAGCTGTCCCTCGTTACTGGAAAGGAGTCCTGACATCACTGAATAAACACGTGTTTTGAAGGTCCATCGCCGCCGTAACTCGAGTATATACCCCAGGTCCCCGCCGCAACTCGAGAAAAACCATGAAACTTTCCCCTAGAGGCGAGATGAGGCCCGATTCTCCTGCATTGCATGCAGAGCAATTCCGTGATCCCCATCCAACAAGTCAGGAGCTTCGACTTGCTTAATGGATCTCGAGACATTTCCCAAGAACACTGTCACATGTCTAGACGGACCCTGAGGTATCCACAGCAACGCAAAGCAGCTCCATGTGCCCCAAATCAACATGAGATGAGGTCCGATTCCCCTGTATTGACTCCAGAGCCATCTGCTGTTCCGCATTAAACACCACCAGTGGCTTGACCTCCTTCAGACAACTCCAGAGATGCCCCGAGAACACTGTCCCTAGTCTAGAGGAACACCTACTTTAGCACAGCAACTCGAGGAATGCTTCCTGTATGCCAAATCTTCTCGAGATGAGAGCTGATTCCCTGGCTTAGGCTCTAGACGTATGCCAACTTTCCAGAAGCACTTCAAGAGGAGGCTTCTCTCAGCAATAGGTATGTGGGAGGGAACCCGAGTTTGCTGCCTCAAATGTGACGATGCCTGACTCCTCCTGAACATTGATAGGAATCCCAAAATCACTGTGGCTACAGGAAAGGGTTCTTGTGTGCCCTGCCTCACCTCGAGAAGCATCCCTTTTGCCCTGCCAAGGCTCGAAGAGATTCCTGAGGTGTCCCTCATTACTAGAGAGGAGTCATGACGTCACTGAATAAACACGTGTTTTCAAGGGCCATGCCCGCCATAACTCGAGAACATACCCCAGGTCCCGACGCAACTCGAGAAAAACGATGAGGCTTCCCCTAGATGCGATATGAGGCTTGATTCCCTGCAGTACATGCAGAGCATTCCCGTGATCCCAATCAAGCAAGTCAGCAGCTTCAAATTGCTTAATGGATCTCGAGAGAGTCCATAGGAACACTGTCACAAGTCTAGACAGACCGTGACATCACCCCAGCAACGCAAAGCAGCCCCAAGTACCCGACATCAACTCGAGTTGAGGCCCGATTCCCATGCATTGACTCCAGAGCTATCCCCCGTACACCATTAAAGCACAACCAGTGGATTGATTTCCTTCAGGCAACTCCAGAGATGCCTCGAGAACACTGTCCCAAGTCTAGAGGAATACGAACTTCAGCACAGCAACTCGAGGAATGCTCCGTGTACCCCAAATCGTTTCGAGGTGAGAGCTGATTCCATGGCTAGGCTCAAGACGTATGCCAACGTTCCAGAAGCCCCTCAAGAGGAGGCTTCTCTCAGCAATAGGTATGTGGGAGGGACCCCGAGTTTGCTGCCTCAAGTGGAATATACAGCGAGAAGCCCTAACTTGAAAGGAGGCCGGATTTCCTTGCAGTGGCTTGAATACAGGCTCGTCTTTCATCTCACAGCATGAAGGGATGTCTGAATCCCCTGTGGAGACCTTAGAGAAAGCTCTAGGTACCTGCCTCATTTTGACGGAATGCCTCACATCCCGTTGACACTTCGAGAGGCACGCGGAGTTCACTGCTTCAAAAGGTGATGATGCCTCACTCGTCTTGAATATTGATAGGAATCCCAAAATCACTGTGGCTACTGGAAAGGGTCCTTGGGTGCCCTGCGTCACCTCGAGAAGCATACCTTTTACCTGCCAAGAATCGAAGAGATTCCTGAGGTGTGCCTCGTTACTAGACAGGAGTCCTGACGGCACTGAATAAACACGTGTTTTGAAGGGCCATCCACGCCGTAACTCGAGAAGATACCCCATGTCCCCCGCAACTTGAGAGAAACCATGAGACTTCCCCCTAGATGCGAGATGAGTCCTGATTCCCTGCAGTGCATGCAGAGTATTCCCGTGATCCCCATAAAACAAGTCAGGTGCTTCGAATTGCTTAATGGATCTCGAGACAGTCCCCAAGAACACTGTCACAAGTCTAGACGGACCCTGAGGTCACGCCAGCAACGCAAAGCAGCTCCATGTGCCCCAAATCAACCCGAGATGTGGCCCGATTCCCCTGCATTGACTCCAGAGCCATCCCCAGTTCCCCATTAAACAAGACAACTGGCAAGACTTCCTTCATGCAACTCCAGAGATGCCCTGAGAACACTGTCCCAAGTCTAGAGGAACACCAACTTCAGCACAGCAACTCGAGGAATGCTCCGTGTACCACAAATCGTCTCGAGATGAGAGCTGAATCCCTGGCTTAGGCTCAAGACGTATGCCAACTTTCCAGAAGCACCTCAAGAGGAGGATTCTCTCAGCAATAGGTATGTTGGAGGGACCCCGAGTTTGCTGCCTCAAGTTGAATATACGGCGAGAAGCCCTAACTTGAAAGGAGGCCGGATTTCCTTGCAGTGGCTTGAATACAGGCTCGTCTTTCATCTCACAGAATGAAGGGGTGTCTGAATCCCCTGTGGAGGCCTTAGAGAAAGCTATAGGTCCCTACCTCATTTTGACGGAATGCCTCACATCCCGTTGTCACCTCCAGAGGCACGCGGAGTTCACTGCTTCAAAAGGTGACGATGCCTGACTCCTCTAAAATATTTATAGGAATCCCAAAATCCCTGTGGCTATTGGGAACGTTCCTTGGGTGCCCTGCCTCAAGTGGAGAAGCGTCCCTTGTGCCATGCCAAGCCTCGATGAGATTCCTGAGCTGTCTCTCGTTACTGGACAGGAGTTCTGACGTCACTGAATAAACACGAGTTTTGAAGGCCATCCCCGCCGTAACCCGAGTACATACCCTAGGTCCCCGCCGCAAGTCGAGAAAAACCATGAGACTTTCCCCTAGAGGCGAGATGAGGCCCGATTCTCCTGCAGTGCATGCAGAGCAATTCCGTGATCCCCATCAAACAAGTCAGAAGCTTCGACTTGCTTAATGGATCTCGAGAGAGTCCCCAAGAACACTGTCACATGTCTAGACGGATCCTGAGGTCACCCCATCAAGGCAAAGCAGCACCATGTGCCCCAAATCAACTCGAGATAATGCCCGATTCCCCTGCATTGACTCCAGAGCCATCCCCCGTTCCACATTAAACACGACCAGTGGCTTGACTTCCTTCAGGCAACTGCAGAGACGCCCTGAGAACACTGTCCCAAGTCTAGAGGAACACCATCTTCAGCACAGCAACTCGAGGAATGCTCCGTGTACCCCAAATCGTCTCGAGATGAGAGCTGATTCCCTGGCTTAGGCTCAAGACGTATGCCAACTTTCCAGAAGCACCTCAAGAGGAGGCTTCTCTCAGCAATAGTTATGTTGGAGGGACCCCCAGTTTGCTGCCTCAAAAGGAATATACAGCGAGAAGCCCTAACTTGAAAGGAGGCCGGATTTCCTTGCAGTGTCTTGAATACAGGCTCGTCTTTCATCTCACAACCGGAAGGAATGTCTGAATCCTCTGTGGAGACCTTAGAGAAAGCGCTAGGTCGCTGCCTCATTTTGAAGGAATGTCTCACATCCCGTTGACACCTCGAGAGGCACACAGAGTTCACTGCTTCAAAATGTGATGATGCCTGACCCCTCTTGAACATTGATAGGAATCCCAAAATCACTTTAGCTACAGGACAGGGTTCTTGGGTGCCATGCCTCACCTCGAGAAGCATCCCTTTGCCTGCCAAGCCTCGAAGAGATTCCTGAGGTGTCTCTCGTTACTAGACAGGAGTCCTGACGTCACTGAATAAACACGTGTTTTGAAGGGCCATCCCCGCCGTAACTCGAGAACATACCCCAGGTCCCGCCGCAACTCGAGAAAAACCATGAGACTTCCCCTAGATGCGAGATGACGTCTGATTCCCTGCAGTCCATGCAGAGCAGTCCCGTGATCCCCATCAAGCAAGTCAGGAGCTTCGACTTGCTTAATGGATCTCCAGAGAGTCCCCAGGAACACTGTCACAAGTCTAGACAGACCCTGAGGTCACCCCAGCAATGCAAAGCAGCTCCAAGTGCCCCACATCAACTCGAGATGAGGCCCCATTCTCCGGTATTTACTCAAGAGCTATCCCCCGTACCCCATTAAACACCAACACTGGCTTGACTTCATTCAGGCAACTCCAGAGATGCCCCAAGAACACTGTTCCAAGTCTAGAGGAACACCAACTTCAGCACAGCAACTCGAGGAATGCTCCGTGTACCCCAAATCGTTCCGAGGTGAGAGCTGATTCCCTGGCTTAGGCTCAAGACGTATAACAACTTTCCAGAAGCACCTCAAGAGGAGGCTTCTCTCAGCAATCGGTATGTGGGAGGGAACCCAAGTTTGCTGCCTCAAGTGGAATATACAGTGAGAAGCCCTAACTTGAAAGGAGGCCGGATTTCCTGGCAGTGTGTTGAATACAGGCTCGTCTTTCATCTCACAACAGGAAGGGATGTCTGAATCCCCTGTGGAGACCTTAGAGAAAGCCCTAGGTCCCTGCCTCATTTTGACGGAATGTCTCACATCCCGTTGACACCTCGAGAGGCACACGGAGTTCACTGCTTCAAAATGTGACGATGCCTGACTCCTCCTGAACATTGATAGAAATTCCAAAATCACTGTAGCTACAGGACAGGGTTCTTTGGTGCCCTGCCTCACCTCGAGAAGCATCCCTTTTGCGCTGCCAAGCCTCGAAGAGATTCCTGAGGTGTCTCTCGTTACTAGACAGGAGTCCTGACGTCACTGAATAAACACGTGTTTTGAAGGGCCATCCCCGCCGTAACTCGAGAACATACCCCAGTTCGCGCCACAACTCGAGTAAAACCATGAGATTTCCCCTAGAGGCGAGATGAGGCCTGATTCCCTGCAGTCCATGAAGAGCATTCCCGTGATCCCCATCAAACAAGTCAGGAGCTTCGACTTGCTTAATGGATCTCCAGAGAGTCCCCAGGAACACTGTCACAAGTCTAGACAGACCCTGAGGTCACCCCAGCAATGCAAAGCAGCTGCAAGTACCCCACATCAACTCGAGATGAGGCCCGATTCCCATGCATTGACTCCAGAGCCATCCCCCGTACCCCATTAAACACAACCATTGGCTTTACTTCCTTCCGGCAACACCAGAGATGCCCCAAGAACACTGTCCCAAGTCTAGAGGAATACGAACTTCAGCACAGCAACTCGAGGAATGCTCCGTGTACCCCAAATCGTTTCGAGGTGAGAGCTGATTCCATGGCTTAGGCTCAAGACGTATGCCAACTTTCCAGAAGCCCCTCAAGAGGAGGCTTCTCTCAGCAATAGGTATGTGGGAGGGACCCCGAGTTTGCTGCCTCAAGTGGAATATACAGCCAGAAGCCCTAACTTGAAAGGAGGCCGGATTTCCTTGCAGTGGCTTGAATACAGGCTCGTCTTTCATCTCACAGCATGAAGGGGTGTCTGAAGCCCCTGTGTAGACCTTAGAGAAAGCTCTAGGTCCCTGCCTCATTTTGACGGAATGCCTCACATCCCATTGACACCTCGAGAGGCACGCGGAGTTCACTGCTTCAAAAGGTGATGATGCCTGACTCGTCTTGAATATTGATAGGAATCCCAAAATCACTGTGGCTACTGGAAAGGGTCCTTGGGTGCCCTGCCTCTCCTCGAGAAGCATACCTTTTGACCTGCCAAGCCTCGAAGAGATTCCTGAGGTGTCCCTCGTTACTAGACAGGAGTCCTGACGGCACTGAATAAACACGGGTTTTGAGGGGCCATCCCCGCCGTAACTCGAGAAGATTCCCCAGGTCCCCCGCACAACTTGACAAAAACCGTGAGACTTCCCCCTAGATGCGAGATGAGTCCTGATTCCCTGAAGTGCATGCAGAGTATTCCCGTGATCCCCAGCAAACAAGTCAGGAGCTTCGACTTGCTTAATTGAACTCGAGAAAGTCCCCAGGAACACTGTCACAAGTCTAGACAGACCCTGAGGTCACCTCAGCAATGCAAAGCAGCTGCAAGTACCCCACATCAACTCGAGATGAGGCCCGATTCCCATGCATTGACTCCAGAGCCATCCCCAGTTCCGCATTAAACAAGACCACTGGCTTGTCTTCCTTCAGACAACTCCAGAGATGCCCCGAGAACACTGTGCCAAGACTAGAGGAACACCAACTTCAGTACAGCAACTAGAGGAATGCCCCGTGTACCACAAATCGTCTCGAGATGAGAGCTGATTCCCTGGCTTAGGCTCAAGACGTATGCCAACTTTCCAGAAGCACCTCAAGAGGAGGCTTCTCTCAGCAATAGGTATGTTCGTGGGACCCCGAGTTTGCTGCCTAAAGTGGAATATACAGCGAGAAGCCCTAACTTGAATGGAGGCCGGATTTCCTTGCAGTGTCTTGAATACAGGCTCGTATTTCATCTCACAACAGGAAGGGATGTCTGAATCCCCTGTGGAGACCATAGAGAAAGCCCTAGGTCCCTGCCTCATTTTGACGGAATGCCTCACATCCCGTTGACACCACGAGAGGCACGCGGAGTTCACTGCTTCAAAAGGTGACGATGCCTGACTCCTCTTGAATATTGATACGAATCCCAAAATCCCTGTGGCTATTGGAAAGTTACCTTGGGTGCCCTGCCTCATCTCGAGAAGCGTCCCTTGTGCCCCGGCAAGCCTCGAAGAGATTCTTGCGCTGTCCCTCGTTACTGGAGAGGAGTCCTGACGTCACTGAATAAACACGTGTTTTGAAGGGCCATCGCCGCCGTAACTCGAGTATATACCCCAGGTCCCCGCCGCAACTCGAGAAAAACCATGAAACTTTCCCCTAGAGGCGAGATGAGGCCCGGTTCTCCTGCACTGCATGCAGAGCAATTCCGTGATTCCCATCCAACAAGTCAGGAGCTTCGACTTGCTTAATGGCTCTCGAGACATTCCCCAAGAACACTGTCACATGTCTAGACGGACCCTGAGGTATCCCCAGCAATGCAAAGCAGCTCCATGTGCCCCAAATCAACTTGAGATGAGGTCCGATTCCCCTGTATTGACTCCAGAGCCATCTGCTGTTTCGCATTAAACACCACCAGTGGCTTGACCTCCTTCAGACAACTCCAGAGATGCCCCGAGAACACTGTCCCTAGTCTAGAGGAACACCTACTTTAGCACAGCAACTCGAGGAATGCTTCCTGTATGCCAAATCCTCTCAAGATGAGAGCTGATTCCCTGGCTTAGACTCAAGACATATGCCAACTTTCCAGAAGCACTTCAAGAGGAGGCTTCTCTCAGCAATATGTATGTGGGAGGGAACCCGAGTTTGCTGCCTCAAATGGAATATACAGCGCGAAGCACTAACTAGAAAGGAGGCTGGTTTCCTAGCAGTGTCTTGAATACAGGCTCGTCTTTCATCTCACAGCAGGAAGAGATGTCTGAATCCCCTGTGGAGACTTTAGAGAAAGCCCTAGGTCCCTGCCACATTTTGACGGAATGCCTCACATCCGGTTGACACCTCGAGAGTCACGCGGAGTTCACTGCTTCAAAAGCTGACGATGCCTGACTCCTCTAAAATATTGATAGGAATCACAAAATCCCTGTGGCTATTTGAAAGGTTCCTTGGGTGCCCTGCCTCACCTCGAGAAGCGTCCCTTGTGCCTGCCAAGCCTCGAAGAGATTCCTGAGCTGTCCCTCGTTACTGGACAGGAGTCCTGACGTCACTGAATAAACACGAGTTTTTAAGGGCCATCCCCGCCGTAACCCGAGTACATACCCCAGGTCCCCGTCGCAAGTCGAAAAAAACCATGAGACTTTCCCCTAGTGGCGAGATGAGGCCCGATTCTCCTGCAGTGCATGCAGAGCAATTCCGTGATCCCCATCAAACAAGTCAGGACCTTCGACTTGCTTAATGGATCTCGAGACAGTCCCCAAAAAAACTGTCACATGTCTAGACGGATCCTGCGGTCACCCCATCAACGCAAAGCAGCACCATGTGCCCCACATCAACTCGAGATAATGCCCGAATCCCCTGCATTGACTCCAGAGCCATCTCACGTTCCACATTAAACACCACCAGTGGCTTGACTTCCTTCAGACAACTCCAGAGATGCCCTGAGAACACTGTCCCAAGTCTAGAGGAACACCATCTTCAGCACAGCAACTCGAGGAATGCTCCGTGTACCCCAAATCGTCTCGAGATGAGAGCTGATTCCCTGGCTTAGGCTCAAGACGTATGCCAACTTTCCAGAAGCACCTCAAGGGGAGGCTTCTCTCAGCAAAAGGTATGTTGGAGGGACCCCCAGTTTGCTGCCTCAAGTGGAATATGCAGCAAGAAGCCCTAACTTGAAAGGAGGCCGGGTTTCCTTGCAGTGTCTTGAATACAGGCTCGTCTTTCATCTCACAACCGGAAGGAATGTCTGCATCCCCTGTGGAGACCTTAGCGAAAGCCCTAGGTCCCTGCCTCATTTTGACGGATTGCCTCACATCCCGTTGACACCTCGGGAGGCACACGGAGTTCACTGCTTCAAATGTGACGATGCCTGACTCCTCCTGAACATTGATAGGAATCCCAAAATCACTGTGGCTACAGGAAAGGGTTCTTGTGTGCCCTGCCTCACCTCGAGAAGCATCCCTTTTGCCCTGCCAAGGCTCGAAGAGATTCCTGAGGTGTCCCTCATTACTAGACAGGAGTCATGACGTCACTGAATAAACACGTGTTTTCAAGAGCCATGCCCGCCATAACTCGAGAACATACCCCAGGTCCCGACGCAACTCGAGAAAAACGATTAGGCTTCCCCTAGATGCGATATGAGGCTTGATTCCCTGCAGTACATGCAGAGCATTCCCGTGATCCCAATCAAGCAAGTCAGCAGCTTCAAATTGCTTAATGGATCTCGAGAGAGTCCCCAGGAACACTGTCACAAGTCTAGACAGACCGTGACATCACCCCAGCAACGCAAAGCAGCTCCAAGTACCCCACATCAACTCGAGTTGAGGCCCGATTCCCATGCATTGACTCCAGAGCTATCCCCCGTACCCCATTAAAGCACAACCAGTGGATTGATTTCCTTCAGGCAACTCCAGAGATTCCCCGAGAACACTGTCCCAAGTCTAGAGGAATACGAACTTCAGCAAAGCAACTCGAGGAATGCTCCGTGTACCCCAAATCGTTTCGAGGTGAGAGCTGATTCCATGGCTAGGCTCAAGACGTATGCCAACTTTCCAGAAGCACCTCAAGAGGAGGCTTCTCTCAGCAATCGGTATGTGGGAGGGAACCCGAGTTTGCTGCCTCAAGTGGAATATACAGTGAGAAGCCCTAACTTGAAAGGAGGCCGGATTTCCTGGCAGTGTGTTGAATACAGGCTCGTCTTTCATCTCACAACAGGAAGGGATGTCTGAATCCCCTGTGGAGACCTTAGAGAAAGCCCTAGGTCCCTGCCTCATTTTGACGGAATGTCTCACATCCCGTTGACACCTCGAGAGGCACACGGAGTTCACTGCTTCAAAATGTGACGATGCCTGACTCCTCCTGAACATTGATAGGAATCCCAAAATCACTGTAGCTACAGGACAGGGTTCTTTGGTGCCCTGCCTCACCTCGAGAAGCATCCCTTTTGCCCTGCCAAGCCTCGAAGAGATTCCTGAGGTGTCTCTCGTTACTAGACAGGAGTCCTGACGTCACTGAATAAACACGTGTTTTGAAGGGCCATCCCCGCCGTAACTCGAGAACATACCCCAGTTCGCGCCGCAACTCGAGTAAAACCATGAGATTTCCCCTAGAGGCGAGATGAGGCCTGATTCCCTGCAGTCCATGAAGAGCATTCGCGTGATCCCCATCAAGCAAGTCAGGAGCTTCGACTTGCTTAATTGAACTCGAGAAAGTCCCCAGGAACACTGTCACAAGTCTAGACAGACCCTGAGGTCACCCCAGCAATGCAAAGCAGCTGCAAGTATCCCACATCAACTCGAGATGAGGCCCGATTCCCATGCATTGACTCCAGAGCCATCCCCAGTTCCCCATTAAACAAGACCACTGGCTTGTCTTCCTTCAGACAACTCCAGAGATGCCCCGAGAACACTGTCCCAAGTCTAGAGGAACACCAACTTCAGCACAGCAACTCGAGGAATGCCCCGTGTACCACAAATCGTCTCCAGATGAGAGCTGATTCCCTGGCTTAGGCTCAAGACGTATGCCAACTTTCCAGAAGCACCTCAAGAGGAGGCTTCTCTCAGCAATAGGTATGTTCGTGGGACCCCGAGTTTGCTGCCTAAAGTGGAATATACAGCGAGAAGCCCTAACTTGAATGGAAGCCGGATTTCCTTGCAGTGTCTTGTATACAGGCTCGTCTTTCATCTCACAACAGGAAGGGATGTCTGAATCCCCTGTGAAGACCTTTGAGAAAGCCCTAGGTCCCTGCCTAATTGTGACGGAATGCCTCACATCCCGTTGACACCACGAGAGGCACGCGGAGTTCACTGCTTCAAAAGGTGACGATGCCTGACTCCTCTTGAATATTGATAGGAATCCCAAAATCCCTGTGGCTATTGGAAAGGTTCCTTGGGTGCCCTGCCTCATCTCGAGAAGCGTCCCTTGTGCCCCGGCAAGAATCGAAGAGATTCCTGAGCTGTCCCTCGTTACTGGACAGGAGTCCTGACGTCACTGAATAAACACGTGTTTTGAAGGGCCATCGCCGCCGTAACTCGAGTATATACCCCAGGTCCCCGCCGCAACTCGAGAAAAACCATGAGACTTCCGCCTAGAGGCGAGATGAGGCCCGATTCTCCTGCAGTGCATGCAGAGCAATTCCGTGATCCCCATCAAACAAGTCAGGAGCTTCGACTTGCTTAATGGATCTCGAGACATTCCCCAAGAACACTGTCACATGTCTAGACGGACCCTGAGGTATCCCCAGCAAAGCAAAGCAGCTCCATGTGCCCCAAATCAACTTGAGATGAGGTCCGATTCCCCTGCATTGACTCCAGAGCCATCTGCCGTTCCACATTAAACACCACCAGTGGCTTGACCTCCTTCAGACAACTCCAGAGATGCCCCGAGAACACTGTCCCAAGTCTAGAGGAACACCTACTTTAGCACAGCAACTCGAGGAATGCTTCCTGAATGCCAAATCTTCTCGAGTTGAGAGCTGATTTCCTGGCTTAGGCTCAAGATGTATGCCAACTTTCCAGAAGCACCTCAAGAGGAGGCTTCTCTCAGCAATAGGTATGTGGGAGGGAACCCGAGTTTGCTGCCTCAAATGGAATATACAGCGAGAAGCACTAACTAGAATGGAGGCCGGTTTCTTAGCAGTGTCTTGAATACAGCCTCGTCTTTCATCTCACAGCAGGAAGAGATGTCTGAATCCCCTGTGGAGACCTTACAGAAAGCCCTAGGTCCCTGCCTCATTTTGACGGAATGCCTCACATCCCGTTGACACCTCGAGAGTCACGCGGAGTTCACTGCTTCAAAAGCTGACGATGCCTGACTCCTCCTGAACATTGATAGGAATCCCAAAATCACTGTAGCTACAGGACAGGGTTCTTGGGTGCCCTGCCTCACCTCGAGAAGCATCCCTTTTGCCCTGCCAAGCCTCGAAGAGATTCCTGAGGTGTCCCTCATTACTAGACAGGAGTCATGACGTCACTGAATAAACACGTGTTTTCAAGGGCCATGCCCGCCATAACTCGAGAACATACCCCAGGTCCCGCCGCAACTCGAGAAAAACCATGAGACTTCCCCTAGATGCGAGATGAGGGCTGATTCCCTGCAGTCCATGCAGAGCATTCCCGTAATCCCAATCAAGCAAGTCAGCAGCTTCGAATTTCTTAATGGATCTCGAGATTGTCCCCAGGAACACTGTCACAAGTCTAGACAGATCCTGACATCACCCCAGCAGCGCAAAGCAGCACCAAGTACCCCATATCAACTCGCGTTGAGGCCCGATTCCCATGCATTGACTCCAGAGCCATCCCCCGTACCCCATTAAACACCACCAGTGGCTTGACTTCCTTCAGGCAACTCCAGAGATGCCCCGAGAACACTGTCCCAAGTCTAGAGGAATACGAACTTCAGCACAGCAACTCGAGGAATGCTCCGTGTATCCCAAATCGTTTCGAGGTGAGAGCTGATTCCATGGCTTAGGCTCAAGACGTATGCCAACTTTCCAGAAGCCCCTCAAGAGGAGGATTCTCTCAGCAATAGGTATGTTGGAGGGACGCCCACTTTGCTGCCTCAAGTGGAATATACAGCGAGAAGCCCTAACTTGAAAGGAGGCCGGATTTCCTTGCAGTGTCTTGAATACAGGCTCGTCTTTCATCTCACAACCGGAAGGGATGTCTGAATCCCCTGTGGAGAACTTAGAGAAAGCCCTAGGTCCCTGCCTCATTTTGACGGATTGCCTCACATCCCGTTGACACCTCGAGAGGCACGCGGAGTTCACTGCTTCAAAAGTTGATGCTGCCTGACTCGTCTTGAATATTGATAGGAATCCCAAAATCCCTGTGGCTATTTGAAAGGTTCCTTGGGTGTCCTGCCTCACCTCGAGAAGCGTCCCTTGTGCCTGCCAAGCCTCGAAGAGATTCCTGAGCTGTCCCTCGTTACTGGACAGGAGTCCTGACGTCACTGAATAAACAGGAGTTTTTAAGGGCCATCCCCGCTGTAACCCGAGTACATACCCCAGGTCCCCGCCGCAAGTCGAGAAAAACCATGAGACTTTCCCCTAGTGGCGAGATGAGGCCCGATTCTCCTGCAGTGCATGCAGAGCAATTCCGTGATCCCCATCAAAAAAGTCAGGACCTTCGACTTGCTTAATGGATCTCGAGACAGTCCCCAAGAATACTGTCACATGTCTAGACGGATCCTGAGGTCACCCCATCAACGCAAAGCAGCACTATGTGCCCCACATCAACTCGAGATAATGCCCGATTCCCCTGCATTGACTCCAGAGCCATCCCCCGTTCCACATTAAACACCACCAGTGGCTTGACTTCCTTCAGACAACTCAAGAGATGCCCTGAGAACACTGTCCCAAGTCTAGAGGAACACCATCTTCAGCACAGCAACTCGAGGAATGCTCCGTGTACCTCAAATCGTCTGGAGATGAGAGCTGATTCCCTGGCTTAGGCTCAAGACGTATGCCAACTTTCCAGAAGCACCTCAAGGGGAGGCTTCTCTCAGCAATAGGTATGTTGGAGGGACCCCCAGTTTGCTGCCTCAAGTGGAATATGCAGCGAGAAGCCCTACCTTGAAAGGAGGCCGGGTTTCCTTGCAGTGTCTTGAATACAGGCTCGTCTTTCATCTCACAATGGGAAGGAATGTCTGAATCCCCTGTGGAGACCTTAGCGAAAGCCCTAGGTCCCTGCCTCATTTTGACGGATTGCCTCACATCCCGTTGACACCTGGAGAGGCACCCGGAGTTCACTGCTTCAAATGTGACGATGCCTGACTCCTCCTGAACATTGATAGGAATCCCAAAATCACTGTGGCTACAGGAAACGGTTCTTGTGTGCCCTGCCTCACCTCGAGAAGCATCCCTTTTGCCCTGCCAAGGCTCGAAAAGATTCCTGAGGTGTCCCTCATTACTAGACAGGAGTCATGACGTCACTTAAAAAACACGTGTTTTCAAGGGCCAAGCCCGCCATAACTCGAGAACATACCCCACGTACCGCCGCGACTCGAGAAAAACCATGAGACTTCCCCTAGATGCGATATGAGGCCTGATTCCCTGCAGTCCATGCAGAGCATTCCCGTGATCCCAATCAAGCAAGTCAGCAGCTTCGAATTGCTTAATGGATCTCGAGAGAGTCCCCAGGAACACTGTCACAAGTCTAGACAGACCCTGACATCACCCCAGCAAAGCAAAGCAGGTCCAAGTACCCCACATCACCTCGAGTTGAGGCCGGATTCCCATGCATTGACTCCAGAGCCATCCCCCGTTCCACATTAAACACGACCAGTAGCTTGACTTCCTTCAGGCAACTCCAGAGACGCCCTGAGAACACTGTCCCAAGTCTAGAGAAACACCATCTTCAGCACAGCAACTCGAGGAATGCTCCGTGTACCCCAAATCGTCTCGAGATGAGAGCTGATTCCCTGGCTTAGGCTCAAGACGTATGCCAACTTTCCAGAAGCACCTCAAGTGGAGACTTCTCTCAGCAATAGGTATGTTGGAGGGACCCCCAGTTTGCTGCCTCAAGAGGAATATACAGCGAAAAGCCCTAACTTGAAAGGAGGACGGATTTCCTTGCAGTGGCTTGAATACAGGCTCGTCTTTCATCTCACAGCATGAAGGGATGTCTGAAACCCCTGTGGAGACCTTAGAGAAAGCTCTAGGTCCCTGCCTCATTTTGAGGGAATGCCTCACATCCCGTTGTCACCTCGAGAGGCACGCGGAGTTCACTGCTTCAAAAGGTGATGATGCCTCACTCGTCTTGAATATTGATAGGAATCAAAAAATCACTGTGGCTACTGGAAAGGGTCCTTGGGTGCCCTGCCTCACCTCGAGAAGCATACCTTTTGACCTGCCAAGCCTCGAAGAGATTCCTGAGGTTTCCCTTATTACTAGACAGGAGTCCTGACGGCACTGAATAAACAGGTGTTTTGAAGGGCCATCCCCGCCGTAACTCGAGAAGATACCCCAGGTCCCCAGCGCAACTTGAGAGAAACCATGAGACTTCCCCCAAGATGCGAGATGAGTCCTGATTCCCTGCAGTGCATGCAGGGTATTCCCGTGATCCCCATCAAACAAGTCAGGAGCTTCGACTTGCTTAATGGATCTCGAGACAGTCCCCAAGAACACTGTCACAAGTCTAGACGGACCCTGAGGTCACCCCAGCAACGTAAAACAGCTCCATGTGCCCCAAATCAACCCGAAATGTGGCCCGATTCCCCTGCATTGACTCCAGAGCCATCCCCAGTTCCCCATTAAACAAGACCACTGGCTTGACTTCCTTCAGGCAACTCCAGAGATGCCCCGAGAACACTGTCCCAAGACTAGAAGAACACCAACTTCAGCACAGCAACTCGAGGAATGCTCCGTGTACCACAAATCGTCTCGAGATGAGAGCTGAATCGCTGGCTTAGGCTCAAGACGTATGCCAACTTTCCAGAAGCACCTCAAGAGGAGGCTTCTCTCAGCAATAGGTATGTTCGAGGGACCCCGAGTTTGCTGCCTCAAGTGGAATATATAGCGAGAAGCCCTAAATTGAAAGGAGGCCGGATTTCCTTGCAGTGGCTTGAATACAGGATCGTCTTTCATCTCACAGCATGAAGGGATGTCTGAATCCCCTGTGGAGACCTTAGAGAAAGCTCTAGGTCCCTGCCTCATTTTGACGGAATGCCTCACATCCCGTTGTCACCTCGAGAGGCAAGCGGAGTTCAGTGCTTCAAAATGTGACGATGCCTGACTCCTCTTGAATATTGATAGGAATCCCAAAATCCATGTGGCTATCGGAAAGGTTACTTGGGTACCCTGCCTCACCTTGAGAAGCGTCCCTTGTGCACTGCCAAGCCTCGAAGAGATTCCAGAGCTGCCCCTCGTTACTGGACAGGAGTCCTGACGTCACTGAATAAACACGAGTTTTGAAGAGCCATCCCCGTCGTAACCCGAGTACATACCCCAGGTCCCCGCCGCAAGTCGAGAAAAACCATGAGACTTTCCCCTATAGGCGAGATGAGGCCCGATTCTCCTGCAGTGCATGCAGAGCAATTCCGTGATCCCCATCAAACAAGTCAGGACCTTCGACTTGCTTAATGGATCTCGAGACAGTCCCCAAGAATACTGTCACATGTCTAGACGGATCCTGAGGTCACCCCATCAACGCAAAGCAGCACAATGTGCCCCAAATCAACTCGGGATGATGGCAGATTACCCTGCATTGACCCTAGAGCCATCCCCCTTTCCACATTAAACACGACTAGTGGCTTGACTTCCTTCAGGCAACTCCAGAGAGGCCCCGAGAACACTGTCCCAAGTCTAGAGGAACACCAACTTCAGCACAGCAACTCGAGGAATGCGCCGTGTACCCCAAATCGTCTCGAGATGAGAGCTGATTCCCTGGCTTAGGTTCAAGACGTATGCCAACTTTCCAGAAGCACCTCAAGCAGAGGATTCTCTCAGCAATAGGTATGTTGGAGGGACCTCCACTTTGCTGCCTCAAGTGGAATATACAGCGAGAAGCCCTAACTTGAAAGGAGGCCCGGTTTCCTTGCAGTGTCTTGAATACAGGCTCGTCTTTCATCTCACAGCATGAAGGAATGTCTGAATCCCCTGTGGAGACCTTAGAGAAAGCCCTAGGTCCCTGCCTCATTTTGACGGAATGTCTCACATCCCGTTGACACCTCGAGAGGCACACGGAGTTCACTGCTTCAAAATGTGACGATGCCTGACTCCTCCTGAACATTGATAGGAATCCCAAAATCACTGTAGCTACAGGACAGGGTTCTTGGGTGCCCTGCCTCACCTCGAGAAGCATCCCTTTTGCCCTGCCAAGCCTCGAAGAGATTCCGGAGGTGTCTCTCATTACTAGACAGGAGTCCTGACGTCACTGAATAAACACGTGTTTTGAAGGGCCATCCCCGCCGTAACTCGAGAACATACCCCAGTTCGCGCCGCAACTCGAGTAAAACCATGAGACTTCCCCTAGAGGCGAGATGAGGCCTGATTCCCTGCAGTCCATGAAGAGCATTCCCGTGATCCCCATCAAACAAGTCAGGAGCTTCGACTTGCTTAATGGATCTCCAGAGAGTCCCCAGGAACACTGTCACAAGTCTAGACAGACCCTGAGGTCACCCCAGCAATGCAAAGCAGCTGCAAGTACCCCACATCAACTCGAGATGAGGCCCGATTCCCATGCATTGACTCCAGAGCCATCCCCCGTACCCCATTAAACACAACCATTGGCTTGACTTCCTTCCGGCAACACCAGAGATGCCCCAAGAACACTGTCCCAAGTCTAGAGGAATACGAACTTCAGCACAGCAACTCGAGGAATGCTCCGTGTACCCCAAATCGTTTCGAGGTGAGAGCTGATTCCATGGCTTAGGCTCAAGACGTATGCCAACTTTCCAGAAGCCCCTCAAGAGGAGGCTTCTCTCAGCAATAGGTATGTGGGAGGGACCCCGAGTTTGCTGCCTCAAGTGGAATATACACCCAGAAGCCCTAACTTGAAAGGAGGCCGGATTTCCTTGCAGTGGCTTGAATACAGGCTCGTCTTTCATCTCACAGCATGAAGGGGTGTCTGAAGCCCCTGTGTAGACCTTAGAGAAAGCTCTAGGTCCCTGCCTCATTTTGACGGAATGCCTCACATCCCATTGACACCTCGAGAGGCACGCGGAGTTCACTGCTTCAAAAGGTGATGATGCCTGACTCGTCTTGAATATTGATAGGAATCCCAAAATCACTGTGGCTACTGGAAAGGGTCCTTGGGTGCCCTGCCTCTCCTCGAGAAGCATACCTTTTGACCTGCCAAGCCTCGAAGAGATTCCTGAGGTGTCCCTCGTTACTAGACAGGAGTCCTGACGGCACTGAATAAACACGGGTTTTGAGGGGCCATCCCCGCCGTAACTCGAGAAGATTCCCCAGGTCCCCCGCGCAACTTGAGAGAAACCGTGAGACTTCCCCCTAGATGTGAGATGAGTCCTGATTCCCTGCAGTGCATGCAGAGTATTCCCGTGATCCCCAGCAAACAAGTCAGGAGCTTCGACTTGCTTAATTGAACTCGAGAAAGTCCCCAGGAACACTGTCACAAGTCTAGACAGACCCTGAGGTCACCTCAGCAATGCAAAGCAGCTGCAAGTACCCCACATCAACTCGAGATGAGGCCCGATTCCCATGCATTGACTCCAGAGCCATCCCCAGTTCCCCATTAAACAAGACCACTGGCTTGTCTTCCTTCAGACAACTCCAGAGATGCCCCGAGAACACTGTGCCAAGACTAGAGGAACACCAACTTCAGTACAGCAACTAGAGGAATGCCCCGTGTACCACAAATCGTCTCGAGATGAGAGCTGATTCCCTGGCTTAGGCTCAAGACGTATGCCAACTTTCCAGAAGCACCTCAAGAGGAGGCTTCTCTCAGCAATAGGTATGTTCGTGGGACCCCGAGTTTGCTGCCTAAAGTGGAATATACAGCGAGAAGCCCTAACTTGAATGGAGGCCGGATTTCCTTGCAGTGTCTTGAATACAGGCTCGTATTTCATCTCACAACAGGAAGGGATGTCTGAATCCCCTGTGGAGACCATAGAGAAAGCCCTAGGTCCCTGCCTCATTTTGACGGAATGCCTCACATCCCGTTGACACCACGAGAGGCACGCGGAGTTCACTGCTTCAAAAGGTGACGATGCCTGACTCCTCTTGAATATTGATACGAATCCCAAAATCCCTGTGGCTATTGGAAAGGTTCCTTGGGTGCCCTGCCTCATCTCGAGAAGCGTCCCTTGTGCCCCGGCAAGCCTCGAAGAGATTCCTGAGCTGTCCCTCGTTACTGGAAAGGAGTCCTGACATCACTGAATAAACACGTGTTTTGAAGGTCCATCGCCGCCGTAACTCGAGTATATACCCCAGGTCCCCGCCGCAACTCGAGAAAAACCATGAAACTTTCCCCTAGAGGCGAGATGAGGCCCGATTCTCCTGCATTGCATGCAGAGCAATTCCGTGATCCCCATCCAACAAGTCAGGAGCTTCGACTTGCTTAATGGATCTCGAGACATTTCCCAAGAACACTGTCACATGTCTAGACGGACCCTGAGGTATCCACAGCAACGCAAAGCAGCTCCATGTGCCCCAAATCAACATGAGATGAGGTCCGATTCCCCTGTATTGACTCCAGAGCCATCTGCTGTTCCGCATTAAACACCACCAGTGGCTTGACCTCCTTCAGACAACTCCAGAGATGCCCCGAGAACACTGTCCCTAGTCTAGAGGAACACCTACTTTAGCACAGCAACTCGAGGAATGCTTCCTGTATGCCAAATCTTCTCGAGATGAGAGCTGATTCCCTGGCTTAGGCTCTAGACGTATGCCAACTTTCCAGAAGCACTTCAAGAGGAGGCTTCTCTCAGCAATAGGTATGTGGGAGGGAACCCGAGTTTGCTGCCTCAAATGTGACGATGCCTGACTCCTCCTGAACATTGATAGGAATCCCAAAATCACTGTGGCTACAGGAAAGGGTTCTTGTGTGCCCTGCCTCACCTCGAGAAGCATCCCTTTTGCCCTGCCAAGGCTCGAAGAGATTCCTGAGGTGTCCCTCATTACTAGAGAGGAGTCATGACGTCACTGAATAAACACGTGTTTTCAAGGGCCATGCCCGCCATAACTCGAGAACATACCCCAGGTCCCGACGCAACTCGAGAAAAACGATGAGGCTTCCCCTAGATGCGATATGAGGCTTGATTCCCTGCAGTACATGCAGAGCATTCCCGTGATCCCAATCAAGCAAGTCAGCAGCTTCAAATTGCTTAATGGATCTCGAGAGAGTCCATAGGAACACTGTCACAAGTCTAGACAGACCGTGACATCACCCCAGCAACGCAAAGCAGCCCCAAGTACCCGACATCAACTCGAGTTGAGGCCCGATTCCCATGCATTGACTCCAGAGCTATCCCCCGTACACCATTAAAGCACAACCAGTGGATTGATTTCCTTCAGGCAACTCCAGAGATGCCTCGAGAACACTGTCCCAAGTCTAGAGGAATACGAACTTCAGCACAGCAACTCGAGGAATGCTCCGTGTACCCCAAATCGTTTCGAGGTGAGAGCTGATTCCATGGCTAGGCTCAAGACGTATGCCAACGTTCCAGAAGCCCCTCAAGAGGAGGCTTCTCTCAGCAATAGGTATGTGGGAGGGACCCCGAGTTTGCTGCCTCAAGTGGAATATACAGCGAGAAGCCCTAACTTGAAAGGAGGCCGGATTTCCTTGCAGTGGCTTGAATACAGGCTCGTCTTTCATCTCACAGCATGAAGGGATGTCTGAATCCCCTGTGGAGACCTTAGAGAAAGCTCTAGGTACCTGCCTCATTTTGACGGAATGCCTCACATCCCGTTGACACTTCGAGAGGCACGCGGAGTTCACTGCTTCAAAAGGTGATGATGCCTCACTCGTCTTGAATATTGATAGGAATCCCAAAATCACTGTGGCTACTGGAAAGGGTCCTTGGGTGCCCTGCGTCACCTCGAGAAGCATACCTTTTACCTGCCAAGAATCGAAGAGATTCCTGAGGTGTGCCTCGTTACTAGACAGGAGTCCTGACGGCACTGAATAAACACGTGTTTTGAAGGGCCATCCACGCCGTAACTCGAGAAGATACCCCATGTCCCCCGCAACTTGAGAGAAACCATGAGACTTCCCCCTAGATGCGAGATGAGTCCTGATTCCCTGCAGTGCATGCAGAGTATTCCCGTGATCCCCATAAAACAAGTCAGGTGCTTCGAATTGCTTAATGGATCTCGAGACAGTCCCCAAGAACACTGTCACAAGTCTAGACGGACCCTGAGGTCACGCCAGCAACGCAAAGCAGCTCCATGTGCCCCAAATCAACCCGAGATGTGGCCCGATTCCCCTGCATTGACTCCAGAGCCATCCCCAGTTCCCCATTAAACAAGACAACTGGCAAGACTTCCTTCATGCAACTCCAGAGATGCCCTGAGAACACTGTCCCAAGTCTAGAGGAACACCAACTTCAGCACAGCAACTCGAGGAATGCTCCGTGTACCACAAATCGTCTCGAGATGAGAGCTGAATCCCTGGCTTAGGCTCAAGACGTATGCCAACTTTCCAGAAGCACCTCAAGAGGAGGATTCTCTCAGCAATAGGTATGTTGGAGGGACCCCGAGTTTGCTGCCTCAAGTTGAATATACGGCGAGAAGCCCTAACTTGAAAGGAGGCCGGATTTCCTTGCAGTGGCTTGAATACAGGCTCGTCTTTCATCTCACAGAATGAAGGGGTGTCTGAATCCCCTGTGGAGGCCTTAGAGAAAGCTATAGGTCCCTACCTCATTTTGACGGAATGCCTCACATCCCGTTGTCACCTCCAGAGGCACGCGGAGTTCACTGCTTCAAAAGGTGACGATGCCTGACTCCTCTAAAATATTTATAGGAATCCCAAAATCCCTGTGGCTATTGGGAACGTTCCTTGGGTGCCCTGCCTCAAGTGGAGAAGCGTCCCTTGTGCCATGCCAAGCCTCGATGAGATTCCTGAGCTGTCTCTCGTTACTGGACAGGAGTTCTGACGTCACTGAATAAACACGAGTTTTGAAGGCCATCCCCGCCGTAACCCGAGTACATACCCTAGGTCCCCGCCGCAAGTCGAGAAAAACCATGAGACTTTCCCCTAGAGGCGAGATGAGGCCCGATTCTCCTGCAGTGCATGCAGAGCAATTCCGTGATCCCCATCAAACAAGTCAGAAGCTTCGACTTGCTTAATGGATCTCGAGAGAGTCCCCAAGAACACTGTCACATGTCTAGACGGATCCTGAGGTCACCCCATCAAGGCAAAGCAGCACCATGTGCCCCAAATCAACTCGAGATAATGCCCGATTCCCCTGCATTGACTCCAGAGCCATCCCCCGTTCCACATTAAACACGACCAGTGGCTTGACTTCCTTCAGGCAACTGCAGAGACGCCCTGAGAACACTGTCCCAAGTCTAGAGGAACACCATCTTCAGCACAGCAACTCGAGGAATGCTCCGTGTACCCCAAATCGTCTCGAGATGAGAGCTGATTCCCTGGCTTAGGCTCAAGACGTATGCCAACTTTCCAGAAGCACCTCAAGAGGAGGCTTCTCTCAGCAATAGTTATGTTGGAGGGACCCCCAGTTTGCTGCCTCAAAAGGAATATACAGCGAGAAGCCCTAACTTGAAAGGAGGCCGGATTTCCTTGCAGTGTCTTGAATACAGGCTCGTCTTTCATCTCACAACCGGAAGGAATGTCTGAATCCTCTGTGGAGACCTTAGAGAAAGCGCTAGGTCGCTGCCTCATTTTGAAGGAATGTCTCACATCCCGTTGACACCTCGAGAGGCACACAGAGTTCACTGCTTCAAAATGTGATGATGCCTGACCCCTCTTGAACATTGATAGGAATCCCAAAATCACTTTAGCTACAGGACAGGGTTCTTGGGTGCCATGCCTCACCTCGAGAAGCATCCCTTTGCCTGCCAAGCCTCGAAGAGATTCCTGAGGTGTCTCTCGTTACTAGACAGGAGTCCTGACGTCACTGAATAAACACGTGTTTTGAAGGGCCATCCCCGCCGTAACTCGAGAACATACCCCAGGTCCCGCCGCAACTCGAGAAAAACCATGAGACTTCCCCTAGATGCGAGATGACGTCTGATTCCCTGCAGTCCATGCAGAGCAGTCCCGTGATCCCCATCAAGCAAGTCAGGAGCTTCGACTTGCTTAATGGATCTCCAGAGAGTCCCCAGGAACACTGTCACAAGTCTAGACAGACCCTGAGGTCACCCCAGCAATGCAAAGCAGCTCCAAGTGCCCCACATCAACTCGAGATGAGGCCCCATTCTCCGGTATTTACTCAAGAGCTATCCCCCGTACCCCATTAAACACCAACACTGGCTTGACTTCATTCAGGCAACTCCAGAGATGCCCCAAGAACACTGTTCCAAGTCTAGAGGAACACCAACTTCAGCACAGCAACTCGAGGAATGCTCCGTGTACCCCAAATCGTTCCGAGGTGAGAGCTGATTCCCTGGCTTAGGCTCAAGACGTATAACAACTTTCCAGAAGCACCTCAAGAGGAGGCTTCTCTCAGCAATCGGTATGTGGGAGGGAACCCAAGTTTGCTGCCTCAAGTGGAATATACAGTGAGAAGCCCTAACTTGAAAGGAGGCCGGATTTCCTGGCAGTGTGTTGAATACAGGCTCGTCTTTCATCTCACAACAGGAAGGGATGTCTGAATCCCCTGTGGAGACCTTAGAGAAAGCCCTAGGTCCCTGCCTCATTTTGACGGAATGTCTCACATCCCGTTGACACCTCGAGAGGCACACGGAGTTCACTGCTTCAAAATGTGACGATGCCTGACTCCTCCTGAACATTGATAGAAATTCCAAAATCACTGTAGCTACAGGACAGGGTTCTTTGGTGCCCTGCCTCACCTCGAGAAGCATCCCTTTTGCGCTGCCAAGCCTCGAAGAGATTCCTGAGGTGTCTCTCGTTACTAGACAGGAGTCCTGACGTCACTGAATAAACACGTGTTTTGAAGGGCCATCCCCGCCGTAACTCGAGAACATACCCCAGTTCGCGCCACAACTCGAGTAAAACCATGAGATTTCCCCTAGAGGCGAGATGAGGCCTGATTCCCTGCAGTCCATGAAGAGCATTCCCGTGATCCCCATCAAACAAGTCAGGAGCTTCGACTTGCTTAATGGATCTCCAGAGAGTCCCCAGGAACACTGTCACAAGTCTAGACAGACCCTGAGGTCACCCCAGCAATGCAAAGCAGCTGCAAGTACCCCACATCAACTCGAGATGAGGCCCGATTCCCATGCATTGACTCCAGAGCCATCCCCCGTACCCCATTAAACACAACCATTGGCTTTACTTCCTTCCGGCAACACCAGAGATGCCCCAAGAACACTGTCCCAAGTCTAGAGGAATACGAACTTCAGCACAGCAACTCGAGGAATGCTCCGTGTACCCCAAATCGTTTCGAGGTGAGAGCTGATTCCATGGCTTAGGCTCAAGACGTATGCCAACTTTCCAGAAGCCCCTCAAGAGGAGGCTTCTCTCAGCAATAGGTATGTGGGAGGGACCCCGAGTTTGCTGCCTCAAGTGGAATATACAGCCAGAAGCCCTAACTTGAAAGGAGGCCGGATTTCCTTGCAGTGGCTTGAATACAGGCTCGTCTTTCATCTCACAGCATGAAGGGGTGTCTGAAGCCCCTGTGTAGACCTTAGAGAAAGCTCTAGGTCCCTGCCTCATTTTGACGGAATGCCTCACATCCCATTGACAGCTCGAGAGGCACGCGGAGTTCACTGCTTCAAAAGGTGATGATGCCTGACTCGTCTTGAATATTGATAGGAATCCCAAAATCACTGTGGCTACTGGAAAGGGTCCTTGGGTGCCCTGCCTCTCCTCGAGAAGCATACCTTTTGACCTGCCAAGCCTCGAAGAGATTCCTGAGGTGTCCCTCGTTACTAGACAGGAGTCCTGACGGCACTGAATAAACACGGGTTTTGAGGGGCCATCCCCGCCGTAACTCGAGAAGATTCCCCAGGTCCCCCGCACAACTTGACAAAAACCGTGAGACTTCCCCCTAGATGCGAGATGAGTCCTGATTCCCTGAAGTGCATGCAGAGTATTCCCGTGATCCCCAGCAAACAAGTCAGGAGCTTCGACTTGCTTAATTGAACTCGAGAAAGTCCCCAGGAACACTGTCACAAGTCTAGACAGACCCTGAGGTCACCTCAGCAATGCAAAGCAGCTGCAAGTACCCCACATCAACTCGAGATGAGGCCCGACTCCCATGCATTGACTCCAGAGCCATCCCCAGTTCCGCATTAAACAAGACCACTGGCTTGTCTTCCTTCAGACAACTCCAGAGATGCCCCGAGAACACTGTGCCAAGACTAGAGGAACACCAACTTCAGTACAGCAACTAGAGGAATGCCCCGTGTACCACAAATCGTCTCGAGATGAGAGCTGATTCCCTGGCTTAGGCTCAAGACGTATGCCAACTTTCCAGAAGCACCTCAAGAGGAGGCTTCTCTCAGCAATAGGTATGTTCGTGGGACCCCGAGTTTGCTGCCTAAAGTGGAATATACAGCGAGAAGCCCTAACTTGAATGGAGGCCGGATTTCCTTGCAGTGTCTTGAATACAGGCTCGTATTTCATCTCACAACAGGAAGGGATGTCTGAATCCCCTGTGGAGACCATAGAGAAAGCCCTAGGTCCCTGCCTCATTTTGACGGAATGCCTCACATCCCGTTGACACCACGAGAGGCACGCGGAGTTCACTGCTTCAAAAGGTGACGATGCCTGACTCCTCTTGAATATTGATACGAATCCCAAAATCCCTGTGGCTATTGGAAAGTTTCCTTGGGTGCCCTGCCTCATCTCGAGAAGCGTCCCTTGTGCCCCGGCAAGCCTCGAAGAGATTCCTGCGCTGTCCCTCGTTACTGGAGAGGAGTCCTGACGTCACTGAATAAACACGTGTTTTGAAGGGCCATCGCCGCCGTAACTCGAGTATATACCCCAGGTCCCCGCCGCAACTCGAGAAAAACCATGAAACTTTCCCCTAGAGGCGAGATGAGGCCCGGTTCTCCTGCACTGCATGCAGAGCAATTCCGTGATCCCCATCCAACAAGTCAGGAGCTTCGACTTGCTTAATGGCTCTCGAGACATTCCCCAAGAACACTGTCACATGTCTAGACGGACCCTGAGGTATCCCCAGCAATGCAAAGCAGCTCCATGTGCCCCAAATCAACATGAGATGAGGTCCGATTCCCCTGTATTGACTCCAGAGCCATCTGCTGTTCCGCATTAAACACCACCAGTGGCTTGACCTCCTTCAGACAACTCCAGAGATGCCCCGAGAACACTGTCCCTAGTCTAGAGGAACACCTACTTTAGCACAGCAACTCGAGGAATGCTTCCTGTATGCCAAATCCTCTCAAGATGAGAGCTGATTCCCTGGCTTAGGCTCAAGACATATGCCAACTTTCCAGAAGCACTTCAAGAGGAGGCTTCTCTCAGCAATATGTATGTGGGAGGGAACCCGAGTTTGCTGCCTCAAATGGAATATACAGCGCGAAGCACTAACTAGAAAGGAGGCTGGTTTCCTAGCAGTGTCTTGAATACAGGCTCGTCTTTCATCTCACAGCAGGAAGAGATGTCTGAATCCCCTGTGGAGACTTTAGAGAAAGCCCTAGGTCCCTGCCACATTTTGACGGAATGCCTCACATCCGGTTGACACCTCGAGAGTCACGCGGAGTTCACTGCTTCAAAAGCTGACGATGCCTGATTCCTCTAAAATATTGATAGGAATCACAAAATCCCTGTGGCTATTTGAAAGGTTCCTTGGGTGCCCTGCCTCACCTCGAGAAGCGTCCCTTGTGCCTGCCAAGCCTCGAAGAGATTTTGAGCTGTCCCTCGTTACTGGACAGGAGTCCTGACGTCACTGAATAAACACGAGTTTTTAAGGGCCATCCCCGCCGTAACCCGAGTACATACCCCAGGTCCCCGTCGCAAGTCGAAAAAAACCATGAGACTTTCCCCTCGTGGCGAGATGAGGCCCGATTCTCCTGCAGTGCATGCAGAGCAATTCCGTGATCCCCATCAAACAAGTCAGGACCTTCGACTTGCTTAATGGATCTCGAGACAGTCCCCAAAAAAACTGTCACATGTCTAGACGGATCCTGCGGTCACCCCATCAACGCAAAGCAGCACCATGTGCCCCACATCAACTCGAGATAATGCCCGAATCCCCTGCATTGACTCCAGAGCCATCCCACGTTCCACATTAAACACCACCAGTGGCTTGACTTCCTTCAGACAACTCCAGAGATGCCCTGAGAACACTGTCCCAAGTCTAGAGGAACACCATCTTCAGCACAGCAACTCGAGGAATGCTCCGTGTACCCCAAATCGTCTCGAGATGAGAGCTGATTCCCTGGCTTAGGCTCAAGACGTATGCCAACTTTCCAGAAGCACCTCAAGGGGAGGCTTCTCTCAGCAAAAGGTATGTTGGAGGGACCCCCAGTTTGCTGCCTCAAGTGGAATATGCAGCAAGAAGCCCTAACTTGAAAGGAGGCCGGGTTTCCTTGCAGTGTCTTGAATACAGGCTCGTCTTTCATCTCACAACCGGAAGGAATGTCTGAATCCCCTGTGGAGACCTTAGCGAAAGCCCTAGGTCCCTGCCTCATTTTGACGGATTGCCTCACATCGCGTTGACACCTCGGGAGGCACACGGAGTTCACTGCTTCAAATGTGACGATGCCTGACTCCTCCTGAACATTGATAGGAATCCCAAAATCACTGTGGCTACAGGAAAGGGTTCTTGTGTGCCCTGCCTCACCTCGAGAAGCATCCCTTTTGCCCTGCCAAGGCTCGAAGAGATTCCTGAGGTGTCCCTCATTACTAGACAGGAGTCATGACGTCACTGAATAAACACGTGTTTTCAAGAGCCATGCCCGCCATAACTCGAGAACATACCCCAGGTCCCGACGCAACTCGAGAAAAACGATTAGGCTTCCCCTAGATGCGATATGAGGCTTGATTCCCTGCAGTACATGCAGAGCATTCCCGTGATCCCAATCAAGCAAGTCAGCAGCTTCAAATTGCTTAATGGATCTCGAGAGAGTCCCCAGGAACACTGTCACAAGTCTAGACAGACCGTGACATCACCCCAGCAACGCAAAGCAGCTCCAAGTACCCCACATCAACTCGAGTTGAGGCCCGATTCCCATGCATTGACTCCAGAGCTATCCCCCGTACCCCATTAAAGCACAACCAGTGGATTGATTTCCTTCAGGCAACTCCAGAGATTCCCCGAGAACACTGTCCCAAGTCTAGAGGAATACGAACTTCAGCAAAGCAACTCGAGGAATGCTCCGTGTACCCCAAATCGTTTCGAGGTGAGAGCTGATTCCATGGCTAGGCTCAAGACGTATGCCAACTTTCCAGAAGCACCTCAAGAGGAGGCTTCTCTCAGCAATCGGTATGTGGGAGGGAACCCGAGTTTGCTGCCTCAAGTGGAATATACAGTGAGAAGCCCTAACTTGAAAGGAGGCCGGATTTCCTGGCAGTGTGTTGAATACAGGCTCGTCTTTCATCTCACAACAGGAAGGGATGTCTGAATCCCCTGTGGAGACCTTAGAGAAAGCCCTAGGTCCCTGCCTCATTTTGACGGAATGTCTCACATCCCGTTGACACCTCGAGAGGCACACGGAGTTCACTGCTTCAAAATGTGACGATGCCTGACTCCTCCTGAACATTGATAGGAATCCCAAAATCACTGTAGCTACAGGACAGGGTTCTTTGGTGCCCTGCCTCACCTCGAGAAGCATCCCTTTTGCCCTGCCAAGCCTCGAAGAGATTCCTGAGGTGTCTCTCGTTACTAGACAGGAGTCCTGACGTCACTGAATAAACACGTGTTTTGAAGGGCCATCCCCGCCGTAACTCGAGAACATACCCCAATTCGCGCCGCAACTCGAGTAAAACCATGAGATTTCCCCTAGAGGCGAGATGAGGCCTGATTCCCTGCAGTCCATGAAGAGCATTCGCGTGATCCCCATCAAGCAAGTCAGGAGCTTCGACTTGCTTAATTGAACTCGAGAAAGTCCCCAGGAACACTGTCACAAGTCTAGACAGACCCTGAGGTCACCCCAGCAATGCAAAGCAGCTGCAAGTATCCCACATCAACTCGAGATGAGGCCCGATTCCCATGCATTGACTCCAGAGCCATCCCCAGTTCCCCATTAAACAAGACCACTGGCTTGTCTTCCTTCAGACAACTCCAGAGATGCCCCGAGAACACTGTCCCAAGTCTAGAGGAACACCAACTTCAGCACAGCAACTCGAGGAATGCCCCGTGTACCACAAATCGTCTCGAGATGAGAGCTGATTCCCTGGCTTAGGCTCAAGACGTATGCCAACTTTCCAGAAGCACCTCAAGAGGAGGCTTCTCTCAGCAATAGGTATGTTCGTGGGACCCCGAGTTTGCTGCCTAAAGTGGAATATACAGCGAGAAGCCCTAACTTGAATGGAAGCCGGATTTCCTTGCAGTGTCTTGTATACAGGCTCGTCTTTCATCTCACAACAGGAAGGGATGTCTGAATCCCCTGTGAAGACCTTTGAGAAAGCCCTAGGTCCCTGCCTAATTGTGACGGAATGCCTCACATCCCGTTGACACCACGAGAGGCACGCGGAGTTCACTGCTTCAAAAGGTGACGATGCCTGACTCCTCTTGAATATTGATAGGAATCCCAAAATCCCTGTGGCTATTGGAAAGGTTCCTTGGGTGCCCTGCCTCATCTCGAGAAGCGTCCCTTGTGCCCCGGCAAGCCTCGAAGAGATTCCTGAGCTGTCCCTCGTTACTGGACAGGAGTCCTGACGTCACTGAATAAACACGTGTTTTGAAGGGCCATCGCCGCCGTAACTCGAGTATATACCCCAGGTCCCCGCCGCAACTCGAGAAAAACCATGAGACTTCCGCCTAGAGGCGAGATGAGGCCCGATTCTCCTGCAGTGCATGCAGAGCAATTCCGTGATCCCCATCAAACAAGTCAGGAGCTTCGACTTGCTTAATGGATCTCGAGACATTCCCCAAGAACACTGTCACATGTCTAGACGGACCCTGAGGTATCCCCAGCAAAGCAAAGCAGCTCCATGTGCCCCAAATCAACTTGAGATGAGGTCCGATTCCCCTGCATTGACTCCAGAGCCATCTGCCGTTCCACATTAAACACCACCAGTGGCTTGACCTCCTTCAGACAACTCCAGAGATGCCCCGAGAACACTGTCCCAAGTCTAGAGGAACACCTACTTTAGCACAGCAACTCGAGGAATGCTTCCTGAATGCCAAATCTTCTCGAGTTGAGAGCTGATTTCCTGGCTTAGGCTCAAGATGTATGCCAACTTTCCAGAAGCACCTCAAGAGGAGGCTTCTCTCAGCAATAGGTATGTGGGAGGGAACCCGAGTTTGCTGCCTCAAATGGAATATACAGCGAGAAGCACTAACTAGAATGGAGGCCGGTTTCTTAGCAGTGTCTTGAATACAGCCTCGTCTTTCATCTCACAGCAGGAAGAGATGTCTGAATCCCCTGTGGAGACCTTACAGAAAGCCCTAGGTCCCTGCCTCATTTTGACGGAATGCCTCACATCCCGTTGACACCTCGAGAGTCACGCGGAGTTCACTGCTTCAAAAGCTGACGATGCCTGACTCCTCCTGAACATTGATAGGAATCCCAAAATCACTGTAGCTACAGGACAGGGTTCTTGGGTGCCCTGCCTCACCTCGAGAAGCATCCCTTTTGCCCTGCCAAGCCTCGAAGAGATTCCTGAGGTGTCCCTCATTACTAGACAGGAGTCATGACGTCACTGAATAAACACGTGTTTTCAAGGGCCATGCCCGCCATAACTCGAGAACATACCCCAGGTCCCGCCGCAACTCGAGAAAAACCATGAGACTTCCCCTAGATGCGAGATGAGGGCTGATTCCCTGCAGTCCATGCAGAGCATTCCCGTAATCCCAATCAAGCAAGTCAGCAGCTTCGAATTTCTTAATGGATCTCGAGATTGTCCCCAGGAACACTGTCACAAGTCTAGACAGATCCTGACATCACCCCAGCAGCGCAAAGCAGCACCAAGTACCCCATATCAACTCGCGTTGAGGCCCGATTCCCATGCATTGACTCCAGAGCCATCCCCCGTACCCCATTAAACACCACCAGTGGCTTGACTTCCTTCAGGCAACTCCAGAGATGCCCCGAGAACACTGTCCCAAGTCTAGAGGAATACGAACTTCAGCACAGCAACTCGAGGAATGCTCCGTGTATCCCAAAACGTTTCGAGGTGAGAGCTGATTCCATGGCTTAGGCTCAAGACGTATGCCAACTTTCCAGAAGCCCCTCAAGAGGAGGATTCTCTCAGCAATAGGTATGTTGGAGGGACGCCCACTTTGCTGCCTCAAGTGGAATATACAGCGAGAAGCCCTAACTTGAAAGGAGGCCGGATTTCCTTGCAGTGTCTTGAATACAGGCTCGTCTTTCATCTCACAACCGGAAGGGATGTCTGAATCCCCTGTGGAGAACTTAGAGAAAGCCCTAGGTCCCTGCCTCATTTTGACGGATTGCCTCACATCCCGTTGACACCTCGAGAGGCACGCGGAGTTCACTGCTTCAAAAGTTGATGCTGCCTGACTCGTCTTGAATATTGATAGGAATCCCAAAATCCCTGTGGCTATTTGAAAGGTTCCTTGGGTGTCCTGCCTCACCTCGAGAAGCGTCCCTTGTGCCTGCCAAGCCTCGAAGAGATTCCTGAGCTGTCCCTCGTTACTGGACAGGAGTCCTGACGTCACTGAATAAACAGGAGTTTTTAAGGGCCATCCCCGCTGTAACCCGAGTACATACCCCAGGTCCCCGCCGCAAGTCGAGAAAAACCATGAGACTTTCCCCTAGTGGCGAGATGAGGCCCGATTCTCCTGCAGTGCATGCAGAGCAATTCCGTGATCCCCATCAAACAAGTCAGGACCTTCGACTTGCTTAATGGATCTCGAGACAGTCCCCAAGAATACTGTCACATGTCTAGACGGATCCTGAGGTCACCCCATCAACGCAAAGCAGCACTATGTGCCCCACATCAACTCGAGATAATGCCCGATTCCCCTGCATTGACTCCAGAGCCATCCCCCGTTCCACATTAAACACCACCAGTGGCTTGACTTCCTTCAGACAACTCAAGAGATGCCCTGAGAACACTGTCCCAAGTCTAGAGGAACACCATCTTCAGCACAGCAACTCGAGGAATGCTCCGTGTACCTCAAATCGTCTGGAGATGAGAGCTGATTCCCTGGCTTAGGCTCAAGACGTATGCCAACTTTCCAGAAGCACCTCAAGGGGAGGCTTCTCTCAGCAATAGGTATGTTGGAGGGACCCCCAGTTTGCTGCCTCAAGTGGAATATGCAGCGAGAAGCCCTAACTTGAAAGGAGGCCGGGTTTCCTTGCAGTGTCTTGAATACAGGCTCGTCTTTCATCTCACAATGGGAAGGAATGTCTGAATCCCCTGTGGAGACCTTAGCGAAAGCCCTAGGTCCCTGCCTCATTTTGACGGATTGCCTCACATCCCGTTGACACCTGGAGAGGCACCCGGAGTTCACTGCTTCAAATGTGACGATGCCTGACTCCTCCTGAACATTGATAGGAATCCCAAAATCACTGTGGCTACAGGAAACGGTTCTTGTGTGCCCTGCCTCACCTCGAGAAGCATCCCTTTTGCCCTGCCAAGGCTCGAAAAGATTCCTGAGGTGTCCCTCATTACTAGACAGGAGTCATGACGTCACTTAAAAAACACGTGTTTTCAAGGGCCAAGCCCGCCATAACTCGAGAACATACCCCACGTACCGCCGCGACTCGAGAAAAACCATGAGACTTCCCCTAGATGCGATATGAGGCCTGATTCCCTGCAGTCCATGCAGAGCATTCCCGTGATCCCAATCAAGCAAGTCAGCAGCTTCGAATTGCTTAATGGATCTCGAGAGAGTCCCCAGGAACACTGTCACAAGTCTAGACAGACCCTGACATCACCCCAGCAAAGCAAAGCAGGTCCAAGTACCCCACATCACCTCGAGTTGAGGCCGGATTCCCATGCATTGACTCCAGAGCCATCCCCCGTTCCACATTAAACACGACCAGTAGCTTGACTTCCTTCAGGCAACTCCAGAGACGCCCTGAGAACACTGTCCCAAGTCTAGAGAAACACCATCTTCAGCACAGCAACTCGAGGAATGCTCCGTGTACCCCAAATCGTCTCGAGATGAGAGCTGATTCCCTGGCTTAGGCTCAAGACGTATGCCAACTTTCCAGAAGCACCTCAAGTGGAGACTTCTCTCAGCAATAGGTATGTTGGAGGGACCCCCAGTTTGCTGCCTCAAGAGGAATATACAGCGAAAAGCCCTAACTTGAAAGGAGGACGGATTTCCTTGCAGTGGCTTGAATACAGGCTCGTCTTTCATCTCACAGCATGAAGGGATGTCTGAAACCCCTGTGGAGACCTTAGAGAAAGCTCTAGGTCCCTGCCTCATTTTGAGGGAATGCCTCACATCCCGTTGTCACCTCGAGAGGCACGCGGAGTTCACTGCTTCAAAAGGTGATGATGCCTCACTCGTCTTGAATATTGATAGGAATCAAAAAATCACTGTGGCTACTGGAAAGGGTCCTTGGGTGCCCTGCCTCACCTCGAGAAGCATACCTTTTGACCTGCCAAGCCTCGAAGAGATTCCTGAGGTTTCCCTTATTACTAGACAGGAGTCCTGACGGCACTGAATAAACAGGTGTTTTGAAGGGCCATCCCCGCCGTAACTCGAGAAGATACCCCAGGTCCCCAGCGCAACTTGAGAGAAACCATGAGACTTCCCCCAAGATGCGAGATGAGTCCTGATTCCCTGCAGTGCATGCAGGGTATTCCCGTGATCCCCATCAAACAAGTCAGGAGCTTCGACTTGCTTAATGGATCTCGAGACAGTCCCCAAGAACACTGTCACAAGTCTAGACGGACCCTGAGGTCACCCCAGCAACGTAAAACAGCTCCATGTGCCCCAAATCAACCCGAAATGTGGCCCGATTCCCCTGCATTGACTCCAGAGCCATCCCCAGTTCCCCATTAAACAAGACCACTGGCTTGACTTCCTTCAGGCAACTCCAGAGATGCCCCGAGAACACTGTCCCAAGACTAGAAGAACACCAACTTCAGCACAGCAACTCGAGGAATGCTCCGTGTACCACAAATCGTCTCGAGATGAGAGCTGAATCGCTGGCTTAGGCTCAAGACGTATGCCAACTTTCCAGAAGCACCTCAAGAGGAGGCTTCTCTCAGCAATAGGTATGTTCGAGGGACCCCGAGTTTGCTGCCTCAAGTGGAATATATAGCGAGAAGCCCTAAATTGAAAGGAGGCCGGATTTCCTTGCAGTGGCTTGAATACAGGATCGTCTTTCATCTCACAGCATGAAGGGATGTCTGAATCCCCTGTGGAGACCTTAGAGAAAGCTCTAGGTCCCTGCCTCATTTTGACGGAATGCCTCACATCCCGTTGTCACCTCGAGAGGCAAGCGGAGTTCAGTGCTTCAAAATGTGACGATGCCTGACTCCTCTTGAATATTGATAGGAATCCCAAAATCCATGTGGCTATCGGAAAGGTTACTTGGGTACCCTGCCTCACCTTGAGAAGCGTCCCTTGTGCACTGCCAAGCCTCGAAGAGATTCCAGAGCTGCCCCTCGTTACTGGACAGGAGTCCTGACGTCACTGAATAAACACGAGTTTTGAAGAGCCATCCCCGTCGTAACCCGAGTACATACCCCAGGTCCCCGCCGCAAGTCGAGAAAAACCATGAGACTTTCCCCTATAGGCGAGATGAGGCCCGATTCTCCTGCAGTGCATGCAGAGCAATTCCGTGATCCCCATCAAACAAGTCAGGACCTTCGACTTGCTTAATGGATCTCGAGACAGTCCCCAAGAATACTGTCACATGTCTAGACGGATCCTGAGGTCACCCCATCAACGCAAAGCAGCACAATGTGCCCCAAATCAACTCGGGATGATGGCAGATTACCCTGCATTGACCCTAGAGCCATCCCCCTTTCCACATTAAACACGACTAGTGGCTTGACTTCCTTCAGGCAACTCCAGAGAGGCCCCGAGAACACTGTCCCAAGTCTAGAGGAACACCAACTTCAGCACAGCAACTCGAGGAATGCGCCGTGTACCCCAAATCGTCTCGAGATGAGAGCTGATTCCCTGGCTTAGGTTCAAGACGTATGCCAACTTTCCAGAAGCACCTCAAGCAGAGGATTCTCTCAGCAATAGGTATGTTGGAGGGACCTCCACTTTGCTGCCTCAAGTGGAATATACAGCGAGAAGCCCTAACTTGAAAGGAGGCCCGGTTTCCTTGCAGTGTCTTGAATACAGGCTCGTCTTTCATCTCACAGCATGAAGGAATGTCTGAATCCCCTGTGGAGACCTTAGAGAAAGCCCTAGGTCCCTGCCTCATTTTGACGGAATGTCTCACATCCCGTTGACACCTCGAGAGGCACACGGAGTTCACTGCTTCAAAATGTGACGATGCCTGACTCCTCCTGAACATTGATAGGAATCCCAAAATCACTGTAGCTACAGGACAGGGTTCTTGGGTGCCCTGCCTCACCTCGAGAAGCATCCCTTTTGCCCTGCCAAGCCTCGAAGAGATTCCGGAGGTGTCTCTCATTACTAGACAGGAGTCCTGACGTCACTGAATAAACACGTGTTTTGAAGGGCCATCCCCGCCGTAACTCGAGAACATACCCCAGTTCGCGCCGCAACTCGAGTAAAACCATGAGACTTCCCCTAGAGGCGAGATGAGGCCTGATTCCCTGCAGTCCATGAAGAGCATTCCCGTGATCCCCATCAAACAAGTCAGGAGCTTCGACTTGCTTAATGGATCTCCAGAGAGTCCCCAGGAACACTGTCACAAGTCTAGACAGACCCTGAGGTCACCCCAGCAATGCAAAGCAGCTGCAAGTACCCCACATCAACTCGAGATGAGGCCCGATTCCCATGCATTGACTCCAGAGCCATCCCCCGTACCCCATTAAACACAACCATTGGCTTGACTTCCTTCCGGCAACACCAGAGATGCCCCAAGAACACTGTCCCAAGTCTAGAGGAATACGAACTTCAGCACAGCAACTCGAGGAATGCTCCGTGTACCCCAAATCGTTTCGAGGTGAGAGCTGATTCCATGGCTTAGGCTCAAGACGTATGCCAACTTTCCAGAAGCCCCTCAAGAGGAGGCTTCTCTCAGCAATAGGTATGTGGGAGGGACCCCGAGTTTGCTGCCTCAAGTGGAATATACACCCAGAAGCCCTAACTTGAAAGGAGGCCGGATTTCCTTGCAGTGGCTTGAATACAGGCTCGTCTTTCATCTCACAGCATGAAGGGGTGTCTGAAGCCCCTGTGTAGACCTTAGAGAAAGCTCTAGGTCCCTGCCTCATTTTGACGGAATGCCTCACATCCCATTGACACCTCGAGAGGCACGCGGAGTTCACTGCTTCAAAAGGTGATGATGCCTGACTCGTCTTGAATATTGATAGGAATCCCAAAATCACTGTGGCTACTGGAAAGGGTCCTTGGGTGCCCTGCCTCTCCTCGAGAAGCATACCTTTTGACCTGCCAAGCCTCGAAGAGATTCCTGAGGTGTCCCTCGTTACTAGACAGGAGTCCTGACGGCACTGAATAAACACGGGTTTTGAGGGGCCATCCCCGCCGTAACTCGAGAAGATTCCCCAGGTCCCCCGCGCAACTTGAGAGAAACCGTGAGACTTCCCCCTAGATGTGAGATGAGTCCTGATTCCCTGCAGTGCATGCAGAGTATTCCCGTGATCCCCAGCAAACAAGTCAGGAGCTTCGACTTGCTTAATTGAACTCGAGAAAGTCCCCAGGAACACTGTCACAAGTCTAGACAGACCCTGAGGTCACCTCAGCAATGCAAAGCAGCTGCAAGTACCCCACATCAACTCGAGATGAGGCCCGATTCCCATGCATTGACTCCAGAGCCATCCCCAGTTCCCCATTAAACAAGACCACTGGCTTGTCTTCCTTGAGACAACTCCAGAGATGCCCCGAGAACACTGTGCCAAGACTAGAGGAACACCAACTTCAGTACAGCAACTAGAGGAATGCCCCGTGTACCACAAATCGTCTCGAGATGAGAGCTGATTCCCTGGCTTAGGCTCAAGACGTATGCCAACTTTCCAGAAGCACCTCAAGAGGAGGCTTCTCTCAGCAATAGGTATGTTCGTGGGACCCCGAGTTTGCTGCCTAAAGTGGAATATACAGCGAGAAGCCCTAACTTGAATGGAGGCCGGATTTCCTTGCAGTGTCTTGAATACAGGCTCGTATTTCATCTCACAACAGGAAGGGATGTCTGAATCCCCTGTGGAGACCATAGAGAAAGCCCTAGGTCCCTGCCTCATTTTGACGGAATGCCTCACATCCCGTTGACACCACGAGAGGCACGCGGAGTTCACTGCTTCAAAAGGTGACGATGCCTGACTCCTCTTGAATATTGATACGAATCCCAAAATCCCTGTGGCTATTGGAAAGGTTCCTTGGGTGCCCTGCCTCATCTCGAGAAGCGTCCCTTGTGCCCCGGCAAGCCTCGAAGAGATTCCTGAGCTGTCCCTCGTTACTGGAAAGGAGTCCTGACATCACTGAATAAACACGTGTTTTGAAGGTCCATCGCCGCCGTAACTCGAGTATATACCCCAGGTCCCCGCCGCAACTCGAGAAAAACCATGAAACTTTCCCCTAGAGGCGAGATGAGGCCCGATTCTCCTGCATTGCATGCAGAGCAATTCCGTGATCCCCATCCAACAAGTCAGGAGCTTCGACTTGCTTAATGGATCTCGAGACATTTCCCAAGAACACTGTCACATGTCTAGACGGACCCTGAGGTATCCACAGCAACGCAAAGCAGCTCCATGTGCCCCAAATCAACATGAGATGAGGTCCGATTCCCCTGTATTGACTCCAGAGCCATCTGCTGTTCCGCATTAAACACCACCAGTGGCTTGACCTCCTTCAGACAACTCCAGAGATGCCCCGAGAACACTGTCCCTAGTCTAGAGGAACACCTACTTTAGCACAGCAACTCGAGGAATGCTTCCTGTATGCCAAATCTTCTCGAGATGAGAGCTGATTCCCTGGCTTAGGCTCTAGACGTATGCCAACTTTCCAGAAGCACTTCAAGAGGAGGCTTCTCTCAGCAATAGGTATGTGGGAGGGAACCCGAGTTTGCTGCCTCAAATGTGACGATGCCTGACTCCTCCTGAACATTGATAGGAATCCCAAAATCACTGTGGCTACAGGAAAGGGTTCTTGTGTGCCCTGCCTCACCTCGAGAAGCATCCCTTTTGCCCTGCCAAGGCTCGAAGAGATTCCTGAGGTGTCCCTCATTACTAGAGAGGAGTCATGACGTCACTGAATAAACACGTGTTTTCAAGGGCCATGCCCGCCATAACTCGAGAACATACCCCAGGTCCCGACGCAACTCGAGAAAAACGATGAGGCTTCCCCTAGATGCGATATGAGGCTTGATTCCCTGCAGTACATGCAGAGCATTCCCGTGATCCCAATCAAGCAAGTCAGCAGCTTCAAATTGCTTAATGGATCTCGAGAGAGTCCATAGGAACACTGTCACAAGTCTAGACAGACCGTGACATCACCCCAGCAACGCAAAGCAGCCCCAAGTACCCGACATCAACTCGAGTTGAGGCCCGATTCCCATGCATTGACTCCAGAGCTATCCCCCGTACACCATTAAAGCACAACCAGTGGATTGATTTCCTTCAGGCAACTCCAGAGATGCCTCGAGAACACTGTCCCAAGTCTAGAGGAATACGAACTTCAGCAAAGCAACTCGAGGAATGCTCCGTGTACCCCAAATCGTTTCGAGGTGAGAGCTGATTCCATGGCTAGGCTCAAGACGTATGCCAACGTTCCAGAAGCCCCTCAAGAGGAGGCTTCTCTCAGCAATAGGTATGTGGGAGGGACCCCGAGTTTGCTGCCTCAAGTGGAATATACAGCGAGAAGCCCTAACTTGAAAGGAGGCCGGATTTCCTTGCAGTGGCTTGAATACAGGCTCGTCTTTCATCTCACAGCATGAAGGGATGTCTGAATCCCCTGTGGAGACCTTAGAGAAAGCTCTAGGTACCTGCCTCATTTTGACGGAATGCCTCACATCCCGTTGACACTTCGAGAGGCACGCGGAGTTCACTGCTTCAAAAGGTGATGATGCCTCACTCGTCTTGAATATTGATAGGAATCCCAAAATCACTGTGGCTACTGGAAAGGGTCCTTGGGTGCCCTGCGTCACCTCGAGAAGCATACCTTTTACCTGCCAAGAATCGAAGAGATTCCTGAGGTGTGCCTCGTTACTAGACAGGAGTCCTGACGGCACTGAATAAACACGTGTTTTGAAGGGCCATCCCCGCCGTAACTCGAGAAGATACCCCATGTCCCCCGCAACTTGAGAGAAACCATGAGACTTCCCCCTAGATGCGAGATGAGTCCTGATTCCCTGCAGTGCATGCAGAGTATTCCCGTGATCCCCATAAAACAAGTCAGGTGCTTCGAATTGCTTAATGGATCTCGAGACAGTCCCCAAGAACACTGTCACAAGTCTAGACGGACCCTGAGGTCACGCCAGCAACGCAAAGCAGCTCCATGTGCCCCAAATCAACCCGAGATGTGGCCCGATTCCCCTGCATTGACTCCAGAGCCATCCCCAGTTCCCCATTAAACAAGACAACTGGCAAGACTTCCTTCATGCAACTCCAGAGATGCCCTGAGAACACTGTCCCAAGTCTAGAGGAACACCAACTTCAGCACAGCAACTCGAGGAATGCTCCGTGTACCACAAATCGTCTCGAGATGAGAGCTGAATCCCTGGCTTAGGCTCAAGACGTATGCCAACTTTCCAGAAGCACCTCAAGAGGAGGATTCTCTCAGCAATAGGTATGTTGGAGGGACCCCGAGTTTGCTGCCTCAAGTTGAATATACGGCGAGAAGCCCTAACTTGAAAGGAGGCCGGATTTCCTTGCAGTGGCTTGAATACAGGCTCGTCTTTCATCTCACAGAATGAAGGGGTGTCTGAATCCCCTGTGGAGGCCTTAGAGAAAGCTATAGGTCCCTACCTCATTTTGACGGAATGCCTCACATCCCGTTGTCACCTCCAGAGGCACGCGGAGTTCACTGCTTCAAAAGGTGACGATGCCTGACTCCTCTAAAATATTTATAGGAATCCCAAAATCCCTGTGGCTATTGGGAACGTTCCTTGGGTGCCCTGCCTCAAGTGGAGAAGCGTCCCTTGTGCCATGCCAAGCCTCGATGAGATTCCTGAGCTGTCTCTCGTTACTGGACAGGAGTTCTGACGTCACTGAATAAACACGAGTTTTGAAGGCCATCCCCGCCGTAACCCGAGTACATACCCTAGGTCCCCGCCGCAAGTCGAGAAAAACCATGAGACTTTCCCCTAGAGGCGAGATGAGGCCCGATTCTCCTGCAGTGCATGCAGAGCAATTCCGTGATCCCCATCAAACAAGTCAGAAGCTTCGACTTGCTTAATGGATCTCGAGAGAGTCCCCAAGAACACTGTCACATGTCTAGACGGATCCTGAGGTCACCCCATCAAGGCAAAGCAGCACCATGTGCCCCAAATCAACTCGAGATAATGCCCGATTCCCCTGCATTGACTCCAGAGCCATCCCCCGTTCCACATTAAACACGACCAGTGGCTTGACTTCCTTCAGGCAACTGCAGAGACGCCCTGAGAACACTGTCCCAAGTCTAGAGGAACACCATCTTCAGCACAGCAACTCGAGGAATGCTCCGTGTACCCCAAATCGTCTCGAGATGAGAGCTGATTCCCTGGCTTAGGCTCAAGACGTATGCCAACTTTCCAGAAGCACCTCAAGAGGAGGCTTCTCTCAGCAATAGTTATGTTGGAGGGACCCCCAGTTTGCTGCCTCAAAAGGAATATACAGCGAGAAGCCCTAACTTGAAAGGAGGCCGGATTTCCTTGCAGTGTCTTGAATACAGGCTCGTCTTTCATCTCACAACCGGAAGGAATGTCTGAATCCTCTGTGGAGACCTTAGAGAAAGCGCTAGGTCGCTGCCTCATTTTGAAGGAATGTCTCACATCCCGTTGACACCTCGAGAGGCACACAGAGTTCACTGCTTCAAAATGTGATGATGCCTGACCCCTCTTGAACATTGATAGGAATCCCAAAATCACTTTAGCTACAGGACAGGGTTCTTGGGTGCCATGCCTCACCTCGAGAAGCATCCCTTTGCCTGCCAAGCCTCGAAGAGATTCCTGAGGTGTCTCTCGTTACTAGACAGGAGTCCTGACGTCACTGAATAAACACGTGTTTTGAAGGGCCATCCCCGCCGTAACTCGAGAACATACCCCAGGTCCCGCCGCAACTCGAGAAAAACCATGAGACTTCCCCTAGATGCGAGATGACGTCTGATTCCCTGCAGTCCATGCAGAGCAGTCCCGTGATCCCCATCAAGCAAGTCAGGAGCTTCGACTTGCTTAATGGATCTCCAGAGAGTCCCCAGGAACACTGTCACAAGTCTAGACAGACCCTGAGGTCACCCCAGCAATGCAAAGCAGCTCCAAGTGCCCCACATCAACTCGAGATGAGGCCCCATTCTCCGGTATTTACTCAAGAGCTATCCCCCGTACCCCATTAAACACCAACACTGGCTTGACTTCATTCAGGCAACTCCAGAGATGCCCCAAGAACACTGTTCCAAGTCTAGAGGAACACCAACTTCAGCACAGCAACTCGAGGAATGCTCCGTGTACCCCAAATCGTTCCGAGGTGAGAGCTGATTCCCTGGCTTAGGCTCAAGACGTATAACAACTTTCCAGAAGCACCTCAAGAGGAGGCTTCTCTCAGCAATCGGTATGTGGGAGGGAACCCAAGTTTGCTGCCTCAAGTGGAATATACAGTGAGAAGCCCTAACTTGAAAGGAGGCCGGATTTCCTGGCAGTGTGTTGAATACAGGCTCGTCTTTCATCTCACAACAGGAAGGGATGTCTGAATCCCCTGTGGAGACCTTAGAGAAAGCCCTAGGTCCCTGCCTCATTTTGACGGAATGTCTCACATCCCGTTGACACCTCGAGAGGCACACGGAGTTCACTGCTTCAAAATGTGACGATGCCTGACTCCTCCTGAACATTGATAGAAATTCCAAAATCACTGTAGCTACAGGACAGGGTTCTTTGGTGCCCTGCCTCACCTCGAGAAGCATCCCTTTTGCGCTGCCAAGCCTCGAAGAGATTCCTGAGGTGTCTCTCGTTACTAGACAGGAGTCCTGACGTCACTGAATAAACACGTGTTTTGAAGGGCCATCCCCGCCGTAACTCGAGAACATACCCCAGTTCGCGCCACAACTCGAGTAAAACCATGAGATTTCCCCTAGAGGCGAGATGAGGCCTGATTCCCTGCAGTCCATGAAGAGCATTCCCGTGATCCCCATCAAACAAGTCAGGAGCTTCGACTTGCTTAATGGATCTCCAGAGAGTCCCCAGGAACACTGTCACAAGTCTAGACAGACCCTGAGGTCACCCCAGCAATGCAAAGCAGCTGCAAGTACCCCACATCAACTCGAGATGAGGCCCGATTCCCATGCATTGACTCCAGAGCCATCCCCCGTACCCCATTAAACACAACCATTGGCTTTACTTCCTTCCGGCAACACCAGAGATGCCCCAAGAACACTGTCCCAAGTCTAGAGGAATACGAACTTCAGCACAGCAACTCGAGGAATGCTCCGTGTACCCCAAATCGTTTCGAGGTGAGAGCTGATTCCATGGCTTAGGCTCAAGACGTATGCCAACTTTCCAGAAGCCCCTCAAGAGGAGGCTTCTCTCAGCAATAGGTATGTGGGAGGGACCCCGAGTTTGCTGCCTCAAGTGGAATATACAGCCAGAAGCCCTAACTTGAAAGGAGGCCGGATTTCCTTGCAGTGGCTTGAATACAGGCTCGTCTTTCATCTCACAGCATGAAGGGGTGTCTGAAGCCCCTGTGTAGACCTTAGAGAAAGCTCTAGGTCCCTGCCTCATTTTGACGGAATGCCTCACATCCCATTGACAGCTCGAGAGGCACGCGGAGTTCACTGCTTCAAAAGGTGATGATGCCTGACTCGTCTTGAATATTGATAGGAATCCCAAAATCACTGTGGCTACTGGAAAGGGTCCTTGGGTGCCCTGCCTCTCCTCGAGAAGCATACCTTTTGACCTGCCAAGCCTCGAAGAGATTCCTGAGGTGTCCCTCGTTACTAGACAGGAGTCCTGACGGCACTGAATAAACACGGGTTTTGAGGGGCCATCCCCGCCGTAACTCGAGAAGATTCCCCAGGTCCCCCGCACAACTTGACAAAAACCGTGAGACTTCCCCCTAGATGCGAGATGAGTCCTGATTCCCTGAAGTGCATGCAGAGTATTCCCGTGATCCCCAGCAAACAAGTCAGGAGCTTCGACTTGCTTAATTGAACTCGAGAAAGTCCCCAGGAACACTGTCACAAGTCTAGACAGACCCTGAGGTCACCTCAGCAATGCAAAGCAGCTGCAAGTACCCCACATCAACTCGAGATGAGGCCCGACTCCCATGCATTGACTCCAGAGCCATCCCCAGTTCCGCATTAAACAAGACCACTGGCTTGTCTTCCTTCAGACAACTCCAGAGATGCCCCGAGAACACTGTGCCAAGACTAGAGGAACACCAACTTCAGTACAGCAACTAGAGGAATGCCCCGTGTACCACAAATCGTCTCGAGATGAGAGCTGATTCCCTGGCTTAGGCTCAAGACGTATGCCAACTTTCCAGAAGCACCTCAAGAGGAGGCTTCTCTCAGCAATAGGTATGTTCGTGGGACCCCGAGTTTGCTGCCTAAAGTGGAATATACAGCGAGAAGCCCTAACTTGAATGGAGGCCGGATTTCCTTGCAGTGTCTTGAATACAGGCTCGTATTTCATCTCACAACAGGAAGGGATGTCTGAATCCCCTGTGGAGACCATAGAGAAAGCCCTAGGTCCCTGCCTCATTTTGACGGAATGCCTCACATCCCGTTGACACCACGAGAGGCACGCGGAGTTCACTGCTTCAAAAGGTGACGATGCCTGACTCCTCTTGAATATTGATACGAATCCCAAAATCCCTGTGGCTATTGGAAAGTTTCCTTGGGTGCCCTGCCTCATCTCGAGAAGCGTCCCTTGTGCCCCGGCAAGCCTCGAAGAGATTCCTGCGCTGTCCCTCGTTACTGGAGAGGAGTCCTGACGTCACTGAATAAACACGTGTTTTGAAGGGCCATCGCCGCCGTAACTCGAGTATATACCCCAGGTCCCCGCCGCAACTCGAGAAAAACCATGAAACTTTCCCCTAGAGGCGAGATGAGGCCCGGTTCTCCTGCACTGCATGCAGAGCAATTCCGTGATCCCCATCCAACAAGTCAGGAGCTTCGACTTGCTTAATGGCTCTCGAGACATTCCCTAAGAACACTGTCACATGTCTAGACGGACCCTGAGGTATCCCCAGCAATGCAAAGCAGCTCCATGTGCCCCAAATCAACATGAGATGAGGTCCGATTCCCCTGTATTGACTCCAGAGCCATCTGCTGTTCCGCATTAAACACCACCAGTGGCTTGACCTCCTTCAGACAACTCCAGAGATGCCCCGAGAACACTGTCCCTAGTCTAGAGGAACACCTACTTTAGCACAGCAACTCGAGGAATGCTTCCTGTATGCCAAATCCTCTCAAGATGAGAGCTGATTCCCTGGCTTAGGCTCAAGACATATGCCAACTTTCCAGAAGCACTTCAAGAGGAGGCTTCTCTCAGCAATATGTATGTGGGAGGGAACCCGAGTTTGCTGCCTCAAATGGAATATACAGCGCGAAGCACTAACTAGAAAGGAGGCTGGTTTCCTAGCAGTGTCTTGAATACAGGCTCGTCTTTCATCTCACAGCAGGAAGAGATGTCTGAATCCCCTGTGGAGACTTTAGAGAAAGCCCTAGGTCCCTGCCACATTTTGACGGAATGCCTCACATCCGGTTGACACCTCGAGAGTCACGCGGAGTTCACTGCTTCAAAAGCTGACGATGCCTGATTCCTCTAAAATATTGATAGGAATCACAAAATCCCTGTGGCTATTTGAAAGGTTCCTTGGGTGCCCTGCCTCACCTCGAGAAGCGTCCCTTGTGCCTGCCAAGCCTCGAAGAGATTTTGAGCTGTCCCTCGTTACTGGACAGGAGTCCTGACGTCACTGAATAAACACGAGTTTTTAAGGGCCATCCCCGCCGTAACCCGAGTACATACCCCAGGTCCCCGTCGCAAGTCGAAAAAAACCATGAGACTTTCCCCTCGTGGCGAGATGAGGCCCGATTCTCCTGCAGTGCATGCAGAGCAATTCCGTGATCCCCATCAAACAAGTCAGGACCTTCGACTTGCTTAATGGATCTCGAGACAGTCCCCAAAAAAACTGTCACATGTCTAGACGGATCCTGCGGTCACCCCATCAACGCAAAGCAGCACCATGTGCCCCACATCAACTCGAGATAATGCCCGAATCCCCTGCATTGACTCCAGAGCCCTCCCACGTTCCACATTAAACACCACCAGTGGCTTGACTTCCTTCAGACAACTCCAGAGATGCCCTGAGAACACTGTCCCAAGTCTAGAGGAACACCATCTTCAGCACAGCAACTCGAGGAATGCTCCGTGTACCCCAAATCGTCTCGAGATGAGAGCTGATTCCCTGGCTTAGGCTCAAGACGTATGCCAACTTTCCAGAAGCACCTCAAGGGGAGGCTTCTCTCAGCAAAAGGTATGTTGGAGGGACCCCCAGTTTGCTGCCTCAAGTGGAATATGCAGCAAGAAGCCCTAACTTGAAAGGAGGCCGGGTTTCCTTGCAGTGTCTTGAATACAGGCTCGTCTTTCATCTCACAACCGGAAGGAATGTCTGAATCCCCTGTGGAGACCTTAGCGAAAGCCCTAGGTCCCTGCCTCATTTTGTCGGATTGCCTCACATCGCGTTGACACCTCGGGAGGCACACGGAGTTCACTGCTTCAAATGTGACGATGCCTGACTCCTCCTGAACATTGATAGGAATCCCAAAATCACTGTGGCTACAGGAAAGGGTTCTTGTGTGCCCTGCCTCACCTCGAGAAGCATCCCTTTTGCCCTGCCAAGGCTCGAAGAGATTCCTGAGGTGTCCCTCATTACTAGACAGGAGTCATGACGTCACTGAATAAACACGTGTTTTCAAGAGCCATGCCCGCCATAACTCGAGAACATACCCCAGGTCCCTACGCAACTCGAGAAAAACGATTAGGCTTCCCCTAGATGCGATATGAGGCTTGATTCCCTGCAGTACATGCAGAGCATTCCCGTGATCCCAATCAAGCAAGTCAGCAGCTTCAAATTGCTTAATGGATCTCGAGAGAGTCCCCAGGAACACTGTCACAAGTCTAGACAGACCGTGACATCACCCCAGCAACGCAAAGCAGCTCCAAGTACCCCACATCAACTCGAGTTGAGGCCCGATTCCCATGCATTGACTCCAGAGCTATCCCCCGTACCCCATTAAAGCACAACCAGTGGATTGATTTCCTTCAGGCAACTCCAGAGATTCCCCGAGAACACTGTCCCAAGTCTAGAGGAATACGAACTTCAGCAAAGCAACTCGAGGAATGCTCCGTGTACCCCAAATCGTTTCGAGGTGAGAGCTGATTCCATGGCTAGGCTCAAGACGTATGCCAACTTTCCAGAAGCACCTCAAGAGGAGGCTTCTCTCAGCAATCGGTATGTGGGAGGGAACCCGAGTTTGCTGCCTCAAGTGGAATATACAGTGAGAAGCCCTAACTTGAAAGGAGGCCGGATTTCCTGGCAGTGTGTTGAATACAGGCTCGTCTTTCATCTCACAACAGGAAGGGATGTCTGAATCCCCTGTGGAGACCTTAGAGAAAGCCCTAGGTCCCTGCCTCATTTTGACGGAATGTCTCACATCCCGTTGACACCTCGAGAGGCACACGGAGTTCACTGCTTCAAAATGTGACGATGCCTGACTCCTCCTGAACATTGATAGGAATCCCAAAATCACTGTAGCTACAGGACAGGGTTCTTTGGTGCCCTGCCTCACCTCGAGAAGCATCCCTTTTGCCCTGCCAAGCCTCGAAGAGATTCCTGAGGTGTCTCTCGTTACTAGACAGGAGTCCTGACGTCACTGAATAAACACGTGTTTTGAAGGGCCATCCCCGCCGTAACTCGAGAACATACCCCAATTCGCGCCGCAACTCGAGTAAAACCATGAGATTTCCCCTAGAGGCGAGATGAGGCCTGATTCCCTGCAGTCCATGAAGAGCATTCGCGTGATCCCCATCAAGCAAGTCAGGAGCTTCGACTTGCTTAATTGAACTCGAGAAAGTCCCCAGGAACACTGTCACAAGTCTAGACAGACCCTGAGGTCACCCCAGCAATGCAAAGCAGCTGCAAGTATCCCACATCAACTCGAGATGAGGCCCGATTCCCATGCATTGACTCCAGAGCCATCCCCAGTTCCCCATTAAACAAGACCACTGGCTTGTCTTCCTTCAGACAACTCCAGAGATGCCCCGAGAACACTGTCCCAAGTCTAGAGGAACACCAACTTCAGCACAGCAACTCGAGGAATGCCCCGTGTACCACAAATCGTCTCGAGATGAGAGCTGATTCCCTGGCTTAGGCTCAAGACGTATGCCAACTTTCCAGAAGCACCTCAAGAGGAGGCTTCTCTCAGCAATAGGTATGTTCGTGGGACCCCGAGTTTGCTGCCTAAAGTGGAATATACAGCGAGAAGCCCTAACTTGAATGGAAGCCGGATTTCCTTGCAGTGTCTTGTATACAGGCTCGTCTTTCATCTCACAACAGGAAGGGATGTCTGAATCCCCTGTGAAGACCTTTGAGAAAGCCCTAGGTCCCTGCCTAATTGTGACGGAATGCCTCACATCCCGTTGACACCACGAGAGGCACGCGGAGTTCACTGCTTCAAAAGGTGACGATGCCTGACTCCTCTTGAATATTGATAGGAATCCCAAAATCCCTGTGGCTATTGGAAAGGTTCCTTGGGTGCCCTGCCTCATCTCGAGAAGCGTCCCTTGTGCCCCGGCAAGCCTCGAAGAGATTCCTGAGCTGTCCCTCGTTACTGGACAGGAGTCCTGACGTCACTGAATAAACACGTGTTTTGAAGGGCCATCGCCGCCGTAACTCGAGTATATACCCCAGGTCCCCGCCGCAACTCGAGAAAAACCATGAGACTTCCGCCTAGAGGCGAGATGAGGCCCGATTCTCCTGCAGTGCATGCAGAGCAATTCCGTGATCCCCATCAAACAAGTCAGGAGCTTCGACTTGCTTAATGGATCTCGAGACATTCCCCAAGAACACTGTCACATGTCTAGACGGACCCTGAGGTATCCCCAGCAAAGCAAAGCAGCTCCATGTGCCCCAAATCAACTTGAGATGAGGTCCGATTCCACTGCATTGACTCCAGAGCCATCTGCCGTTCCACATTAAACACCACCAGTGGCTTGACCTCCTTCAGACAACTCCAGAGATGCCCCGAGAACACTGTCCCAAGTCTAGAGGAACACCTACTTTAGCACAGCAACTCGAGGAATGCTTCCTGAATGCCAAATCTTCTCGAGTTGAGAGCTGATTTCCTGGCTTAGGCTCAAGATGTATGCCAACTTTCCAGAAGCACCTCAAGAGGAGGCTTCTCTCAGCAATAGGTATGTGGGAGGGAACCCGAGTTTGCTGCCTCAAATGGAATATACAGCGAGAAGCACTAACTAGAATGGAGGCCGGTTTCTTAGCAGTGTCTTGAATACAGCCTCGTCTTTCATCTCACAGCAGGAAGAGATGTCTGAATCCCCTGTGGAGACCTTACAGAAAGCCCTAGGTCCCTGCCTCATTTTGACGGAATGCCTCACATCCGGTTGACACCTCGAGAGTCACGCGGAGTTCACTGCTTCAAAAGCTGACGATGCCTGACTCCTCCTGAACATTGATAGGAATCCCAAAATCACTGTAGCTACAGGACAGGGTTCTTGGGTGCCCTGCCTCACCTCGAGAAGCATCCCTTTTGCCCTGCCAAGCCTCGAAGAGATTCCTGAGCTGTCCCTCGTTACTGGACAGGAGTCCTGACGTCACTGAATAAACACGAGTTTTTAAGGGCCATCCCCGCCGTAACCCGTGTACATACCCCAGGTCCCTGCCGCAAGTCAAGAAAAACCATGAGACTTTCCCCTAGTGGCGAGATGAGGCCCGATTCTCCTGCAGTGCATGCAGAGCAATTCCATGATCCCCATCAAACAAGTCAGGACCTTCGTCTTGCTTAATGGATCTCGAGACAGTCCCCAAGAATACTATCACATGTCTAGTTGGATCCTGAGGTCACCCCATCAACGCAAAGCAGCACCATGTGCCCCACATCAACTCGAGATAATGCCCGATTCCCCTGCATTGACTCCAGAGCCATCCCCCGTTCCAGATTAAACAAAACCAGTGGCTTGACTTCCTTCAGACAACTCCAGGGATGCCCTGAGAACACTCTCCCAAGTCTAGAGGAACACCATCTTCAGCACAGCAACTCGAGGAATGCTCTGTGTACCCCAAATCGTCTCGAGATGAGAGCTGATTACCTGGCTTATGCTCAAGACGTATGCCAACTTTCCAGAAGCACCTCAAGGGGAGGCTTCTCTCAGCAATAGTTATGTTGGAGGGACCCCCAGTTTGCTGCCTCAAGTGGAATATGCAACGAGAAGCCCTAACTTGAAAGGAGGGCGGGTTTCCTTGCAGTGTCTTGAATACAGGCTCGTCTTTCATCTCACAACCGGAAGGATTGTCTGAATCCCCTGTGGAGACCTTAGCGAAAGCCCTAGGTCCCTGCCTCATTTTGACGGATTGCCTCACAGCCCGTTGACACCTCGGGAGGCACACGGAGTTCACTGCTTCAAATGTGACGATGCCTGACCCCTCCTGATCATTGATAGGAATCCCAAAATCACTGTGGCTACAGGAAAGGGTTCTTGTGTGCCCTGCCTCACCTCAAGAAGCATCCCTTTTGCCCTGCCAAGCCTCGAAGAGATTCCTGAGGTGTCCCTCATTACTAGACAGGAGTCATGACGTCACTGAATAAACACGTGTTTTCAAGGGCCATGCCCGCCATAACTCGAGAACATACCCCAGGTCCCGCCGCAACTCGAGAAAAACCATGAGACTTCCCCTAGATGCGAGATGAGGGCTGATTCCCTGCAGTCCATGCAGAGCATTCCCGTAATCCCAATCAAGCAAGTCAGCAGCTTCGAATTTCTTAATGGATCTCGAGATTGTCCCCAGGAACACTGTCACAAGTCTAGACAGATCCTGACATCACCCCAGCAGCGCAAAGCAGCACCAAGTACCCCATATCAACTCGCGTTGAGGCCCGATTCCCATGCATTGACTCCAGAGCCATCCCCCGTACCCCATTAAACACCACCAGTGGCTTGACTTCCTTCAGGCAATTCCAGAGATGCCCCGAGAACACTGTCCCAAGTCTAGAGGAATACGAACTTCAGCACAGCAACTCGAGGAATGCTCCGTGTATCCCAAATCGTTTCGAGGTGAGAGCTGATTCCATGGCTTAGGCTCAAGACGGATGCCAACTTTCCAGAAGCCCCTCAAGAGGAGGATTCTCTCAGCAATAGGTATGTTGGAGGGACGCCCACTTTGCTGCCTCAAGTGGAATATACAGCGAGAAGCCCTAACTTGAAAGGAGGCCGGATTTCCTTGCAGTGTCTTGAATACAGGCTCGTCTTTCATCTCACAACCGGAAGGGATGTCTGAATCCCCTGTGGAGAACTTAGAGAAAGCCCTAGGTCCCTGCCTCATTTTGACGGATTGCCTCACATCCCGTTGACACCTCGAGAGGCACGCGGAGTTCACTGCTTCAAAAGTTGATGCTGCCTGACTCGTCTTGAATATTGATAGGAATCCCAAAATCCCTGTGGCTATTTGAAAGGTTCCTTGGGTGTCCTGCCTCACCTCGAGAAGCGTCCCTTGTGCCTGCCAAGCCTCGAAGAGATTCCTGAGCTGTCCCTCGTTACTGGACAGGAGTCCTGACGTCACTGAATAAACAGGAGTTTTTAAGGGCCATCCCCGCTGTAACCCGAGTACATACCCCAGGTCCCCGCCGCAAGTCGAGAAAAACCATGAGACTTTCCCCTAGTGGCGAGATGAGGCCCGATTCTCCTGCAGTGCATGCAGAGCAATTCCGTGATCCCCATCAAACAAGTCAGGACCTTCGACTTGCTTAATGGATCTCGAGACAGTCCCCAAGAATACTGTCACATGTCTAGACGGATCCTGAGGTCACCCCATCAACGCAAAGCAGCACTATGTGCCCCACATCAACTCGAGATAATGCCCGATTCCCCTGCATTGACTCCAGAGCCATCCCCCGTTCCACATTAAACACCACCAGTGGCTTGACTTCCTTCAGACAACTCAAGAGATGCCCTGAGAACACTGTCCCAAGTCTAGAGGAACACCATCTTCAGCACAGCAACTCGAGGAATGCTCCGTGTACCTCAAATCGTCTGGAGATGAGAGCTGATTCCCTGGCTTAGGCTCAAGACGTATGCCAACTTTCCAGAAGCACCTCAAGGGGAGGCTTCTCTCAGCAATAGGTATGTTGGAGGGACCCCCAGTTTGCTGCCTCAAGTGGAATATGCAGCGAGAAGCCCTAACTTGAAAGGAGGCCGGGTTTCCTTGCAGTGTCTTGAATACAGGCTCGTCTTTCATCTCACAATGGGAAGGAATGTCTGAATCCCCTGTGGAGACCTTAGCGAAAGCCCTAGGTCCCTGCCTCATTTTGACGGATTGCCTCACATCCCGTTGACACCTGGAGAGGCACCCGGAGTTCACTGCTTCAAATGTGACGATGCCTGACTCCTCCTGAACATTGATAGGAATCCCAAAATCACTGTGGCTACAGGAAACGGTTCTTGTGTGCCCTGCCTCACCTCGAGAAGCATCCCTTTTGCCCTGCCAAGGCTCGAAAAGGTTCCTGAGGTGTCCCTCATTACTAGACAGGAGTCATGACGTCACTTAAAAAACACGTGTTTTCAAGGGCCAAGCCCGCCATAACTCGAGAACATACCCCACGTACCGCCGCGACTCGAGAAAAACCATGAGACTTCCCCTAGATGCGATATGAGGCCTGATTCCCTGCAGTCCATGCAGAGCATTCCCGTGATCCCAATCAAGCAAGTCAGCAGCTTCGAATTGCTTAATGGATCTCGAGAGAGTCCCCAGGAACACTGTCACAAGTCTAGACAGACCCTGACATCACCCCAGCAAAGCAAAGCAGGTCCAAGTACCCCACATCACCTCGAGTTGAGGCCGGATTCCCATGCATTGACTCCAGAGCCATCCCCCGTTCCACATTAAACACGACCAGTAGCTTGACTTCCTTCAGGCAACTTCAGAGACGCCCTGAGAACACTGTCCCAAGTCTAGAGAAACACCATCTTCAGCACAGCAACTCGAGGAATGCTCCGTGTACCCCAAATTGTCTCGAGATGAGAGCTGATTCCCTGGCTTAGGCTCAAGACGTATGCCAACTTTCCAGAAGCACCTCAAGTGGAGACTTCTCTCAGCAATAGGTATGTTGGAGGGACCCCCAGTTTGCTGCCTCAAGAGGAATATACAGCGAAAAGCCCTAACTTGAAAGGAGGACGGATTTCCTTGCAGTGGCTTGAATACAGGCTCGTCTTTCATCTCACAGCATGAAGGGATGTCTGAAACCCCTGTGGAGACCTTAGAGAAAGCTCTAGGTCCCTGCCTCATTTTGAGGGAATGCCTCACATCCCGTTGTCACCTCGAGAGGCACGCGGAGTTCACTGCTTCAAAAGGTGATGATGCCTCACTCGTCTTGAATATTGATAGGAATCAAAAAATCACTGTGGCTACTGGAAAGGGTCCTTGGGTGCCCTGCCTCACCTCGAGAAGCATACCTTTTGACCTGCCAAGCCTCGAAGAGATTCCTGAGGTTTCCCTTATTACTAGACCGGAGTCCTGACGGCACTGAATAAACAGGTGTTTTGAAGGGCCATCCCCGCCGTAACTCGAGAAGATACACCAGGTCCCCAGCGCAACTTGAGAGAAACCATGAGACTTCCCCCAAGATGCGAGATGAGTCCTGATTCCCTGCAGTGCATGCAGGGTATTCCCGTGATCCCCATCAAACAAGTCAGGAGCTTCGACTTGCTTAATGGATCTCGAGACAGTCCCCAAGAACACTGTCACAAGTCTAGACGGACCCTGAGGTCACCCCAGCAACGTAAAACAGCTCCATGTGCCCCAAATCAACCCGAAATGTGGCCCAATTCCCCTGCATTGACTCCAGAGCCATCCCCAGTTCCCCATTAAACAAGACCACTGGCTTGACTTCCTTCAGGCAACTCCAGAGATGCCCCGAGAACACTGTCCCAAGACTAGAAGAACACCAACTTCAGCACAGCAACTCGAGGAATGCTCCGTGTACCACAAATTGTCTCGAGATGAGAGCTGAATCGCTGGCTTAGGCTCAAGACGTATGCCAACTTTCCAGAAGCACCTCAAGAGGAGGCTTCTCTCAGCAATAGGTATGTTCGAGGGACCCCGAGTTTGCTGCCTCAAGTGGAATATATAGCGAGAAGCCCTAATTTGAAAGGAGGCCGGATTTCCTTGCAGTGGCTTGAATACAGGATCGTCTTTCATCTCACAGCATGAAGGGATGTCTGAATCCCCTGTGGAGACCTTAGAGAAAGCTCTAGGTCCCTGCCTCATTTTGACGGAATGCCTCACATCCCGTTGTCACCTCGAGAGGCAAGCGGAGTTCAGTGCTTCAAAATGTGACGATGCCTGACTCCTCTTGAATATTGATAGGAATCCCAAAATCCATGTGGCTATCGGAAAGGTTACTTGGGTACCCTGCCTCACCTTGAGAAGCGTCCCTTGTGCACTGCCAAGCCTCGAAGAGATTCCAGAGCTGCCCCTCGTTACTGGACAGGAGTCCTGACGTCACTGAATAAACACGAGTTTTGAAGAGCCATCCCCGTCGTAACCCGAGTACATACCCCAGGTCCCCGCCGCAAGTCGAGAAAAACCATAAGACTTTCCCCTATAGGCGAGATGAGGCCCGATTCTCCTGCAGTGCATGCAGAGCAATTCCGTGATCCCCATCAAACAAGTCAGGACCTTCGACTTGCTTAATGGATCTCGAGACATTCCCCAAGAATACTGTCACATGTCTAGACGGATCCTGAGGTCACCCCATCAACGCAAAGCAGCACAATGTGCCCCAAATCAACTCGGGATGATGGCAGATTCCCCTGCATTGACCCTAGAGCCATCCCCCTTTCCCCATTAAACACGACTAGTGGCTTGACTTCCTTCAGGCAACTCCAGAGATGCCCCGAGAACACTGTCCCAAGTCTAGAGGAACACCAACTTCAGCACAGCAACTCGAGGAATGCGCCGTGTACCCCAAATCGTCTCGAGATGAGAGCTGATTCCCTGGCTTAGGTTCAAGACGTATGCCAACTTTCCAGAAGCACCTCAAGCAGAGGATTCTCTCAGCAATAGGTATGTTGGAGGGACCTCCACTTTGCTGCCTCAAGTGGAATATACAGCGAGAAGCCCTAACTTGAAAGGAGGCCCGGTTTCCTTGCAGTGTCTTGAATACAGGCTCGTCTTTCATCTCACAGCATGAAGGAATGTCTGAATCCCCTGTGGAGACCTTAGAGAAAGCCCTAGGTCCCTGCCTCATTTTGACGGAATGTCTCACATCCCGTTGACACCTCGAGAGGCACACGGAGTTCACTGCTTCAAAATTTGACGATGCCTGACTCCTCCTGAACATTGATAGGAATCCCAAAATCACTGTAGCTACAGGACAGGGTTCTTGGGTGCCCTGCCTCACCTCGAGAAGCATCCCTTTTGCCCTGCCAAGCCTCGAAGAGATTCCGGAGGTGTCTCTCATTACTAGACAGGAGTCCTGACGTCACTGAATAAACACGTGTTTTGAAGGGCCATCCCCGCCGTAACTCGAGAACATACCCCAGTTCGCGCCGCAACTCGAGTAAAACCATGAGACTTCCCCTAGAGGCGAGATGAGGCCTGATTCCCTGAAGTCCATGAAGAGCATTCCCGTGATCCCCATCAAACAAGTCAGGAGCTTCGACTTGCTTAATGGATCTCCAGAGAGTCCCAAGGAACACTGTCACAAGTCTAGACAGACCCTGAGGTCACCGCAGCAATGCAAAGCAGCTGCAAGTACCCCACATCAACTCGAGATGAGGCCCAATTCCCATGCATTGACTCCAGAGCCATCCCCCGTACCCCATTAAACACAACCATTGGCTTGACTTCCTTCCGGCAACACCAGAGATGCCCCAAGAACACTGTCCCAAGTCTAGAGGAATACGAACTTCAGCACAGCAACTCGAGGAATGCTCCGTGTACCCCAAATCGTTTCGAGGTGAGAGCTGATTCCATGGCTTAGGCTCAAGACGTATGCCAACTTTCCAGAAGCCCCTCAAGAGGAGGCTTCTCTCAGCAATAGGTATGTGGGAGGGACCCCGAGTTTGCTGCCTCAAGTGGAATATACACCCAGAAGCCCTAACTTGAAAGGAGGCCGGATTTCCTTGCAGTGGCTTGAATACAGGCTCGTCTTTCATCTCACAGCATGAAGGGGTGTCTGAAGCCCCTGTGTAGACCTTAGAGAAAGCTCTAGGTCCCTGCCTCATTTTGACGGAATGCCTCACATCCCATTGACACCTCGAGAGGCACGCGGAGTTCACTGCTTCAAAAGGTGATGATGCCTGACTCGTCTTGAATATTGATAGGAATCCCAAAATCACTGTGGCTACTGGAAAGGGTCCTTGGGTGCCCTGCCTCTCCTCGAGAAGCATACCTTTTGACCTGCCAAGCCTCGAAGATATTCCTGAGGTGTCCCTCGTTACTAGACAGGAGTCCTGACGGCACTGAATAAACACGGGTTTTGAGGGGCCATCCCCGCCGTAACTCGAGAAGATTCCCCAGGTCCCCCGCGCAACTTGAGAGAAACCGTGAGACTTCCCCCTAGATGTGAGATGAGTCCTGATTCCCTGCAGTGCATGCAGAGTATTCCCGTGATCCCCAGCAAACAAGTCAGGAGCTTCGACTTGCTTAATTGAACTCGAGAAAGTCCCCAGGAACACTGTCACAAGTCTAGACAGACCCTGAGGTCACCTCAGCAATGCAAAGCAGCTGCAAGTACCCCACATCAACTCGAGATGAGGCCCGATTCCCATGCATTGACTCCAGAGCCATCCCCAGTTCCCCATTAAACAAGACCACTGGCTTGTCTTCCTTCAGACAACTCCAGAGATGCCCCGAGAACACTGTGCCAAGACTAGAGGAACACCAACTTCAGTACAGCAACTAGAGGAATGCCCCGTGTACCACAAATCGTCTCGAGATGAGAGCTGATTCCCTGGCTTAGGCTCAAGACGTATGCCAACTTTCCAGAAGCACCTCAAGAGGAGGCTTCTCTCAGCAATAGGAATGTTCGTGGGACCCCGAGTTTGCTGCCTAAAGTGGAATATACAGCGAGAAGCCCTAACTTGAATGGAGGCCGGATTTCCTTGCAGTGTCTTGAATACAGGCTCGTATTTCATCTCACAACAGGAAGGGATGTCTGAATCCCCTGTGGAGACCATAGAGAAAGCCCTAGGTCCCTGCCTCATTTTGACGGAATGCCTCACATCCCGTTGACACCACGAGAGGCACGCGGAGTTCACTGCTTCAAAAGGTGACGATGCCTGACTCCTCTTGAATATTGATAGGAATCCCAAAATCCCTGTGGCTATTGGAAAGGTTCCTTGGGTGCCCTGCCTCATCTCGAGAAGCGTCCCTTGTGCCCCGGCAAGCCTCGAAGAGATTCCTGAGCTGTCCCTCGTTACTGGAGAGGAGTCCTGACGTCACTGAATAAACACGTGTTTTGAAGGGCCATCGCCGCCGTAACTCGAGTATATACCCCAGGTCCCCGCCGCAACTCGAGAAAAACCATGAAACTTTCCCCTAGAGGCGAGATGAGGCCCGATTCTCCTGCATTGCATGCAGAGCAATTCCGTGATCCCCATCCAACAAGTCAGGAGCTTCGACTTGCTTAATGGATCTCGAGACATTTCCCAAGAACACTGTCACATGTCTAGACGGACCCTGAGGTATCCCCAGCAACGCAAAGCAGCTCCATGTGCCCCAAATCAACATGAGATGAGGTCCGATTCCCCTGTATTGACTCCAGAGCCATCTGCTGTTCCGCATTAAACACCACCAGTGGCTTGACCTCCTTCAGACAACTCCAGAGATTCCCCGAGAACACTGTCCCTAGTCTAGAGGAACACCTACTTTAGCACAGCAACTCGAGGAATGCTTCCTGTATGCCAAATCTTCTCGAGATGAGAGCTGATTCCCTGGCTTAGGCTCAAGACGTATGCCAACTTTCCAGAAGCACTTCAAGAGGAGGCTTCTCTCAGCAATAGGTATGTGGGAGGGAACCCGAGTTTGCTGCCTCAAATGTGACGATGCCTGACTCCTCCTGAACATTGATAGGAATCCCAAAATCACTGTGGCTACAGGAAAGGGTTCTTGTGTGCCCTGCCTCACCTCGAGAAGCATCCCTTTTGCCCTGCCAAGGCTCGAAGAGATTCCTGAGGTGTCCCTCATTACTAGAGAGGAGTCATGACGTCACTGAATAAACACGTGTTTTCAAGGGCCATGCCCGCCATAACTCGAGAACATACCCCAGGTACCGACGCAACTCGAGAAAAACGATGAGGCTTCCCCTAGATGCGATATGAGGCTTGATTCCCTGCAGTACATGCAGAGCATTCCCGTGATCCCAATCAAGCAAGTCAGCAGCTTCAAATTGCTTAATGGATCTCGAGAGAGTCCATAGGAACACTGTCACAAGTCTAGACAGACCGTGACATCACCTCAGCAACGCAAAGCAGCCCCAAGTACCCGACATCAACTCGAGTTGAGGCCCGATTCCCATGCATTGACTCCAGAGCTATCCCCCGTACACCATTAAAGCACAACCAGTGGATTGATTTCCTTCAGGCAACTCCAGAGATGCCTCGAGAACACTGTCCCAAGTCTAGAGGAATACGAACTTCAGCAAAGCAACTCGAGGAATGCTCCGTGTACCCCAAATCGTTTCGAGGTGAGAGCTGATTCCATGGCTAGGCTCAAGACGTATGCCAACTTTCCAGAAGCCCCTCAAGAGGAGGCTTCTCTCAGCAATAGGTATGTGGGAGGGACCCCGAGTTTGCTGCCTCAAGTGGAATATACAGCGAGAAGCCCTAACTTGAAAGGAGGCCGGATTTCCTTGCAGTGGCTTGAATACAGGCTCGTCTTTCATCTCACAGCATGAAGGGATGTCTGAATCCCCTGTGGAGACCTTAGAGAAAGCTCTAGGTACCTGCCTCATTTTGACGGAATGCCTCACATCCTGTTGACACTTCGAGAGGCACGCGGAGTTCACTGCTTCAAAAGGTGATGATGCCTCACTCGTCTTGAATATTGATAGGAATCCCAAAATCACTGTGGCTACTGGAAAGGGTCCTTGGGTGCCCTGCATCACCTCGAGAAGCATACCTTTTACCTGCCAAGAATCGAAGAGATTCCTGAGGTGTGCCTCGTTACTAGACAGGAGTCCTGACGGCACTGAATAAACACGTGTTTTGAAGGGCCATCCCCGCTGTAACTCGAGAAGATACCCCATGTCCCCCGCAACTTGAGAGAAACCATGAGACTTCCCCGTAGATGCGAGATGAGTCCTGATTCCCTGCAGTGCATGCAGAGTATTCCCGTGATCCCCATAAAACAAGTCAGGTGCTTCGAATTGCTTAATGGATCTCGAGACAATCCCCAAGAACACTGTCACAAGTCTAGACGGACCCTGAGGTCACGCCAGCAACGCAAAGCAGCTCCATGTGCCCCAAATCAACCCGAGATGTGGCCCGATTCCCCTGCATTGACTCCAGAGCCATCCCCAGTTCCCCATTAAACAAGACAACTGGCAAGACTTCCTTCATGCAACTCCAGAGATGCCCTGAGAACACTGTCCCAAGTCTAGAGGAACACCAACTTCAGCACAGCAACTCGAGGAATGCTCCGTGTACCACAAATCGTCTCGAGATGAGAGCTGAATCCCTGGCTTAGGCTCAAGACGTATGCCAACTTTCCAGAAGCACCTCAAGAGGAGGATTCTCTCAGCAATAGGTATGTTGGAGGGACCCCGAGTTTGCTGCATCAAGTGGAATATACAGCGAGAAGCCCTAACTTGAAAGGAGGCCGGATTTCCTTGCAGTGGCTTGAATACAGGCTCGTCTTTCATCTCACAGAATGAAGGGGTGTCTGAATCCCCTGTGGAGGCCTTAGAGAAAGCTATAGGTCCCTACGTCATTTTGAAGGAATGCCTCACATCCCGTTGTCACCTTCAGAGGCACGCGGAGTTCACTGCTTCAAAAGGTGACGATGCCTGACTCCTCTAAAATATTTATAGGAATCCCAAAATCCCTGTGGCTATTGGGAACGTTCCTTGGGTGCCCTGCCTCAAGTGGAGAAGCGTCCCTTGTGCCCTGCCAAGCTTCGATGAGATTCCTGAGCTGTCTCTCGTTACTGGACAGGAGTTCTGACGTCACTGAATAAACACGAGTTTTGAAGGCCATCCCCGCCGTACCCCGAGTACATACCCCAGGTCCCCGCCGCAAGTCGAGAAAAACCATGAGACTTTCCCCTAGAGGCGAGATGAGGCCCGATTCTCCTGCAGTGCATGCAGAGCAATTCCGTGATCCCCATCAAACAAGTCAGAAGCTTCGACTTGCTTAATGGATCTCGAGAGAGTCCCCAAGAACACTGTCACATGTCTAGACGGATCCTGAGGTCACCCCATCAAGGCAAAGCAGCACCATGTGCCCCAAATCAACTCGAGATAATGCCCGATTCCCCTGCATTGACTCCAGAGCCATCCCCCGTTCCACATTAAACACGACCAGTGGCTTGACTTCCTTCAGGCAACTGCAGAGACGCCCTGAAAACACTGTGCCAAGTCTAGAGGAACACCATCTTCAGCACAGCAACTCGAGGAATGCTCCGTGTACCCCAAATCGTCTCGAGATGAGAGCTGATTCCCTGGCTTAGGCTCAAGACGTATGCCAACTTTCCAGAAGCACCTCAAGGGGAGCTATCTCTCAGCAATAGGTATGTTGGAGGGACCCCCAGTTTGCTGCCTCAAAAGGAATATACAGCGAGAAGCCCTAACTTGAAAGGAGGCCGGATTTCCTTGCAGTGTCTTGAATACAGGCTCGTCTTTCATCTCACAACCGGAAGGAATGTCTGAATCCTCTGTGGAGACCTTAGAGAAAGCGCTAGGTCCCTGCCTCATTTTGAAGGAATGTCTCACATGCCGTTGACACCTCGAGAGGCACACAGAGTTCACTGCTTCAAAATGTGATGATGCCTGACCCCTCTTGAACATTGATAGGAATCCCAAAATCACTTTAGCTACAGGACAGGGTTCTTTGGTGCCATGCCTCACCTCGAGAAGCATCCCTTTGCCTGCCAAGCCTCGAAGAGATTCCTGAGGTGTCTCTCGTTACTAGACAGGAGTCCTGACGTCACTGAATAAACACGTGTTTTGAAGGGCCATCCCCGCCGTAACTCGAGAACATACCCCAGGTCCCGCCGCAACTCGAGAAAAACCATGAGACTTCCCCTAGATGCGAGATGACGTCTGATTCCCTGCAGTCCATGCAGAGCAGTCCCGTGATCCCCATCAAGCAAGTCAGGAGCTTCGACTTGCTTAATGGATCTCCAGAGAGTCCCCAGGAACACTGTCACAAGTCTAGACAGACCCTGAGGTCACCCCAGCAATGCAAAGCAGCTCCAAGTGCCCCACATCAACTCGAGATGAGGCCTGATTCTCCGGTATTGACTCAAGAGCCATCCCCCGTACCCCATTAAACACCAACACTGGCTTGACTTCATTCAGGCAACTCCAGAGATGCCCCAAGAACACTGTTCCAAGTCTAGAGGAACACCAACTTCAGCACAGCAACTCGAGGAATGCTCCGTGTACCCCAAATCGTTCTGAGGTGAGAGCTGATTCCCTGGCTTAGGCTCAAGACGTATAACAACTTTCCAGAAGCACCTCAAGAGGAGGCTTCTCTCAGCAATCGGTATGTGGGAGGGAACCCAAGTTTGCTGCCTCAAGTGGAATATACAGTGAGAAGCCCTAACTTGAAAGGAGGCCGGATTTCCTGGCAGTGTGTTGAATACAGGCTCGTCTTTCATCTCACAACAGGAAGGGATGTCTGAATCCCCTGTGGAGACCTTAGAGAAAGCCCTAGGTCCCTGCCTCATTTTGACGGAATGTCTCACATCCCGTTGACACCTCGAGAGGCATACGGATTTCACTGCTTCAAAATGTGACGATGCCTGACTCCTCCTGAACATTGATAGGAATCCCAAAATCACTGTAGCTACAGGACAGGGTTCTTTGGTGCCCTGCCTCACCTCGAGAAGCATCCCTTTTGCGCTGCCAAGCCTCGAAGAGATTCCTGAGGTGTCTCTCGTTACTAGACAGGAGTCCTGACGTCACTGAATAAACACGTGTTTTGAAGGGCCATCCCCGCCGTAACTCGAGAACATACCCCAGTTCGCGCCGCAACTCGAGTAAAACCATGAGATTTCCCCTAGAGGCGAGATGAGGCCTGATTCCCTGCAGTCCATGAAGAGCATTCACGTGATCCCCATCAAGCAAGTCAGGAGCTTCGACTTGCTTAATTGAACTCGAGAAAGTCCCCAGGAACACTGTCACAAGTCTAGACAGACCCTGAGGTCACCCCAGCAATGCAAAGCAGCTGCAAGTACCCCACATCAACTCGAGATGAGGCCCGATTCCCATGCATTGACTCCAGAGCCATCCCCAGTTCCCCATTAAACAAGACCACTGGCTTGTCTTCCTTCAGACAACTCCAGAGATGCCCCGAGAACACTGTCCCAAGACTAGAGGAACACCAACTTCAGCACAGCAACTCGAGGAATGCACCGTGTACCACAAATCGTCTCGAGATGAGAGCTGATTCCCTGGCTTAGGCTCAAGACGTATGCCAACTTTCCAGAAGCACCTCAAGAGGAGGCTTCTCTCAGCAATAGGTATGTTCGTGGGACCCCGAGTTTGCTGCCTAAAGTGGAATATACAGCGAGAAGCCCTAACTTGAATGGAGGCCGGATTTCCTTGCAGTGTCTTGTATACAGGCTCGTCTTTCATCTCACAACAGGAAGGGATGTCTGAATCCCCTGTGAAGACCTTTGAGAAAGCCCTAGGTCCCTGCCTCATTGTGACGGAATGCCTCACATCCCGTTGACACCACGAGAGGCATGCGGAGTTCACTGCTTCAAAAGGTGACGATGCCTGACTCCTCTTGAATATTGATAGGAATCCCAAAATCCCTGTGGCTATTGGAAAGGTTCCTTGGGTGCCCTGCCTCATCTCGAGAAGCGTCCCTTGTGCCCCGGCAAGCCTCGAAGAGATTCCTGAGCTGTCCCTCGTTACTGGACAGGAGTCCTGACGTCACTGAATAAACACGTGTTTTGAAGGGCCATCGCCGCCGTAACTCGAGTATATACCCCAGGTCCCCGCCGCAACTCGAGAAAAACCATGAGACTTCCGCCTAGAGGCGAGATGAGGCCCGATTCTCCTGCAGTGCATGCAGAGCAATTCCGTGATCCCCATCAAACAAGTCAGGAGCTTCGACTTGCTTAATGGATCTCGAGACATTCCCCAAGAACACTGTCACATGTCTAGACGGACCCTGAGGTATCCCCAGCAACGCAAAGCAGCTCCATGTGCCCCAAATCAACTTGAGATGAGGTCCGATTCCCCTGCATTGACTGCAGAGCCATCCCCCGTTCCACATTAAACACCACCAGTGGCTTGACTTATTTCAGACAACTCCAGAGATGCCCTGAGAACACTTTCCCAAGTCTAGAGGAACACCATCTTCAGCACAGCAACTCGAGGAATGCTCCGTGTACCCCAAATCGTCTGGAGATGAGAGCTGATTCCCTGGCTTAGGCTCAAGACGTATGCCAACTTTCCAGAAGCACCTCAAGTGGAGGCTTCTCTCAGCAATAGGTATGTTGGAGGGACCCCCAGTTTGCTGCCTCAAGTGGAATATGCAGCGAGAAGCCCTAACTTGAAAGGAGGCCGGGTTTCCTTGCAGTGTCTTGAATACAGGCTCGTCTTTCATCTCACAACGGGAAGGAATGTCTGAATCCCCTGTGGAGACCTTAGCGAAAGCCCTAGGTCCCTGCCTCATTTTGACGGATTGCCTCACATCCCGTTGACACCTCGAGAGGCACCCGGAGTTCACTGCTTCAAATGTGACGATGCCTGACTCCTCCTGAACATTGATAGGAATCCCAAAATCACTGTGGCTACAGGAAAGGGTTCTTGTGTGCCCTGCCTCACCTCGAGAAGCATCCCTTTTCCCTGCCAAGGCTCAAAAAGATTCCTGAGTTGTCCCTCATTACTAGACAGGAGTCATGACGTCACTGAATAAACACGTGTTTTCAAGGGCCATGCCCGCCATAACTCGAGAACATACCCCACGTACCGCCGCGACTCGAGAAAAACCATGAGACTTCCCCTAGATGCGATATGAGGCCTGATTCACTGCAGTCCATGCAGAGCATTCCCGTGATCCCAATCAAGCAAGTCAGCAGCTTCGAATTGCTTAATGGATCTCGAGAGAGTCCCCAGGAACACTGTCACAAGTCTAGACAGACCCTGACATCACCCCAGCAAAGCAAAGCAGGTCCAAGTACCCCACATCACCTCGAGTTGAGGCCCGATTCCCATGCATTGACTCCAGAGCCATCCCCCGTTCCACATTAAACACGACCAGTAGCTTGACTTCCTTCAGGCAACTCCAGAGACGCCCTGAGAACACTGTCCCAAGTCTAGAGATACACCATCTTCAGCACAGCAACTCAAGGAATGCTCCGTGTACCCCAAATCATCTCGAGATGAGAGCTGATTCCCTGGTTTAGGCTCAAGACGTATGCCCACTTTCCAGAAGCACCTCAAGGGGAGACTTCTCTCAGCAATAGGTATGTTGGAGGGACCCCCAGTTTGCTGCCTCAAGAGGAATATACAGCGAAAAGCCCTAACTTGAAAGGAGGCCGGATTTCCTTGCAGTGTCTTGAATACAGGCTCGTCTTTCATCTCACAACCGGAAGGAATGTCTGAATCCTCTGTGGAGACCTTAGAGAAAGCCCTAGGTCCCTGCCTCATTTTGAAGGAATGTCTCACATCCCGTTGACACCTCGAGAGGCACACGGAGTTCACTGCTTCAAAATGTGATGATGCCTGACTCCTCTTGAACATTGATAGGAATCCCTAAATCACTGTAGCTACAGGACAGCGTTCTTGGGTGCCCTGCCTCACCTCGAGAAGCATCCCTTTTGCCTGCCAAGCCTCGAAGAGATTCCTGAGGTGTCTCTCGTTACTAGACAGGAGTCCTGACGTCACTGAATAAACACATGTTTTGAAGGGCCATCCCCGCCATAACTCAAGAACATACCCCAGGTCCCGCCGCAACTCGAGAAAAACCATGAGACTTCCCCTAGATGCGATATGAGGCCTGATTCCCTGCAGTCCATGCAGAGCATTCCCATGATCCCCATCAAGCAAGTCAGGAGCTTCGACTTCCTTAATCGAACTCGAGAAAGTCCCCAGGAACACTGTCACAAGACTAGACAGACCCTGAGGTCACCCCAGCAATGTAAAGCAGCTCCAAGTACCCCACATCAACTCGCGATGAGGCCCGATTCCCCTGCATTGACTCCAGAGCCATCCCCCGTACCACATTAAACACCACCAGTGGCTTGACTTCCTTCAGGCAACTCCAGAGATGCCCTGAGAACACTGTCCCAAGTCTAGAGGAATACGAACTTCAGCACAGCAACTCGAGGAATGCTCCGTGTACCCCAAATCGTTTCGAGGTGAGAGCTGATTCCATGGCTTAGGCTCAAGACGTATGCCAACTTTCCAGAAGCACCTCAAGAGGAGGCTTCTCTCAGCAGTAGGTATGTGGGAGGGACCCCGAGTTTGCTGCCTCAAGTGGAATATACAGCGAGAAGCCCTAACTAGAAAGGAGGACGGATTTCCTTGCAGTGGCTTGAATACAGGCTCGTCTTTCATCTCACAGCATGAAGGGATGTCTGAAACCCCTGTGGAGACCTTAGAGAAAGCTCTAGGTCCCTGCCTCATTTTGAGGGAATGCCTCACATCCCGTTGTCAATTCGAGAGGCACGCGGAGTTCACTGCTTCAAAAGGTGACGATGCCTGACTCGTCTTGAATATTGATAGGAATCAAAAAATCACTGTGGCTACTGGAAAGGGTCCTTGGGTGCCCTGCCTCACCTCGAGAAGCATACCTTTTGAACTGCCAAGCCTCGAAGAGATTCCTGAGTTTTCCCTTGTTACTAGACAGGAGTCCTGACGGCACTGAATAAACACGTGTTTTGAAGGGCCATCCCCGCCGTAACTCGAGAAGATACACCAGGTCCCCAGCGCAACTTGAGAGAAACCATGAGACTTCCCCCAAGATGCGAGATGAGTCCTGATTCCCTGCAGTGCATGCAGGGTATTCCCGTGATCCCCATCAAACAAGTCAGGAGCTTCGACTTGCTTAATGGATCTCGAGACAGTCCCCAAGAACACTGTCACATGTCTAGACGGATCCTGAGGTCACCCCATCAACGCAAAGCAGCACAATGTGCCCCAAATCAACTCGGGATGATGGCAGATTCCCCTGCATTTACCCTAGAGCCATCCCCCGTTCCCCATTAAACACGACTAGTGGCTTGACTTCCTTCAGGCAACTCCAGAGATGCCCCGAGAACACTGTGCCAAGTCTAGAGGAACAACAACTTCAGTACAGCAACTAGAGGAATGCCCCGTGTACCACAAATCGTCTCGAGATGAGAGCTGATTCCCTGGCTTAGGCTCAAGACGTATGCCAACTTTCCAGAAGCACCTCAAGAGGAGGCTTCTCTCAGCAATAGGTATGTTCGTGGGACCCCGAGTTTGCTGCCTAAAGTGGAATATACAGCGAGAAGCCCTAACTTGAATGGAGGCCGGATTTCCTTGCAGTGGCTTGAATACAGGCTCGTATTTCATCTCACAACAGGAAGGGATGTCTGAATCCCCTGTGGAGACCATAGAGAAAGCCCTAGGTCCCTGCCTCATTTTGACGGAATGCCTCACATCCCGTTGACACCACGAGAGGCACGCGGAGTTCACTGCTTCAAAAGGTGACGATGCCTGACTCCTCTTGAATATTGATACGAATCCCAAAATCCCTGTGGCTATTGGAAAGTTTCCTTGGGTGCCCTGCCTCATCTCGAGAAGCGTCCCTTGTGCCCCGGCAAGCCTCGAAGAGATTCCTGCGCTGTCCCTCGTTACTGGAGAGGAGTCCTGACATCACTGAATAAACACGTGTTTTGAAGGGCCATCGCCGCCGTAACTCGAGTATATACCCCAGGTCCCCGCCGCAACTCGAGAAAAACCATGAAACTTTCCCCTAGAGGCGAGATGAGGCCCGGTTCTCCTGCACTGCATGCAGAGCAATTCCGTGATCCCCATCCAACAAGTCAGGAGCTTCGACTTGCTTAATGGATCTCGAGACATTCCCCAAGAACACTGTCACATGTCTAGACGGACCCTGAGGTATCCCCAGCAACGCAAAGCAGCTCCATGTGCCCCAAATCAACATGAGATGAGGTCCGATTCCCCTGTATTGACTCCAGAGCCATCTGCTGTTCCGCATTAAACACCACCAGTGGCTTGACCTCCTTCAGACAACTCCAGAGATACCCCGAGAACACTGTCCCAAGTCTAGAGGAACACCTACTTTAGCACAGCAACTCGAGGAATGCTTCCTGTATGCCAAATCCTCTCAAGATGAGAGCTGATTCCCTGGCTTAGGCTCAAGACGTATGCCAACTTTCCAGAAGCACTTCAAGAGGAGGCTTCTCTCAGCAATATGTATGTGGGAGGGAACCCGAGTTTGCTGCCTCAAATGGAATATACAGCGAGAAGCACTAACTAGAAAGGAGGCCGGTTTCCTAGCAGTGTCTTGAATACAGGCTCGTCTTTCATCTCACAGCAGGAAGAGATGTCTGAATCACCTGTGGAGACTTTAGAGAAAGCCCTAGGTCCCTGCCACATTTTGACGGAATGCTCACATCCGGTTGACACCTCGAGAGTCACGCGGAGTTCACTGCTTCAAAAGCTGACGATGCCTGACTCCTCTAAAATATTGATAGGAATCACAAAATCCCTGTGGCTATTTGAAAGGTTCCTTGGGTGCCCTGCCTCACCTCGAGAAGCGTCCCTTGTGCCTGCCAAGCCTCGAAGAGATTCCTGAGCTGTCCCTCGTTACTGGACAGGAGTCCTGACGTCACTGAATAAACACGAGTTTTTAAGGGCCATCCCCGCCGTAACCCGAGTACATACCCCAGGTCCCCGTCGCAAGTCGAAAAAAACCATGAGACTTTCCCCTCGTGGCGAGATGAGGCCCGATTCTCCTGCAGTGCATGCAGAGCAATTCCGTGATCCCCATCAAACAAGTCAGGACCTTCGACTTGCTTAATGGATCTCGAGACAGTCCCCAAAAAAACTGTCACATGTCTAGACGGATCCTGCGGTCACCCCATCAACGCAAAGCAGCACCATGTGCCCCACATCAACTCGAGATAATGCCCGAATCCCCTGCATTGACTCCAGAGCCATCCCACGTTCCACATTAAACACCACCAGTGGCTTGACTTCCTTCAGACAACTCCAGAGATGCCCTGAGAACACTGTCCCAAGTCTAGAGGAACACCATCTTCAGCACAGCAACTCGAGGAATGCTCCGTGTACCCCAAATCGTCTCGAGATGAGAGCTGATTCCCTGGCTTAGGCTCAAGACGTATGCCAACTTTCCAGAAGCACCTCAAGGGGAGGCTTCTCTCAGCAAAAGGTATGTTGGAGGGACCCCCAGTTTGCTGCCTCAAGTAGAATATGCAGCAAGAAGCCCTAACTTGAAAGGAGGCCGGGTTTCCTTGCAGTGTCTTGAATACAGGCTCGTCTTTCATCTCACAACCGGAAGGAATGTCTGAATCCCCTGTGGAGACCTTAGCGAAAGCCCTAGGTCCCTGCCTCATTTTGACGGATTGCCTCACATCCCGTTGACACCTCGGGAGGCACACGGAGTTCACTGCTTCAAATGTGACGATGCCTGACTCCTCCTGAACATTGATAGGAATCCCAAAATCACTGTGGCTACAGGAAAGGGTTCTTGTGTGCCCTGCCTCACCTCGAGAAGCATCCCTTTTGCCCTGCCAAGGTTCGAAGAGATTCCTGAGGTGTCCCTCATTACTAGACAGGAGTCATGACGTCACTGAATAAACACGTGTTTTCAAGAGCCATGCCCGCCATAACTCGAGAACATAACCCAGGTCCCGACGCAACTCGAGAAAAACGATTAGGCTTCCCCTAGATGCGATATGAGGCTTGATTCCCTGCAGTACATGCAGAGCATTCCCGTGATCCCAATCAAGCAAGTCAGCAGCTTCAAATTGCTTAATGGATCTCGAGAGAGTCCCCAGGAACACTGTCACAAGTCTAGACAGACACTGACATCACCCCAGCAACGCAAAGCAGCTCTAAGTACCCCACATCAACTCGAGTTGAGGCCCGATTCCCATGCATTGACTCCAGAGCTATCCCCCGTACCCCATTAAAGCACAACCAGTGGATTGATTTCCTTCAGGCAACTCCAGAGATGCCCCGAGAACACTGTCTCAAGTCTAGAGGAATACGAACTTCAGCAAAGCAACTCGAGGAATGCTCCGTGTACCCCAAATCGTTTCGAGGTGAGAGCTGATTCCATGGCTAGGCTCAAGACGTATGCCAACTTTCCAGAAGCACCTCAAGAGGAGGCTTCTCTCAGCAATCGGTATGTGGGAGGGAACCCGAGTTTGCTGCCTCAAGTGGAATATACAGTGAGAAGCCCTAACTTGAAAGGAGGCCGGATTTCCTGGCAGTGTGTTGAATACAGGCTCGTCATTCATCTCACAACAGGAAGGGATGTCTGAATCCCCTGTGGAGACCTTAGAGAAAGCCCTAGGTCCCTGACTCATTTTGACGGAATGTCTCACATCCCGTTGACACCTCGAGAGGCACACGGAGTTCACTGCTTCAAAATGTGACGATGCCTGACTCCTCCTGAACATTGATAGGAATGCCAAAATCACTGTAGCTACAGGACAGGGTTCTTTGGTGCCCTGCCTCACCTCGAGAAGCATCCCTTTTGCCCTGCCAAGCCTCGAAGAGATTCCTGAGGTGTCTCTCGTTACTAGACAGGAGTCCTGACGTCACTGAATAAACACGTGTTTTGAAGGGCCATCCCCGCCGTAACTCGAGAACATACCCCAATTCGCGCCGCAACTCGAGTAAAACCATGAGATTTCCCCTAGAGGCGAGATGAGGCCTGATTCCCTGCAGTCCATGAAGAGCATTCGCGTGATCCCCATCAAGCAAGTCAGGAGCTTCGACTTGCTTAATTGAACTCGAGAAAGTCCCCAGGAACACTGTCACAAGTCTAGACAGATCCTGAGGTCACCCCAGCAATGCAAAGCAGCTGCAAGTACCCCACATCAACTCGAGATGAGGCCCGATTCCCATGCATTGACTCCAGAGCCATCCCCAGTTCCCCATTAAACAAGACCACTGGCTTCTCTTCCTTCAGACAACTCCAGAGATGCCCCGAGAACACTGTGCCAAGACTAGAGGAACACCAACTTCAGCACAGCAACTCGAGGAATGCCCCGTGTACCACAAATCGTCTCGAGATGAGAGCTGATTCCCTGGCGTAGGCTCAAGACGTATGCCAACTTTCCAGAAGCACCTCAAGAGGAGGCTTTTCTCAGCAATAGGTATGTTCGTGGGACCCCGAGTTTGCTGCCTAAAGTGGAATATACAGCGAGAAGCCCTAACTTGAACGGAGGCCGGATTTCCTTGCAGTGTCTTGTATACAGGCTCGTCTTTCATCTCACAACAGGAAGGGATGTCTGAATCCCCTGTGAAGACCTTTGAGAAAGTCCTAGGTCCCTGCCTCATTGTGACGGAATGCCTCACATCCCGTTGACACCACGAGAGGCACGCGGAGTTCACTGTTTCAAAAGGTGACGATGCCTGACTCCTCTTGAATATTGATAGGAATCCCAAAATCCCTGTGGCTATTGGAAAGGTTCCTTGGGTGCCCTGCCTCATCTCGAGAAGCGTCCCTTGTGCCCCGGCAAGCCTCGAAGAGATTCCTGAGCTGTCCCTCGTTACTGGACAGGAGTCCTGACGTCACTGAATAAACACGTGTTTTGAAGGGCCATCGCCGCCGTAACTCGAGTATATACCCCAGGTCCCCGCCGCAACTCGAGAAAAACCATGAGACTTCCGCCTAGAGGCGAGATGAGGCCCGATTCTCCTGCAGTGCATGCAGAGCAATTCCGTGATCCCCATCAAACAAGTCAGGAGCTTCGACTTGCTTAATGGATCTCGAGACATTCCCCAAGAACACTGTCACATGTCTAGACGGACCCTGAGGTATCCCCAGCAAAGCAAAGCAGCTCCATGTGCCCCAAATCAACTTGAGATGAGGTCCGATTCCCCTGCATTGACTCCAGAGCCATCTGCCGTTCCACATTAAACACGACCAGTGGCTTGACCTCCTTCAGACACCTCCAGAGATGCCCCGAGAACACTGTCCCAAGTCTAGAGGAACACCTACTTTAGCACAGCAACTCGAGGAATGCTTCCTGAATGCCAAATCTTCTCGAGTTGAGAGCTGATTCCCTGGCTTAGGCTCAAGACGTATGCCAACTTTCCAGAAGCACCTCAAGAGGAGGCTTCTCTCAGCAATAGGTATGTGGGAGGGAACCCGAGTTTGCTGCCTCAAATCGAATATACAGCGAGAAGCACTAACTAGAATGGAGGCCGGTTTCCTAGCAGTGTCTTGAATACAGGCTCGTCTTTCATCTCACAGCAGGAAGAGATGTCTGAATCCCCTGTGGAGACCTTACAGAAAGCCCTAGGTCCCTGCCTCATTTTGACGGAATGCCTCACATCCCGTTGACACCTCGAGAGTCACGCGGAGTTCACTGCTTCAAAAGCTGACGATGCCTGACTCCTCCTGAACATTGATAGGAATCCCAAAATCACTGTAGCTACAGGACAGGGTTCTTGGGTGCCCTGCCTCACCTCGAGAAGCATCCCTTTTGCCCTGCCAAGCCTCGAAGAGATTCCTGAGCTGTCCCTCGTTACTGGACAGGAGTCCTGACGTCACTGAATAAACACGAGTTTTTAAGGGCCATCCCTGCCGTAACCCGAGTACATACCCCAGGTCCCTGCCGCAAGTCAAGAAAAACCATGAGACTTTCCCCTAGTGGCGAGATGAGGCCCGATTCTCCTGCAGTGCATGCAGAGCAATTCCATGATCCCCATCAAACAAGTCAGGACCTTCGACTTGCTTAATGGATCTCGAGACAGTCCCCAGGAATACTATCACATGTCTAGTTGGATCCTGAGGTCACCCCATCAACGCAAAGCAGCACCATGTGCCCCACATCAACTCGAGATAATGCCCGATTCCCCTGCATTGACTCCAGAGCCATCCCCCGTTCCAGATTAAACAAAACCAGTGGCTTGACTTCCTTCAGAGAACTCCAGAGATGCCCTGAGAACACTGTCCCAAGTCTAGAGGAACACCATCTTCAGCACAGCAACTCGAGGAATGCTCTGTGTACCCCTAATCGTCTCGAGATGAGAGCTGATTACCTGGCTTATGCTCAAGACGTATGCCAACTTTCCAGAAGCACCTCAAGCACAGTATTCTCTCAGCAATAGGTATGTTGGAGGGACCTCCACTTTGCTGCCTCAAGTGGAATATACAGCGAGAAGCCCTAACTTGAAAGGAGGCCCGGTTTCCTTGCAGTGTCTTGAATACAGGCTCGTCTTTCATCTCACAGCATGAAGGAATGTCTGAATCCCCTGTGGAGACCTTAGAGAAAGCCCTAGGTCCCTGCCTCATTTTGACGGAATGTCTCACATCCCGTTGACACCTCGAGAGGCACACGGAGTTCACTGCTTCAAAATGTGACGATGCCTGACTCCTCCTGAACATTGATAGGAATCCCAAAATCACTGTAGCTACAGGACAGGGTTCTTGGGTGCCCTGCCTCACCTCGAGAAGCATCCCTTTTGCCCTGCCAAGCCTCGAAGAGATTCCGGAGGTGTCTCTCATTACTAGACAGGAGTCCTGACGTCACTGAATAAACACGTGTTTTGAAGGGCCATCCCCGCCATAACTCGAGAACATACCCCAGTTCGCGCCGCAACTCGAGTAAAACCATGAGACTTCCCCTAGAGGCGAGATGAGGCCTGATTCCCTGCAGTCCATGAAGAGCATTCCCGTGATCCCCATCAAACAAGTCAGGAGCTTCGACTTGCTTAATGGATCTCCAGAGAGTCCCCAGGAACACTGTCACAAGTCTAGACAGACCCTGAGGTCACCCCAGCAATGCAAAGCAGCTGCAAGTACCCCACATCAACTCGAGATGAGGCCCGATTCCCATGCATTGACTCCAGAGCCATCCCCCGTACCCCATTAAACACAACCATTGGCTTGACTTCCTTCCGGCAACACCAGAGATGCCCCAAGAACACTGTCCCAAGTCTAGAGGAATACGAACTTCAGCACAGCAACTCGAGGAATGCTCCGTGTACCCCAAATCGTTTCGAGGTGAGAGCTGATTCCATGGCTTAGGCTCAAGACGTATGCCAACTTTCCAGAAGCCCCTCAAGAGGAGGCTTCTCTCAGCAATAGGTATGTGGGAGGGACCCCGAGTTTGCTGCCTCAAGTGGAATATACACCCAGAAGCCCTAACTTGAAAGGAGGCCGGATTTCCTTGCAGTGGCTTGAATACAGGCTCGTCTTTCATCTCACAGCATGAAGGGGTGTCTGAAGCCCCTGTGTAGACCTTAGAGAAAGCTCTAGGTCCCTGCCTCATTTTGACGGAATGCCTCACATCCCATTGACACCTCGAGAGGCACGCGGAGTTCACTGCTTCAAAAGGTGATGATGCCTGACTCGTCTTGAATATTTATAGGAATCCCAAAATCACTGTGGCTACTGGAAAGGGTCCTTGGGTGCCCTGCCTCTCCTCGAGAAGCATACCTTTTGACCTGCCAAGCCTCGAAGAGATTCCTGAGGTGTCCCTCGTTACTAGACAGGAGTCCTGACGGCACTGAATAAACACGGGTTTTGAGGGGCCATCCCCGCCGTAACTCGAGAAGATTCCCCAGGTCCCCCGCGCAACTTGAGAGAAACCGTGAGACTTCCCCCTAGATGTGAGATGAGTCCTGATTCCCTGCAGTGCATGCAGAGTATTCCCGTGATCCCCAGCAAACAAGTCAGGAGCTTCGACTTGCTTAATTGAACTCGAGAAAGTCCCCAGGAACACTGTCACAAGTCTAGACAGACCCTGAGGTCACCTCAGCAATGCAAAGCAGCTGCAAGTACCCCACATCAACTCGAGATGAGGCCCGATTCCCATGCATTGACTCCAGAGCCATCCCCAGTTCCCCATTAAACAAGACCACTGGCTTGTCTTCCTTCAGACAACTCCAGAGATGCCCCGAGAACACTGTGCCAAGACTAGAGGAACACCAACTTCAGTACAGCAACTAGAGGAATGCCCCGTGTACCACAAATCGTCTCGAGATGAGAGCTGATTCCCTGGCTTAGGCTCAAGACGTATGCCAACTTTCCAGAAGCACCTCAAGAGGAGGCTTCTCTCAGCAATAGGTATGTTCGTGGGACCCCGAGTTTGCTGCCTAAAGTGGAATATACAGCGAGAAGCCCTAACTTGAATGGAGGCCGGATTTCCTTGCAGTGTCTTGAATACAGGCTCGTATTTCATCTCACAACAGGAAGGGATGTCTGAATCCCCTGTGGAGACCATAGAGAAAGCCCTAGGTCCCTGCCTCATTTTGACGGAATGCCTCACATCCCGTTGACACCACGAGAGGCACGCGGAGTTCACTGCTTCAAAAGGTGACGATGCCTGACTCCTCTTGAATATTGATAGGAATCCCAAAATCCCTGTGGCTATTGGAAAGGTTCCTTGGGTGCCCTGCCTCATCTCGAGAAGCGTCCCTTGTGCCCCGGCAAGCCTCGAAGAGATTCCTGAGCTGTCCCTCGTTACTGGAGAGGAGTCCTGACGTCACTGAATAAACACGTGTTTTGAAGGGCCATCGCCGCCGTAACTCGAGTATATACCCCAGGTCCCCGCCGCAACTCGAGAAAAACCATGAAACTTTCCCCTAGAGGCGAGATGAGGCCCGATTCTCCTGCACTGCATGCAGAGCAATTCCGTGATCCCCATCCAACAAGTCAGGAGCTTCGACTTGCTTAATGGATCTCGAGACATTTCCCAAGAACACTGTCACATGTCTAGACGGACCCTGAGGTATCCCCAGCAACGCAAAGCAGCTCCATGTGCCCCAAATCAACATGAGATGAGGTCCGATTCCCCTGTATTGACTCCAGAGCCATCTGCTGTTCCGCATTAAACACCACCAGTGGCTTGACCTCCTTCAGACAACTCCAGAGATGCCCCGAGAACACTGTCCCTAGTCTAGAGGAACACCTACTTTAGCACAGCAACTCGAGGAATGCTTCCTGTATGCCAAATCTTCTCGAGATGAGAGCTGATTCCCTGGCTTAGGCTCAAGACGTATGCCAACTTTCCAGAAGCACTTCAAGAGGAGGCTTCTCTCAGCAATAGGTATGTGGGAGGGAACCCGAGTTTGCTGCCTCAAATGTGACGATGCCTGACTCCTCCTGAACATTGATAGGAATCCCAAAATCACTGTGGCTACAGGAAAGGGTTCTTGTGTGCCCTGCCTCACCTCGAGAAGCATCCCTTTTGCCCTGCCAAGGCTCGAAGAGATTCCTGAGGTGTCCCTCATTACTAGACAGGAGTCATGACGTCACTGAATAAACACGTGTTTTCAAGGGCCATGCCCGCCATAACTCGAGAACATACCCCAGGTCCCGACGCAACTCGAGAAAAACGATGAGGCTTCCCCTAGATGCGATATGAGGCTTGATTCCCTGCAGTACATGCAGAGCATTCCCGTGATCCCAATCAAGCAAGTCAGCAGCTTCAAATTGCTTAATGGATCTCGAGAGAGTCCATAGGAACACTGTCACAAGTCTAGACAGACCGTGACATCACCCCAGCAACGCAAAGCAGCCCCAAGTACCCGACATCAACTCGAGTTGAGGCCCGATTCCCATGCATTGACTCCAGAGCTATCCCCCGTACACCATTAAAGCACAACCAGTGGATTGATTTCCTTCAGGCAACTCCAGAGATGCCTCGAGAACACTGTCCCAAGTCTAGAGGAATACGAACTTCAGCAAAGCAACTCGAGGAATGCTCCGTGTACCCCAAATCGTTTCGAGGTGAGAGCTGATTCCATGGCTAGGCTCAAGACGTATGCCAACTTTCCAGAAGCCCCTCAAGAGGAGGCTTCTCTCAGCAATAGGTATGTGGGAGGGACCCCGAGTTTGCTGCCTCAAGTGGAATATACAGCGAGAAGCCCTAACTTGAAAGGAGGCCGGATTTTATTGCAGTGGCTTGAATACAGGCTCGTCTTTCATCTCACAGCATGAAGGGATGTCTGAATCCCCTGTGGAGACCTTAGAGAAAGCTCTAGGTACCTGCCTCATTTTGACGGAATGCCTCACATCCCATTGACACTTCGAGAGGCACGCGGAGTTCACTGCTTCAAAAGGTGATGATGCCTCACTCGTCTTGAATATTGATAGGAATCCCAAAATCACTGTGGCTACTGGAAAGGGTCCTTGGGTGTCCTGCCTCACCTCGAGAAGCATACCTTTTGACCTGCCAAGCCTCGAAGAGATTCCTGAGGTGTCCCTCGTTACTAGACAGGAGTCCTGACGGCACTGAATAAACACGTGTTTTGAAGGGCCATCCCCGCCGTAACTCGAGAAGATACCCCAGGTCCCCCGCGCAACTTGAGAGAAACCATGAGACTTCCCCCTAGATGCGAGATGAGTCCTGATTCCCTGCAGTGCATGCAGAGTATTCCCGTGATCCCCATTAAACAAGTCAGGAGCTTCAAATTGCTTAATGGATCTCGAGACAGTCCCCAAGAACACTGTCACATGTCTAGACGGATCCTGAGGTCACCCCATCAAGGCAAAGCAGCACCATGTGCCCCAAATCAACTCGAGATAATGCCCGATTCCCCTGCATTGACTCCAGAGCCATCCCCCCTTCCACATTAAACACGACCAGTGGCTTGACTTCCTTCAGGCAACTCCAGAGACGCCCTGAGAACACTGTCCCAAGTCTAGAGGAACACCATCTTCAGCACAGCAACTCGAGGAATGCTCCGTGTACCCCAAATCGTCTCGAGATGAGAGCTGATTCCCTGGCTTAGGCTCAAGACGTATGCCAACTTTCCAGAAGCACCTCAAGGGGAGCCTTCTCTCAGCAATAGGTATGTTGGAGGGACCCCCAGTTTGCTGCCTCAAAAGGAATATACAGCGAGAAGCCCTAACTTGAAAGGAGGCCGGATTTCCTTGCAGTGTCTTGAATACAGGCTCGTCTTTCATCTCACAACCGGAAGGAATGTCTGAATCCTCTGTGGAGACCTTAGAGAAAGCGCTAGGTCCCTGCCTCATTTTGAAGGAATGTCTCACATCCCGTTGACACCTCGAGAGGCACACAGAGTTCACTGCTTCAAAATGTGATGATGCCTGACCCCTCTTGAACATTGATAGGAATCCCAAAATCACTTTAGCTACAGGACAGGGTTCTTGGGTGCCCTGCCTCACCTCGAGAAGCATCCCTTTGCCTGCCAAGCCTCGAAGAGATTCCTGAGGTGTCTCTCGTTACTAGACAGGAGTCCTGACGTCACTGAATAAACACGTTTTTTGGAGGGCCATCCCCGCCGTAACTCGAGAACATACCCCAGGTCCCGCCGCAACTCGAGAAAAACCATGAGACTTCCCCTAGATGCGAGATGAGGCCTGATTCCCTGCAGTCCATGCAGAGCATTCCCATGATCCCCATCAAGCAAGTCAGGAGCTTCTACTTGCTTAATCGAACTCGAGAAAGTTCCTAGGAACTCTGTCACAAGTCTAGACAGACTCTGAGGTCACCCCAGCAATGTAAAGCAGCTCCAAGTACCCCACATCAACCCGCGATGAGGCCCGATTCCCCTGCATTCACTCCAGAGCCATCCCCCGTACCACATTAAACACCAAAAGTGGTTTGACTTCCTTCAGGCAACTCCAGAGATGCCCTGAGAACACTGTCCCAAGTCTAGAGGAATACGAACTTCAGCACAGCAACTCGAAGAATGCTCCGTGTACCCCAAATCGTTTCGAGGTGAGAGCTGCTTCCATGGCTTAGGCTCAAGACGTATGCCAACTTTTCAGAAGCACCTCAAGAGGAGGCTTCTCTCAGCAGTAGGTATGTGGGAGGGACCCCGAGTTTGCTGCCTCAAGTGGAATATACACGAGAAGCCCTAACTTGAAAGGAGGACGGATTTCCTTGCAGTGGCTTGAATACAGGCTCGTCTTTCATCTCACAGCATGAAGGGATGTCTGAAGCCCCTGTGGAGACCTTAGAGAAAGCTCTAGGTCCCTGCCTCATTTTGAGGGAATGCCTCACATCCCGTTGTCACCTCGAGAGGCACGCGGAGTTCAGTGCTTCAAAAGGTGACGATGCCTGACTCCTCTTGAATATTGATAGGAATCCCAAAATCCATGTGGCTATTGGAAAGGTTCCTTGGGTGCCCTGCCTCACCTCGAGAAGCGTCCCTTGTGCACTGCCAAGCCTCGAAGAGATTCCTGAGCTGCCCCTCGTTACTGGACAGGAGTCCTGACGTCACTGAATAAACACGAGTTTTGAAGGCCATCCCCGTCGTAACCCGAGTACATACCCCAGGTCCCCGCCGCAAGTCGAGAAAAACCATGAGACTTTCCCCTATAGGCGAGATGAGGCCCGATTCTCCTGCAGTGCATGCAGAGCAATTCCGTGATCCCCATCAAACAAGTCAGGACCTTCGACTTGCTTAATGGATCTCGAGACATTCCCCCAGAACACTGTCACATGTCTAGACGGATCCTGAGGTCACCCCATCAACGCAAAGCAGCACAATGTGCCCCAAATCAACTCGGGATGATGGCAGATTCCCCTGCATTGACCCTAGAGCTATCCCCCGTTCCACATTAAACACGACCAGTGGCTTGACTTCCTTCAGGCAACTCCAGAGATGCCCGGAGAACACTGTCCCAAGTCTAGAGGAACACCATCTTCAGCACAGCAACTCGAGGAATGCTCCGTGTACCCCAAATCATCTCGAGATGAGAGCTGATTCCCTGGCTTATGCTCAAGACGTATGCCAACTTTCCAGAAGCACCTCAAGGGGAGGCTTCTCTCAGCAATAGTTATGTTGGAGGGACCCCCAGTTTGCTACCTCAAGTGGAATATGCAACGAGAAGCCCTAACTTGAAAGGAGGCCGGGTTTCCTTGCAGTGTCTTGAATACAGGCTTGTCTTTCATCTCACAACCGGAAGGATTGTCTGAATCCCCTGTGGAGACCTTAGCGAAAGCCCTAGGTCCCTGCCTCATTTTGACGGATTGCCTCACATCCCGTTGACACCTCGGGAGGCACACGGAGTTCACTGCTTCAAATGTGACGATGCCTGACCCCTCCTGATCATTGATAGGAATCCCAAAATCACTGTGGCTACAGGAAAGGGTTCTTGTGTGCCCTGCCTCACCTCGAGAAGCATCCCTTTTGCCCTGCCAAGCCTCGAAGAGATTCCTGATGTGTCCCTCGTTACTAGACAGGAGAACTGACGTCACTGAATAAACACGTGTTTTGAAGGGCCATCCCGGCAATAACTCAAGAAAATATCCCAGGTCCCGCCGCAACTCGAGAAAAACCATGAGACTTCCCCTAGATGCGAGATGACGTCTGATTCCCTGCAGTCCATGCAGAACAGTCCCGTGATCCCCATCAAGCAAGTCAGGAGCTTCGACTTGCTTAATGGATCTCAAGAGAGTCCCCAGGAACACTGTCACAAGTCTAGACAGACCCTGAGGTCACCCCAGCAATGCAAAGCAGCTCCAAGTGCCCCACATCAACTCGAGATGAGGCCCGATTCTCCGGTATTGACTCAAGAGCCATCCCCCGTACCCCATTAAACACCAACACTGGCTTGACTTCATTCAGTCAACTCCAGAGATGCCCCAAGAACACTGTTCCAAGTCTAGAGGAACACCAACTTCAGCACAGCAACTCGAGGAATGCTCCGTGTACCACAAATCGTTCCGAGGTGAGAGCTGATTCCCTGGCTTAGGCTCAAGACGTATACCAACTTTCCAGAAGCACCTCAAGAGGAGGCTTCTCTCAGCAATCGGTATGTGGGAGGGAACCCGAGTTTGCTGCCTCAAGTGGAATATACAGTGAGAAGCCCTAACTTGAAAGGAGGCCGGATTTCCTGGCAGTGTGTTGAATACAGGCTCGTCTTTCATCTCACAACAGGAAGGGATGTCTGAATCCCCTGTGGAGACCTTAGAGAAAGCTCTAGGTCCCTGCCTCATTTTGACGGAAAGTCTCACATCCCGTTGACACCTCGAGAGGCACACGGAGTTCACTGCTTCAAAATGTGACGATGCCTGACTCCTCCTGAACATTGATAGGAATCCCAAAATCACTGTAGCTACAGGACAGGGTTCTTTGGTGCCCTGCCTCACCTCGAGAAGCATCCCTTTTGCCCTGCCAAGCCTCGAAGAGATTCCTGAGGTGTCTCTCGTTACTAGACAGGAGTCCTGACGTCACTGAATAAACACGTGTTTTGAAGGGCCATCCCCGCCGTAACTCGAGAACATACCCCAGTTCGCGCCGCAACTCGAGTAAAACCATGAGACTTCCCCTAGAGGCGAGATGAGGCCTGATTCCCTGAAGTCCATGAAGAGCATTCGCGTGATCCCCATCAAGCAAGTCAGGAGCTTCGACTTGCTTAATTGAACTCGAGAAAGTCCCCAGGAACACTGTCACAAGTCTAGACAGACCCTGAGGTCACCCCAGCAATGCAAAGCAGCTGCAAGTACCCCACATCAACTCGAGATGAGGCCCGATTCCCATGCATTGACTCCAGAGCCATCCCCAGTTCCCCATTAAACAAGACCACTGGCTTGTCTTCCTTCAGACAACTCCAGAGATGCCCCGAGAACACTGTCCCAAGACTAGAGGAACACCAACTTCAGCACAGCAACTCGAGGAATGCCCCGTGTACCACAAATCGTCTCGAGATGAGAGCTGATTCCCTGGCTTAGGCTCAAGACGTATGCCAACTTTCCAGAAGCACCTCAAGAGGAGGCTTCTCTCAGCAATAGGTATGTTCGTGGGACCCCGAGTTTGCTGCCTCAAGTGGAATATACAGCGAGAAGCCCTAACTTGAATGGAGGCCGGATTTCCTTGCAGTGTCTTGTATACAGGCTCGTCTTTCATCTCACAACAGGAAGGGATGTCTGAATCCCCTGTGAAGACCTTTGAGAAAGCCCTAGGTCCCTGCCTCATTGTGACGGAATGCCTCACATCCCGTTGACACCACGAGAGGCACGCGGAGTTCACTGCTTCAAAAGGTGACGATGCCTGACTCCTCTTGAATATTGATAGGAATCCCAAAATCCCTGTGGCTATTGGAAAGGTTCCTTGGGTGCCCTGCCTCATCTCGAGAAGCGTCCCTTGTGCCCCGGCAAGCCTCGAAGAGATTCCTGAGCTGTCCCTCGTTACTGGACAGGAGTCCTGACGTCACTGAATAAACACGTGTTTTGAAGAGCCATCGCCGCCGTAACTCGAGTATATACCCCAGGTCCCCGCCGCAACTCGAGAAAAACCATGAGACTTCCGCCTAGAGGCGAGATGAGGCCCGATTCTCCTGCAGTGCATGCAGAGCAATTCCGTGATCCCCATCAAACAAGTCAGGAGCTTCGACTTGCTTAATGGATCTCGAGACAGTCCCCAAGAACTCTGTCACATGTCTAGACGGACCCTGAGGTATCCCCAGCAACGCAAAGCAGCTCCATGTGCCCCAAATCAACTTGAGATGAGGTCCGATTCCCCTGCATTGACTCCAGAGCCATCTGCCGTTCCGCATTAAACACCACCAGTGGCTTGACCTCCTTCAGACAACTCCAGAGATTCCCCGAGAACACTGTCCCAAGTCTAGAGGAACACCTACTTTAGCACAGCAACTCGAGGAATGCTTCCTGTATGCCAAATCTTCTCGAGTTGAGAGCTGATTCCCTGGCTTAGGCTCAAGACGTATGCCAACTTTCCAGAAGCACCTCAAGAGGAGGCTTCTCTCAGCAATAGGTATGTGGGAGGGAACCCGAGTTTGCTGCCTCAAATGGAATATACAGCGAGAAGCACTAACTAGAATGGAGGCCGGTTTCCTAGCAGTGTCTTGAATACAGGCTCATCTTTCATCTCACAGCAGGAAGAGATGTCTGAATCCCCTGTGGAGACCTTAGAGAAAGCCCTAGTTCCCTGCCTCATTTTGACGGAATGCCTCACATCCCGTTGACACCTCGAGAGTCACGCGCAGTTCACTGCTTCAAAAGCTGACGATGCCTGACTCCTCCTGAACATTGATAGGAATCCCAAAATCACTGTAGCTACAGGACAGGGATCTTAGGTGCCCTGCCTCACCACGAGAAGCATCCCTTTTGCCCTGCCAAGCCTCGAAGAGATTCCTGAGCTGTCCCTCGTTACTGGACAGGAGTCCTGACGTCACTGAATAAACACGAGTTTTTAAGGGCCATCCCCGCCGTAACCCTAGTACATACCCCAGGTCCCCCCGCAAGTCGAGAAAAACCATGAGACTTTCCCCTAGTGGCGAGATGAGGCCCGATTCTCTTGCAGTGCATGCAGAGCAATTCCATGATCCCCATCAAACAAGTCAGGCCCTTCGACTTGCTTAATGGATCTCGAGACAGTCCCCAAGAATACTATCACATGTCTAGATGGATGCTGAGGTCACCCCATCAACGCAAAGCAGCACCATGTGCCCCACATCAACTCGAGATAATGCCCGATTCCCCTGCATTGACTCCAGAGCCATCCCCCGTTTCAGATTAAACACCACCAGTTTCTTGACTTCCTTCAGACAACTCCAGAGATGCCCTGAGAACACTGTCCCAAGTCTAGAGGAACACCATCTTCAGCACAGCAACTCGAGGAATGCTCCGTGTACCCAAATCGTCTCGAGATGAGAGCTGATTCCCTGGCTTATGCTCAAGACGTATGCCAACTTTCCAGAAGCACCTCAAGGGGAGGCTTCTCTCAGCAATAGTTATGTTGGAGGGACAACCAGTTTGCTGTCTCAAGTGGAATATGCAACGAGAAGCCCTAACTTGAAAGGAGGCCGGGTTTCCTTGCAGTGTCTTGAATACAGGCTCGTCTTTCATCTCACAACCGGAAGGATTGTCTGAATCCCCTGTCGAGACCTTAGCAAAAGCCCTAGGTCCTTGCCTCATTTTGACGGATTGCCTCACATCCCGTTGACACCTCGGGAGGCACACGGAGTTCACTGCTTCAAATGTGACGATGCCTGACCCCTCCTGAATATTGATAGGAATCCCAAAATCACTGTGGCTACAGGAAAGGGTTCTTGTGTGCCCTGCCTCACCTCAAGAAGCATCCCTTTTGCCCTGCCAAGCCTCGAAGAGATTCCTGAAGTGTCTCGCGTTACTAGACAGGAGTCCTGACGTCACTGAATAAACACGTGTTTTGAAGGGCCATCCCCGCCGTAACTCGAGAACATACCCCAGTTCGCGCCGCAACTCGAGTAAAACCATGAGACTTCCCCTAGAGGCGAGATGAGGCCTGATTCCCTGAAGTCCATGAAGAGCATTCCCGTGATCCCTATCAAGCAAGTCAGGAGCTTCGACTTGCTTAATTGAACTCGAGAAAGTCCCCAGGAACACTGTCACAAGTCTAGACAGACCCTGAGGTCACCCCAGCAAAGCAAAGCAGCTGCAAGTACCCCACATCAACTCGAGATGAGGCCCGATTCCCATGCATTGACTCCAGAGCCATCCCCAGTTCCCCATTAAACAAGACCACTGGCTTGTCTTCCTTCAGACAACTCCAGAGATGCCCCGAGAACACTGTGCCAAGACTAGAGGAACACCAACTTCAGCACAGCAACTCGAGGAATGCCCCGTGTACCACAAATCGTCTCGAGATGAGAGCTGATTCCCTGGCTTAGGCTCAAGACGTATGCCAACTTTCCAGAAGAACCTCAAGAGGAGGCTTCTCTCAGCAATAGGTATGTTCGTGGGACCCCGAGTTTGCTGCCTAAAGTGGAATATACAGCGAGAAGCCCTAACTTGAATGGAGGCCGGATTTCCTTGCAGTGTCTTGTATACAGGCTCGTCTTTCATCTCACAACAGGAAGGGATGTCTGAATCCCCTGTGAAGACCTTTGAGAAAGCCCTAGGTCCCTGCCTCATTGTGACGGAATGCCTCACATCCCGTTGACACCACGACAGGCACGCGGAGTTCACTGCTTCAAAAGGTGACGATGCCTGACTCTTCTTGAATATTGATAGGAATCCCAAAATCCCTGTGGCTATTGGAAAGGTTCCTTGGGTGCCCTGCCTCATCTCGAGAAGCGTCCCTTGTGCCCCAGCAAGCCTCGAAGAGATTCCTGAGCTGTCCCTCGTTACTGGACAGGAGTCCTGACGTCACTGAATAAACACGTGTTTTGAAGGGCCATCGCCGCCGTAACTCGAGTATATACCCCAGGTCCCCGCCGCAACTCGAGAAAAACCATGAGACTTCCGCCTAGAGGCGAGATGAGGCCCGATTCTCCTGCAGTGCATGCAGAGCAATTCCGTGATCCCCATCAAACAAGTCAGGAGCTTCGACTTGCTTAATGGATCTCGAGACATTCCCCAAGAACACTGTCACATGTCTAGACGGACCCTGAGGTATCCCCAGCAACGCAAAGCAGCTCCATGTGCCCCAAATCAACTTGAGATGAGGTCCGATTCCCCTGCATTGACTCCAGAGCCATCTGCCGTTCCGCATTAAACACCACCAGTGGCTTGACCTCCTTCAGACAACTCCAGAGATGCCCCGAGAACACTGTCCCAAGTCTAGAGGAACACCTACTTTAGCACAGCAACTCGAGGAATGCTTCCTGTATGCCAAATCTTTTCGAGTTGAGAGCTGATTCCCTGGCTTAGGCTCAAGACGTATGCCAACTTTCCAGAAGAACCTCAAGAGGAGGCTTCTCTCAGCAATAGGTATGTGGGAGGGAACCCGAGTTTCCTGCCTCAAATGGAATATACTGCGAGAAGCACTAACTAGAATGGAGGCCGGTTTCCTAGCAGTGTCTTGAATACAGGCTCGTCTTTCATCTCACAGCAGGAAGAGATGTCTGAATCCCCTGTGGAGACCTTAGAGAAAGCCCTAGTTCCCTGCCTCATTTTGACGGAATGCCTCACATCCCGTTGACACCTCGAGAGTCACGCGGAGTTCACTGCTTCAAAAGCTGACGATGCCTGACTCCTCCTGAACATTGATAGGAATCCCAAAATCACTGTAGCTACAGGACAGGGATCTTGGGTGCCCTGCCTCACCACAAGAAGCATCCCTTTTGCCCTGCCAAGCCTCGAAGAGATTCCTGAGCTGTCCCTCGTTACTGGACAGGAGTCCTGACGTCACTGAATAAACACGAGTTTTTAAGGGCCATCCCCGCCGTAACCCGAGTACATACCCCAGGTCCCCGCCGCAAGTCGAGAAAAACCATGAGACTTTCCCCTAGTGGCGAGATGAGGCCCGATTCTCCTGCAGTGCATGCAGAGCAATTCCATGATCCCCATCAAACAAGTCAGGCCCTTCGACTTGCTTAATGGATCTCGAGACAGTCCCCAAGAATACTATCACATGTCTAGATGGATCCTGAGGTCACCCCATCAACGCAAAGCAGCACCATGTGCCCCACATCAACTCGAGATAATGCCCGATTCCCCTGCATTGACCCCAGAGCCATCCCCCGTTTCAGATTAAACACCACCAGTGGCTTGACTTCCTTCAGACAACTCCAGAGATGCCCTGAGAACACTGTCCCAAGTCTAGAGGAACACCATCTTCAGCACAGCAACTCGAGGAATGCTCCGTGTACCCCAAATCGTCTCGAGATGAGAGCTGATTCCCTGGCTTATGCTCAAGACGTATGCCAACTTTCCAGAAGCACCTCAAGGGGAGGCTTCTCTCAGCAATAGTTATGTTGGAGGGACAACCAGTTTGCTGCCTCAAGTGGAATATGCAACGAGAAACCCTAACTTGAAAGGAGGCCGGGTTTCCTTGCAGTGTCTTGAATACAGGCTCGTCTTTCTTCTCACAACCGGAAGGATTGTCTGAATCCCCTGTCGAGACCTTAGCAAAAGCCCTAGGTCCTTGCCTCATTTTGACGGATTGCCTCACATCCCGTTGACACCTCGGGAGGCACACGGAGTTCACTGCTTCAAATGTGACGATGCCTGACCCCTCCTGATCATTGATAGGAATCCCAAAATCACTGTCGCTACAGGAAAGGGTTCTTGTGTGCCCTGCCTCACCTCGAGAAGCATCCCTTTTGCCCTGCCAAGGCTCGAAGAGATTCCTGAGGTGTCCCTCATTACTAGACAGGAGTCATGACGTCACTGAATAAACACGTGTTTTCAAGGGCCATGCCCGCCATAACTCGAGAATTTACCCCAGGTCCCGCCGCAACTCGAGAAAAACCATGAGACTTCCCCTAGATGCGAGATGAGGCCTGATTCCCTGCAGTCCATGCAGAGCATTCCCGTGATCCCAATCAAGCAAGTCAGCAGCTTCGAATTGCTTAATGGATCTCAAGAGAGTCCCCAGGAACACTGTCACAAGTCTAGACAGACCCTGACATCACACCAGCAACGCAAAGCAGCTTCAAGTACCCCACATCAACTCTTGTTGAGGCCCGATTCCCATGCATTGACTCCAGAGCCATCCCCCGTACCCCATTAAACACCACCAGTGGCTTGACTTCCTTCAGGGAACTCGAGAGATGCCCCGAGAACACTGTCCCAAGACTAGAGGAATACGAACTTCACCACAGCAACTCGAGGAATGCTCCGTGTACCCCAAATCGTTTCGAGGTGAGAGCTGATTCCATGGCTTAGGCTCAAGACGTATGCCAACTTTCCAGAAGCACCTCAAGAGGAGGCTTCTCTCAGCAATAGGTATTTGGGAGGGACCCCAAGTTTGCTGCCTCAAGTGGAATACACAGCCAGAAGCCCTAACTTGAAAGGAGGCCGGATTTCCTTGCAGTGGCTTGGATACAGGCTCGTCTTTCATCTCACAGCATGAAGGGATGTCTGAATCCCCTGTGGAGACCTTAGAGAAAGCTCTAGGTCCCTGCATCATTTTGACGGAATGCCTCACATCCAGTTGACACTTCGAGAGGCACGCGGAGTTCACTGCTTCAAAAGGTGATGATGCCTGACTCGTCTTGAATATTGATAGGAATCCCAAAATTACTGTGGCTACTGGAAAGGGACATTGGTTGCCCTGCCTCACCTCGAGAAGCATACGTTTTGACCTGCCAAGCCTCGAAGAGATTCCTTAGGTGTCCCTCGTTACTAGACAGGAGTCCTGATGGCACTGAATAAACACGGGTTTTGAGGGGCCATCCCCGCCGTAACTCGAGAAGATACCCCAGGTCCCCCGCGCAACTTGAGAGAAACCGTGAGACTTCCCCCTAGATGCGAGATGAGTCCTGATTCCCTGCAGTGCATGCAGAGTATTCCCGTGATCCCCATCAAACAAGTCAGGAGCTTCGACTTGCTTAATGGTTCTCGAGACAGTCCCCAAGAACTCTGTCACAAGTCTAGACGGACCCTGAGGTCACCCCAGCAACGCAAAGCAGCTCCATGTGCCCCAAATCAACCCGAGATGTGGCCCGATTCCCCTGCATTGACTCCAGAGCCATCCCCAGTTCCCCATTAAACAAGACAACTGGCTAGACTTCCTTCAGGCAACTCCAGAGATGCCCCGAGAACACTCTCCCAAGACTAGAGGAACACCAGCTTCAGCACAGCAACTCGAGGAATGCTCCGTGTACCACAAATCGTCTCGAGATGAGAGCTGAATCCCTGGCTTAGGTTCAAGACGTATGCCAACTTTCCAGAAGCACCTCAAGAGGAGGCTTCTATCAGCAATAGGTATGTTGGAGGGACCCCGAGTTTGCTGCCTCAAGTGGAATATAGAGCGAGAAGCCCTAACTTGAAAGGAGGCCGGATTTCCTTGCAATGGCTTGAATACAGGCTCGTCTTTCATCTCACAGAATGAAGGGATGACTGAATCTCCTGTGGAGACCTTAGAGAAAGCTATAGGTCCCTGCCTCATTTTGACGGAATGCCTCACATCCCGTTGTCACCTAGAGAGGCACGCGGAGTTCACTGCTTCAAAAGGTGACGATGCCTGACTCCTCTAAAATATTGATAGGAATCCCAAAATCCCTGTGGCTATTGGAAAGGTTCCTTGGGTGCCCTGCCTCACCACGAGAAGCGTCCCTTGTGCCCTGCCAAGCCTCGAAGAGATTCCTGAGCTGTCCCTCGTTACTGGACAGGAGTCCTGACGTCACTGAATGAACATGAGTTTTGAAGGCCCATCCGCGCCGTAACCCGAGTACATACCCCAGGTCCCCGCCGCAAGTCGAGAAAAACCATGAGACTTTCCCCTAGAGGCGAGATGAGGCCCGATTCTCCTGCAGTGCGTGCAGAGCAATTCCGTGATCCCCATCAAACAAGTCAGAAGCTTCGACTTGCTTAATGGATCTCGAGACAGTCACCAGGGAACACTGTCACATGTCTAGACGGATCCTGAGGTCACCCCATCAACGCAAAGCAGCACCATGTGCCCCAAATCAACTTGAGATGAGGTCCGATTCCCCTGCATTGACTCCAGAGCCATCTGCCGTTCCACATTAAACACGACCAGTGGCTTGACTTCTTTCAGGCAACTCCAGAGACGCCCCGAGAACACTGGCCCAAGTCTAGAGGAACACCTACTTTAGCACAGCAACTCGAGGAATGCTTCCTGTATGCCAAATCTTCTCGAGTTGAGAGCTGATTCCCTGGCTTAGGCTCAAGACGTATGCCAACTTTCCAGAAGCACCTCAAGAGGAGGCTTCTCTCAGCAATAGGTATGTGGGAGGGAACCCGAATTGCTGCCTCAAATGGAATATACAGCGAGAAGCACTAACTAGAATGGAGGCCGGTTTCCTAGCAGTGTCTTGAATACAGGCTCGTCTTTCATCTCACAGCAGGAAGAGATGTCTGAATCCCCTGTGGAGACCTTAGAGAAAGCCCTAGTTCCCTGCCTCATTTTGACGGAATGCCTCACATCCCGTTGACACCTCGAGAGTCACGCGGAGTTCACTGCTTCAAAAGCTGACGATGCCTGACTCCTCCTGAACATTGATAGGAATCCCAAAATCACTGTAGCTACAGGACAGGGTTCTTGGGTGCCCTGCCTCACTTCGAGAAGCATCCCTTTTGCCCTGCCAAGCCTCGAAGAGATTCCTGAGCTGTCCCTCGTTACTGGACAGGAGTCCTGACGTCACTGAATAAACACGAGTTTTTAAGGGCCATCCCCGCCGTAACCCGAGTACATACCCCAGGTCCCCGCCGCAAGTCGAGAAAAACCATGAGACTTTCCCCTAGATGCGAGATGAGGCCTGATTCCCTGCAGTCCATGCAGAGCATTCCCGTGATCCCAATCAAGCAAGTCAGCAGCTTCGAATTGCTTAATGGATCTCGAGAGAGTCCCCAGGAACACTGTCACAAGTCTAGACAGACACTGACATCACCCCAGCAACGCAAAGCAGCTCCAAGTACCCCACATCAACTCGCATTGAGGCCCGATTCCCATGCATTGACTCCAGACCCATCCCCCGTACCCCATTAAACACCACCAGTGGCTTGACTTCCTTCAGGCAACTCGTGAGATGCCCCGAGAACACTGTCCCAAGTCTAGAGGAATACGAACTTCAGCACAGCAACTCGAGGAATGCTCCGTGTACCCCAAATCGTTTCGAGGTGAGAGCTGATTCCATGGCTTAGGCTCAAGACGTATGCCAACTTTCCAGAAGCACCTCAAGAGGAGGCTTCTCTCAGCAATAGGTATTTGGGAGGGACCCCGAGTTTGCTGCCTCAAGTGGAATATACAGCGAGAAGCCCTAACTTCAAAGGAGGCCGGATTTCCTTGCAGTGGCTTGGATACAGGCTCGTCTTTCATCTCACAGCATGAAGGGATGTCTGAATCCCCTGTGGAGACCTTAGAGAAAGCTCTAGGTCCCTGCATCATTTTGACGGAATACCTCACATCCAGTTGACACTTCGAGAGGCACGCGGAGTTCACTGCTTCAAAAGGTGATGATGCCTGACTCGTCTTGAATATTGATAGGAATCCCAAAATCACTGTGGCTACTGGAAAGGGACATTGGTTGTCCTGCCTCACCTCGAGAAGCATACCTTTTGACCTGCCAAGCCTCGAAGAGATTCCTGAGGTGTCCCTCGTTACTAGACAGGAGTCCTGACGGCACTGAATAAACACGGGTTTTGAGGGGCCATCCCCGCCGTAACTCGAGAAGATACCCCAGGTCCCCCACGCAACTTGAGAGAAACCGTGAGACTTCCCCCTAGATGCGAGATGAGTCCTGATTCCCTGGAGTGCATGCAGAGTATTCCCGTGATCCCCATCAAACAAGTCAGGAGCTTCGACTTGCTTAATGGATCTCGAGACAGTCCCCAAGAACACTGTCACAAGTCTAGACGGACCCTGAGGTCACCCCAGCAACGCAAAGCAGCTCCATGTGCCCCAAATCAACCCGAGATGTGGCCCGATTCCCCTGCATTGACTCCAGAGCCATCCCCAGTTCCCCATTAAACAAGACAACTGGCTAGACTTCTTTCAGGCAACTCCAGAGATGCCCCGAGAACACTCTCCCAAGACTAGAGGAACACCAACTTCAGCACAGCAACTCGAGGAATGCTCCGTGTACCACAAATCGTCTCGAGATGAGAGCTGAATCCCTGGCTTAGGCTCAAGACGTATGCCAACTTTCCAGAAGCACCTCAAGAGGAGGATTCTCTCAGCAATAGGTATGTTGGAGGGACCCCGAGTTTGCTGCCTCAAGTGGAATATACAGCGAGAAGCCCTAACTTGAAAGAAGGCCGGATTTCCTTGCAGTGGCTTGAATACAGGCTCGTCTTTCATCTCACAGAATGAAGGGATGTCTGAATCCCCTGTGGAGACCTTAGAGAAAGCTATAGGTCCCTACCTCATTTTGACGGGATGCCTCACATCCCGTTGTCACCTCCAGAGGCACGCGGAGTTCACTGTTTCAAAAGGTGACGATGCCTGACTCCTCTAAAATATTGATAGGATCCCAAAATCCCTGTGGCTATTGGAAACCTTCCTTGGGTGCCCTGCCTCAAGTGGAGAAGCGTCCCTTGTGCCCTGCCAAGCCTCGAAGAGTTTCCTGATGTGTCCCTCGTTACTAGACAGGAGAACTGACGTCACTGTATAAACACGTGTTTTGAAGGGCCATCCCCGCCATAACTCGAGAACATACCCCAGTTCGCGCCGCAACTCGAGTAAAACCATGAGACTTCCCCTAGAGGCGAGATGAGGCCTGAGTCCCTGCAGTCCATTAAGAGCATTCCCGTGATCCCTATCAAGCAAGTCAGGAGCTTCGACTTGCTTAATTGAACTCGAGAAAGTCCCCAGGAACACTGTCACAAGTCTAGACAGACCCTGAGGTCACCCCAGCAATGCAAAGCAGCTGCAAGTACCCCACATCAACTCGAGATGAGGCCCGATTCCCATGCATTGACTCCAGAGCCATCCCCAGTTCCCCATTAAACAAGAAGACTGGCTTGTCTTCCTTCAGACAACTCCAGAGATGCCCCGAGAACACTGTGCCAAGACTAGAGGAACACCAACTTCAGCACAGCAACTCGAGGAATGCCCCGTGTACCACAAATCGTCTCGAGATGAGAGCTGATTCCCTGGCTTAGGCTCAAGACGTATGCCAACTTTCCAGAAGCACCTCAAGATGAGGCTTCTCTGAGCAATAGGTATGTTCGTGGGACCCCGAGTTTGCTGCCTAAAGTGGAATATACAGCGAGAAGCCCTAACTTGAATGGAGGCGGATTTCCTTGCAGTGTCTTGTATACAGGCTCGTCTTTCATCTCACAACAGGAAGGGATGTCTGAATCCCCAGTGAAGACCTTTGAGAAAGCCCTAGGTCCCTGCCTCATTGTGACGGAATGCCTCACATCCCGTTGACACCACGAGAGGCACGCGGAGTTCACTGCTTCAAAAGGTGACGATGCCTGACTCCTCTTGAATATTGATAGGAATCCCAAAATCCCTGTGGCTATTGGAAAGGTTCCTTGGGTGCCCTGCCTCATCTCGAGAAGCGTCCCTTGTGCCCCGGCAAGCCTCGAAGAGATTCCTGAGCTGTCCCTCGTTACTGGACAGGAGTCCTGACGTCACTGACTAAACACGAGTTTTTAAGGGCCATCCCCGCCGTAACCCGAGTACATACCCCAGGTCCCCGCCGCAAGTCGAGAAAAACCATGAGACTTTCCCCTAGATGCGAGATGAGGCCTGATTCCCTGCAGTCCATGCAGAGCATTCCCGTGATCCCAATCAAGCAAGTCAGCAGCTTCGAATTGCTTAATGGATCTCGAGAGAGTCCCCAGGAACACTGTCACAAGTCTAGACAGACACTGACATCACACCAGCAACGCAAAGCAGCTCCAAGTACCCCACATCAACTCGCATTGAGGCCCGATTCCCATGCATTGACTCCAGAGCCATCCCCCGTACCCCATTAAACACCACCAGTGGCTTGACTTCCTTCAGGCAACTCGTGAGATTCCCCGAGAACACTGTCCCAAGTCTAGAGGAATAAGAACTTCAGCACAGCAACTCGAGGAATGCTCCGTGTACCCCAAATCGTTTCGAGGTGAGAGCTGATTCCATGGCTTAAGCTCAAGACGTATGCCAACTTTCCAGAAGCACCTCAAGAGGAGGCTTCTCTCAGCAATAGGTATTTGGGAGGGACCCCGAGTTTGCTGCCTCAAGTGGAATATACAGCGAGAAGCCCTAACTTCAAAGGAGGCCGGATTTCCTTGCAGTGGCTTGGATACAGGCTCGTCTTTCATCTCACAGCATGAAGGGATGTCTGAATCCCCTGTGGAGACCTTAGAGAAAGCTCTAGGTCCCTGCAACATTTTGACGGAATGCCTCACATCCAGTTGACACTTCGAGAGGCACGCGGAGTTCACTGCTTCAAAAGGTGATGATGCCTGACTCGTCTTGAATATTGATAGGAATCCCAAAATCACTGTGGCTACTGGAAAGGGACATTGGTTGTCCTGCCTCACCTCGAGAAGCATACCTTTTGACCTGCCAAGCCTCGAAGAGATTCCTGAGGTGTCCCTCGTTACTAGACAGGAGTCCTGACGGCACTGAATAAACACGGGTTTTGAGGGGCCATCCCCGCCGTAACTCGAGAAGATACCCCAGGTCCCGCACGCAACTTGAGAGAAACCGTGAGACTTCCCCCTAGATGCAAGATGAGTCCTGATTCCCTGCAGTGCATGCAGAGTATTCCCGTGATCCCCATCAAACAAGTCAGGAGCTTCGACTTGCTTAATGTATCTCGAGACAGTCCCCAAGAACACTGTCACAAGTCTAGACGGACCCTGAGGTCACCCCAGCAATGCAAAGCAGCTCCATGTGCCCCAAATCAACCCGAGATGTGGCCCGATTCCCCTGCATTGACTCCAGAGCCATCCCCAGTTCCCCATTAAACAAGACAACTGGCTAGACTTCCTTCAGGCAACTCCAGAGATGCCCCGCAAACACTCTCCCAAGACTAGAGGAACACCAACTTCAGCACAGCAACTCGAGGAATGCTCCGTGTACCACAAATCGTCTCGAGATGAGAGCTGAATCCCTGGCTTAGGCTCAAGACGTATGCCAACTTTCCAGAAGCACCTCAAGAGGAGGATTCTCTCAGCAATAGGTATGTTGGAGGGACCCCGAGTTTGCTGCCTCAAGTGGAATATACAGCGAGAAGCCCTAACTTGAAAGAAGGCCGGATTTCCTTGCAGTGGCTTGAATACAGGCTCGTCTTTCATCTCACAGAATGAAGGGATGTCTGAATCCCATGTGGAGACCTTAGAGAAAGCTATAGGTCCCTACCTCATTTTGACGGGATGCCTCACATCCCGTTGTCACCTCCAGAGGCACACGGAGTTCACTGCTTCAAAAGGTGACGATGCCCGAATCCTCTAAAATATTGATAGGAATCCCAAAATCCCTGTGGCTATTGGAAACCTTCCTTGGGTGCCCTGCCTCAAGTGGAGAAGCGTCCCTTGTGCCCTGCCAAGTCTCGATGAGATTCCTGAGCTGCCCATCGTTACTGGACAGGAGTTCTGACGTCACTGAATAAACACGAGTTTTGAAGGCCATCCCCGCCGTACCCTGAGTACATACCCCAGGTCCCCACCGCAAGTCGAGAAAAACCATGACACTTTCCCCTAGAGGCGAGATGAGGCCCGATTCTCCTGCAGTGCATGCAGAGCAATTCCGTGATCCCCATCAAACAAGTCAGAAGCTTCGACTTGCTTAATGGATCTCGAGACAGTCCCCAAGAACACTGTCACATGTCTAGACGGATCCTGAGGTCATCCCATCAAGGCAAAGCAGCACCATGTGCCCCAAATCAACTCGAGATAATGCCCGATTCCCCTGCATTGACTCCAGAGCCATCCCCCGTTCCACATTAAACACAACCAGTAGCTTGAATTCCTTCAGGCAACTCCAGAGACGCCCTGAGAACACTGTCCCAAGTCTAGAGAAACACCATCTTCAGCACAGCAACTCGAGGAATGCTCCGTGTACCCCAAATCGTCTGGAGATGAGAGCTGATTCCCTGGCTTATGCTCAAGACGTATGCCAACTTTCCAGAAGCACCTCAAGGGGAGCCTTCTCTCAGCAATAGGTATGTTGGAGGGACCCCCAGATTGCTGCCTCAAGTGGAATATACACGAGAAGCCCTAACTTGAAAGGAGGACGGATTTCCTTGCAGTGGCTTGAATACAGGCTCGTCTTTCATCTCACAACAGGAAGGGATGTCTGAATCCCCTGTGGAGACCTTAGAGAAAGCCCTAGGTCCCTGCCTCGTTTTGACGGAATGTCTCACATCCCGTTGACACCTCGAGAGGCACACGGAGTTCACTGCTTCAAAATGTGACGATGCCTGACTCCTCCTGAACATTGATAGGAATCCCAAAATCACTGTAGCTACAGGACAGGGTTCTTTGGTGCCCTGCCTCACCTCGAGAAGCATCCCTTTTGCCCTGCCAAGCCTCGAAGAGATTCCTGAGGTGTCTCTCGTTACTAGACAGGAGTCCTGACATCACTGAATAAACACGTGTTTTGAAGGGCCATCCCCGCCGGAACACGAGAACATACCCCAGTTCGCGCCGCAAGTCGAGTAAAACCATGAGACTTCCCCTAGAGGCGAGATGAGGCCTGATTCCCTGCATTCCATGAAGAGCATTCCCGTGATCCCTATCAAGCAAGTCAGGAGCTTCGACTTGCTTAATTGAACTCGAGAAAGTCCCCAGGAACACTGTCACAAGTCTAGACAGACCCTGAGGTCACCCCAGCAATGCAAAGCAGCTGCAAGTACCCCACATCAACTCGAGATGAGGCCCGATTCCCAAGCATTGACTCCAGAGCCATCCCCAGTTCCCCATTAAACAAGACCACTGGCTTGTCTTCCTTCAGACACCTCCAGAGATGCCCCGAGAACACTGTCCCAAGACTAGAGGAACACCAACTTCAGCACAGCAACTCGAGGAATGCCCCGTGTACCACAAATCGTCTCGAGATGAGAGCTGATTCCCTGGCTTAGGCTCAAGACGTATGCCAACTTTCCAGAAGCACCTCAAGAGGAGGCTTCTCTCAGCAATAGGTATGGTCGTGGGACCCCGAGTTTGCTGCCTAAAGTGGAATATACAGCGAGAAGCCCTAACTTGAATGGAGGCCGGATTTCCTTGCAGTGTCTTGTATACAGGCTCGTCTTTCATCTCACAACCGGAAGGGATGTCTGAATTCCCTGTGGAGACCTTAGAGAAAGCCCTATGTCCCTGCCTCATTTTGACGGAATGCCTCACATCCCGTTGACACCACGAGAGACACGCGGAGTTCACTGCTTCAAAAGGTGACGATGCCTGACTCCTCTTGAATATTGATAGGAATCCCAAAATCCCTGTGGCTATTGGAAAGGTTCCTTGTGTGCCCTGCCTCATCTCGAGAAGCGTCCCTTGTGCCCCGGCAAGCCTCGAAGAGATTCCTGAGCTGTCCCTCGTTACTGGACAGGAGTCCTGACGTCACTGAATAAACACGTGTTTTGAAGGGCCATCGCCGCCGTAACTCGAGTACATACCCCAGGTCCCCGCCGCAACTCGAGAAAAACCATGAGACTTCCGCCTAGAGGCGAGATGAGGCCCGATTCTCCTGCAGTGCATGCAGAGCAATTCCGTGATCCCCATCAAACAAGTCAGTAGCTTCGACTTGCTTAATGGATCTCGAGACATTCCCCAAGAACACTGTCACATGTCTAGACGGACCCTGAGGTATCCCCAGCAACGCAAACCAGCTCCATGTGCCCCAAATCAACTTGAGATGAGGTCCGATTCCCCTGCATTGACTCCAGAGGCATCTGCCGTTCCACATTAAACACCACCAGTGGCTTGACTTCCTTCAGACAACTCCAGAGATGCCCCGAGAACACTGTCCCAAGTCTAGAGGAAAACCTCCTTTAGCACAGCAACTCGAGGATTGCTTCCTGTATGCCAAATCTTCTCGAGTTGAGAGCTGATTCCCTGGCGTAGGCTCAAGACGTATGCCAACTTTCCAGAAGCACCTCAAGAGGAGGCTTCTCTCAGCAATAGGTATGTGGGAGGGAACCCGAGTTTCCTGCCTCAAATGGAATATACAGCGAGAAGCACTAACTAGAATGGAGGCCGGTTTCCTAGCAGTGTCTTGAATACAGGCTCGTCTTTCATCTCACAGCAGGAAGAGATGTCTGAATCCCCTGTGGAAACCTTTGAGAAAGCCCTAGGTCCCTGCCTCATTTTGATGGAATGCCTCACATCCCGTTGACACCTCGAGAGTCACGCGGAGTTCACGGCTTCAAAAGCTGACGATGCCTGACTCCTCCCTGAACATTGATAGGAATCCCAAAATCACTGTAGCTACAGGACAGGGTTCTTGGGTGCCCTGCCTCACCTCGAGAAGCATCCCTTTTGCCCTGCCAAGCCTCGAAGAGATTCCTGAGCTGTCCCTCGTTACTGGACAGGTGTCCTGACGTCACTGAATAAACACGAGTTTTTAAGGGCCATCCCCGCCGTAACCCGAGTACATACCCCAGGTCCCCGCCGCAAGTCGAGAAAAACCATGAGACTTTCCCCTAGTGGCGAGATGAGGCCCGATTCTCCTGCAGTGCATGCAGAGCAATTCCATGATCCCCATCAAACAAGTCAGGACCTTCGACTTGCTTAATGGATCTAGAGACAGTCCCCAAGAATACTATCACATGTCTAGATGGATCCTGAGGTCACCCCATCATCGCAAAGCAGCACCATGTGCCCCACATCAACTCGAGATAATGCCCGATTCCCCTGCATTGACTCCAGAGCCATCCCCCGTTCCAGATTAAACACCACCAGTGGCTTGACTTCCTTCAGACAACTCCAGAGATGCCCTGAGAACACTGTCCCAAGTCTAGAGGAACACCATCTTCAGCACAGCAACTCGAGGAATGCTCCGTGTACCCCAAATCGTCTCGAGATGAGAGCTGATTCCCTGGCTTATGCTCAAGACGTATGCCAACTTTCCAGAAGCACCTCAAGGGGAGGCTTCTCTCAGCAATAATTATGTTGGAGGGACCCCCAGTTTGCTGCCTCAAGTGGAATATGCAACGAGAAGCCCTAACTTGAAAGGAGGCCGGGTTTCCTTGCAGTGTCTTGAATACAGGCTCGTCTTTCATCTCACAACCGGAGGGATTGTCTGAATCCCCTGTGGAGACCTTAGCGAAAGCCCTAGGTCCCTGCCTCATTTTGACGGATTGCCTCACATCCCGTTGACACCTCGGGAGGCACACGGAGTTCACTGCTTCAAATGTGACGATGCCTGACCCCTCCTGATCATTGATAAGAATCCCAAAATCACTGTGGCTACAGGACAGGGTTCTTTGGTGCCCTGCCTCACCTCGAGAAGCATCCCTTTTGCCCTGCCAAGCCTCGAAGAGATTCCTGAGGTGTCTCTCGTTACTAGACAGGAGTCCTGACATCACTGAATAAACACGTGTTTTGAAGGGCCATCCCCGCCGGAACACGAGAACATACCCCAGTTCGCGCCGCAAGTCGAGTAAAACCATGAGACTTCCCCTAGAGGCGAGATGAGGCCTGATTCCCTGCATTCCATGAAGAGCATTCCCGTGATCCCTATCAAGCAAGTCAGGAGCTTCGACTTGCTTAATTGAACTCGAGAAAGTCCCCAGGAACACTGTCACAAGTCTAGACAGACCCTGAGGTCACCCCAGCAATGCAAAGCAGCTGCAAGTACCCCACATCAACTCGAGATGAGGCCCGATTCCCAAGCATTGACTCCAGAGCCATCCCCAGTTCCCCATTAAACAAGACCACTGGCTTGTCTTCCTTCAGACACCTCCAGAGATGCCCCGAGAACACTGTCCCAAGACTAGAGGAACACCAACTTCAGCACAGCAACTCGAGGAATGCCCCGTGTACCACAAATCGTCTCGAGATGAGAGCTGATTCCCTGGCTTAGGCTCAAGACGTATGCCAACTTTCCAGAAGCACCTCAAGAGGAGGCTTCTCTCAGCAATAGGTATGGTCGTGGGACCCCGAGTTTGCTGCCTAAAGTGGAATATACAGCGAGAAGCCCTAACTTGAATGGAGGCCGGATTTCCTTGCAGTGTCTTGTATACAGGCTCGTCTTTCATCTCACAACCCGAAGGGATGTCTGAATTCCCTGTGGAGACCTTAGAGAAAGCCCTATGTCCCTGCCTCATTTTGACGGAATGCCTCACATCCCGTTGACACCACGAGAGACACGCGGAGTTCACTGCTTCAAAAGGTGACGATGCCTGACTCCTCTTGAATATTGATAGGAATCCCAAAATCCCTGTGGCTATTGGAAAGGTTCCTTGTGTGCCCTGCCTCATCTCGAGAAGCGTCCCTTGTGCCCCGGCAAGCCTCGAAGAGATTCCTGAGCTGTCCCTCGTTACTGGACAGGAGTCCTGACGTCACTGAATAAACACGTGTTTTGAAGGGCCATCGCCGCCGTAACTCGAGTACATACCCCAGGTCCCCGCCGCAACTCGAGAAAAACCATGAGACTTCCGCCTAGAGGCGAGATGAGGCCCGATTCTCCTGCAGTGCATGCAGAGCAATTCCGTGATCCCCATCAAACAAGTCAGTAGCTTCGACTTGCTTAATGGATCTCGAGACATTCCCCAAGAACACTGTCACATGTCTAGACGGACCCTGAGGTATCCCCAGCAACGCAAACCAGCTCCATGTGCCCCAAATCAACTTGAGATGAGGTCCGATTCCCCTGCATTGACTCCAGAGGCATCTGCCGTTCCACATTAAACACCACCAGTGGCTTGACTTCCTTCAGACAACTCCAGAGATGCCCCGAGAACACTGTCCCAAGTCTAGAGGAAAACCTCCTTTAGCACAGCAACTCGAGGATTGCTTCCTGTATGCCAAATCTTCTCGAGTTGAGAGCTGATTCCCTGGCGTAGGCTCAAGACGTATGCCAACTTTCCAGAAGCACCTCAAGAGGAGGCTTCTCTCAGCAATAGGTATGTGGGAGGGAACCCGAGTTTCCTGCCTCAAATGGAATATACAGCGAGAAGCACTAACTAGAATGGAGGCCGGTTTCCTAGCAGTGCCTTGAATACAGGCTCGTCTTTCATCTCACAGCAGGAAGAGATGTCTGAATCCCCTGTGGAAACCTTTGAGAAAGCCCTAGGTCCCTGCCTCATTTTGATGGAATGCCTCACATCCCGTTGACACCTCGAGAGTCACGCGGAGTTCACGGCTTCAAAAGCTGACGATGCCTGGCTCCTCCCTGAACATTGATAGGAATCCCAAAATCACTGTAGCTACAGGACAGGGTTCTTGGGTGCCCTGCCTCACCTCGAGAAGCATCCCTTTTGCCCTGCCAAGCCTCGAAGAGATTCCTGAGCTGTCCCTCGTTACTGGACAGGTGTCCTGACGTCACTGAATAAACACGAGTTTTTAAGGGCCATCCCCGCCGTAACCCGAGTACATACCCCAGGTCCCCGCCGCAAGTCGAGAAAAACCATGAGACTTTCCCCTAGTGGCGAGATGAGGCCCGATTCTCCTGCAGTGCATGCAGAGCAATTCCATGATCCCCATCAAACAAGTCAGGACCTTCGACTTGCTTAATGGATCTAGAGACAGTCCCCAAGAATACTATCACATGTCTAGATGGATCCTGAGGTCACCCCATCATCGCAAAGCAGCACCATGTGCCCCACATCAACTCGAGATAATGCCCGATTCCCCTGCATTGACTCCAGAGCCATCCCCCGTTCCAGATTAAACACCACCAGTGGCTTGACTTCCTTCAGACAACTCCAGAGATGCCCTGAGAACACTGTCCCAAGTCTAGAGGAACACCATCTTCAGCACAGCAACTCGAGGAATGCTCCGTGTACCCCAAATCGTCTCGAGATGAGAGCTGATTCCCTGGCTTATGCTCAAGACGTATGCCAACTTTCCAGAAGCACCTCAAGGGGAGGCTTCTCTCAGCAATAATTATGTTGGAGGGACCCCCAGTTTGCTGCCTCAAGTGGAATATGCAACGAGAAGCCCTAACTTGAAAGGAGGCCGGGTTTCCTTGCAGTGTCTTGAATACAGGCTCGTCTTTCATCTCACAACCGGAGGGATTGTCTGAATCCCCTGTGGAGACCTTAGCGAAAGCCCTAGGTCCCTGCCTCATTTTGACGGATTGCCTCACATCCCGTTGACACCTCGGGAGGCACACGGAGTTCACTGCTTCAAATGTGACGATGCCTGACCCCTCCTGATCATTGATAAGAATCCCAAAATCACTGTGGCTACAGGAAAGGGTTCTTGTGTGCCCTGCCTCACCTCGAGAAGCATCCCTTTTGCCCTGCCAAGGCTCGAAGAGATTCCTGAGGTGTCCCTCATTACTAGACAGGAGTCATGACGTCACTGAATAAACACGTGTTTTCAAGGGCCATGCCCGCCATAACTCGAGAACATACCCCAGGTCCCGCCGCAACTCGAGAAAAACCATGAGACTTCCCCTAGATGCGAGATGAGGCCTGATTCCCTGCAGTCCATGAAGAGCATTCCCGTGATCCCAATCAAGCAAGTCAGCAGCTTCGAATTTCTTAATGGATCTCGAGGGAGTCCCCAGGAACACTGTCACAAGTCTAGACAGACCCTGACATCACCCCAGCAACGCAAAGCAGCTCCAAGTACCCCACATCAACTCGAGTTGAGGCCCGATTCCCATGCATTGACTCCAGAGCCATCCCCCGAACCCCATTAAACACCACCAGTGGCTTGACTTCCTTCATGCAACTCGAGAGATGCCCCGAGAAAACTGCCCCAAGTCTAGAGGAATACGTACTTCAGCACAGCAACTCGAGAAATGCTCCGTGTACACCAAATCGTTTCGAGGTGAGAGCTGATTCCATGGCTTAGGCTCAAGACGTATGCCAACTTTCCAGAAACACCTCAGGAGGAGGCTTCTCTCAGCAATAGGTATTTGGGAGGGACCCCGAGTTTGCTGCCTCAAGTGGAATATACAGCGAGAAGCCCTAACTTGAAAGGAGGCCGAATTTCCTTGCAGTGGCTTGGATACAGGCTCGTCTTTCATCTCACAGCATGAAGGGATGTCTGAATCCCCTGTGGAGACCTTAGAGAAAGCTCTAGGTCCCTGCATCATTTTGACGGAATGCCTCACATCCAGTTGACACTTCGAGAGGCACGCGGAGTTCATTGCTTCAAAAGGTGATGATGCCTGACTCGCCTTGAATATTGATAGGAATCCCAAAATCACTGTGGCTACTGGAAAGGGACATTGGTTGCCCTGCCTCACCTCGAGAAGCATACCTTTTGACCTGCCAAGCCTCGAAGAGATTCCTGAGGTGTCCCTCGTTACTAGACAGGAGTCCTGACGGCACTGAATAAACACGGGTTTTGAGGGACCATCCCCGCCGTAACTCGAGAAGATACCCCAGGTCCCCCGCGCAACTTGAGAGAAACCGTGAGACTTCCCCCTAGATGCGAGATGAGTCCTGATTCCCTGCAGTGCATGCAGAGTATTCCCGTGATCCCCATCAAACAAGTCAGGAGCTTCGACTTGCTTAATGGATCTCGAGACAGTCCCCAAGAACACTGTCACAAGTCTAGACGGACCCTGAGGTCACCCCAGGAACGCAAAGCAGCTCCATGTGCCCCAAATCAACCCGAGATGTGGCCCGATTCCCCTGCATTGACTCCAGAGCCATCCCCAGTTCCCCATTAAACAAGACAACTGGCTAGACTTCCTTCAGGCAACTCCAGAGATGCCCCGCAAACACTCTCCCAAGACTAGAGGAACACCAACTTCAGCACAGCAACTCGAGGAATGCTCCGTGTACCACAAATCGTCTCGAGATGAGAGCTGAATCCCTGGCTTAGGCTCAAGACGTATGCCAACTTTCCAGAAGCACCTCAAGAGGAGGCTTCTCTCAGCAATAGGTATGTTGGAGGGACCCCGAGTTTGCTGCCTCAAGTGGAATATACAGCGAGAAGCCCTAACTTGAAAGGAGGCCGGATTTCCTTGCAGTGGCTTGAATACAGGCTCGTCTTTCATCTCACAGAATGAAGGGATGTCTGAATCCCCTGTGGAGACCTTAGAGAAAGCTCTAGGTCCCTGCCTCATTTTGACGGAATGCCTCACATCCCGTTGTCACCTAGAGAGGCACGCGGAGTTCACTGCTTCAAAATGTGATGATGCCTGACTCCTCTAAAATATTGATAGGAATCCCAAAATCCCTGTGGCTATTGGAAAGGTTCCTTGGGTGCCCTGCCTCACCTCGAGAAGCGTCCCTTGTGCCCTGCCAAGCCTCGAAGAGATTCCTGAGCTGTTCCTCGTTACTGGACAGGAGTCCTGACATCACTGAATAAACACGAGTTTTGAAGGGCCATCCCCGCCGTAAAACGAGTACATACCCCAGGTCCCCGCCGCAAGTCGAGAAAAACCATGAGACTTTCCCCTAGAGGCGAGATGAGGCCCGATTCTCCTGCAGTGCATGCAGAGCAATTCCGAGATCCCCATCAAACAAGTCAGAAGCTTCGACTTGCTTAATGGATCTCGAGACAGTCACCAGGGAACACTGTCACATGTCTAGACGGATCCTGAGGTCACCCCATCAACGCAAAGCAGCACCATGTGCCCCAAATCAACTCGAGATAATGCCCGATTCCCCTGCATTGACTCCAGAGCCATCCCCCGTTCCACATTAAACACGACCAGTGGCTTGACTTCCTTCAGGCAACTCCAGAGATGCCCTGAGAACACTGTCCCAAGTCTAGAGGAACACCATCTTCAGCCCAGCAACTCGAGGAATGCTCCGTGTACCCCAAATCGTCTCGAGATGAGAGCTGATTCGATGGCTTAGGCTCAAGACGTATGCCAACTTTCCAGAAGCACCTCAAGGGGAGCCTTCTCTCAGCAATAGGAATGTTGGAGGGACCCCCAGTTTGCTGCCTGAAGTGGAATATACAGCGAGAAGCCCTAACTTGAAAGGAGGCCGGATTTTCTTGCTGTGTCTTGAATACAGGCTCGTCTTTCATCTCACAACCGGAAGGAATGTCTGAATCCCCTGTGGAGACCTTAGAGAAAGCCCTAGGTCCCTGCCTCATTTTAACGGAATGCCTCACATACTGTTGACACCTCGAGAGGCACACAGAGTTCACTGCCTCAAAATGTGACGATGCCTGACTCCTCCTGAACATTGATAGAAATCCCAAAATCACTGTAGCTACAGGACAGGGTTCTTGGGTGCCCTGCCTGACCTCGAGAAGCATCCCTTTTGCCCTGCCAAGCCTCGAAGAGATTCCTGAGGTGTCTCTCGTTACTAGACAGGAGTCCTGACGTCACTGAATAAACACGTGTTTTGAAGGGCCATCACCGCCATAACTCGAGAACATACGCCAGTTCCCGCCGCAACTCGAGTAAAACCATGAGACTTCCCCTAGATGCGAGATGAGGCCTGATTCCCTGCAGTCCATGCAGAGCATTCCCGTGATCCCCATCAAGCAAGTCAGGAGCTTCGACTTGCTTAATGGATCTCGAGACAGTCCCCAAGAACACTGTCACATGTCTAGATGGATCCTGAGGTCACCCCATCAATGCAAAGCAGCACCATGTGCCCCAAATCAACTCGAGATAATGCCCGATTCCCCTGCATTGGCTCCAGAGCCATCCCCCGTTCCACATTAAACACGACCAGTGGCTTGACTTCCTTCAGGCAACTCCAGAGATGCCCTGAGAACACTGTCCCAAGTCTAGAGGAACACCATCTTCAGCACAGCAACTCGAGGAATGCTCCGTGTACCCCAAATCGTCTCGAGATGAGAGCTGATTCCCTGGCTTAGGCTCAAGACGGATGCCAACTTTCCAAAAGCACCTCAAGGGGAGCCTTCTCTCAGCAATAGGTATGTTGGAGGGAACCATAGTTTGCTGCCTCAAGTGGAATATACAGCGAGAAGCCCTAACTTGAATGGAGGCCGGATTTCCTTGCAGTGTCTTGTATATAGGCTCGTCTTTCATCTCACAACAGGAAGGGATGTCTGAATCCCCTGTGAAGACCTTAGAGAAAGCCCTAGGTCCCTGCCTCATTTTGACGGAATGCCTCACATCCCGTTGACACCTCGAGAGGCACGCGGAGTTCACTGCTTCAAATGTGACGATGCCTGACCCCTCCTGATCATTGATAGGAATCCCAAAATCACTGTGGCTACAGGAAAGTGTTCTTGTGTGCCCTGCCTCACCTCGAGAAGCAACCCTTTTGCCCTGCCAAGGCTCGAAGAGATTCCTGAGCTGTCCCTCGTTACTGGACAGGAGTCCTGACGTCACTAAATAAACACGAGTTTTGAAGGGCCATCCCCGCCATAAGCCGAGTACATACCCCAGGTCCCCGCCGCAAGTCGAGAAAAACCATGAGACTTTCCCCTAGAGGCGAGATGAGGCCCGATTCTCCTGCAGTGCATGCAGAGCAAATCCGTGATCCCCATCAAACAAGTCAGAAGCTTCGACTTGCTTAATGGATCTCGAGACAGTCCCCAAGAACACTGTCACATGTCTAGACGGATCCTGAGGTCACCCCATCAACGCAAAGCAGCACCATGTGCCCCAAATCAACTCGAGATAATGCCCGATTCCCCTGCATTGACTCCAGAGCCATCCCCCGTTCCACATTAAACACAACCAGTGTCTTGACTTCATTCAGGCAACTCCAGAGATGACCTGGGAACACTGTCCCAAGTCTAGAGGAACACCATCTTCAGCACAGCAACTCGAGGAATGCTCCGTGTACCCCAAATCGTCTCGAGATGAAAGCTGAATCCCTGGCTTAGGCTCAAGACGTATGCCAACTTTTCAGAAGCACCTCAAGGGGAGCCTTCTCTCAGCAATAGGTATGTTGGAGGGACCCCCAGTTTGCTGCCTCAAGTGGAATATGCAGCGAGAAGCCCTAACTTGAAAGGAGGCCGGATTTCCTTGCTGTGTCTTGAATACAGGCTCGTCTTTCATCTCACAACCGGAAGGAATATCTGAATCCCCTGTGGAGACCTTGGAGAAAGCCCTAGGTCCCTGCCTCATTTTGACGGAATGCCTCACATCCCGTTGACACCTCGAGAGGCACACGGAGTTCACTGCTTCAAAATGTGACGATGCCTGACTCCTCCTGAACATTGATAGGAATCCCAAAATCACTGTAGCTACAGGACAGGGTTCTTGGGTGCCCTGCCTGACCTCGAGAAGCATCCCTTTTGCCCTGCCAAGCCTCGGAGAGATTCCTGAGGTGTCTCTCGTTACTAGACAGGAGTCCTGACGTCACTGAATAAACACGTGTTTTGAAGGGCCACCCCCGCCGTAACTCGAGTACATACCCCAGTTCCCCGCCGCAACTCGAGAAAAACCATGAGACTTCCGCCTAGAGGCGAGATAAGGCCCGATTCTCCTGCAGTGCATGCAGAGCAATTCCGTGATCCCCATCAAACAAGTCAGGGGCTTCGACTTGCTTAATGGATCTCGAGACATTCCCCAAGAACACTGTCACATGTCTAGATGGACCCTGAGTTATCCCCAGCAACGCAAGGCAGCTCCATGTGCCCCAAATCAACTTGAGATGAGGTCCGATTCCCCTGCATTGACTCCAGAGCCATCTGCCGTTCCGCATTAAACACCACCAGTGGCTTGACCTCCTTCAGACAACTCCAGAGATGCCCCGAGAACACTGTCCCAAGTCTAGAGGAACACCTACTTTAGCACAGCAACTCGAGGAATGCTTCCTGTATGCCAAATCCTCTCGAGATGAGAGCTGATTCCCTGGTTTAGGCTCAGGACGTATGCCAACTTTCCAGAAGCACCTCAAGAGGAGGCTTCTCTCAGCAATAGGTATGTGGGAGGGAACCCGAGTTTGCTGCCTCAAAGGGAATATACAGCGAGAAGCACTAACTAGAAAGGAGGCCGGTTTCCTAGCAGTGTCTTGAATACAGGCTCGTCTTTCATCTCACAGCAGGAAGAGATGTGTGAATCCCCTGTGGAGACCTTAGAGAAAGCCCTAGGTCCCTGCTTCATTTTGACGGAATGCCTCACATCCCGTTGACACCTCGAGAGTCACGCGGAGTCCACTGCTCCAAAAGCTGACGATGCCTGACTCCTCTTGAATATTGATAGGAATCACAAAATCCCTGTGGCTATTTGAAAGTTTCCTTGGGTGCCCTGCCTCACGTCGAGAAGCGTTCCTTGTGCCTGCCAAGCCTCGAAGAGATTCCTGAGCTGTCCCTCGTTACTGGACAGGAGTCCTGACGTCACTGAATAAACACGAGTTTTTAAGGGCCATACCCGCCGTAACCCGAGTACATAACCCAGGTCCCCGCCGCAAGTCGAGAAAAACCATGAGACTTTCCCCTCTTGGCGAGATGAGGCCCGATTCTCCTGCAGTGCATGCAGAGCAATTCCGTGATCCCCATCAAACAAGTCAGGACCTTCGACTTGCTTAATGGATCTCGAGACAGTCCCCAAGAATACTGTCACATATCTAGACGGATCCTGAGGTCACCCCATCAACGCAAAGCAGCACCATGTGCCCCACATCAACTCGAGATAAAGCCCGATTCCCCTGCATTGACTCCAGAGCCATCCCCCGTTCCACATTAAAAACCACCAGTGGCTTGACTTCCTTCAGACAACTCCAGAGATGCCCTGAGAACACTGTCCCAAGTCTAGAGGAACACCATCTTCAGCACAGCAACTCGAGGAATGCTCCGTGTACCCCAAATCGTCTCGAGATGAGAGCTGATCCCTGGCTTAGGCTCAAGACGTATGCCAACTTTCCAGAAGCACCTCAAGGGGAGGCTTCTCCAGCAATAGGTATGTTGGAGGGACCCCCAGTTTCCTGCCTCAAGTGGAATATGCAGCGAGAAGCCTTAACTTGAAAGGAGGCCGGGTTTCCCTGCAGTGTCTTGAATACAGGCTCGACTTTCATCTCACAACCGGAAGGAAAGTCTGAATCCCCTGTGGAGACCTTAGCGATAGCCCTAGGTCCCTGCCTCATTTTGACGGAATGCCTCACATCCCGTTGACACCTCGAGAGGCACGCGGAGTTCACTGCTTCAAAATGTGAGGATGCCTGACTCCTCCTGAACATTGATAGGAATCCCAAAATTACTGTAGCTACAGGACAGGGTCCTTGGGTGCCCTGCCTCACCTCGAGAAGCAACCCTTTTGCCCTGCCAAGCCTCGAAGAGATTCCTGAGGTGTCTCTCGTTACTAGACAGGAGTCCTGACGTCACTGAATAAACACGTGTTTTGAAGGGCCAACCCCGCCATAACTCAAGAACATACCCCAGTTCCCGCCGCAACTCGAGTAAAACCATGAGACTTCCCCTGGATGCGAGATGAGGCCTGATTCCCTGCAGTCCATGCAGAGCATTCCCGTGATCCCCATCAAGCAAGTCAGGAGCTTCGACTTGCTTAATTCAACTCGAGAAAGTACCAAGGAACACTGTCACAAGTCTAGACAGACCCTGAGGTCACCCCAGCAATGCAAAGCAGCTGCAAGTACCCCACATCAACTCGAGATGAGGCCCGATTCCCATGCATTGACTCCAGAGCCATCCCCCGTTCCACATTAAACACGACCAGTGGCTTGACTTCTTTCAGGCAACTCCAGAGATGCCCTGAGAACACTGTCCCAAGTCTAGAGGAACACCATCTTCAGCACAGCAACTCGAGGAATGCTCCGTGTACCCCAAATCGTCTCGAGATGAGAGCTGATTCCCTGGCTTAGGCTCAAGACGTATGCCAACTTTCCAGAAGCACCTCAAGGGGAGCCTTCTCTCAGCAATAGGTATGTTGGAGGGACCCCCAGTTTGCTGCCTCAAGTGGAATATACAGCGAGAAGCCCTAACTTGAAAGGAGGCCGGATTTCCTTGCAGTGGCTTGAATAAAGGTTCGTCTTTCATCTCACAGAATGAAGGGATGTCTGAATCCCCTGTGGAGACCTTAGAGAAAGCTATAGGTCCCTGCCTCATTTTGACGGAATGCCTCACATCCCGTTGTCACCTCGAGAGGCACGCGGAGTTCACGGCTTCAAAAAGTGACGATGCCTGACTCCTCTAAAATATTGATAGGAATCCCAAAATCCCTGTGGCTATTGGAAAGGTTCCTTGGGTGCCCTGCCTCACCTCGAGAAGCGTCCCTTGTGCCCTGCCAAGCCTCGAAGAGATTCCTGAGGTGTCTCTCGTTACTAGACAGGAGTCCTGACGTCACTGAATAAACACGTGTTTTGAACGGCCATCCCGCCATAACTCGAGAACATACCCCAGTTCCCGACGCAACTCGAGTAAAACCATGAGACTTCCCCTAGATGCGAGATGAGGCCTGATTCCCTGCAGTCCATGCAGAGCATTCCCGTGATCCCCATCAAGCAAGTCAGGAGCTTCGACTTGCTACATGGATCTCGAGACAGTCCCCAAGAACACTGTCACATGTCTAGATGGATCCTGAGATCACCCCATCAACCCAAAGCAGCACCATGTGCCCCAAATCAACTCGAGATAATGCCCGATTACCCTGCATTGACTCCAGAGCCATCCCCCGTTCCACATTAAACACCACCAGTGGCTTGACTTCCTTCAGGCAACTCCAGAGATGCCCCGAGAACACTGTCCCAAGTCTTGAGGAATACGAACTTCAGCACAGCAACTCGAGGAATGCCCCGTGTACCACAAATCATCTCGAGATGAGAGCTGATTCCCTCGCTTAGGCTCAAGACGTATGCCAACTTTCCAGAAGCACCTCAAGAGGAGGCTTCTCTCAGCAATAGGTATGTTCGTGGGACCCCGAGTTTGCTGCCTAAAGTGGAATATACAGCGAGAAGCCCTAACTTGAAAGGAGGCCGGATTTCCTTGCAGTGTCTTGTATACAGGCTCGTCTTTCATCTCACAACAGGAAAGGATGTCTGAATCCCCTGTGGAGACCTTAGAGAAAGCTCTAGGTCCCTGCCTCATGTTGACGGAATGCCTCACATCCCGTTGTCACCTCAAGAGGCAAGCGGAATTCACTGCTTCAAAAGGTGACGATGCCTGACTCCTCTTAAATAATGATAGGAATCCCAAAATCCCTGTGGCTATTGGAAAGTTTCCTTGGGTGCCCTGCCTCACCTCGAGAAGCGTCCCTTGTGCCCTGCCAAGCCTCGAAGAGATTCCTGAGCTGTCCCTCGTTACTAGACAGGAGTCCTGACGTCAATGAATAAACACGAGTTTTGAAGGGCCATCCCCGCCATAAGCCGAGTACATACCCCAGGTCCCCGCCGCAAGTCGAGAAAAACTGTGAGACTTTCCCCTAGAGGCGAGATGAGGCCCGATTCTCCTACAGTGCATGCAGAGCAATTCCGTGATCCCCATTAAACAAGTCAGAAGCTTCGACTTGCTTAATGGATCTCCACACAGTCCCCAAGAACACTGTCACATGTCTAGACGGATCCTGAGGTCACCCCATCAACGCAAAGCAGCACCATGTGCCCCAAATCAACTCGGGATAATGCCCGATTCCCCTGCATTGACCCCAGAGCCATCCCCCGTTCCACATTAAACACGACCAGTGGCTTGACTTCCTTCAGGCAACTCCAGAGATGCCCTGAGAACACTGTCCCAAGTCTAGAGGAACACCATCTTCAGCACAGCAACTCGAGGAATGCTCCGTGTACCCCAAATCGTCTCGAGATGTGAGCTGATTCCCTGGCTTAGGCTCAAGACGTATGCCAACTTTCCAGAAGCACCTCAAGGGGAGCCTTCTCTCAGCAATAGGTATGTTGGAGGGACCACCAGTTTGCTGCCTCAAGTGGAATATGCAGCGAGAAGCCCTAACTTGAAAGGAGGCCAGATTTCCTTGCTGTGTCTTGAATACAGGCTCGTCTTTCATCTCACAACCAGAAGGAATGTCTGAATCCCCTGTGGAGACCTTAGAGAAAGCCCTAGGTCCCTGCCTCATTTTGACGGAATGCCTCACATCCCGTTGACACCTCGAGAGGCACACGGAGTTCACTGCTTCAAAATGTGACGATGCCTGTCTCCTCCTGAACATTGATAGGAATCCCAAAATCACTGTGGCTACTGGAAAGGTTTCTTGTGTGCCCTGCCTCACCTCGAGAAGCATCCCTTTTGCCCTGCCAAGCCTCCAAGAGATTCCTGATGTATCCCTCGTTACTAGACAGGAGAACTGACGTCACTGTATAAACACGTGTTTTGAAGGGCCATCCCCGCCATAACTCGAGAACATACCCCAGTTCGCGCCGCAACTCGAGTAAAACCATGAGACTTCCCCTAGAGGCGAGATGAGGCCTGAGTTCCTGCAGTCCATTAAGAGCATTCCCGTGATCCCTATCAAGCAAGTCAGGAGCTTCGACTTGCTTAATTGAACTCGAGAAAGTCCCCAGGAACACTGTCACAAGTCTAGACAGACCCTGAGGTCACCCCAGCAATGCAAAGCAGCTGCAAGTACCCCACATCAACTCGAGATGAGGCCCGATTCCCATGCATTGACTCCAGAGCCATCCCCAGTTCCCCATTAAACAAGAAGACTGGCTTGTCTTCCTTCAGACAACTCCAGAGATGCCCCGAGAACACTGTGCCAAGACTAGAGGAACACCAACTTCAGCACAGCAACTCGAGGAATGCCCCGTGTACCACAAATCGTCTCGAGATGAGAGCTGATTCCCTGGCTTAGGCTCAAGACGTATGCCAACTTTCCAGAAGCACCTCAAGATGAGGCTTCTCTCAGCAATAGGTATGTTCGTGGGACCCCGAGTTTGCTGCCTAAAGTGGAATATACAGCGAGAAGCCCTAACTTGAATGGAGGCGGATTTCCTTGCAGTGTCTTGTGTACAGGCTCGTCTTTCATCTCACAACAGGAAGGGATGTCTGAATCCCCTGTGAAGACCTTTGAGAAAGCCCTAGGTCCCTGCCTCATTGTGACGGAATGCCTCACATCCCGTTGACACCACGAGAGGCACGCGGAGTTCACTGCTTCAAAAGGTGACGATGCCTGACTCCTCTTGAATATTGATAGGAATCCCAAAATCCCTGTGGCTATTGGAAAGGTTCCTTGGGTGCCCTGCCTCATCTCGAGAAGCGTCCCTTGTGCCCCGGCAAGCCTCGAAGAGATTCCTGAGCTGTCCCTCGTTACTGGACAGGAGTCCTGACGTCACTGACTAAACACGAGTTTTTAAGGGCCATCCCCGCCGTAACCCGAGTACATACCCCAGGTCCCCGCCGCAAGTCGAGAAAAACCATGAGACTTTCCCCTAGATGCGAGATGAGGCCTGATTCCCTGCAGTCCATGCAGAGCATTCCCGTGATCCCAATCAAGCAAGTCAGCAGCTTCAAATTGCTTAATGGATCTCGAGAGAGTCCCCAGGAACACTGTCACAAGTCTAGACAGACACTGACATCACACCAGCAACGCAAAGCAGCTCCAAGTACCCCAAATCAACTCGCATTGAGGCCCGATTCCCATGCATTGACTCCAGAGCCATCCCCCGTACCCCATTAAACACCACCAGTGGCTTGACTTCCTTCAGGCAACTCGTGAGATTCCCCGAGAACACTGTCCCAAGTCTAGAGGAATAAGAACTTCAGCACAGCAACTCGAGGAATGCTCCGTGTACCCCAAATCGTTTCGAGGTGAGAGCTGATTCCATGGCTTAAGCTCAAGACGTATGCCAACTTTCCAGAAGCACCTCAAGAGGAGGCTTCTCTCAGCAATAGGTATTTGGGAGGGACCCCGAGTTTGCTGCCTCAAGTGGAATATACAGCGAGAAGCCCTAACTTGAAAGGAGGCCGGATTTCCTTGCAGTGGCTTGGATACAGGCTCTTCTTTCATCTCACAGCATGAAGGGATGTCTGAATCCCCTGTGGAGACCTTAGAGAAAGCTCTAGGTCCCTGCATCATTTTGACGGAATGCCTCACATCCAGTTGACACTTCGAGAGGCACGCGGAGTTCACTGCTTCAAAAGGTGATGATGCCTGACTCCTCTTGAATATTGATAGGAATCCCAAAATCACTGTGGCTACTGGAAAGGGACATTGGTTTTCCTGCCTCACCTGGAGAAGCATACCTTTTGACCTGCCAAGCCTCGAAGAGATTCCTGAGGTGTCCCTCGTTACTAGACAGGAGTCCTGACGGCACTGAATAAACACGGGTTTTGAGGGGCCATCCCCGCCGTAACTCGAGAAGATACCCCAGGTCCCCCACGCAACTTGAGAGAAACCGTGAGACTTCCCCCTAGATGCAAGATGAGTCCTGATTCCCTGCAGTGCATGCAGAGTATTCCCGTGATCCCCATCAAACAAGTCAGGAGCTTCGACTTGCTTAATGGATCTCGAGACAGTCCCCAAGAACACTGTCACAAGTCTAGACGGACCCTGAGGTCACCCCAGCAATGCAAAGCAGCTCCATGTGCCCCAAATCAACCCGAGATGTGGCCCGATTCCCCTGCATTGACTCCAGAGCCATCCCCAGTTCCCCATTAAACAAGACAACTGGCTAGACTTCCTTCAGGCAACTCCAGAGATGCCCCGCAAACACTCTCCCAAGACTAGAGGAACACCAACTTCAGCACAGCAACTCGAGGAATGCTCCGTGTACCACAAATCGTCTCGAGATGAGAGCTGAATCCCTGGCTTAGGCTCAAGACGTATGCCAACTTTCCAGAAGCACCTCAAGAGGAGGATTCTCTCAGCAATAGGTATGTTGGAGGGACCCCGAGTTTGCTGCCTCAAGTGGAATATACAGCGAGAAGCCCTAACTTGAAAGAAGGCCGGATTACCTTGCAGTGGCTTGAATACAGGCTCGTCTTTCATCTCACAGAATGAAGGGATGTCTGAATCCCATGTGGAGACCTTAGAGAAAGCTCTAGGTACCTGCCTCATTTTGACGGGATGCCTCACATCCCGTTGTCACCTCCAGAGGCACACGGAGTTCACTGATTCAAAAGGTGACGATGCCCGACTCCTCTAAAATATTGATAGGAATCCCAAAATCCCTGTGGCTATTGGAAACCTTCCTTGGGTGCCCTGCCTCAAGTGGAGAAGCGTCCCTTGTGCCCTGCCAAGTCTCGATGAGATTCCTGAGCTGCCCATCGTTACTGGACAGGAGTTCTGACGTCACTGAATAAACACGAGTTTTGAAGGCCATCCCCGCCGTACCCCGAGTACATACCCCAGGTCCCCACCGCAAGTCGAGAAAAACCATGACACTTTCCCCTAGAGGCGAGATGAGGCCCGATTCTCCTGCAGTGCATGCAGAGCAATTCCGTGATCCCCATCAAACAAGTCAGAAGCTTCGACTTGCTTAATGGATCTCGAGACAGTCCCCAAGAACACTGTCACATGTCTAGACGGATCCTGAGGTCACCCCATCAAGGCAAAGCAGCACCATGTGCCCCAAATCAACTCGAGATAATGCCCGATTCCCCTGCATTGACTCCAGAGCCATCCCCCGTTCCACATTAAACACGACCAGTAGCTTGACTTCCTTCAGGCAACTCCAGAGACGCCCTGAGAACACTGTCCCAAGTCTAGAGAAACACCATCTTCAGCACAGCAACTCGAGGAATGCTCCGTGTACCCCAAATCGTCTCGAGATGAGAGCTGATTCCCTGGCTTATGCTCAAGACGTATGCCAACTTTCCAGAAGCACCTCAAGGGGAGCCTTCTCTCAGCAATAGGTATGTTGGAGGGACCCCCAGATTGCTGCCTCAAGTGGAATATACACGAGAAGCCCTAACTTGAAAGGAGGACGGATTTCCTTGCAGTGGCTTGAATACAGGCTCGTCTTTCATCTCACAACAGGAAGGGATGTCTGAATCCCCTGTGGAGACCTTAGAGAAAGCCCTAGGTCCCTGCCTCGTTTTGACGGAATGTCTCACATCCCGTTGACACCTCGAGAGGCACACGGAGTTCACTGCTTCAAAATGTGACGATGCCTGACTCCTCCTGAACATTGATAGGAATCCCAAAATCACTGTAGATACAGGACAGGGTTCTTTGGTGCCCTGCCTCACCTCGAGAAGCATCCCTTTTGCCCTGCCAAGCCTCTAAGAGATTCCTGATGTGTCTCTCGTTACTAGACAGGAGTCCTGACATCACTGAATAAACACGTGTTTTGAAGGGCCATCCCCGCCGGAACACGAGAACATACCCCAGTTCGCGCCGCAAGTCGAGTAAAACCATGAGACTTCCCCTAGAGGCGAGATGAGGCCTGATTCCCTGCAGTCCATGAAGAGCATTCCCGTGATCCCTATCAAGCAAGTCAGGAGCTTCAACTTGCTTAATTGAACTCGAGAAAGTCCCCAGGAACACTGTCACAAGTCTAGACAGACCCTGAGGTCACCCCAGCAATGCAAAGCAGCTGCAAGTACCCCACATCAACTCGAGATGAGGCCCGATTCCCAAGCATTGACTCCAGAGCCATCCCCAGTTCCCCATTAAACAAGACCACTGGCTTGTCTTCCTTCAGACACCTCCAGAGATGCCCCGAGAACACTGTCCCAAGACTAGAGGAACACCAACTTCAGCACAGCAACTCGAGGAATGCCCCGTGTACCACAAATCGTCTCGAGATGAGAGCTGATTCCCTGGCTTAGGCTCAAGACGTATGCCAACTTTCCAGAAGCACCTCAAGAGGAGGCTTCTCTCAGCAATAGGTATGGTCGTGGGACCCCGAGTTTGCTGCCTCAAGTGGAATATACAGCGAGAAGCCCTAACTTGAATGGAGGCCGGATTTCCTTGCAGTGTCTTGTATACAGGCTCGTCTTTCATCTCACAACCGGAAGGGATGTCTGAATCCCCTGTGGAGACCTTAGAGAAAGCCCTATGTCCCTGCCTCATTTTGACGGAATGCCTCACATCCCGTTGACACCACGAGAGACACGCGGAGTTCACTGCTTCAAAAGGTGACGATGCCTGACTCCTCTTGAATATTGATAGGAATCCCAAAATCCCTGTGGCTATTGGAAAGGTTCCTTGTGTGCCCTGTCTCATCTCGAGAAGCGTCCCTTGTGCCTCGGCAAGCCTCGAAGAGATTCCTGAGCTGTCCCTCGTTACTGGACAGGAGTCCTGACGTCACTGAATAAACACGTGTTTTGAAGGGCCATCGCCGCCGTAACTCGAGTACATACCCCAGGTCCCCGCCGCAACTCGAGAAAAACCATGAGACTTCCGCCTAGAGGCGAGATGAGGCCCGATTCTCCTGCAGTGCATGCAGAGCAATTCCGTGATCCCCATCAAACAAGTCAGGAGCTTCGACTTGCTTAATGGATCTCGAGACATTCCCCAAGAACACTGTCACATGTCTAGACGGAACCTGAGGTATCCCCAGCAACGCAAACCAGCTCCATGTGCCCCAAATCAACTTGAGATGAGGTCCGATTCCCCTGCATTGACTCCAGAGGCATCTGCCGTTCCACATTAAACACCACCAGTGGCTTGACCTCCTTCAGACAACTCCAGAGATGCCCCGAGAACACTGTCCCAAGTCTAGAGGAAAACCTCCTTTAGCACAGCAACTCGAGGATTGCTTCCTGTATGCCAAATCTTCTCGAGTTGAGAGCTGATTCCCTGGCGTAGGCTCAAGACGTATGCCAACTTTCCAGAAGCACCTCAAGAGGAGGCTTCTCTCAGCAATAGGTATGTGGGAGGGAACCCGAGTTTCCTGCCTCAAATGGAATATACAGCGAGAAGCACTAACTAGAATGGAGGCCGGTTTCCTAGCAGCGTCTTGAATACAGGCTCGTCTTTCATCTCACAGCAGGAAGAGATGTCTGAATCCCCTGTGGAGACCTTAGAGAAAGCCCTAGGTCCCTGCCTCATTTTGATGGAATGCCTCACATCCCGTTGACACCTCGAGAGTCACGCGGAGTTCACTGCTTCAAAAGCTGACGATGCCTGACTCCTCCCTGAACATTGATAGGAATCCCAAAATCACTGTAGCTACAGGACAGGGTTCTTGGGTGCCCTGCCTCACCTCGAGAAGCATCCCTTTTGCCCTGCCAAGCCTCGAAGAGATTCCTGAGCTGTCCCTCGTTACTGGACAGGTGTCCTGACGTCACTGAATAAACACGAGTTTTTAAGGGCCATCCCCGCCGTAACCCGAGTACATACCCCAGGTCCCCGCCGCAAGTCGAGAAAAACCATGAGACTTTCCCCTAGTGGCGAGATGAGGCCCGATTCTCCTGCAGTGCATGCAGAGCAATTCCATGATCCCCATCAAACAAGTCAGGACCTTCGACTTGCTTAATGGATCTAGAGACAGTCCCCAAGAATACTATCACATGTCTAGATGGATCCTGAGGTCACCCCATCAACGCAAAGCAGCACCATGTGCCCCACATCAACTCGAGATAATGCCCGATTCCCCTGCATTGACTCCAGAGCCATCCCCCGTTCCAGATTAAACACCACCAGTGGCTTGACTTCCTTCAGACAACTCCAGAGATGCCCTGAGAACACTGTCCCAAGTCTAGAGGAACACCATCTTCAGCACAGCAACTCGAGGAATGCTCCGTGTACCCCAAATCGTCTCGAGATGAGAGCTGATTCCCTGGCTTATGCTCAAGACGTATGCCAACTTTCCAGAAGCACCTCAAGGGGAGGCTTCTCTCAGCAATAATTATGTTGGAGGGACCCCCAGTTTGCTGCCTCAAGTGGAATATGCAACGAGAAGCCCTAACTTGAAAGGAGGCCGGGTTTCCTTGCAGTGTCTTGAATACAGGCTCGTCTTTCATCTCACAACCGGAGGGATTGTCTGAATCCCCTGTGGAGACCTTAGCGAAAGCCCTAGGTCCCTGCCTCATTTTGACGGATTGCCTCACATCCCGTTGACACCTCGGGAGGCACACGGAGTTCACTGCTTCAAATGTGACGATGCCTGACCCCTCCTGATCATTGATAAGAATCCCAAAATCACTGTGGCTACAGGAAAGGGTTCTTGTGTGCCCTGCCTCACCTCGAGAAGCATCCCTTTTGCCCTGCCAAGGCTCGAAGAGATTCCTGAGGTGTCCCTCATTACTAGACAGGAGTCATGACGTCACTGAATAAACACGTGTTTTCAAGGGCCATGCCCGCCATAACTCGAGAACATACCCCAGGTCCCGCCGCAACTCGAGAAAAACCATGAGACTTCCCCTAGATGCGAGATGAGGCCTGATTCCCTGCAGTCCATGAAGAGCATTCCCGTGATCCCAATCAAGCAAGTCAGCAGCTTCGAATTTCTTAATGGATCTCGAGAGAGTCCCCAGGAACACTGTCACAAGTCTAGACAGACCCTGACATCACCCCAGCAACGCAAAGCAGCTCCAAGTACCCCACATCAACTCGAGTTGAGGCCCGATTCCCATGCATTGACTCCAGAGCCATCCCCCGTACCCCATTAAGCACCACCAGTGGCTTGACTTCCTTCATGCAACTCGAGAGATGCCCCGAGAAAACTGCCCCAAGTCTAGAGGAATACGAACTTCAGCACAGCAACTCGAGAAATGCTCCGTGTACCCCAAATCGTTTCGAGGTGAGAGCTGATTCCATGGCTTAGGCTCAAGACGTATGCCAACTTTCCAGAAACACCTCAGGAGGAGGCTTCTCTAAGCAATAGGTATTTGGGAGGGACCCCGAGTTTGCTGCCTCAAGTGGAATATACAGCGAGAAGCCCTAACTTGAAAGGAGGCCGAATTTCCTTGCAGTGGCTTGGATACAGGCTCGTCTTTCATCTCACAGCATGAAGGGATGTCTGAATCCCCTGTGGAGACCTTAGAGAAAGCTCTAGGTCCCTGCATCATTTTGACGGAATGCCTCACATCCAGTTGACACTTCGAGAGGCACGCGGAGTTCATTGCTTCAAAAGGTGATGATGCCTGACTCGCCTTGAATATTGATAGGAATCCCAAAATCACTGTGGCTACTGGAAAGGGACATTGGTTGCCCTGCCTCACCTCGAGAAGCATACATTTTGACCTGCCAAGCCTCGAAGAGATTCCTGAGGTGGCCCTCGTTACTAGACAGGAGTCCTGACGGCACTGAATAAACACGGGTTTTGAGGGACCATCTCCGCCGTAACTCGAGAAGATACCCCAGGTCCCCCGCGCAACTTGAGAGAAACCGTGAGACTTCCCCCTAGATGCGAGATGAGTCCTGATTCCCTGCAGTGCATGCAGAGTATTCCCGTGATCCCCATCAAACAAGTCAGGAGCTTCGACTTGCTTAATGGATCTCGAGACAGTCCCCAAGAACACTGTCACAAGTCTAGACGGACCCTGAGGTCACCCCAGCAACGCAAAGCAGCTCCATGTGCCCCAAATCAACCCGAGATGTGGCCCGATTCCCCTGCATTGACTCCAGAGCCATCCCCAGTTCCCCATTAAACAAGACAACTGGCTAGACTTCCTTCAGGCAACTCCAGAGATGCCCCGCAAACACTCTCCCAAGACTAGAGGAACACCAACTTCAGCACAGCAACTCGAGGAATGCTCCGTGTACCACAACTCGTCTCGAGATGAGAGCTGAATCCCTGGCTTAGGCTCAAGACGTATGCCAACTTTCCAGAAGCACCTCAAGAGGAGGCTTCTCTCAGCAATAGGTATGTTGGAGGGACCCCGAGTTTGCTGCCTCAAGTGGAATATACAGCGAGAAGCCCTAACTTGAAAGGAGGCCGGATTTCCTTGCAGTGGCTTGAATACAGGCTCGTCTTTCATCTCACAGAATGAAGGGATGTCTGAATCCCCTGTGGAGACCTTAGAGAAAGCTCTAGGTCCCTGCCTCATTTTGACGGAATGCCTCACATCCCGTTGTCACCTAGAGAGGCACGCGGAGTTCACTGCTTCAAAATGTGATGATGCCTGACTCCTCTAAAATATTGATAGGAATCCCAAAATCCCTGTGGCTATTGGAAAGGTTCCTTGGGTGCCCTGCCTCACCTCGAGAAGCGTCCCTTGTGCCCTGCCAAGACTCGAAGAGATTCCTGAGCTGTTCCTCGTTACTGGACAGGAGTCCTGACATCACTGAATAAACACGAGTTTTGAAGGGCCATCCCCGCCGTAAAACGAGTACATACCCAAGGTCCCCGCCGCAAGTCGAGAAAAACCATGAGACTTTCCCCTAGAGGCGAGATGAGGCCCGATTCTCCTGCAGTGCATGCAGAGCAATTCCGAGATCCCCATCAAACAAGTCAGAAGCTTCGACTTGCTTAATGGATCTCGAGACAGTCACCAGGGAACACTGTCACATGTCTAGACGGATCCTGAGGTCACCCCATCAACGCAAAGCAGCACCATGTGCCCCAAATCAACTCGAGATAATGCCCGATTCCCCTGCATTGACTCCAGAGCCATCCCCCGTTCCACATTAAACACGACCAGTGGCTTGACTTCCTTCAGGCAACTGCAGAGATGCCCTGAGAACACTGTCCCAAGTCTAGAGGAACACCATCTTCAGCCCAGCAACTCGAGGAATGCTCCGTGTACCCCAAATCGTCTCGAGATGAGAGCTGATTCGATGGCTTAGGCTCAAGACGTATGCCAACTTTCCAGAAGCACCTCGAGGGGAGCCTTCTCTCAGCAATAGGAATGTTGGAGGGACCCCCAGTTTGCTGCCTCAAGTGGAATATACAGCGAGAAGCCCTAACTTGAAAGGAGGCCGGATTTTCTTGCTGTGTCTTGAATACAGGCTCGTCTTTCATCTCACAACCGGAAGGAATGTCTGAATCCCCTGTGGAGACCTTAGAGAAAGCCCTAGGTCCCTGCCTCATTTTAACGGAATGCCTCACATACCGTTGACACCTCGAGAGGCACACGGAGTTCACTGCCTCAAAATGTGACGATGCCTGACTCCTCCTGAACATTGATAGGAATCCCAAAATCACTGTAGCTACAGGACAGGGTTCTTGGTGCCCTGCCTGACCTCGAGAAGCATCCCTTTTGCCCTGCCAAGTCTCGAAGAGATTCCTGAGGTGTCTCTCGTTACTAGACAGGAGTCCTGACGTCACTGAATAAACACGTGTTTTGAAGGGCCATCACCGCCATAACTCGAGAACATACGCCAGTTCCCGCCGCAACTCGAGTAAAACCATGAGACTTCCCCTAGATGCGAGATGAGGCCTGATTCCCTGCAGTCCATGCAGAGCATTCCCGTGATCCCCATCAAGCAAGTCAGGAGCTTCGACTTGCTTAATGGATCTCGAGACAGTCCCCAAGAACACTGTCACATGTCTAGATGGATCCTGAGGTCACCCCATCAATGCAAAGCAGCACCATGTGCCCCAAATCAACTCGAGATAATGCCCGATTCCCCTGCATTGACTCCAGAGCCATCCCCCGTTCCACTTTAAACACGACCAGTGGCTTGACTTCCTTCAGGCAACTCCAGAGATGCCCTGAGAACACTGTCCCAAGTCTAGAGGAACACCATCTTCAGCACAGCAACTCGAGGAATGCTCCGTGTACCCCAAATCGTCTCGAGATGAGAGCTGATTCCCTGGCTTAGGCTCAAGACGGATGCCAACTTTCCAAAAGCACCTCAAGGGGAGCCTTCTCTCAGCAATAGGTATGTTGGAGGGAACCCCAGTTTGCTGCCTCAAGTGGAATATACAGCGAGAAGCCCTAACTTGAATGGAGGCCGGATTTCCTTGCAGTGTCTTGTATATAGGCTCGTCTTTCATCTCACAACAGGAAGGGATGTCTGAATCCCCTGTGAAGACCTTAGAGAAAGCCCTAGGTCCCTGCCTCATTTTGACGGAATGCCTCACATCCCGTTGTCACCTCGAGAGGCACGCGGAGTTCACTGCTTCAAATGTGACGATGCCTGACCCCTCCTGATCATTGATAGGAATCCCAAAATCACTGTGGCTACAGGAAAGTGTTCTTGTGTGCCCTGCCTCACCTCGAGAAGCAACCCTTTTGCCCTGCCAAGGCTCGAAGAGATTCCTGAGCTGTCCCTCGTTACTGGACAGGAGTCCTGACGTCACTGAATAAACACGAGTTTTGAAGGGCCATCCCTGCCATAAGCCGAGTACATACCCCAGGTCCCCGCCGCAAGTCGAGAAAAACCATGAGACTTTCCCCTAGAGGCGAGATGAGGCCCGATTCTCCTGCAGTGCATGCAGAGCAATTCCGTGATCCCCATCAAACAAGTCAGAAGCTTCGACTTGCTTAATGGATCTCGAGACAGTCCCCAAGAACACTGTCACATGTCTAGACGGATCCTGAGGTCACCCCATCAACGCAAAGCAGCACCATGTGCCCCAAATCAACTCGAGATAATGCCCGATTCCCCTGCATTGACTCCAGAGCCATCCCCCGTTCCACATTAAACACAACCATTGTCTTGACTTCCTTCAGGCAACTCCAGAGATGACCTGAGAACACTGTCCCAAGTCTAGAGGAACACCATCTTCAGCACAGCAACTCGAGGAATGCTCCGTGTACCCCAAATCGTCTCGAGATGAAAGCTGAATCCCTGGCTTAGGCTCAAGACGTATGCCAACTTTTCAGAAGCACCTCAAGGGGAGCCTTCTCTCAGCAATAGGTATGTTGGAGGGACCCCCAGTTTGCTGCCTCAAGTGGAATATGCAGCGAGAAGCCCTAACTTGAAAGGAGGCCGGATTTCCTTGCTGTGTCTTGAATACAGGCTCGTCTTTCATCTCACAACCGGAAGGAATGTCTGAATCCCCTGTGGAGACCTTAGAGAAAGCCCTAGGTCCCTGCCTCATTTTGACGGAATGCCTCACATCCCGTTGACACCTCGAGAGGCACACGGAGTTCACTGCTTCAAAATGTGACGATGCCTGACTCCTCCTGAACATTGATAGGAATCCCAAAATCACTGTAGCTACAGGACAGGGTTCTTGGGTGCCCTGCCTGACCTCGAGAAGCATCCCTTTTGCCCTGCCAAGCTTCGGAGAGATTCCTGAGGTGTCTCTCGTTACTAGACAGGAGTCCTGACGTCACTGAATAAACACGTGTTTTGAAGGGCCATCGCCGCCGTAACTCGAGTATATACCCCAGGTCCCCGCCGCAACTCGAGAAAAACCATGAGACTTCCGCCTAGAGGCGAGATGAGGCCCGATTCTCCTGCAGTGCATGCAGAGCAATTCCGTGATCCCCATCAAACAAGTCAGGAGCTTCGACTTGCTTAATGGATCTCGAGACATTCCCCAAGAACACTGTCACATGTCTAGACGGACCCTGAGGTATCCCCAGCAACGCAAAGCAGCTCCATGTGCCCCAAATCAACTTGAGATGAGGTCCGATTCCCCTGCATTGACTCCAGAGCCATCTGCCGTTCCGCATTAAACACCACCAGTGGCTTGACCTCCTTCAGACAACTCCAGAGATGCCCCGAGAACACTGTCCCAAGTCTAGAGGAACACCTACTTTAGCACAGCAACTCGAGGAATGCTTCCTGTATGCCAAATCCTCTCGAGATGAGAGCTGATTCCCTGGTTTAGGCTCAAGACGTATGCCAACTTTCCAGAAGCACCTCAAGAGGAGGCTTCTCTCAGCAATAGGTATGTGGGAGGGAACCCGAGTTTGCTGCCTCAAAGGGAATATACAGCGAGAAGCACTAACTAGAAAGGAGGCCGGTTTCCTAGCAGTGTCTTGAATACAGGCTCGTCTTTCATCTCACAGCAGGAAGAGATGTGTGAATCCCCTGTGGGGACCTTAGAGAAAGCCCTAGGTCCCTGCTTCATTTTGACGGAATGCCTCACATCCCGTTGACACCTCGAGAGTCACGCGGAGTCCACTGCTCCAAAAGCTGACGATGCCTGACTCCTCTTGAATATTGATAGGAATCACAAAATCCCTGTGGCTATTTGAAAGTTTCCTTGGGTGCCCTGCCTCACCTCGAGAAGCGTTCCTTGTGCCTGCCAAGCCTCGAAGAGATTCCTGAGCTGTCCCTCGTTACTGGACAGGAGTCCTGACGTCACTGAATAAACACGAGTTTTTAAGGGCCATACCCGCCGTAACCCGAGTACATAACCCAGGTCCCCGCCGCAAGTCGAGAAAAACCATGAGACTTTCCCCTCTTGGCGAGATGAGGCCCGATTCTCCTGCAGTGCATGCAGAGCAATTCCGTGATCCCCATCAAACAAGTCAGGACCTTCGACTTGCTTAATGGATCCCGAGACAGTCCCCAAGAATACTGTCACATATCTAGACGGATCCTGAGGTCACCCCATCAACGCAAAGCAGCACCATGTGCCCCAAATCAACTCGAGATAATGCCCGATTCCCCTGCATTGACTCCAGAGCCATCCCCCGTTCCACATTAAAAACCACCAGTGGCTTGACTTCCTTCAGACAACTCCAGAGATGCCCTGAGAACACTGTCCCAAGTCTAGAGGAACACCATCTTCAGCACAGCAACTCGAGGAATGCTCCGTGTACCCCAAATCGTCTCGAGATGAGAGCTGATCCCTGGCTTAGGCTCAAGACGTATGCCAACTTTCCAGAAGCACCTCAAGGGGAGGCTTCTCCAGCAATAGGTATGTTGGAGGGACCCCCAGTTTCCTGCCTCAAGTGGAATATGCAGCGAGAAGCCTTAACTTGAAAGGAGGCCGGGTTTCCCTGCAGTGTCTTGAATACAGGCTCGACTTTCATCTCACAACCGGAAGGAAAGTCTGAATCCCCTGTGGAGACCTTAGCGATAGCCCTAGGTCCCTGCCTCATTTTGACGGAATGCCTCACATCCCGTTGACACCTCGAGAGGCACGCGGAGTTCACTGCTTCAAAATGTGACGATGCCTGACTCCTCCTGAACATTGATAGGAATCCCAAAATTACTGTAGCTACAGGACAGGGTCCTTGGGTTCCCTGCCTCACCTCGAGAAGCAACCCTTTTGCCCTGCCAAGCCTCGAAGAGATTCCTGAGGTGTCTCTCGTTACTAGACAGGAGTCCTGACGTCACTGAATAAACAGGTGTTTTGAAGGGCCATCCCCGCCATAACTCAAGAACATACCCCAGTTCCCGCCGCAACTCGAGTAAAACCATGAGACTTCCCCTGGATGCGAGATGAGGCCTGATTCCCTGCAGTCCATGCAGAGCATTCCCGTGATCCCCATCAAGCAAGTCAGGAGCTTCGACTTGCTTAATTCAACTCGAGAAAGTCCCCAGGAACACTGTCACAAGTCTAGACAGACCCTGAGGTCACCCCAGCAATGCAAAGCAGCTGCAAGTACCCCACATCAACTCGAGATGAGGCCCGATTCCCATGCATTGACTCCAGAGACATCCCCCGTTCCACATTAAACACGACCAGTGGCTTGACTTCCTTCAGGCAACTCCAGAGATGCCCTGAGAACACTGTCCCAAGTCTAGAGGAACACCATCTTCAGCACAGCAACTCGAGGAATGCTCCGTGTACCCCAAATCGTCTCGAGATGAGAGCTGATTCCCTGGCTTAGGCTCAAGACGTATGCCAACTTTCCAGAAGCACCTCAAGGGGAGCCTTCTCTCAGCAATAGGTATGTTGGAGGGACCCCCAGTTTGCTGCCTCAAGTGGAATATACAGCGAGAAGCCCTAACTTGAAAGGAGGCCGGATTTCCTTGCAGTGGCTTGAATAAAGGTTCGTCTTTCATCTCACAGAATGAAGGGATGTCTGAATCCCCTGTGGAGACCTTAGAGAAAGCTATAGGTCCCTGCCTCATTTTGACGGAATGCCTCACATCCCGTTGTCACCTCGAGAGGCACGCGGAGTTCACGGCTTCAAAAAGTGACGATGCCTGACTCCTCTAAAATATTGATAGGAATCCCAAAATCCCTGTGGCTATTGGAAAGGTTCCTTGGGTGCCCTGCCTCACCTCGAGAAGCGTCCCTTGTGCCCTGCCAAGCCTCGAAGAGATTCCTGAGGTGTCTCTCGTTACTAGACAGGAGTCCTGACGTCACTGAATAAACACGTGTTTTGAACGGCCATCCCGCCATAACTCGAGAACATACCCCAGTTCCCGACGCAACTCGAGTAAAACCATGAGACTTCCCCTAGATGCGAGATGAGGCCTGATTCCCTGCAGTCCATGCAGAGCATTCCCGTGATCCCCATCAAGCAAGTCAGGAGCTTCGACTTGCTACATGGATCTCGAGAGAGTCCCCAAGAACACTGTCACATGTCTAGATGGATCCTGAGATCACCCCATCAACCCAAAGCAGCACCATGTGCCCCAAATCAACTCGAGATAATGCCCGATTACCCTGCATTGACTCCAGAGCCATCCCCCGTTCCACATTAAACACCACCAGTGGCTTGACTTCCTTCAGGCAACTCCAGAGATGCCCCGAGAACACTGTCCCAAGTCTTGAGGAATACGAACTTCAGCACAGCAACTCGAGGAATGCCCCGTGTACCACAAATCGTCTCGAGATGAGAGCTGATTCCCTCGCTTAGGCTCAAGACGTATGCCAACTTTCCAGAAGCACCTCAAGAGGAGGCTTCTCTCAGCAATAGGTATGTTCGTGGGACCCCGAGTTTGCTGCCTAAAGTGGAATATACAGCGAGAAGCCCTAACTTGAAAGGAGGCCGGATTTCCTTGCAGTGTCTTGTATACAGGCTCGTCTTTCATCTCACAACAGGAAAGGATGTCTGAATCCCCTGTGAAGACCTTAGAGAAAGCCCTAGGTCCCTGCCTCATTGTGACGGAATGCCTCACATCCCGTTGACACCACGAGAGGCACGCGGAGTTCACTGCTTCAAAAGGTTACGATGCCTGACTCCTCTTGAATATTGATAGGAATCCCAAAATCCCTGTGGCTATTGGAATGGTTCCTTGGGTGCCCTGCCTCACCTCGAGATGCGTCCCTTGTGCCCCGGCAAGCCTCGAAGAGATTCCTGAGCTTTCCCTCGTTACTGGACAGGAGTCCTGACGTCACTGAATAAACACGTGTTTTGAAGGGCCATCGCCGCCGTAACTCGAGTACATACCCCAGGTCCCCGCCGCAACTCGAGAAAAACCATGAGACTTCCCCTAGATGCGAGATGAGGCCTGATTCCCTGCAGTCCATGCAGAGCATTCCCGTGATCCCAATCAAGCAAGTCAGCAGCTTCGAATTGCTTAATGGATCTCGAGATAGTCCCCAGGAACACTGTCACAAGTCTAGACAGACCCTGACATCACCCCAGCAACGCAAAGCAGCTCCAAGTACCCCACATCAACTCGCGTTGAGGCCCGATTCCCATGCATTGACTCCAGAGCCATCCCCCGTACCCCATTAAGCACCACCAGTGGCTTGACTTCCTTCAGGCAACTCGAGAGATGCCCCGAGAACACTGTCCCAAGTCTAGAGGAATACGAACTTCAGCACAGCAACTCGAGGAATGCTCCGTGTACCCCAAATCGTTTCGAGGTGAGAGCTGATTCCATGGCTTAGGCTCAAGACGTATGCCAACTTTCCAGAAGCACCTCAAGAGGAGGCTTCTCTCAGCAATAGGTATTTGGGAGGGACCCCGAGTTTGCTGCCTCAAGTGGAATATACAGCGAGAAGCCCTAACTTGAAAGGAGGACGGATTTCCTTGCAGTGGCTTGGATACAGGCTCGTCTTTCATCTCACAGCATGAAGGGATGTCTGAATCCCCTGTGGAGACCTTAGAGAAAGCTCTAGGTCCCTGCATCATTTTGACGGAATGCCTCACATCCAGTTGACACTTCGAGACGCACGCGGAGTTCACTGCTTCAAAAGGTGATGATGCCTGACTCGTCTTGAATATTGATAGGAATCCCAAAATCACTGTGGCTACTGGAAAGGGTCATTGGTTGCCCTGACTCACCTCGAGAAGCATACCTTTTCACCTGCCAAGCCTGGAAGAGATTCCTGAGGTGTCCCTCGTTACGAGACAGGAGTCCTGACTTCACTGAATAAACACGGGTTTTGAGGGGCCATCCCCGCCGTAACTCGAGAAGATACCCCAGGTCCCCCGCGCAACTTGAGAGAAACCGTGAGACTTCCCCCTAGATGCGAGATGAGTCCAGATTCCCTGCAGTGCATGCAGAGTATTCCCATGATATCCATCAAACAAGTCAGGAGCTTCGACTTGCTTAATGGATCTCGAGACAGTCCCCAAGAACAATGTCACAAGTCTAGACGGACCCTGAGGTCACCCCAGCAACGCAAAGCAGCTCCATGTGCCCCAAATCAACCCGAGATGTGGCCCGATTCCCCTGCATTGACTCCAGAGCCATCCCCAGTTCCCCATTAAACAAGACAACTGGCTAGACTTCCTTCAGGCAACTCCAGAGATGCCCCGCAAACACTCTCCCAAGACTAGAGGAACACCAACTTCACACAGCAACTCGAGGAATGCTCCGTGTACCACAACTCGTCTCGAGATGAGAGCTGAATCCCTGGCTTAGGCTCAAGACGTATGCCAACTTTCCAGAAGCACCTCAAGAGGAGGCTTCTCTCAGCAATAGGTATGTTGGAGGGACCCCGAGTTTGCTGCCTCAAGTGGAATATACAGCGAGAAGCCCTAACTTGAAAGGAGGCCGGATTTCCTTGCAGTGGCTTGAATACAGGCTCGTCTTTCATCTCACAGAATGAAGGGATGTCTGAATCCCCTGTGGAGACCTTAGAGAAAGCTCTAGGTCCCTGCCTCATTTTGACGGAATGCCTCACATCCAGTTGTCACCTAGAGAGGCACGCGGAGTTCACTGCTTCAAAATGTGATGATGCCTGACTCCTCTAAAATATTGATAGGAATCCCAAAATCCCTGTGGCTATTGGAAAGGTTCCTTGGGTGCCCTGCCTCACCTCGAGAAGCGTCCCTTGTGCCCTGCCAAGCCTCGAAGAGATTCCTGAACTGTTCCTCGTTACTGGACAGGAGTCCTGACATCACTGAATAAACACGAGTTTTGAAGGGCCATCCCCGCCGTAAAACGAGTACATACCCCAGGTCCCCGCCGCAAGTCGAGAAAAACCATGAGACTTTCCCCTAGAGGCGAGATGAGGCCCGATTCTCCTGCAGTGCATGCAGAGCAATTCCGAGATCCCCATCAAACAAGTCAGAAGCTTCGACTTGCTTAATGGATCTCGAGACAGTCACCAGGGAACACTGTCACATGTCTAGACGGATCCTGAGGTCACCCCATCAACGCAAAGCAGCACCATGTGCCCCAAATCAACTCGAGATAATGCCCGATTCCCCTGCATTGACTCCAGAGCCATCCCCCGTTCCACATTAAACACGACCAGTGGCTTGACTTCCTTCAGGCAACTGCAGAGATGCCCTGAGAACACTGTCCCAAGTCTAGAGGAACACCATCTTCAGCCCAGCAACTCGAGGAATGCTCCGTGTACCCCAAATCGTCTCGAGATGAGAGCTGATTCGATGGCTTAGGCTCAAGACGTATGCCAACTTTCCAGAAGCACCTCAAGGGGAGCCTTCTCTCAGCAATAGGAATGTTGGAGGGACCCCCAGTTTGCTGCCTCAAGTGGAATATACAGCGAGAAGCCCTAACTTGAAAGGAGGCCGGATTTTCTTGCTGTGTCTTGAATACAGGCTCGTCTTTCATCTCACAACCGGAAGGAATGTCTGAATCCCCTGTGGAGACCTTAGAGAAAGCCCTAGGTCCCTGCCTCATTTTAACGGAATGCCTCACATACCGTTGACACCTCGAGAGGCACACGGAGTTCACTGCCTCAAAATGTGACGATGCCTGACTCCTCCTGAACATTGATAGGAATCCCAAAATCACTGTAGCTACAGGACAGGGTTCTTGGGTGCCCTGCCTGACCTCGAGAAGCATCCCTTTTGCCCTGCCAAGCCTCGAAGAGATTCCTGAGGTGTCTCTCGTTACTAGACAGGAGTCCTGACGTCACTGAATAAACACGTGTTTTGAAGGGCCATCACCGCCATAACTCGAGAACATACGCCAGTTCCCGCCGCAACTCGAGTAAAACCATGAGACTTCCCCTAGATGCGAGATGAGGCCTGATTCCCTGCAGTCCATGCAGAGCATTCCCGTGATCCCCATCAAGCAAGTCAGGAGCTTCGACTTGCTTAATGGATCTCGAGACAGTCCCCAAGAACACTGTCACATGTCTAGATGGATCCTGAGGTCACCCCATCAATGCAAAGCAGCACCATGTGCCCCAAATCAACTCGAGATAATGCCCGATTCCCCTGCATTGACTCCAGAGCCATCCCCCGTTCCACATTAAACACGACCAGTGGCTTGACTTCCTTCAGGCAACTCCAGAGATGCCCTGAGAACACTGTCCCAAGTCTAGAGGAACACCATCTTCAGCACAGCAACTCGAGGAATGCTCCGTGTACCCCAAATCGTCTCGAGATGAGAGCTGATTCCCTGGCTTAGGCTCAAGACGGATGCCAACTTTCCAAAAGCACCTCAAGGGGAGCCTTCTCTCAGCAATAGGTATGATGGAGGGACCCCCAGTTTGCTGCCTCAAGTGGAATATACAGCGAGAAGCCCTAACTTGAATGGAGGCCGGATTTCCTTGCAGTGTCTTGTATATAGGCTCGTCTTTCATCTCACAACAGGAAGGGATGTCTGAATCCCATGTGAAGACCTTAGAGAAAGCCCTAGGTCCCTGCCTCATTTTGACGGAATGCCTCACATCCCGTTGACACCTCGAGAGGCACGCGGAGTTCACTGCTTCAAATGTGACGATGCCTGACCCCTCCTGATCATTGATAGGAATCCCAAAATCACTGTGGCTACAGGAAAGTGTTCTTGTGTGCCCTGCCTCACCTCGAGAAGCAACCCTTTTGCCCTACCAAGGCTCGAAGAGATTCCTGAGCTGTCCCTCGTTACTGGACAGGAGTCCTGACGTCACTGAATAAACACGAGTTTTGAAGGGCCATCCCCGCCATAAGCCGAGTACATACCCCAGGTCCCCGCCGCAAGTCGAGAAAAACCATGAGACTTTCCCCTAGAGGCGAGATGAGGCCCGATTCTCCTGCAGTGCATGCAGAGCAATTCCGTGATCCCCATCAAACAAGTCAGAAGCTTCGACTTGCTTAATGGATCTCGAGACAGTCCCCAAGAACACTGTCACATGTCTAGACGGATCCTGAGGTCACCCCATCAACGCAAAGCAGCACCATGTGCCCCAAATCAACTCGAGATAATGCCCGATTCCCCTGCATTGACTCCAGAGCCATCCCCCGTTCCACATTAAACACAACCAGTGTCTTGACTTCCTTCAGGCAACTCCAGAGATGACCTGAGAACACTGTCCCAAGTCTAGAGGAACACCATCTTCAGCACAGCAACTCGAGGAATGCTCCGTGTACCCCAAATCGTCTCGAGATGAAAGCTGAATCCCTGGCTTAGGCTCAAGACGTATGCCAACTTTTCAGAAGCACCTCAAGGGGAGCCTTCTCTCAGCAATAGGTATGTTGGAGGGACCCCCAGTTTGCTGCCTCAAGTGGAATATGCAGCGAGAAGCCCTAACTTGAAAGGAGGCCGGATTTCCTTGCTGTGTCTTGAA